CCCAATCGAGTTGTATCTGGTGTAGCCAATCTCTTCCAAACAACGCCGGCCCTTGTGTTTTCACTACATATAACGTTAAGTCCTTGACTTGGTTGTTGTGTTCCACGCGAACAAGTAGTTTGCCTTCTGGTGTTACCTTCTCTCCTGAGTAGGTTTTCAAAATAGCGGTGGTGTCGACCAGAGGTGTGTTTGGGAAAGTTTCCTTATACGTCTCCAAGGGGAGTGTAGATATCGCTGAACCTGTGTCTAGCTCCATCTTCAGTGTGTGGCCATTAACTTTTGGTTTCACCCAGATGACGTCACCAACTACCCCATGGTTAACATTGTTGACTTCTAGGGATGCCACCAAGCTATCATCAATGCGCTCATCATCTACCTCGAACGAGTGAAGGTTGGGGTTCTCGTTCCTTCGTCTTCGGGTAGAGTTCTGACCCTTTCCTGAGCGGCATACTCTTTGGATATGGCCTAATTTCCCGCATTTTTGTATGTTTTATTCCTGAAGTAACACTCGGCTGACTCGTGTGTACTACCCCCACATCGATAACACTGAGATTTTGATTTGACATCATCTTTCCCTTTAGGAACTCTTTCGCTATCCTTGTTTATTTTGTTGACTTCAGACTCTTTATTAATGTTACCCTGCAATTCTAGTGGTTCTTTCGCTGCCGCTTCCATTTCTAAGGCAATTTCTGACGCTTTGGCCAATGACAAATCTGGCTCGGAGAGCAGCCGTTTCTGGATAAGTTCATTGTGTTGTCCACACACTAGTCTGTCTCTTAACGCGTCATTCAAGTTAGTTCCGAATTCACAATACAGCGACAATTTCTTTAATTCAGCAAGGTAAGAACTTACGGTTTCACCTTCTAGTTGGTTCCTTTTGTGAAAGCGGAATCGCTCTGCCATGAGCAGTGGTCTCGGTGACAGATGCTTCTGTAGTGTTTCTACGATAGTCTTGAAAGACAGGCTGGATGGCTTGGCTGGGGCGGCCAAATTGCTTAGTAATCCATACGTTTTTTCCCATTAAGCTTAGCATTACGGCCACTTGCTTGTTGTCCTTGATTTCGTTGGCGATGAAGTATTGCTCTAGACGTTCCACATAGGCGTTCCAATCGTCGTTCGTTTCGTCAAACGTTTCAATCTTTCCAATCGGCATAGGGGCGAAAGCTCGAAATTTCTCTGGTTGCTGCGTAGGATCTAAATCCTCATCGCCAATCTGTTGTGTCTCACGGAATTGAAGGAATCAAACTAGTACAACAAAACAAGGTTTAATCAAACATGGCGGTTCACATTCAACGACAGGCGCACATGGCGTGCGTGCGCATAATAGTAACAAAACTGCAGACCATCATGTGCGACATAGGAGAACCCTTTAGGAAATTACAGTCACGTTAAACGTGTGAAATAAAAGTTCTGGTTGACTTTCATGAGGATTCAAACCTCAGATCTACCGATTTTGCTATCAATGACTATAAGGATTTAAGCCTTAGACCTTAAAACTTCACCATCTGCCCTACCAGCCGGGCAGAAAAAGAAATTTGGGTGGACCATTTGCGAGGATTCAAACTTCATTCCAAGTGGCTACAAAATGCTTTTATGGCAGAGTAGAAACACAAATTTAAAGGTAAACTCACTGAGAGGATTCAAACGTCAGACTTTGCAATATCGGTATCAAATACTCTATCAACTGAGTTGAGAGACAAAAATGTGTGTCGAACTCTTTAGGAAATTACAGTCACGTAAACATGTGAAATGAAAGTTCTAGTTGACTTTCATGAGGATTCAAACCTCAGATTTACCAATTTTTCTTTCAGATACTCCACTAGCTAAAGTATACAAATTTCGTGCAATTATTTTTCTTATCTCATACTTAGCATTGTATTGTGTTTGCTTCCTGGTGGCATGAAACGTTTGCCCAAATCAAGTTGGTATTCAAGGCAGAAAGCAATGAAGGGACTAATCAGAAAAGGTGTGCATGCAAAGAGTGCTGCTTAGCTGTTCAGGTAAGAATGAGATACACCGATTGTTGATGAAGTATGTACAAACTGTATAAGTTATAAAATACGTTTATCTCTGTAGTTATAGTGAAGATGTTGGCTGTAGCTAAATACCATCCTTTGCATAGGTTGATTACTGCAACTGTGGCACAAGTCATTTACCTTAAATACTCTTCTTTTCAGTTTGAAAAGCACAATGCAACTTACCCAAAGAGGACAAATTGAATGACAGAAAGCAAAGGGTAACGTAGATGTTATGCTAGAGTAACAGGATAAGAAAAATCACCAACCGCTTATTTTCTCAAGTTGAAAGAAAAGAAACAAAAACAGTAATAACAAAAACTATAATGTCTTTTAAAAAGAGGTTAGACATTTTGTTACGTGCTCCTTTTCCGCCGCAGAACAAAATTGTGTCCACATGATTAATCAAATGTTTCAGCCGACGAAATGAAGCAGTGTTCGAAAACTGTCAGTACAGACGTACTTGCTCTTATCCTATAAAAGTTAGAATTCGAAACTCACAGCCTACAAAGGCTCGAACTCATGAAACACACTCATTGACACGCACAGATAAGAGTGAAAACATTGTTAACTGAATGTATGATAAAATGAAATCTTTGAATCAAATTAATCTACATTGCTTCTGCTAATCAAACGAAACTTTGTTCAAACTGACAGTCTGTGTCTCATGTGTCTTTGCCTCCGTGATACGACATTCTTCTTCTCTATTTCTTTCCAGGTGCTTTTCTTTGCAGGGTTTGGATTGAACCCGCCTTTTACTTCTTGTTCAAAATTGACAACTAGGAAGCAGTTTAATAATTGTGGTTTTTACGTATCATGCGTTTGTCAACAAGGAAGCAGTTTAAAAGTTGCAGTTTCTATGCATCATGTGTTTGCCAACAAGGAAGCAATTTAAAGTTGTGATATCAATACATCATACCCTCGACAACAAAGAAGCAATATAAGAGTTGTGGTTTCTATGCATTTGTTGAATAGAGAAGATTCAAACAAGGATGTCCATAGGATGTAATTTAAAAGTTGTGGTTTCTATGCATAATGTTGCTATCAACAGAGAAGTAGTTTAAAAGTTATGGTGTCTATGCATCATGCGTTTGTCAACTAAGAAGGAGTTTAAAAGTTACGGTTTCTATGCATCATGTTTTTATCAACAAGAAAGGAGTTTAAAAGTTGTTGTGTCTATGCATCATGTGTTTGTCAACAAGGAAGCAGTTTTAAAAATGTAGTGTCTATGCATCATGCGATTGTCAACTAGGAAGGAATTTAAAAGTTGTGGTCTTTATGTATCATGTTGTTATCAACAAAAGAGGGGTTTAAAAGTTGCGGTGTCTATGCATCATGTGTTTTTCAACAAGGAAGCAGTGTAAAAGTTGTGGTGCCTATGCATCATGCGTTTTTCAACAAGGAAGCAGTGTAAAAGTTGTGGTGCCTATGCATCATGCGTTTGCCAACGAGCAAGGAGTTTAAAAGTCGCGCTTTCTATGCATCGTGTTTTTCAACTAGGAAGGAATTTAAAAGTTGCGGTTTCTATGCATCATGTTTTTATCAACAAGAAAGGAGTTAAAAATGTGTGGTTTCTATGCATCATATGTTTGTCAACAAAGAAGCAGTTGAAAAGTTGCGGTGTTTATGCATCAAGTTGTTATCAACATGGAAGCGGTGTAATCGTTGCAATGTTTATGTTTATGATCATCAAGGAGGTAGCAGTTTTTAAAGTTTCAGAGTCTTGATACGTATTATATGATCGTCGAAGAGGATATTGATAAGTAATGGAATATATAAGTTTGCTAAGAAAATAAAGGATAAACAGATCAATCTAAAACTCATGAATAAAGGAATAAAGATGAAACAACTAAAATAAATCAATTATAAACAAAAAAATATACAAGACTCGACCTCAACCCATCCCTGAAATATTTTACATCTGTGCCTGTCTTATCTAAATGGACTCTTGCTGACTTTATTTTGGGTTTCAAGACATAATGATTCTGTAACAACAACAAATTACTTCTATAACAGCAACTCCGACTGCTGATTTCAGGCTTTGGATCTCAGACATTCGATTTCTGAGTACGGAGTATTACTTCCGACAATCGACTTTCAATTTCCCGATTTTCGGCTTCGGACTTCTAATTTCAGACTTCGGATTTCAGACTTTCGAATTGGCAGTTCGGAGTTTTACTTCCGATCATTGACGGATAATTTACTTCCGACCATTGACGTATAAATTTATAACCTCCGGTATCGCACTTCTAATTTACGACTTTCGACTTGTAAGTCTCCTGTGAACTCCCGATATCCGAATTTTATTCATCAAATGCTACATTCGACTCTGAAGTGCCACTTCAACGTCTACGAACTTAATACTAGAGTCAGGAATAGACAATCAAAACAGCAACAGGGGTGCGGCAGTAACCGAGATAAGAGCGAAATTACCTTTCAAGATCACAACTTTACTAAGATTTAACTCTTTAAACCCTAAGAGTTACAAGCATCTAAAAAATTTCTCCTCACAATGTTACCCCTGATCAAACATTAAAGTTAGGAGAATAAAGGAAATGATTTAGAACGTAAAGAGCTCTTGATTGTTGTACAATCAAGTCAGCACCGTAGGGGATGCATGGAGAACAGTACAGTAATGTTGGGAAGTCAAAGTTTAAATAAATAAAGAAGAGTAAGCCCTTACCCATGATCACAATTGCAGGAGAACTTAATCTGCTAAATATTAGAAAAATGAATAAAATGTGATGGTATAAAGTATTTCTGTGCATCCTTGAAAATTTTGCATACAATTGGTATAATCGTGAAGTGTATTTGAGTGCAAAGCCTGGTGAACACGTTTGAGAACGTGGAAATCTCTTCGCCGTCTTACTAGTAACCACCCATCTTAACAATATCATTAATGTCATTTACCTACCTACTCAGGACAAAACTAGCAGCTTATGGCTGGACACGTTGGAAACGTTTTAGTTGAAATTCCGGCAAAGGTTAATAGACAGTGTCACAATAGTCAAGTTTTGACAGCACCAGTGACTTAAGCAAAATTCTTAAGTTTTCTTATTGTTTGTATTGTTCCGTAGCAGCTCATGCACGCACGTGCTTATCCCAATCAAGATACTGGTGGAAATGGACACTAAGAAGCTTACTTACATTTACATATTCTAATGTACTATCTGAGATTGTAATAGCTGGTCGATTCTTATCTAAACTACGTACATGTGACATCTGGTTTGTGGACAGCAACATCGTCTTTATCTTTTTCGAGTTAAGTGCTAGATGGCAGTCATTAGACCAGGAGCTCACAGTGTTTAGTATTTGAGAAGAATGTCATTTTGTGTTTCTTCTCTAAGGAATTTCTGTCCTTCATCCAAGAATGGGTATTTGTTTTTTAAAATGCTCATAAGATCCTAATTCTTATTCAGAGATTGAGCTTGCGTTGGTGAAGACTCAAATTCAAAATGATTTTTCCTGGAAAAATCTCTGTGCTCTTCTGAAGACTGACCATTCTAGTAAGCATAAACTCCTGCTTTAAATGGGTTTTTTTGAATTATCAAAAGGATTTTTTTCGAATTCTGACTCAGAAAATTACACTGAGATAAAACATTAGAGACAAATAATAATCGTTGTGTTGCAATAATTAAATTTATTATTAGCTAAGTAGGACAGCGCTGAGTAACGCCTCTGCTTGTGACAAACACACTTGTGATGCCTGAACAACCATTTAGGTAAAACAAGAAAGTGGTAATTTTGAGACAGTCAAAATATTGCTTCTATAGCCCTTATCCACTAAAACATATTGTTAACACATTATCATCAACGAGCCGTAAATAAAGCAATTGATGTACAACATCGTAAACAATCAAACTCCAAATTATATCTGAGTTCTCGATTTTGTCCGTGCAGCGTAGCCTTGACGTACAATCTCAGTCGAAAATGCTGAATGCAAGCTATCCATTTCACAGCCTCTCTCTCATAATCGTAAACAAAGTTTAAGCTATAGCGGGGCTGTGTGATGGAATAGCCTGCCGAAAGAGATAAAACAATCAAACCCTCCTAATGATTTCAGAATTGAATAAAAAACCACACTCTCTAAAGCAAGATCATCTAGCACTATCTTACATATACATGGCAACCTGTAAAGCAGGTTCTTTCATTTAATTACTTACACTTAGCTTTTTATTAGTTAGTGTAATTGGGTTTTTTAACCTTTGGAAACACCGTGTCTGAACAAAGTCTTTACTTATTTACAAAGATTTCGTGTGACAATCTGTATAATTACAAATTGTCTAATGTAATTTCTAATACAGATTCGTAGAAGTTACAATAATTATTACCAGGGACGGGGGCGTTACAGTGAAGCAGCGAGTTTAGAATCAACGAAATTTTCTGACCGAAATGTTCTGCAACACAAGGTTCCTCTAATGTGTTGGCGAAAGTTACTACTATGAAGAGCGTAAATGAAGGGATTTATGGCTGAATTGACGCCAACGAGTACTACTGATATGATATAAGGAACTGAGCCATATGCATACACTTCTGGCTCATACTTAGACAACATATATAACACCAGGTTAGGTAACCAGCATACTGTGTACATTAAACTCACCACGAAAACCATTTTTGTCACTTTCAGCCTTGATCTGATTCGCGCTTGCTCAGTGACCCCTAAGTTGTTGGGATTTCCTCTATTCCAGAGATTGCAGAGCACCTTTACATATAAAACTGCCATGGCTCCCACGGGAATAGCACCGTAAACAAAAAAACAAGAAATTGTGAAAGCTTTCGCCAGATGTTCATTCGGCCAGTGTTCCGGGCAATGAGTTAAGCCGTGTTTATCATATCGAATAACGAAAAACAGGGGCAGGTTGTAGATTATGGCGTAAAGCCAACCAATGATTACAATTGGGATTAATCGACGATTTGTAAGTCGCCAACGATCGCCAAAGGGGTAAACAACAGCGAAATAACGCTCAATAGCGACAACTACCAATGAGAATGCTGATGCAGCCCCACCAATCCAGATGAAATTCCCTCCAGTTATAAACTTGCACAGGAAATCCCCTGCAGTACCTGACGGGTGGTGAAACGCCCACTTGATGACGTAAACTGGAATGATAAAAAGCGCCACCATGATATCTGAGGCCGCTAGGTTCACAAGAAGGTAATTGACCGGTGCTCTCATTCCATGGTATCGGAACACAACCAGGCATACTACGGTGTTTCCCACGAGATTCACTATAACCACCACAGAGAAAGCAACGGTGAGACCCAAGTCCAGTGACGTCATAGAAGTCATGGTGTGACCTTGCAGAACTGCAAAAGTAGAGGTAATAATTAACCTGCAGAACAGGCCTTATTTTTGGCGTCTATCAGGTCAATTTCCCCCCTACCCCTCGCTGAAGTCTTACTCTGCGCGTGCGCCTCGCATTTTCCTCGCGCTCGTCTCGCGCTTTTCTTGCGTTTGTTTCGCACTTTCTTCGCGTTCGTCTCTCGCTTGCCTTTGCTTGCATAAAAAACGTTAAACAAAATGTTTCCTGTTCGGCCGACTAAAGTGGTAAGAATTAGAAAACACGTCAAGCTCATGACTTAATGATGTATTTTATGATTTAAGATACTCGTAAGCAACATTTTCTTGGAGGACCTTTTTGAAGTCTCAGCTTTTCATTGATAGGTTGCTTGAACTCTGCTTTAAGGCCGTCCAGGATTCTGAACCCATCTTCACCACGAGATTGCACTATATTTTAAAATTGTAAAATTATGCCAAAGAACTATAATTTCTTCGGATTGTTGTCTTGTGTCAATACACCGAAAAACAAGATAATTCATACCCTCATCACGATATGGAAATACCTCGTACCAAAGCAAAAAAAGAGAGTGGATGCCCCAAACACAAACGGTGAAAGACTCTTCCTGCAGAGTTACATGAAGAATTGTGCTGCTGACCACACCACACAGTGAGGCTCAATAAGGTTGAAATTTCACGCGTGTATCCGAACAGACAACTTTTATTTGTACAAGTAATAACGATGTGTTAATGATATTTTATGTAGCTGTTAATCACAAGTTACTTTAAATAACACCACAAAAATTAATTGAAATGTCACAGCTTACTTTTGGATCATCGAACACCAGTCTCGAAAGTGGCGAATCTCGCTGAAACTTCAGTCGCCGGAGCTTACAACAATTCACTAGGTAGACAGCTCCATCGCAAAACAACCAGATGTTCTCATGTGAAGGTGAAAAATACCAGTTCTCGGAATTCCCTGCTATGCTCTATTTAATTTGGGAGATGACAGCCTGGTTTGAGTGAAGACTCGTTCGAGAGGAAGTATGCGAAACCGTACCTAAGTACCTATGCTACGAGTTGTAGAGGAGAGGGCTAGACAAAAACTTGAGCTTTGAGCTGACGAGATTTAACAATAGTCATATTCTTAACAACCGAGCGCAATCAAGTAAGGCGGAAATAGTGTTACTTTTGGGATATTTTTGTCGTGTCGCGCTGTTTTATGATCCATAGCATGATGTTTCTCCTTAAGTTTCCGGTTTATATTACAAATTGTCTAATCATACTTCTATATGAGACTTGGAAAGAGCCAAGCGATTCTGACAGTTATTGTGCTTGAAGTCGGAATACCGGATTGAAAGTTTGAACATTTAAATTATACAAGAATTACGATAGCAAAGTGTCTTACGTGTTATGTAGCAGATGGACACGTCGAAGTTCTTTAGTTTTGTCTCAAAACTGTACGCCATGAGCAACACTTAATCTTCTTTCGAAATTTGAACGACTCGAAGTTTTTGCAGCGAAGAAGAAGCGGATAAACATGGTATGAATTTGTAATGAGCACAGTGATTTGGGCCGATAAGTTCCTTTACTAAACGTGCTGTTCGACCGGAAATTAGACTTTGTTCCCTCTAAGCGATGTACTCATGTTAATTAGCTAAGTTACTGCACACTTACCTTGTTTCGATCAGGATAGAAAATGTACAATTTCGATTTCTGCAGGACTGCTCAAGCATGACCGTTCAAGCATGATTCAAGCAAGATACATATTCAACGCATGATAAGGCATGCTGTCGTAATAGCGTGACAATAAGTTGACGAGCGTGACTAAAGTTAGGCATCATATTCCGGTTTCTTTAACCTTTACTCCCGAATATGATTGACATGTAAGGTATAAATAATTAAGATTGACTTACATTCTCCCTCAAACGGACTGATTGATCAGCTTATGGGTGGGGTTTTTATATTTTGTTATTTTCATCTATACAACTATCATGAGCACTCCTACACGGTCCCATGTTTTTCTTGTGCACGGTCAATAGATTGAAACTGCCTGAATAATTATCATTTATTATCCAACTACACAAAATAGACTACAAATAACGGGAGAATAGAGTGCAAATATCCTGAGATGTTGTCCGGTTATTTGGACTCTGGGTTATTTCGTTCTGTGAAAAAATCCTGTTTAACCAGTCGGCTGCGCGCGCTACGCTTCACTATCCGCTTTGCTTTTCCCGCCTTACGAGAAAAGCACAGAAAGACTTAATAGCAGAAAAAAAAACAAAAAAAAAAAACAGTTGGATAATAAATAACTTATCAGACGTTTTTGGGTGTGTAGTGTCGCTGTGTATTTTTACTCGCTGTTTGTATTTCGACTCGCCCTGCCGGCTCGTCAAAATACGGCACAACTCGTAAAATTACTCAGCGATACTTAACATCCGAAAACGTTTAATACGATAGATATGTCTGATTGAAGCGGCAGGAGTCACAATCGTCTCATCGTTTCCTTTTTCAACCCTTTCATTCCCAGATCTCGTTTGTAATTCTCACTGTCTGCTATATAATTCTTATGTTAGTTCAGAGAATTTGGTATTGGATCAACTAATGACCCCCTACACGAGGATCTGCTTGATATTATATCAATATCATGAGGAAAGATTCTGTCTTGGTCACTCATGGAAGAAATGTCAAATGGTTCAATCTCAGTGCGATTCAAGTGAGGATAAAAGCGTTTACTTTCGGAAAAATAAAACTTCAATTTAATTATATTACGGCCAGAAGCATGTTGCACGTCTTTTTGTTACTTCTTTCATACAACATCTAACATCTTTTAAATGACACAAAAGAAAAAAATAATTAATACAGAACTGAATAAAAACAGTAAGTTATCTTTGTTTCATGGTGGTTCACAAATAAGACGCTCGAAATTTTTTCCGTACTTGTGCAGTGTTCATTCGCTACTGGCTATTTCTCCAATATTGACAGTCAGTCACTGAGTTGTGGTTAACAGACTTCCACTAACCAACTGAACTGAAGACCTTAGAAGGTTTCCTCACAGTTCTACGGTGGGACTGGAACATAATCTGCTGGCTGGAATTGATTGCAACGAAGAGCCAACTTGATGTGATGGCGGAAGTGTGCACTATGAAGGGCGTAAATGAATGGATTCATGGCTGAGTTGAGGCCCACAAGCAGTACTGTGCTGATGTATGACGGCGAATCATAATCGTAAATCGACTCAAACGGTTGCAACACGTATAGCACCAAATTTGGCAACCGACAGACTCCATACACTATAGTTACGACTATGGCCATTTTGGTCACTTTCCGAATAGCTCGGATTCGCACCTGGTCCGAGATTAAAGTAACACGGACACGTCGTCCTTTCCAGAGCTTACGTAGAATCCTAAAGTAAACAAATCCAATAATTGCCATCGGAATTAAACCAAACCCGAACAGACACCCAAGTGTGTACGCTTCCCGCAATTTTTCGTGATTTGACCAGAGTTCAGGGCAATGTATTTTTTCATCGCTATGCCTCACCACGAAAAACAAAGGCAAGTTGAAAATAATTGCATAGAGCCAGCCAGTGAGAATTGAAACTGCCAATCGTTGATTAGTAAGGCGCCAGCGTTTGTCGAGGGGGTAGATAACCGCAAAATAGCGCTCAAAGGACAACACGACCAATGAAGAAGTGGATGCTGCCATTCCAACCCAAATCAAGTTACCGCCAGTTAGCCATATACAGAGATAGTCACCTGTGTTACCATGAGGGTGTCGAAAAGCCCAATTTACCACGTAATCTGGAATGATGAATAGCGCTATCATCATATCTGAAACAGCTAAGTTGACGAGAAGGTAATTGACCGGTGCTCGCATCCCACGGAATCGGAAGACAACAAGGCAGACTAATCCGTTTCCAAGGAGATTTACTAAGACAACCGCAGAGAAAGAAATGGCGAAGCTTAGATCTGCAGCAGATAGAGTCGAGTTCATGCTTCAATGTAGTTATCGATTCAGAAACATAAGGCGAGCTTTTTGCCTGTAAAAGTGAAATTAATTTGGTAAACACACACGCATGTCAAAGATCGGCGGTGAATAATGCTAGAGCTGGTGTTACAAATTTCAATTTCCCGACGAAATTGAAAGCAAGTACCTTTCATCAAACAAGTTTTCTCCATTATCTTAAGGCAAAAGAGGTTGATAGTATTTAAATACGCGAAACCAACCACTTTGGTTCGAGAAAGTGGAATCCTTACACGTTTCTCATCTAACAATATCTTAAACTGTTTATTGAGCAATGGCGTCAAGAGCAATCGACAGCACACGAACATTTCTAGCCTGAAATGCTATCGTGTGTCTGAAAGTTCGTAAAACAACACCTTACTGTAGTTTAAAGAGGGAACATCAACACTTTCATATGCAGAGTAATAGCTTTATAAACCTTTGATTGAAATAGCGATCATGTTATAACTTAATTGTGGATGCCAATATTGATATTACTTGTAAGAAACTACTGTGACGCAATATAAAATTAAGCGGATAAACCGAGCAGTTCCCATCGTAATCTGCCACGAGAGTAATCAGAAAACTTAGAAAAATTTCTTGGAGCTGTGTTATCTGAGGGATTGCCGACAGATTACGCCAATAAAAAGGCGGCTAATGAATTACTCCCTAAGGTGGGTTACCTTGAATCTGAGTGATGACTCCTTGTTGTTTTCTTCTTCTGCAGGAAGACTTACCGACAGAATAGTTTTAGTGAAAGACGAAGACGGCGAAAAAAGCATAGAATATCACCAATGAGTCTCATACTTGCATATTGTGCGCTGAAATCAGCTGAATCAACTGTTCAAAGTGCGATTGCTGTAAGCGACATTTCAAATTCCAGACAGGAACAGTGTGACGTTCAGAAAGTGACGTCACAAGGCCATCATGTTGCGCAAAGCCTTTATACTCAGAGGTGAATCATTTGTCACGCAAAACATCGAAGACTTTTGCACGTCAAATCGAATAGTTGAGGGAAAATACCATGCATCATCCGTGTCAGATGTTAGCTCAGCTTCACTGACCAGTTCCTGAGAGAGGACTTGAACAAAGGTAACTTAATTTCACTTCCTTCAGTCTTACTACATAAAATACTCACGAGGAACGCGAAACGCAATCTAGGAATAGAAATCCAAAAATCCCTTTATTTACATAACACAACTGACATGTAAATTTCGTTTCTCTCGAAAGCATGGTGTGAATCTTCCCCGCTCATTTCAGCATTCTTCATGATTCTGGTCACGTACGAGATCATTGTCATGTCACGCAACACACGAACGGTTTATCTTCTTCCAGAGAGAGGACGTTACTTGGTGTTTTCTACAGATCTCCTGTCGATACCGTTTGAAAAATGCCAAAAAAGGCTATCTAGTTGATTTTTGACGTTACGGATTACCGCAAGCACGCCATTACTGGTCCTTTGGCCCTTGCTTTGTAAGTTTCCTTAATTGGAACTTAATAACGTACACAAAGCTCTTTTTGCCATATTATTTGGCGCTGAACATTACTTAATGAGAGCACGCTCGCAAATTTCCGCAGACGATGTCTTTATAGGAAGGTTATTCTTTTGTTTCATACTGAGTTATACAGGAGCTGCACTAAAAATGAGTCATCAAACGCAGAAAACCACTTATTAAAATCAGCAGGTGGGATTATAAGTGCAGAGAGGAAATTGTAAACGCCATTTATTTTCTCAAAATGACGGAGCCATCATTGGCTCTATTGTTTTGAAACTTAATCCATGTAAAAAACATGGCAGCAAAAGCCACTGATAAAGTAATTGACTTGGAAAAGTAGCAGAAATAATGTGGTGGTAAGAATTTACGCCGTGGAAATGACTCTGACACTGAATGTAGTCGCCGACACCGGTAATAAACACAACCAATTTGGCCTAATGTGTGTGAATCGAAAAGACATGTTTATTTTTCATTAAAAAGTCCGAGAGAGCAATTACCGTTGTCAGCGTGAAATCGCCTTCTGATAATCACTAGAAAAGATCCCCAAATGATATGAAAATGTGCAAAATATGGGTCTCATTAATAAAAAATTTAAAATACCAAATTGAAGATAAGCTCAAAGGGTCTTAATTTCGCTCTAAAACATAGAATTATGAATCTCTGTTTAGATACCGGAAAGAAATGGGTAACAGTGGACAGAATCCATATCGTATTTAATTTCTCTCAACGAGAAACGCTGCAGATATGTTTACACGTAACTTCTGCCGAAAAGACGAGTTGATTATGAAATTTTAAGCGCTGATGATTCTGTAATGAAGCAAAAAAAGCAAATTTTATCGTATTCATTCATGATTGACGGTTTTTTTTTGCCAATTCATTTAAAAGGGTATCCTGTACGGGTAGCCAGTTATTACTATTCATAGATATTTGTCGAAAGCCCTTGATTTGGTTTCTGACGAGTGTCAGAAATTTTGTCGAGCAGTTAAGTAATTTGCACAAAAAAGAATTAAAAAATAAACAAGCTAAGCAAACTTGGTAAAGTAGCTTTCATAAAATTCTTAGGGCAACTTTACATGACAATCCCTGAGTTGATCAATTTAACCACCGAGAACAGTGGCGTGGTCTAAGAAAGCGAAAGAAAAAAAACACCAACATTTCAGTTTTTTTGTAAACAAATGGAATTGCTTCCTGTATTAAATATAGGTATTTATAGCACTAGTTTGTTTAGTGAAATCATCATCCCACAGAAGTGCACCTTCCTTAAATATTAACACGGGGTATTGTTACAAATCTAATCAGCATATCTGCCGGCCAAAACAACTTTTCCACGGCCGGCCTAAACTCGGTGAATTGGTTGCACGTATTTTTTTAAAAAAAAAAGAAAAACAAGTCATAGATTTTTCAGCTTCGAGATTTATAATGCTATCTGCCAACGACTTTGCCCTCGTGGTGGCGTTTTCACTACTATCTATCGTCGATTTCGTCGGGAACTTACTGGTTTGTATGATAATTCTTCAGCGAAAGCGGTTCCGATTTCGTCGTTCGACCCTCGATTTTCTTTTCCTTAACTTGGCTGTGGCAGATATCATGGTAGCAGTCTTTGCGATTCCAAGATACGTTCTTAGCCCATTTTTTGTCCATCCTCTTGGCTCTGCCGGAGACCTCTTGTGCCGTTTTATCACCGGTGGAAATCTCATGTGGACCGGAGGTGCCGCATCTGTTTTCACACTTGTCGTCATCGCCTTTGAACGCCGCCATGTTGTCGTCAGACCTCATCTGTTTACCAAGAAGTTGACAATGGCGAAATTGCGAGGTTTGGTCATATTATCTTGGGCCTCTGCCTCGCTGCTTAATCTGCCGTTGTTTTTTATCATTTCCTACGATAGCGAAACTAATTTCTGCATAGAAAATTGGCCAAACCCTTTGCTTCCAAAACTATATGGCATAGTTTGGTTTTGTGTCGTCGGAGCATCGCCGGTCATTTTCATGGCTATTGTATACTCGAAAATTGTTCACCAGCTGTGGCTGAAGAAATCCACATCATCAAGGTTTAATAGAAGAGCCATTCTTATGTCAAAGAAAGTCACTAAAATGGCCATAACATTGACAGTTATTTATTCAGTATGTTGGCTGCCGAATCTAGTTCTGTACATCCTGGCATTTAACATTTCTGACGCTGTGTACGGTTCGCCTTTGTACAGATGGACAGTGGTTTTGACTTGTTTGAACTCTACAGTGAATCCTTTTGTGTATACACTTCAAAGTAGACGTTTTAGACAGTCAATAAGGCGGGCTCTGACGTGTAAATAAGCCAGAACGGCGAACTCAATTATAACTCGCCCTCATTCACTTGGAAATTTCTAACATTGCTGTTTTCACTTGAGAGAAACGATTACCCATGCCTTTTTTTTTTTTTTCCGAAAACTGAGTCAACCAGTTGTCGTATTGTACAGGTCTTGCATTGTTAACCAAAAAAAAAATGATCTCCAGATTAGTGAACGGGATATTGAGCCGTTCCTGTTGCATTCATATAACTCTTGCTAATATGCTTGTTTCATTTAGTAATGCAATCGTCTGAGGTTTTAGGGGCATACGGATAACGATCGAAGATGAAGTTTTGTAATATCCTTTAAGCCGGTTTAAGTAAAAAAAAAATGCAGTTCTAACGATTATTTTCCACAAAACTGCTTACTGATTTTTCACTTTTCAGTTTTTTTTCTATACTATACTGAGTAATGCGGAGATTACTTTTCTATAAGCTGATGCAAAGACTATTATTTACTTCTTTTTCCTCGTCAGCTTACTTAAAAATGTCAGGATAATCCCGGTTAGAAGTTATCAGTTGTTGTTTTATCATTTCAGTTTTGACAAACGTAGAAAAATAATGAAACTGTTGAAAACAGTAGAGGATATTTCATCTTATAAGACGCTTAAAAAACCATTTTAAATTGTATATTCAATATGAATGAGCAGGGGAGAGTATTTATCTGGAGCAAATAATCTCCGAAATGAAGTCCATTTATTCTGAATCGTAACAATGACGATTTCAAGCACTTGTCTGGCTCTATACGTGAGAAACAAGTTGATCATCTTGAGTATACGTCATACGTAGAGACTAATTTTTTGTTAGATACACCTGCTTCTTTTTTTTCGTAATTTAGTAGATCACGTTTGGCAAGAGGAATTGATAGTGCTGCTAATACGCCAGATGATGAAAACCTGATTTTTCAGAGATATCACCTCAGGATATACGCTAGTAAAATATAATGAATGTTGACAGTATTCATGATATATGGCCCCATTATCAACAAGTTAGGGTGTGACAGAGATTGATTCGATATCTTGTAAGTTCAAAGAGAATGTTATATAAATGATCCCTGTTACCAGAAAATGGATTTAACTTTGGATCCAATTTGATCTTAATTTGAATGGTGGTCAAATCAAAGAGAATTTCTGAAAAAGCTCAAACATCATGCTGAAAAACCCGTGTGCTATGACTAGATTGTTATCCGCTTGCATTAAAAATGTAAACCGTATTTGCATCACACACGGTGAATTAAGTAAGTCTTTTAGTGACTTTGGTTTTTTATGCGTTCCCGTAACTCAGAACTAAAGATACTGAACAAGGATGAAGTTTACAGACAACGGGTAAGCTAAAATTTCCTTAAAACAGAAGAGTAGATTGATTTCATTATGATATTGAATATATACCATACGTTCTATTAATAATACCATAGGACATTCACTCTCTTTCATGATGCGTCCATATATGTTCTTCATTTATGCTCCATGTGAGCGAAAAATTTTCTCCTTTCATTCCCGGAATAAACTGTCGAACGCACGTAGTTTTAGCTTTTAATGAAGAGTTCTTAAGTTTTAATTTGTCACTAGGTTAAGTTGGGTATTCTCTGCGAAATGCACGAACATAATATATGGCCACAAGCAGATCCGCAAATTCAAAAATAGTCATGAGACTTCCTCCGAGGAAGAGACCCATATTGCCTCCAATTTCACCTGAAGTGTAATAGATATAAGCTTTATGAATAGACTTGCAATAACATAGATTAATAAACATGAATAAAATTCAAACACATTACTAAATGGTTAGATGGGTGAATATCTGACAAAATGAACAGATAATTATGATAGTTATTAATTTCGGTCTGTTACGAACTATAATACAATAACTTTATTTATTTATCTTTGATAAATTCTTCAAACCAATCTTTGAGGCTGAAGTTCGGGGTGCAGTCACTGGGCATGTAAAGCGAGTAAAGCTTTTCATATGCAGCCTATCTAAGTGTATCAACAACTGTTTGTCGTAAAGAGCAAATATAATGGAACATCACGAAAATTAGTAGGTGAACACGAAGCCTCAATAGATTGAACCAAGTCGCACGAGCTTCTTTGAACAAGCTCCTGCATTAATAAGAAGAGAAGGAAAATTGAACCAAGTGAGGCCGCTTACCAAACAGAGCCTCAATTCCAAACGCAACAGTCTGCTCATGTAATTCATAGCTGAGTGATTTGTAACCAATCTGAAGAAAAACTGTGTTTTCCCTAAGAAAAAAAAATACTGTACAACTTATATCAAATATATCAATAAAGTAGTGGATCGTGCGTCTCCTGGGGGTGGAAAGCAAAAGACCACGGTAGGAACTTGCTAATTTAAACTTATCACCCTATCTAGTACACAAAGCTACAACATTTTCGCACCAGTTAGCCCTGTTTGTTAAGAATTCTACCCTTTAATCAAAGGTTGTAGCTCTGAAAACGCGCACGCCTCTGTCACAATAGCAACATGAAAAGCTTACACCACCGGTGACCTGAAAGTCACTCACCCTTCCCGCGTTTAATACAGGCGATCGTTAAGTTCTTATTGGGTCGTCATGAAATTACTTTGTTGTGGAGCTCTAAAACTGAGAGTCTGGATAACGGTGGCGATAAAAATAATAATAAACTCGAGTTGCTTACCTTAAGTACTTCAACGTGTTTCCGTCTCCATTGGGCTGGAGCAAATTTGCCGTTCCAGCATCCGGGAACTTAGAGTAATACACCTCTGTAGTGTATCTCACTTCTTTACAAGGATTAGGACAGTCACATTTTGTTGCATCAAGTTCGCCTGGCAGAGTGAAAAAGAAATACATACATCATATGCATTTCTGCTCAATATGCCTCGAAAGCCAGCTCATGGAGCACTTGGTGGTGTTCCGTTGTAGTTAAGACTTACTTCTACGACTTCAACGTCAGGATCAAATATCGATGGTGAGATGAAAAATCCTCCCTTGCCCGCACATATTCTCGTATTTCCCATGATAAAATGAAAAGACTTACACACGACTCTAAAAAAAGGTCGAAAAAGGAGGAAGCGCACTCCACTTACTTGTGATGTCTTGGATACAATTTGCATCATATTTGGCGCATGGTCTAACGGTTGATGCTGAAAAAAAAAACATGAAAATTGAGCTACAATACTTAAAATGTCTCCATTCTTTTCCCAATCCCTCCTACTCTTCCCCTTTCGCTCGAAACGGTTTCAACGTATCACTGAAATGTAAGACACTTCCATAGTTATAAGGAAACCATCGTAATTCTGTCTATAAGCAGTGTATTCCATTTGGGGATTAATTTGAAGTGTGTATGAAGAGAGCGTGATCCGATTTCTGCAGGCTAGAGAGGTGGTTTCAAGGGAAAGCTTTAAGACTAAGAGCACAAAAATTTAAACAAACAAACAAAAGAAAGGATCAAGGCAGGTGAAGAACGGAAGTTAAAATCTTAATGAAAGTTTGCTCACCTGAATATGTTGCAAAACGGCACTGGCAGTTTTCGATGATGGCTTCTTGGAGACATTCAAACTGGCATCCCGTTATCGTATAATTACTTATCGTTTTCAATTTCTTGTTTTTGCATTTCGTTTCGTACGGCTCCTTAAGGTTGACAATCTGAAAAAGAACCAGGAAAGAAAGAAAAAAGTAAAGAGCCAATCAAAAAAAAAATTTCACAATCTACTCATTGGAGTTGTTTTGGGTTCAGTGCCTCCCTTATTTCGTGTGGATAGCGATCCAGTTTACCTCATCCAATTAAGATTTTATAGAGTAATTTTCAATTGAGTATCCAAATTAATCTGACATTACATTGGAATTGCCTTGCTTCGCTCTGTAATTGGTCCAGAAAGCTCGCAACATTCTCCAAACCGATCAGTTGCAAAACTGAAACCAATCACAACTTAGTCGCCCGTATTTTCCCGCGCTTTAGGCATTTTGGCTCTTAAAGGTATTTTCCTTTCTTCCTATTGGCGAACAGCACTCTAAAACAACTTAGATCCATGCAACTCCTGTCGTCGTCATCATTATCGTTGTCTTTATTGTTGTCATGAATTTATCTGGACCCACCCTTTTCTGATGTAAAATTATTGTTGCCATTGTTCCTGGTGAAACATTGATGCCGTCCAAAGGATTAATAAATTCTCCCTGTTGATGAATCACGACGCTGAATCCCTCTGAAAATCTTGCAAATGCATAGTCATCAATTTGTGCGTCTAACAAAATGTTCAAACCGCCTACAGGGCCTCCAATTTCAGCCTTTTTAATGTTCTCCGGACCCGCGTTGAAAGTATGACACAAACCCCAATCAGTGACGGTTGGTGTAAAATCATCTGTGCCACATTGTTTTTTAACTTCGCCGTTAAAAAAACAAACCTCAGGCACAAGCATTTCTTGAACACTCTGTCCGTACTTTTTGTAAAATCTAACAGTATCAAAAAACTCTCCAGAAGTATTTTGAGCAGCAATTAGGCTTTGAGCGAACGGTATTGTGCAGTTTGGCACGAGATTTCCTCCGTCGAATATCAGGAAACTTAAGCAGCAGCAACTCATGGCTGCTCCACATGGCATCCCGTTACGCGTCGACTCAGTAACTGCACATACGCTGTCGTTTAAACCATATTTGGCAAAATCGGCGTCAACATCTAAGGCGTATATCTTTTTTTTGCTGACAGAATTGAGGGGACAAATTGAGACAGCTGGGAAATCCATTGCATTCACGTATCTCTGAGTAATGACGGTGTTAATTGGGTGTTTGACGTATTTCTGCAGTGACTTGTACACAGTGAAACAGAAGTATGACGAGAACATTAAAAGAATGAGCAACCAACCAACCCGAGCCCATAGAGGGCGTCTCCAGAAGACATAGCGAATTCCATGCAGCGAAGTATTATTCACAAAATCAGACCATATTTCATAATTCGATGGTAACTTTTTGTTGTCGGCTTCGTCGTGAGAGGCAGTACGTGATTCCTTTGGCTCGAACGGTATCATTCTCTTGAGTTCAAGGCCACTTTGAAGTTCACGGTTCGGAAGATATAGATCACGTTCAGGCACAGTGCCTGGGAGCGGGAAGTTGTCTTCAGCCACAGGTACCCTTCGTGCCATAGTGCCTATATAACAACAACAACAAAAAATAACAAAATATTTATTTATTTTTAATTCTCCTGTGAGGTCGCTCACGACACCCTTAACAAACGAGAATTCGTGACTCAGTCGAAATGGTTAGTTTTCTTTTTTTATAAAGGAAACTGACACAATTACACGAATCGTACAATCACAATATTGAGCACGTCAATTGCTCATGGCTATGAAGCAAGAAAATATCTTACCTGCCAACATTGTTAATCTCTCTGAATTTGTTTTTATTATTCCTTTAAATCTTTATTTTTTTTTAACACAAGTTTCCTAACAAACTAAAAAGGGGGGAAGTATCCTGCATTTAAAAAAGCCTGGTGTGGCAGCTTGCGCAAGAGCTAGCATAGTTAGAATTATGTCAGCGATAAAGCCAAATTACATGCACAACTAATGCCCTTACACAATATATTATGTTGATTCATCCAAATCTACCTGCCGTGATAAATATTTCATATAAGACATAATTTAAGAACACGATGCTAGATATTCAGAGGTCATCGCCCGAAGTGGCGATTGGCGCTTAAACAAATGAAAATTTCATTTGAAAAATTAATTCAATGTTTAAAAATTTTGCGAGGTCGTTGGCTTAGTTAATTTCTATTTGCACTACTCAGTATACCATATGGAGGCAGGTAGTTCTATCTAAATTATGCATCGACTTTAAAAGAGATAAGCGAAAGATCTTGTTTGTTTTGCTAGCAGTCTGTCAGCTTGCTGCGTTGTAATTATGATCTTTTATAGATTAGGTTTGGAAACGTGAAATAAAGTTGAAAGTTAATCCACTCTCAAGGAGTATGTCCATTCATGCTTGACGTTGTTGTTGTTGTTGACTTCTGTTATAGCTTTGGGTAATGAATTTATGTCACGCAAAATGATTGATTACTTTTTACATAAAAATTGCAGCTGAGGAAAATACAGTAGTCCTCAGGTATATTTTAATGTCAAGCATTTCTGATAGAACAAGCTTTTATTTCCCTATAATCACAATATATTGGTAAAAGCAAGGATCTTTAAAATCGTTAAATTGATTTCTAGTCAACTGTGATCAATCAAATGTTGCTATCATCAACGACACGATTTCACGACGAACATCCTTTGCCGCAACCGCTCACGACACCCTTAACAAACGAGAATTCGTGACTCAGTCGAAATGGTTAGTTTTCTTTTTTTATAAAGGAAACTGACACAATTACACGAATCGTACAATCACGATATTGAGCACGTCAATTGCTCATGGCTATGAAGCAAGAAAATATCTTACCTGATCAGTCACTGCTGGCTTCAGCTGCTCGTGATGGTAAAGAAGATCGAGATTTCGCACTCAAAATTGTCAGGGCAACACGAAAGTTCCGTTAAGAACCCTTAAAAAATGCTCGCTGAACTCTACAAAGGCTCAGGTGGGATATTTCAGACACGAGTCATGAGTAGATGACGCTCCCTCTGTTTGGGTTTGGTTACGTCAGTTTGGGGGTTGACGTATGTTATTGTGCTGATAATCACTTATGCATACATTATCTTTGTTCTAGTCAACAGCATTCCGTAGCATTTCCGGTCTGGATATTATCACCGCATTTATTTCTCAGTTTAGTTTGCTTTCCCATGTCACGTTTAAGAACTGCATGAAGATGATGTGCTTATACAGAGTACGTTATGTTTTCTTCTCTGAGTAACCTGTTTATGAGGAACTCCTATCAACACGTATTCGATTGTGGGTCATATGGGATAAACCTGACCTAATTTTGATATAAACTTTTCATATTGAAACACCCTCTGAAGAAAAAAAAACGTGGTTGCTGTGATGAATTAAAAAAGACACGCGAACATTCATTGTTGTCATCTTTTAATACTCTTGAAAACGAAAACAATACAGTCAATAGAGATGATAAAATTGTAACATAATGCACGCGCATGCTTGATGTTTCATCTGAATCGTACGATCAAAACAATCGAGAAAACTCCTCGAATGGAAACCATAAGGAAATGTTTTGATATCTATAGAAGTTCGCGGGCATGACCGCCAAAGTCCGATGGTGCTCTAAGTCTCATAATTGACATATCTCCAAAGATCTCGCTTACTTTCTCTTTGAAATTGAAATGCCCCTTGTCCGTGGTTCAACATAAAAATGCCGCAATATCCACCCCTCTGATTGTGACTTAAAGTAGGTAAGCGATATGGGTCCTTTCCTATTTTTTTGCAAGTGGCACGCGATTTTCAGTGAATACTTTATCCTAGTCTCAACATTTGCATCCTCCTTTCTCGTGTCCAGGCAACTCAGGTTACCTCATAAGTAAGAAATGAAGGCGGCCCAAGCCTTAGGACACTCTGATTGTGACTTAAAGCAGGCAAGCGATATGGGTCCTTTCCTATTTTTTTGCAACTGGCACGCGATTTTCAGTGAATACTTTATCCTAGTCTCAACATTTGCATCCTCCTTTCTCGTGTCCAGGCAACTCAGGTTACCTCATAAGTAAGAAATGAAGGCGGCCCAAGCCTTAGGACACTCTTGGTAGACTGCGATAAAAAATGTTCTTCTTGATATAAATCGGCTTTTGTTCATTGAGAGGAAAACATACCGTAACGCTTCATATGCGTTTCTCCACTCTCTGGATTGAAGCTTTTGCTTGGAAGCTTGACATACATGCTGGTTGAGAATTCGAGATTTTATGTAACACTTGTAATTATGCATCGAAGAGCGACTTTCATCTGCAAAATTCCTCTGAATTGTGTCCGTATTGAAGCATGCTAACTCCCTGTATGTACTCAAAACTGGTTTTTCGTTTGGCTTTTTGGTTGTCTTTTGATTCAAAAAAACCGCCCGGTGGCGACGAGTTTTTTTCAGGAACTTGATCGTAACTTGAAGAGTACCCCATGACAGAAGTAAGGTTACCATCAAAGTCGTCGCAATTTCCTTTAGGATTGGCAGACACGCAGATAGACTTGCTAATTTGACTTATATAGGCCGAGTCTGGTTTTCGACCCTGAGAATTATCCGCAATTTCTGGATCATAGAGAAACGGCTCGCTATGAAAAATTCCATCGGTTGTATCACTTCTGCTTTCTGTCCTTAACGTTTCATTGGTTGATTTGGGGTTATGAAAGAGCTCTTGGTCCAGGACTATCTCTGGCTGGGAGTCAAGAGCCAACGTTGAATTGACCTGTCTAATTCTCTTCAACCATTCCATGGAACGTTTGTCTTTTTCCCAGCGCAACTTTTGAACTTTTGGCATGCGCGGTTTTGTTGCTAAGGAGATAAACCCTGTTGAACCAGGTCGTATTTGGCAATGATCATTTTGGACCACTTGAACTATAGGAGATAGCCTTTCCATAAGGACAAGTCTTTGGTGCCTTATCTTGTTCCGGCTCCTTTTCTACTCCTTACTTACCTGAATGCTATTAGTTTTCACAATCAACAACCTGCAAAACAAAGATAGACACGCATGCGTGGTTGGTTAAAACGACTACTCTAACTGAAAAATATAATTTTACTGTAAGTCGTGTGTGTCTGTAAATTATCACGCACCATTTGATTGGACAAACCAGTGATGTTTGTGTGTTCATGTGAAAGCTTAGCTGCCAGTGACGTATTAATGATTGCAAATTTTTTTGTCGTAATAACATATTAAATTCTGAAGCATTTTTCCCTTTGAAAACGCCGAACAAAGGGCTTAAAAAGTTAGTTTTCTAGGTTTTCACGAGATTATGGAATGTGAAAGAGATGTGTGATTAATATGTTCAAATAAGAATGTTTACTGGAAGTTCAGGAAAACGGATGATCGTTCAAACCGGTACCGAGTGCCATTTCTAGCGAGCGCTAGCTAATATTCGAAAGTGATTAAGATCCAGTGGCTTTTTGTTATCATCCCTTGAAATATGAATCTACACTGGACCGTCTTATTGCGGAGCAGAATTAGTTACTTTCCCCAAAATAAATGCAGATTCCGAGATTTTCTGAACACCGTTTCATGCTGTCAACACATCTAGTTTAGATAACTATGCTGCGGTTCTAACCGCGACCGGAGAGTCAAAAAGTTGATAGTGTAGTGATTTCCTCAGTGAAAGCGTAGTTCTGAAAAGGATTGTTGCCCTTGGAATAATGACTAACAGCCTGAGCGGAAGTCATCCCCAGAGTTAAGAAGTTTTTCGTCAGTGGTAGAGCATTATAAACCGTGCTCGTGAAACACTCGACTGAATGAATAATTATTCATTTGACTGAAATAAACAAACTTGCATGTTTGAAAAACAGATGACCCCATCTTTCAATCAATTTCGAAGACATTAAATACACAGACAGAATCTATTCAAGTTTTTCATTCAAATGACACTCTATACTGTGCCTAAGTTTCAAGGAGGTTAATGTATCCGTACTTAGATCAGCAGAACAGTTTTTTTTTCGAAAACGTTAGCGAAAGAGTTGAAACGATGAACGAAACGATTTATTCAAAATATACTTAGAAACAGACAACCTAAATGATGATCGTGGAGATCAATCTATCAAAACAAGATAAAGATCGGTCCACTTACCACTCAGATGAAAACCAGTCGAACCAGAGCAACTTTCGATTTGTTGTTAAAACTCAACACGTCCTGAATAGAGTTTGAGGCATCAGATTTGTTATTAGTGTTGATCAATGTTTTAAACAAGGTTTGTTGTACGACTTTGCAGTGGAATCCTTTTGACGCGTCATTGATTTATTTTTAAACTTCTGAATTTTTGGAATGTACTTACGATATCATAACAAAAGAAAAAATAAATTAGAATTAATAGCGATCGTTAAGTTCTGCCTGTCTTCTAGTTACCCCCTGAGGCGTTCAATCGCACGTCATGCAATCGTGATTTTTTAATTCAAATAAATGTCACCATATGTACAAGACTTGAGAGCTTAGCTTTGTTGCGAATGACAGACGAAATTCAAGATAGATTATTGTGACAATTCCAATGTTAGTTGTCTATGTTAAAGAATTTCATCTACGATGATTTTCATATAACCTAAATAAAGATGGCGGCAGTTCCACTCATTGATGATTAAACGATGGTTAGTGCTGTCATTTAAAATTCATGACTGTTTCTGCATGTCAAAGGTTCTTTTGTCTGACTGTTAATTTACCTCCAATATTCGCCTTTATCGCCGCTTTACGTAGAGGCTTAATCATAACAAAAACTGAGAAAAAAAAGAAGGAAAATGAAGAAATGGAACAAAAATAAATAACTTTAAAGATGTAGTGTAATGCCAACTAGAGGTATCGATGAAAGTACCAAAGGTTAACTTATTTGTTTGTGGGGCAATTGAAGTAGACTTTAAGAGCCGGTTATCCTAAATTGGACCGCCTTTTTAGGATTTCAATAGACTTTCAGATTTCTTAATAAAAGCGGTTTTGTAATAAGTATTATTGCAATGTTAGTTGTAAGTGTCCTAGACACTGAACACAAAAGTTAGATAAAAAGTTTGACTAAACAAGAGATTATTTACGACGCGGTAAAAATAAACAAAGGCTAAACCTTATCTACGCCTTAACCATGTCGCGTGCCCGCTCACTGATACGAACAATAGGAAGCAAACACTGTGGTTTTCAAAGTGAGAAGCCAATACTCTCACTTCGTTGACAGAAGAGTTACGCATTTTTCCTGTCTTAAGGATGGCAATATAAGTAATTTGTTGGCTCGTATATAGCAGAGTCATCATGAAACGTCAAGAAAGTAATTAAGAAGCATGGATTTCAATATTGATACAAACTTGTGTCGGTCAACACAAAGGAGATTATTTTGTCTTAGGTAGAAATATCAATTCCAGTTTAGAATTGTGACACCCAACCAATAAAAGCAGGGATTGAAGTAATTTTTATCTTGTTTTTTAAACACCACACCATAGTTCTGATCATATGTGCTAAATATTTCCCTTTCTCGTGCCCAGCTCTGTTTGAATCACATAAGAAAAAGGGAAAAAAAACAATCAAAATGACTGAGTACTCTTCCGCCTTCTAAGTTTATCGATAAGTGACGCATATGAAGGTTGTTAGTTTTTACAATCAATAATTCACAAAACAAATGGAAAAACGCATGCGTGGTTGGTTAACGACTACTCTAACTGGAAATATGGAAGATATAATGTTATTGTATGTCGTGTGTGCCTATAGTTAAAACGCGCCATTTGATTGGACAAATTAGTGATGTTTGTGTGTTCATGTGAAGCTGATCCTCTCCTGTGACGTATTAATGATTTCCCTTTCTTGTGTCCACCAATGTTTGCATAATAAAAGAAAAAGGAAAAAAAAAAACAACAATCCAAAGGACTGAACACTGTACTGCCTTCTAAGTTTTTTATCGACGAATAACCGTCGGCATATGATAGATATTTTTAACTTGAAATCCTCGGTGAAACCAACAGCCGGCGCTCGTACTAGAACGAAATGTTTGTATTATACCATCAACTATTATCAAAAATTACAATCTCTTACTATTGTAGATGTGAACATGTGAACAAATTAGTACAATATTAAACCTTAACCAGCTAGAAGTTATATAATATAACACCACACTAATGAAAATTCTAACGAAGCCGAATACACGAAACTGTGGATCAGTTGAGAGAATTTCCAACCAGATATTTGGAGTCAAGAGATTTAATTTTTCCGATTAAAAATCACTGTGCTGTAAAGAGAATTGAAACAAGGAGATTTTAGTTCATGAGGGCAAACATATCTCTTGACGCAACTACACAAAGCATTCCGTCATCGAAGACCTATGAAAGAAGACAGAAAGAACTCTGTAGGCGATTCGCAAAGTCTTACGTGAAAGACTTCCTTTCTTGATATGAACCCTCGGGAGCTTTGATGCGCTTCTAATTTATTGAATCTGTGAAAGATTTTGGTGGTCTATAACAGACTTGAGTTTCATCATTTGATTTAGAACTGACGTGAAAGTTAAGGATGCAACCAGGAGGGGAAGGGTGGGGATCCAATCAGTAACAGATATGTCAATAAAAGTTTAGTCATAACAATGGATCAACTTGACAGGTCCACAGTTGTCGTACTTCAGTGATTTGTACGTTAACTTACAGTCAAAACAGCAGACAAACGCCATTCAATGGTTGTATTTCCAGGAATTTGACAAATTTACTTTAGGACAATGTCTTCATTTGCTTATTCACGATCTGTTTAGGTGAACAATTAATTTAATTGATTGAATGCAATCAAGCATTACATCCAGAAGCTTCTGTCTCTTACAAGGCCGCGAATGCTGTTAGTTGCTGGACATATTTCTGAGTCGCCATTTCGTTCAATATTAATCAAAGCTAAGCACGATTAACACCGTTTATATCAATTTCCATTTCATCCAATCCTTGCTCGAGTGTACTACAGATACTTATGACTGTGTATCACCTTCCGTGCAATTTCGTGTGCCTACTGTAATCCTTGGTTATGTTATTCCATTTAACAAACAGATATACGTTGAATCAGGTTTCCGCCTGTTGGTATCTTCAATATTCAGGGACTTCACCGATGAAGGTCGATTTAAGCTTGAAATTTTAGCTCTTTCTTTTAACTCTGTTAAAGCAGATTGCCCCCTGAGACCATCAAGGCTTTGACTTTTACGACCACTTTTGAACTGTCTGCTTGTGTATTGCGTTGTAGAGATTTGCATGTCTTTGGTGTTAATCTTGATTTGATTTATTCCGGGTTTAATGGCAAATACAGATGTTTTAACGAGGCTCATTCGCTTCAGCCACTCTTGAGAAATACTGCTCTCTGTCCAGGACACCTTTTGGACTGTTGGAACTGTTGGTTTGGATGCCGTTACCTGGCCGCCATATGATTCCGTTTCTTCCACGATCCTCGGAAGCCCTGGATTAAAAGACTTTGCCATTCTTGTTAGCTTTCATTCCCCAGTGTTCATTCAAACTCCAAGCGAAGTTAAGAAGTTGTTCATTCTAGCATCAGTATTCAGCAGTCCTGAAGCTAGCTATTTGAACCAAAAAGAAATCCTGAATATCTTTTCTTCGTTTGGAGATAAAGATTTTGACGACTAAAGTCCAAATGAATTTTCTTTCAGACAATCAGTCAATAATTAACGAAAGCTACTATTGCTATGTCTAACTTTCTATGTCATATTGTCAAAAAGTCGTTTGGGAAATAAACTTAAACGGCAAAAATACCTTGGAAAATCTTATCATTAATTATTTAGAATATCCAAGCAAAGATGGAACAAAGATTTTCCATAAAACCTATGCTAACAAATTGGGTGTAAAATTAACTTTTAAAAGTGTAATCAAAGATTAACCATTTAGCAATTGATTATCGCTTATTTTCTGGCCACCAGGTCAGAGACAGGTTATTAACTGTAGACACCGATTTATATTCATTAGTATCATTAGATAGGTAAACTGTCGGGCTCAATGTTATTTATTTTCATACAGGTGAAGTGCTATGTCAGCCACCTATGAATTATACAATAATGCGAGTATCCTACAGTTAGTGTCGATTTCTGTCTGATCAGTTTGTATCGCGTAGTTATTCAGTTACATCTGAGAATAGGACAGCCTACAAAAAACAAACAAGGCAGTAAACAAACCTCTCTGTTAACGAAGAGAAAAATCATAAAGAAACGACGATTTCAGGACAGGCTTTACTGATTTTCCATCGCCGTGGTTTTTTCGCCGTCAGTCGGCTTGGTTACTGTTTATATATCTGGATTAACAACTAAGAGAGAGTTTTGTACGGTTGCCAGAAGCAACCTAAAAACTCTTTCCATCACAATAAGTTTAAGTCGCCTAGTATTGCCAGCGTTTCACTTGACTAACATAATAGAAAGTTCTAAACAATATAATCCCATCAGACTGTTGTGACATTATCCTTTTAGAAGCTGATTCCCTTTATTTCACGTCTTACCTCCCGCTGAGTTTTTAAACTGGCGACGTAAGCAGAGTTGTTTTTAAATAATCTGACGTAAGTGGCTGAATACAACATCAAATATAAGACCTCTGTAAGAGGTTAAGTGTCAGAAAACTTACCACCAAAATTACTGCCTTTCATTTCAACTAGTCTCTTAACAGTACAACCAAAAAGTTGCTGAAAGGTTTGACTCAAATCTTTACATCAGTGTTACTAAACAACAAATGCAATATAATTAACTCCGATATCAATAGCAAACCATTTTAAGCGGGTGTGAGGAACAAAAAGATTTAAGTGTATTATGGTACCGCAAACCCTGCATATATTGTGTACATTCAATGGCTACGTAGACAGAGAGGCTGCACTGAACAAAACCTGCATGAACTTGGGTTTGTATGACGAATTTATTAAATTATTAAATTTTCCAATTTATTATTAACATCTTGCTCTATACTTACTTTGAGGAATGTGTAATATTTAAGTTCAGTTGTATTTCTTTCTTGATATTCAGCAGCTAGTATTCTATTGAAGTAAAACATGATGAGAGTAACTTCAATAAATTAAAACATTTCTTTGATACGATACCGCAGCATGTAAACAAAATGGATCTCCCGCAATGGCCCCCGACGTAATGCGTATTGGTAGAATTTTGATCATTAACTTTGACAGATAAGTTGCAAGGCAACCAGAGTGAATAAGATTTCGAAAATTCCTTGTATGGTTTTGAAGACCAACTCCTCAGGATTGAAATTGTGCAAAAGTTTTTTTAATACGGTCAGATTTGATATGCGATTAATTCGCTCAAAAAAAATATCGTCCATTTCGAATTGTCCCGCCCCATTCGGTTTACGATTAGATCAAGCGAAAACGAAATAATTTCTGGCTAATAGTGCATTTCATAATCTTTCTGTTGATACATAGTTTATGGTGGTTATGTTTCAAAAGGCGCATTAATTTTTTTTTCGCGGAGGACACCCGCGAAGGTCTATTGTATCCTTTAAGTCTTTTTGGAGACATATTCACGATTAAGAAAAAGAGGAATTCACAGGACCCGTATTTTCTCTTGTCACGAACTATGGATACCTTTTACTAAAGGAAATGTGATTGACTGGATTTGGACATGGTGTTATTATTATTATTACTTTAGTTCTGCCCTTCAATTGATTTTAATAAAGTGGTCGCCCCAAGTTTTCAGATCATTCACTTAAAAATCTCTTGGTCAGTTAGAATCTCTTGATCAGTTAGAATCTCTTGATCAGTTATTACTTGCTATCGTATGCGTCAGCCGGCTGAAACAAATCTAACTTTGAGTCATTTTGCAGTATCTGGAACCTTATAACTTATTGCTGAGGTAGACAAACACCTTGGATATAAGAATATATCAGGGTGAAATAACCGAAAACTAGATGTACAAACTATGGTGTGGGAAGTGAGGGGGGTGGGGACAGGGAGTTGCGATTTAGTAAGGAATAAAGGAACTGACAAAATCATACGTAATAAATAATATTTATTTTCATCGCGTAGACTTGACAGACTTACATAATAGATTGCATCGTTGATATTTTTTAATTTAATATAATATACAAGAAATAATCAACTTTTGGCTTCTAGTTAAATTTACCTGGGACACACATTTCACAATTACAACTTTAATAGACAGACACAACAGATCGCTATTTCAAAATCTGCGTAGCCTCTCTTTTCAAGTCAAATAAAACATTTTCTTGTGCTGTTTTCAAAGAAATAATTTAACTCAAATAACTTTTCTTTCAATACATGTAGAAAAACGAAATTTTCCTTTAAAACTTTTTCCTTTTGATTTATTGGATTCTAATTAATTTACAAATAATTCAGAGAAAATTAATGTTGCATGTCAAAATCAATCCTGACTTAGTCACCTCTGTGATTTGAGGTTGATCACTAGCAGATGCTGGATGAACTTCTTATGGGCAGAAAGTTTTCACTGCTTTAAAATGGCTCCTTCAATTTCCTAAGGTTTTGGGTTGACTCAACTCAGTCTAATAGCGCTGCAGTCACGAACGACTAGTTTTTTTTTTTTTTAACAGATCATCGTTAGGAGCTCGCGCAAAATTAAAGAGACCATTGGTTTAACGAACACATTATTATCTACACCACACCTTTCCCCGTGTTATTGTCCTCTTGTTTCACGCTTCCCTTGTGCACGATTGGCAGGTAACATTATCTGTATACCACCATGTATCAGTTATGAACTAGCTAGCATCCTTATCTACCGGCCAATCTGTTTAATGTACTCGCAACTGCTCGACAGTTGACGATGAGCGTTGGGGGAAGAGCAGAAAAGCTTTCGTTGAGTAAACATGTTCATTTGAATGCAATTTAGATTTTTACAGTTTTTCGCCTTCTTTAGTTCATGATTCGTTCCCTCTCCATCTATGTGGTGTCCACCAAATTGCGCATGCGTCTGCTTTTGTGTTTCCTGTGTTAATCCGCTGATCAAGGAAATGTACGTTGAATCAGGTTTGCGTACGTCAGAAAGTTGAGGCAAGCTTTCCTTCCTCACAACCTTTACAAAGCGTTCAGATGGTGTAATTCCATGTATTTTAGACGAGTCTTGACGACAAGGAACAAATCCTGCTCTTTTTCTATCACTGCTAGAGTTTAGCGTAGGCAATTTTCCGGAGCGATGAGGGCTTTTTGGTGTGCAAATCTCCAAGTGATTCATGGTGGATGTTAGTCTGTTGATCTTGTTCAGCCACTCATCTGATAACTTGTTGTCTGTCCAGTTCAATTTCTTTACCTCAGGAACCCTTGTGTTAATAATCGCTGGCTTTTCCAACTCTAGGTTTTCATCTTCCTCTATCAGGCATGGCAACGGGTTTAGACGCTTCACCATTGGGTATGAATGCGAACGCTGTCGAAAAAATCTGTTTTTTGGCCAGGCCACATTACTAACTTGCTCCACGTATGACCTAGACATGCTTGGGAAACAAGGAGAGTCGGCTGTGGCCTTTACAACATATTCCTGTCGGCGAAATGTTAACACTTTCTTTGCCAGTGTATCGTGTTTGGAGCGTTGCTCTTCGTTTAGGACGTTATCTTTATCGATCTCACAAAAGAACATTTCCATATCTGTGGGTTAAAAAACAAATATCTGTAAGTCACGCATGAGCAAGACGCAAAAGTTTTGTAGTAGTCTTATTCAATTCGGAGTAGTCTAACGGCCTCGGGTGAGAGAAAGAGAATATAAGATGTGATATTGAAGTAAAAGAAACAATATTAATAAAGAATAATGCACTTTTGAGCGGCAAGAACCTGTGCGTCCGATAGTGATCTCAGGATATGGCAAGGTCAAAAAACTTGAAATTTCTATCCCGTTAATTGAATTGCTTATATTGAATTCCAAGCTCGCGCACGGTAGCATTTGAGTTTCCTCAGATCACTCTTTGCCTAATTTAACGTGTCGGCATCACAAGTAATTAAACTAAAAAACCGGGTCCTACCAGAAAATGTTTGATTACACACATTTTGATCAACAAGTCCTATTTTTAGGGGTTTTTTCAGAGACACAACGTCAATAATTGACACCAATTGTATTCTTAAACAAAACTGTTTGCTTTGTGTCTTTCAATCTTTTGTAGTTCACTGCATGAAAAGTCGGGAAAACTTATGACAATGAAAGAAAAAGCTAACGAAAGATAATTCATTTTACCTTCTCGAGAAACATGAAAGTCAAAATATCCTAAGAAATAACTTCCGTTTATCTTTCTTTCTGCTCTCCGGCGTTTGGTTGAGAATTTTCCAAAATATCAAGAGAAAATATTATGTAACTTTTCGGTAAGAATAGTCGCCCTAAATTCATTGCGCAGCTACATACTTCTGTCGCATGAGTCTAGCAGAACTTTTGATTTGATAAACCAGCAAGTAGATACGGTGCTTAACTCGTAAATTTTGTGTAGTTTGTCCTAATTCCAGACAGTTGAAATGCGTTTCACGTTAAAGGAATTTCAAAGCCCTCCTCTGTGTTCTTTGTCTGTATATGCCCATGCCCATACCATGCTCCGTTATATTGGTTATAGGCCTCTGACCGAAACGGGCCGTGAGAAGAAATCAGTTTCGGTTCAAAGAAATGCATGGCATCGGACCAAATTTGACAGTTTAAAAAAAAACGCTCCTGGGGTTTGTCTAGAGATAAATTCATTATTCGTGGCTTTTCTTAATCTTCTAAACAAAGGTTAGCAATTTCATAGACCTCTTTCGATGGCCTCACCTGAGGAAGGGTCGAATCTGCTTATTTCTCAGTGATCCTTAAATCGCGTGATTGGACATAACTCAAAGTGATACCGCAGCCAAAGTAAACATTGAATGTCGTGACAACGAAAATAAACTTAAAAACAAAACTCTTCACGACAAATGTACTTTTGAGCTTATCTGACCACATACTTACCTGGCTCATCATATTTCTAACCAAGATCACTATGTTTGATCTAACGAATTGTTTAGCTGATCTTTAGAAAAGATTACATAGGTACTAAATAAAGTTTAGTTCTGACTATTTTCTTCAGGGTCCATTGGAGTGTTATCGTTTCGTCAATGAGTCAATCAATCAGTCAATTCATTCATGGATTACCGGATAAGGTGTCAGATCACGCAAAGAAATTGCAATATACCTCAGTAATTGTCGAGGTAGCTTCCTCAAAATGACAAATGTGTGAAAATATCTCATTGATTTAGAGGACGAAATGAAATGCGCAAACGACTTCTCTGCACTATGTTTTCTTGAGTAGCTCAGCACCAGTTGGAAAAAAGTCATTGAAGTGCTAACAATGCAAAGCAGAAGTATAAACAAAAGGGCAAATGTAATTGGAAATTATAACTTGTTTAGTCAAAGTTGGCGGTGAAGACAATATAGACACAATTGTATCGGCAATGCCGTAAATATGGCATTCGGTGAACAATAGCGGAGTGTATTTGCATTTCATAACAACCTCAAACTTTGCATATTGTGTTGATGTTTTTCTTATATGTTTTGAGTCTAAAAGTGCGGAAGTCGATCGAGGTTTATATCATCAATGGAACCTAAAAGGAATACGTTTAAAAGACTTCAAACTTCTTGAAACGAACGATAGGTTGCATTAACTCAGTAAACTTCTATGTAACCATCACAAATGTTTCAGTACATCGGCAGCTTGGAATTGAGACATCAACGCTTAATTAAAGTTGTAACTGATGTGCCGATTGGCTTTTTCTGAACGCTGCAAGTTGACAAAATACTGAATTTTTTGTAAGTTATGTTCTTTGAAATATTTGCTCGTGGTCCTAAACGGTATAAGTCGTTGAGTTATCTGAAACGTGATTTAAAAAAAAGCAAAAGCTCCAAAACGTGCGTTGCGCCTTTCATGTTTACTATTCATTAGGTGATCTGTTCGCAAATGAACGGCGTCTTTTCTTGTTTAATTTATCTGGCTACAGGTCGTTTACCCTCAAGAAAAAAGTGTGATAACGACCAAAGTGAAACAAAAGCAGATTTTTTTCATGCTAAGCCGGCTACCGGCAACATGGATACTTAGTGTACAAACTGAAAAATATTGTTCAAACGATCCTGATCTGAAGAGTAATTAAGTCTGTAAATTGGAAACTATGTTTTTTTACCTGAAAGGAATTTTTCCACGCGTATATCAACTGCTTTCACACATTATCGTCGTGACTCGTTCGCAAACTGAAGCTCAAATGAGAGAAGGCTGTGGGGGTAAAGTATCCTAATAGATAGACTTTGTATGTCACGACACTCGCAGCATACGTGCTGTGGCCCTTGATGGCTATTTCCGATCGAGTTACTCTGCCAAAATGGAGAAACTTCTACTTAATGCCTGCCTACCCCACGCAAAACTCCAAAATTTCGAACTCACCTCACGACAACAGCGGCGTGTCTAAATTTTTTTCCTGTCGCGGTAACCGCTTGCATTATATCTAAATCTACATACTTGTCACCGGAAATTCTTCACTGAGTGGGCTATATATTTAAATGAGCAGATATTTTGGTTTTGTTTGTTTTCAAGACTTCCCGTCTTTCTTATGCGCACGTTTCAAGTATCCCGGTAGGTGAAATGGACTAAATCTTCATAATTGTTGAATAATGTGTTGCTTTTCAAACGGAGCGTGGCAAAATACATTATTAAAGGTGAAAACGTCTTATGATGCGGATAAATGCAAAAATTTTTTTTTAGGTGTATGCTATTTGTACAAAAATATCGTATGTTAATGTTCGCCCACGGCTGGTTGAACTTTGCGATAAACTGAAATTGTATTTAGAATTCTGGTTAATTTAGAAAACCCTGCAGACAGCGGGGTACCATATAGGACCACGTAATTGCAAATAAGAAGAAACCTACAGGTGCACTTAAAAGATACGAACCCGCAAAATGCTAAAAGATATTTTTAAGGCAAGTTTGAAATCCTTAAATTCACTCTCATGGCCTGAAGGCTAACAATTGCGCAAAAGAGTAATCGGATTTTGTGGAATATTTCGCACGGCTATGAAGCATATGGCGCCGGCAAATTTTGCCCATCGAAAAAACCGAACGTGATAAAATGCAAATAGACGACCCCATATTTTTAGCCCGTCCATGCAACTGTTTTCCAGGCTATTTCAATTTTCTTCTTTCGGAACTGCTGTAGCAAATACATTAAATACTGAGTCTCCATAAAATCCCACAGGGATATTGGTGAAACAAATAAAAGTAATAATTTGTATTTTAATTTACGAACCTCAAATTGTCAAACCGACACATTTTAGCGCCATATGGAAAAAAACCTAGACAAAATTAATCCACGAGATAAAATTTCGTTTCGGGAAATTTCTCGAAATGACAAAGTGATATATTAACCAGAGTAAGGTTCTTTTAGGTCGAGGTCTGTCGGCAAGAAATTACTTAGTTCTTTTATCTCGATTATCTGTTCAAAATACATATTATATTCTGTCTAAAAATAAATTATATTTAGGGAAGTGTTGACGCGACTTCAATAGCTAGCGAGGAGTAGAACTAAATATTCACAAAATTTTCAAGTCAAAGATTTAACAGAACTTTAGGACGCAGTAATTGAGGGTTTAAAAGCAAAATCAGCGGTCGAGTTTCACGAACACGTAGACTTTTCAGGAAAAGAGATTTATGGGTTAATGCTAAGGTAATTCAAGACTTTTCGTCATTTTATAGTTTAAGTACTAAAAGGATAAAGATTTTTAATATCTTGAAGAATGTCTCAAGAGGGAAAGAACACCTCGTCTGTGTATTTTTAATCTCGAATTTCATTTTAGTGCTAGAAAGGGCCATATGAAGACAAGTATTGACGACTGGTTTAGTCACACATGTATTATAATCTGATCCACTATAGGAAGCAAAATGGCATTATTTCAAGAGGACTCTCTCGATTTCATATCGCTGTGGTTGCGATACCATTCTGTTAAATGGAGTGTTTTCGCACCTTTTGTGATTTGGTTGTTTTTGTGTATGAAGGAAAAAAAAGAAAACACCGTTTCACGCATTACACCACCTACTGCTCATTTCCACACTTCGACAAATGGATTCTGTAAACATCACGTACAATGCTTTTTGTGTTGTAGAGAGAGAAAACTGGAATTAAAAGCAATTTCATTTAACCATCGATGATATTCCTTCCATTGGAATAACGTAAATAACATCTTAAAACTTAAATTAGCTGTTAATGGAAAAAACTAAGTCCAAGGTTATTTAAAAGACACTTCGTCGCACAGTTCCCTAAAAACACCTGGAACCAAATAAACGTGACAACACTGATACCCAGTCTCATACTTGTCATGACTTACGTCAGTCAGACCAAAAGCGATGGACAAGACAAGTAAAATTTGTCTTCGTGCAGAGGAAAATGCGTGGGTTTCACGTTATTTCGTGTCAGTTTTTAAAGGCAATTAGAGGGAAAGTAAATAGATTGCATCCTACTTTTTCCGTCATTGATCACGATTCTCGGAAAGAAGAATTAAGTCGTTTGGCATTTTCCTTTGTGTTGGAGGAAGGTAATTAATTTTCATGCAGTAATGCTATAGCGGCTCTTACGTTTTACTGATTCTGTTTACTTGAGATGACAAGCTTGTATTTGATAGCTGCTTCGCCTCTCAGACATGTTCGTAGCTTCTAGATAATTGAAAATAGAAGTTGGATTTTTTGTCATTATTTGGTTTGCGCATCCGGCTTTTGGTCAGTGAAAAACTAATTTAGTCGCTGTTTTGTGTACAGAAAATTAAGCTTAAATAAAGACAATGAGATCGAGACCTATAGTTTGTCAGCAGTGAAAGAAACTTAACTATTAGTCAATTTATCTATTGAATTTATGGTTTAAATTAAAGCGTTCGTCAATTTATCAGTCACCTACGGCTGCTTGCTCCAACTTTTTGATTTTAACGCTTTACGAACCTTACAAATGGCTCGCAGTTGTGGACTTGTAAGAGGTCTGATAGTTATGCTTGGAAATTTGATCATTATGCCTTTGAGAATCACCCCTGAAAACATGGCATCATGCTTGAAATTATGCTCAATTTTTTTTATCATGCTCAATTTAGTAGTTCAAAATAACTTCTTTTAAGAGCCCCTCAACCTCCCCTCTCCCCCAATCCTATCACCGACAGGTAAAACTCGCCAAAAATAAGAGGTTTTTGGAGGTTTATAACACAACGTTATAGTGGGTCAAATTCTTAAAGCGAAGGTAAGAAAAGCAGATTCAGTGTTGGCAGTATTCAGGCTTCAAAATGTATCTCTTTTTAAACTGTAATATAAATGGAATTTTAAGAAGTTTCATCATGATGTTGGCATAATATATTTGACCCTAAGCGTGATATCACTTTCGCGTCGTCACTTACAAAAAATAACAACAATAAATGGAAAGTAAATAACCAAGTGAAGGTGATTAAAGAAGTAGGGAGGAACTGGTTCCAGAGGAGCGGGTTAGTGTAAGAATAACTCATCAAATCTTCATAAGACTAAAAGCTTGTTGGCCTCTGTGGTAACCCCGATGGCCAACTAAGCATCCATGGTATGCTTGTACGTGACTCATTGTCTTAATCTAGCCAAGTGATGTTGCCGTGCGGTAGTGAGTTGGAGTATTCGATCGAGTGTCTAGATACAATTCAAGATCGTATCAGAAATAAGCTTGCCTTCTTGCTTCACCGACAAATTTGCCGCAGAAGTGTCAACCACCAATGATAAGCTCTGCATGTCTTCATCAATAACCGGACACAGTTTTAACTTTATGAGAAAAGATTTACTTTTTTTAACTGCCTAATTGGATTTGGCAATGTGTGGTTATGAGTTTGAAACGATGGGAGGTAAATTTGAACCGCTGTTAAAAATGAACCAGAAAACCAAGGAAGGGAAAAGCACGCCTGGCGATCTTTCAAAAATTCGGCTCCTATTTCGCAAAAAAGTTGAGCTTACAGCTTACAGATATGTTGGTATTTTACGTTTTATATTGGGTGTGTGTGTGTGTGTGTGTGTGTGTGTGTGTGTGTGTGTGTGTGTGTGTGTGTGTGTGTGTGTGTGTGTGTGGGGGGGGGGAGAGGGGGGTAAATTTAATCTCCAAATATGCCCTGGAACCATCAAAGTTGATATTTATATAATACAGAGTCCATTCTCTTTGCCTTCATGAGGTTCTTACGTTATTACGTTACTTTATTTTATTTCTTGAAATATAGATTTCAACAGAATGTGATGAAAAAAGGTCATAAACAGTTGAGGTGCAAAGTGCCATTGAAATAAAAACCATCTGTAATCGTTGATTGACAATGTACCTTTCATTATAGATTTGTCAGCGCACTAGAAATATCGAAAAATTACCGGAATGACATCTCATGTCATCCCCAATCTCCCTCCCCCCCAAGTCAAATTTTTATCTTTATGCATGCAAAAAATTCAGCATACTCATTGGCTGAGGACAAGTCAATTTATCCCATACAGTGAAGAAAGTTGAAATCGAATGGATTGATAGGAAAAATGGCAGACAGGTTAGAAGAGAGAAACAAAGTTTTGATTTAGAGTTTGAATGAGAGTGCTAAGAACAAAAACACCCCAAAAAGCGGCAAAAACAAGAGGCTAAAAGTTTATCAACGTTTGGAGGCCGAAGACTTCCAAAAACGGCTATGACTGATAAAAGTAATGAAATTTACGAACCGGAAGCCCTGAGTAAAATTCCCAAGAAGTTTACCTATGTACGCAACAGTTTGAATGAGGGATGGGAAAGATTACAGGCGTGGTAGGATCTGATAGCTTAAGTGTACTGGTTACTGCTATTAAGCGACACCCATCTGAAAAAGAGTGCAAACGCTCGATTATATGTGGAAGAAAGTTGGAAAAGCTCGAAGCAAGTCCTTGCGGGAAAACCCCGACTTCTCCGACAACAGCACAAAAGCGACCGAACCAGTGAGCCATGACACGAAATAAACACGACTAAAAGGAAAACCGAATCAAATTTTTGCATGCAATTTGGTTACCCGTTGAAAAATTTACTTCAACTGATTTATCCAAAAATTGCACTCGAAAGCATGTGATTACCAACACAAATTAAAATGTACATGTAGTAAGCCATATTAGCTCAGATACGAGTACAGGTGAGACAGCGTGTTACCCTCGCATTTGAATATCATTTACAACAATTACATCCCTTCTCTCCCACCATCTTACGACAAGACATTTTTCGCAACATTGCAGTAGCTGCCTCAAGGACCTTCTGAAGCGTTCACTCTGAAGACTGTACAAAAATGGGTTCACTGTAGAGTTCACGCAAACCAAAACAGTGCCGACCTTGTAAGCGATGGAGGCATATTGGAAGCCAAAGTACGAGAGGACATAAGTGACAGTGTCAGGAAACAAACACACTCCGTGTAAAGCTGTGATAATTAGTAAGAGCTTGGTGACTTTTTTCCTTCGTTTAAGCAATGCTAAATGAGTTCCAGCGTGGTTGCTGCCACGCCACAAGCGATAAATCACTTTGCTGTACACGGAAGCCATGAAAGTAAACGGCAGTATGAAGTCGAAGAACAGAGTCGCTAAGGTGTATGCTCTGGCAAAGCCAATATTGGGCCAATCTTCAAGACAGATTTTTCGGTCTGTGTCGTACTTCATCACTAGTATCGCAGGGATCTCAGATATCACAGCAATCAGCCAACTGGTTACAATTCCAAGTTTTACTCTCAGAGGCGTCATACGACCTTTTTTTCCGTATGGAAACACAACTGAGTAGTAGCGGTCGGAGGCAATTAGCACCAACGTGAAGACGGAAGCCGCTGTTCCCACCCAACTCAAGCTCCCACCAGTAGCTACCTTGCAAAGAAAGTCACCGACCGGAGGCTCGGGATGATGAAAAAATGGACGGAAAATATACTGTGGGGATACAAAAACGGCAAAAGACATGTCAGCAACAGCAAGATTTACCAAAAGGTAGTTCATTGGCACTCTCAAGGATTTGTTCCGGAACACAACAAGGCAAACCAAAGTGTTTCCAATCAGGTTTACGACGACAAGGATAGAGAAAATTATCCCGAGAACAACTTCTGTAACGGACATACTGTTTTGATGGAGACCAGTCTATCAGTTGTTCACAAAGTGCAGGTACAGACAGTAAATGGAAAATTTTCGAGACGTGCTGAAACTGAAATAGTTTGCTTTCAAGTTCGTCAGCATAAATCGTCATATGGTTTTCTTTATGTTCAAGAAAAAATAGAAACCAAATTTCTCCAAATATAAGAGCAAAAAAGAAGTGATATGCCCTGATAAACTTTTTTCTGGTTAGCAATTACGGTGTTTCGTGTCTAGACAAATATGACTCGATACTCACAAACCTTTAGCTTAAATATGAGGTTATTTTACGGACAAAATATCGAACATGGATACATTAATGTTTTGTTCAATTACGTCATTGTTATGCGTTATAATACAAGTCTTAAAATAAAATAAATCAGTTTCATCCGGAATACATCGATTTTGGATGTCATACATCGATGTTGTGCAGCATACATCGCTTTCCTGGCTCATTCACGCGTGACCTTATATAACTAAAAGATGTTCAATAAAACTAAAAGATGAGGAAGCGGAAATAGAAATGACCGGAAGTCAGATTAAACAAGAGGCCCCGGAAACTAACCCTTTCAAAATGGCGGAAATAAAGGCAGATTATCAATGATGTTTGAAAGGAAAGCACTATATAACATCGTCCTAAACCAGATGAGCCCACGACATATCAGCGGCATCTTGTATGAGTATCCGCAGGTTACAACGTGACTTCCGCTTATTCTTGTTAAAGCGTATTTTACAGTGTACTCATGGAATAGGAAGTGCGTTTGAGCCAGTTTCTGGCAGATTTGAACAGAAAAGCGGGTCTTTTGTTCGAGTGTAATGACATTTTGATCGATGGCGCTGTTAACGAAATGTTTGGCTGGTTCGTAAGTTGTCGACCTGGTTTCGGTCGATCTGATTAATTGGCAACACCTCTTGGAGATCCTACACACCATCGACCTAAGCCTCATAGCTGCCAAGTGAGCAGAAGAACAATGACATCAAAATACTCGAGAAAGATAAGTATTAATTTTAATTGCATTTGTGTTAAACTTCTATGTACAGAAATTTCTGAAGAGGTACTTAATCAGAAGTTTATCACATGATAAGCCTTCAAACTTGTATCAAATAAATTGATGTACATATTTCACAATTTTAAGATGATTGTGTGATGACAATACACCGACGGTCAACATTCGAATATTCAGCTTGAGCTTCCTCCTAAATGTTAAGTATTTCAATTGAACTTGTAGAATATAACCTATGGATTAAATGTGGGTCTATAAGTATCATCCATGAAATTCTTACAGGCAATTTTCATCATGATATTAAAGCACCACAAACTCAAGAACAAGGAAAAATAATTGGTTCAATATGAGAAAATTTTTTCCAAATTTGGTCAACAGCAGCTGGTTATGATGAAATATGTGAGTGGTTTTAACCTTTCAGAAACAGGGAATATTTTGAATGAATAATAATGCAAATTATACCAACATTACTATCGACATCAGTAATAGTTACAGAATGTTATAATTACAGAGTACTGAACACTGTATTTTTTAAGAAAATGCATTTAAAAAGTCCATGACAGCATTCCATTAAAACAGTGCCAGTGCAAATCCCTCTCTGATAAAATTGTGATATTATAGTCTTGACATTGAGTTTGAGGAATGAGTGCCAGTGTAGCTTAAAGAAGCTCTACATGTAGTACATTTTAGTGGTCTTTTGTTGTGATGTATAATCTTTATTCATTCTTTATATATATTCGACATGACAGTGGAAGCAGCACAGTCTACAGTAGACTGATGATCTGTGTGAAGTTAAGTCACCTTAAATTCCCCACCAAACTTCAGTTTCCTGATTCCAAAAAAAAAATTTAATTGATGGCCAAGTACTTACCCTCCCATGGGGTGAAATAAGTGATCCGTAGGTTTAGGAAGTAATATGTAAATACGCTCCTCTGTAGATATTGTTTGCTTCTTTTTTCTGACTCTAGGGATGTTCTCAGAAATTTTGACATTGTCTCCCTTCTACTCTTTGTGTTCTCTGAAATCTAACGATACAATGTTTTAATTAAAATAATATTTGAAAAATTGGTTTCTAAAATATTCACTCTGTTTCCATTTCAGGTAAATTTGTTTCAATTCTGCACAACGAAATGTCCAGGTTGTCTTATCATATGTCCACTTCACCTACATGTAACACAAGGCCCATTAGGATTAAGCGCCCTTTATTAGGCTAGTGATCATTCATGTTAATGGTAGTGTCCCTGAACCCTTATTCAATAATTAAAATAAACTGACCTTATTTTCAGGATACTTGATTATTTACCTTAGGTGGATCTTTGCTGGACAGTCACATTTCTTCGTATCCTGTACTATAAAGCGCTGTTTGGTGTTGTTATAGCAGTGATCAGCATTCTCCTTCTGAAACCAAATAGATTTATTGGATTGTTAGATAGAGCAGTCATATGGGAATAGTCAAGTTATCAATAAACTTAGAAGTAATGAAAAGTATCCTTTAAAATAGTACTTGATTCCTACCTTATAAACTGCAGTCACAGTGGTCCTTTTTGCGACTTTGCTTATTTTAACAAATAAAATGTGATATGTCCTTTTACTTGCAAGTGGTAAAAAGAAAACATTATTGCCTGCTATTAGCCCTGAGGGAGAGGTGAGTGCTCACCAACTTGCTTAGAAAAATCAGTTGGGACTTACCACCTTGTTAGCTTAAGAGCAAATAGGTGAAGGTAAATCAATAACTATGTAATGCCCTATATATGATATCCTCTTTGGGAGTCCTTAAGTAATAATATCATCTTGTTTACATTCTTATTTAGTTAATTATTATGCATGCTTACATCTTTTTTGTAGTCTCTTTTGAGCCTCCTTCCTTTTGAGTGCCTTATATCTGTCTGGCCCATTTTGGCATTCTAAAACTTTGACCCCCACAATTTGGAATGGGATGCCATCAAAACTTAGTCTGCATCCTGTCATCTCCCGTGAGTCAGCCCATTGTATACGGTGGTTCTTAGCATTTTTATCTGCATTTTCTTTTATGTGAGAAGAGGAACCAAGCTAAGTTAGCAATACAATACATGTACACAAACACATACGTACATATGTACACATGGGTGCTTAAAATGGAGGGCCTCAAAATCAAGCCTGCCCCACCCAGATGTAGCCCAAGGACTGGTGTAATGGATGGGGATGCTGGCAGCTGTGTGTCAATAGCACTGAGTAGGGTTTTGACACTTTAAGCTTGATCTTAATTAATTAAGCATTTCTTGCCAACTCTTGCTGCAGGCTCACAGTAAATTGACACTTGAAGCTAAGTTTAATTTTAATTACATGTTAATTTTGAAAGTCTAACTGACCAGTGTAAACCGAAGAATAATGATGTGTACATGTATTCTTAAGATATCAATAATTATTGGAAAAAGTTAAATCCCTTTTTTATTTTGATTTATCTATATTTCATGTTAATAACACGATCTCACACGTCCCTGGCTTTAAATACCTATAGTGTCTAAATAAAGTTATACTTCACTTTACTTTACTGTCAGTATGGTTTATTTTGTAAATCTTTACATGTGAGCTTAATTACCCAGCCTACTGCAATTTGAAAATCCTCCTGTTTGTTTAAATACAGTGAAGCGTGTCGTCGTAGCTATCTCGTACTGTTTTATGAGTTCGTCAGCGCTGCTTTCATCGTTAACATACCCGGAATAAGGGTCAAACTGTACGGTCCATCTTGAAGCCTAAGGTGTACTGTTATCAGCCATGTTTGTTCTTCTACCAAACATTTAGATTTCCCGCCAATATTTACCCGCGAGCCGCAAAACATAAATGCATGAGTGTTAAATATTAACTGGACTACCCCTTGGCAAATATATTTATTAGTAGCAAATAAGATGTTGAACAAAAACCAAGAGATCATGGTCAAATAAAACGTAAAGATAATTTATTACAAACAGAAAAGAACTGTTGTTTGTTCCAATCGAAAGATTTTACAGTGCAAAGTTATGCAAATGATCTTTGACCTGAATCTGCTTTTGGTCGATGATAGCGAGGTCAGAACATCGACCGAAACTATTGGGCCGGTCATATTTAAGTGTCGATCCTCCTTTTAACGCCTTTATAACAGGCTAGATTTTTTCTTAAATATGTGATCTAGACAGAAATTAGTTTGTACAAGTTATGGGAAGAATACTTTCGCAATAAAATATTGAAGAATACGACGCTTTATCGTCAGTCACACAGGTCACGGTCTCTTGATTCGCCGGAAACGAGCAGAAAAATAGAAGACTCTCGCTACGATTCCGCTGACGTGTCATGGACTCATCTGGTTTGGGACGATGATATGTATTGCCTTAGGGGTGTTGTCAATTAATCAGATCGACCGAAACCAGGTCGACAACTTACGAACCAGCCAAACATTTCGTTAACAGCGCCATCGATCAAAATGTCATTACACTCGAACAAAAGACCCGCTTTTCTATTCAAATCTGCCAGAAACTGGCTCAAACGCACTTCCTATTCCATGAGTACACTGTAAAATACGCTTTAACAAGAATAAGCGGAAGTCACGTTGTAACCTGCGGATACTCATACAAGATGCCGCTGATATGTCGTGGGCTCATCTGGTTTAGGACGATGTTATATAGTGCTTTCCTGTTTGAAAAGCACTACGCAAGGTGTATGGATTTGGCTGCCCAACTTCGAAGAATTTTTTACTTCTTTGGGTAGGCTACTGGAAAGTACAGAAGGGCAAAGGAACACTGCGTCCTACGACTCGGCTGAATTTTTAAGTCGTTTACGAGAAAACGAAAGAACTCTTGTCACTTTGACGCTAGGAATAGAAGAAGCCTTCCCAAACGAAGTTGAGGTGATCTCTGATCTAAACGAACTTGTTTTTCTTATGAGCGAACTTTCAAGGGACTTTGACAGAATTTTCGAGGACTCGGAACGTTCTACGTTTACTGCACCATCGTCCCTAAACGATTGTCTTTCAACTGTGGCAAGGAATGGTTTAGTTGGCAGACCAAGGCTACAGATCTTACAGCAAGAGCTGCAAACTCTGACAATGACGCCGGTTTTCGTTGGGCTGATATCGGAAGAATTCTTGGAATCTCCGGAAGAACTTTGCGCCGTCGAAGACATGAATCTGGGTTGCCAGTTGGTGTGGGAGAGAATTTCAGTGATGTCTCCAACGATGACTTTGACGAATATGTGAGGGAAATTCTTGAAGTGACACCAAGCGCTGGTCAACGCCTGGTTGAAGGGGGCTTAAGGAAAAGGGGCTTCCGAATCCAGTGCCATCGTATTCAGGAATCTATTCGAAGAGTGGATCCGGTTCTTCGCACTTTAAGAGCAGCGCAGCAGATAATTCGTAGAGTGAACAGTGTGCCATGCCCCAATTCGTTATGGTAAAATAAACGAATTCTTTGAAGCGCTATTTAGTTAACACTACCTTCTTTCTAATGAGTCTCTGTTCAGAGGGGTCTCCATTTTTAACAGGCCCCCCTACACCATCAGAGCCCACCACCCCTCTTTTCAAAATAGTTTGTTGTTTCTCTAAGGGCAACACCCCCCTGGGGGGACTCCTGTATAGAAAGGACAGGGATGCTTGTTATACTTTTTAGGGTTTAAAAATGCAGGTTTGGTACCTCTTATGGTGGTCAGTTCCAAAAGGTCCACAGCGGGAGCTTTTGTGCTATCTCTTAGGTAGGGTCTTGAACAGAAAAAAATGACAGCTAGGGTTAACTGTGTTGTTTCAGAATTGCTTCCTCTTAGAGGTGAAAAGCATATTAAGCTATGCCCATAAAACAGGATCTTGATACCTTTAAAGGGTTCTTTTCAAAATTTGCAACAAGCACTCCTTTCCTTTTTATATGGGAGTTCCCTCCACACAGGGGCAACACCGGTTTTAAATCTGTGGTAAAAGGGAGGTTAGGCTGTAATTTTGATGCATGAGCATTAATGCCAATTCAACTCATGATTTGAGATACTTTCCCCAATTCTATTTAGCCCCCTCACTAATCACCCTAACCCAGTTTCCCAGCCCCCACCTTCCCCTGATATTATGCTCAAAATTCCTACCTATCACACCTGTTACTCATGGGTGATCACAAAATGCCTCTTGTTGTTGTTATGATTATTATTTTTGTTGTTGTCATTATAATTATTACCACTATTACTCAGATAGGTAGATTTAACTTTTTTTACATACCATATTTAACCTAACTTATATGTGATAGTGTAGTGGAACAAATGTCTTCATGGTGTCCAACAGGTGCATTGATGGCAACCACAAACTAATCCAGCCATATAAAATTGTCATTCATGGTGGTTTAGATGGTTTTTCAAGAATGATAGTATTCCTTCAGGCATCAACCAACAACAGGGCTTTAACTGTACTGCAGTATTTCCAGTCAGCTGTTGAGCACTACAATTTACCATCAAGAGTTCACAGTGATCTTGGAATGGAAAACATAGAAGTTGCTCGCTTCATGCTGCAAGAAAGAGGTTTGAATAGAGGCAGCTACATCACTGGAAAATCTGTTCATAACCAGAGAATAGAGCATCTCTGGTATCATGTCAACTGGGTTATTGTGAGCCACTTTTTGAACATTTTCCTCTTTCTTGAGCACAGTGGAATTTTAGATCCAACAGATGAGGTGCATCTGTTTTGTATTCATCTAGTTTACATTACAATTAACCAATTTATCGGTCAGTGGAATAATCCTCCTGTAAGCACACAATGCAATTTCCAATCAGCTCTGGATACAAGGAATGCTACATTTCAGAAATTCTGGGTATAAGGCTGTGACAGATGTGACTGCCAGCAAGGCTGTTAATTTATTCAGTCATTATGGGATTGATGAAGAAGGGCCTGTACCTGACATGCAGAGTGACTATGCAGTTTTGGTACCTGACACAATTACTACTCTGACACATAACCAAGAATTGTCACTGCAAGAAGCTAAAGATGCAGTCTTCCAAACTGGTGATCATAATGGAATCATAGCTTACCAAGTGGTATTGCAGATTGCTTCTTTTTATTTAAACTGCTGTTCATGATTTACTGTATTAACTTCATGTACTTGGAATGAACTCTTAATACAATTAGTATAAATTAGTTACTGCTATACATGTCAGTATGCCAAGAATAAAATTACTAATGATAATGTAAATGGGAAACAGTAACAATAATCAGTTATAATCTCAAATCTAACAGCCTTACTAATACAAAGGGGTGTAAAACTTTGTATTACTGGGAAAAAAATAATTGATGTTATGGTGGCATAATGTACTAGATGCTTCATAGTATAAACACTTTAAACCTGAGATCTAGCCTTGATTTGCAGTCACTCAAAACAATATTGCAAAACAATGTTGCATGCATAATGGCTATTGCAGAGAAGTTTATACCCTTGTAAATGAGCTCTTGTAAGCTCTTTTTGTTGGTGTTGAGTTTATCATGCTGTTAACGGAACAGTTAATATGCTGAGTAACTTGAAACTGGAACTTTGAACGTGGAAAATTTCCTAAGTAACCTAAACGGATTTAAAAATTTCATTATTTTATGTGAAGGGTCCACTGGCATATTTCCCTTGGCCACTGCTTAGGAAATTAACAGAGATTTTGTATTAATTTGAGCAGTAGAAATTTCTAGCAATAAAGGAGCAAAACATTACCATAAACATATGTAAAGTCATGGATAATTGTACCAAGTACAAAGATTTTTTTCCTAAAAACCTCAAGTTACGCCCTCCCTTATTCAATCTCCCAGTGATTATAATTTGTATGTGTTTTTTTTATGTCCTATGAAAAATTATGAATAAAAATGGTTTGTGGGCCCAAGAATAACACAACTGTTAACTGAAAGTAAGATAAGGAAGGATCATCCTTTCATGTCTAGATCTTGCCATAACCAATTTTTCCATAAGCAATACTCTCATTCAATAATTCTTGTGATATCAGCCCAACGAAAACTGGGGTCATTGTGCAGAGTTTGCAGCTCTTGCTGTAAGATCTGTAGCCTTGGTCTGCCAACTAAACCGTTCCCAATGCCACAGTCGAAAGACGATCGTTTAGGGACGATGGTGCAGTAAACGAGGAACGTTCCGAGTCCTCGAAAATTCTGTCAAAGTCCCTTGAAAGTTCGTTCATAAGAAAAAAAGTTCGGTTAGAACAGAAATCACCTCAACTTCATTCGGGAAGGCTTCTTCTATTCTTAGAGTCAAAGTGACAAGATCCCTTTCGTTTTCTCGAAAACGACGACTAAAAAATTCAGCCGAGTCGTAGGACGCAGTGTTCCTTTGCCCTTCTGCACTTTCCAGTAGCCTACCCAAAGGCGTAAAAAATCCTTCTATGTTGGGCAGCCAAATCCGTACACCTTGCATAGTGCTTCTCAAACATCACTGATCATCCGCCTCTATTTCCGCCATTTTGAAAGGGTTAGTTTCCGGGGCTTCTTGTTTAATCTGACTTCCGGTCATTTCTATTTCCGCTTCCTCATCTTTTAGTTTTATTGAACATCTTTTAGTTATATAAGGTCACGCGTGAATGAGTCAGGAAAGCGATGTATGCTGCACAACATCGATGTATGACATCCAAAATCGATGTATTCCGGATGAAATTGATTTATTTTATTTTAAGGCTTGTATTATAACGCATAACAATAACGTAATTGAACAAAACATTAATGTATCCATGTTCGATATTTTGTCCGTAAAAGAACCTCATACTTAAAACTGCTCCCAAGAAACTAAAATATAGCGTGCTAAAACCGTTTTGATGAAAAGTGAAAAACCACAGAATTGTTAAGGGGAACCTCCCGAGAGTTTCGATAACGTAAACTAAGTTTATTTTTTTAATCTACAAGGGTAACTGAGTGTCCTCCTTCAAAGCATCGCGTTTCTTTTACAACAGATCAATGTATATACCATTCAGTCAGAAGATCTTAAATGATGAGCATTTAAGATAACTAATAGTAATGTAGAGATAGGCCTCAGAACCTTTGCCAAATCTTGAGTGGTTTCGTGTATTGCAGGTAGCTCAAGAAAAGAAAGATATTTGTGGTTGGTGAAATCCTTGAGAACGTTTTGATTTAATCAAATTGACGAAGACAACAAAATTGAAATTGCATGTGCAACAACATGCAAAATGTTCCATGATCGTGTGGAGAAGAGTAAAATCACAGATTTCCTTTAAAAGAATATGAAATTCTATTGTTTTGACTCACTTTCACTATTCCAAGTTTTTTTTTTTTTTTCACTTTTTTGCCAAGAACCTGAAGGTAAACTAATTGTACATTTTATTAAATTAACAGAATAAAACGACAGATAATTACCAAATTTTTTTTAAATTAAGCTATATTTGGGTAAGGGTACTGAATTACAACTGCTTTCTCAGTCATAAGAGCACTCTCAATTAAGCAAAGTACAAATGAACAAATAAATCACAACGGCCAATCAAAACAAAGGTGTTCAATTCAAGGAAGCAGTCAGCCTTAAGTACGGGAAAACGTGACGTTGGTTTCAGTTTACACACAGAGGATGAAACAAGTTTTTTTGGACCATCATTACGCGTAGTGAAGTGCTTTTGCAGATGACTTTCGGCGCTTGATCGAAAATTACTCGGACTAATATATGAAACACTTAGAGTGGAGCAGCTAAGGGTTCTCTGTTCATGGTTGGAAAGCAGCCTCATACTCCAAAGAGAAATATCGATCAAGAAAGACCTTACAAAGATCATATCACGTAATTTAAATGACGCTGTGAAATTCAAAGTTGATATTTCCTTGTCTATAAGAGCAAATGCAGAAAGAATTATCTCAAAAAATATTCCTTGTAAAATCCTATAGGTTTAATTCAAGATATGACAAAAAGGAAAGATATGACAAAAAGTAAACTAGCAAACAAACATAAAATTCTAATGAATATCAGTATAACATTAAGACTGTGCTTCGATAACTCAAAAACGAACAAACAGAAACTGAAAAAACCTTTCTACATAAGGACTGACAGGAGGATACTGAAACACAACAAAATAAGAGCTACATATTGATTGAATCTTTCTTTTATGTACTCATAGCATACAGCTGCTTTATCTCCTTTTGATAAATATTTTCAGAAACATATGGTGTTTCCAAAATCATTGGGATACCATTAAAACGAGGGTCTCTCATCACACGCCTAAATGCCTCAACCCCAATCTTCCCTTTGCCAATATTTTCATGCCTATCTAAGTGGCATCCCAGATCTCCCTTGGAGTCATTTAGATGAACACCTCGCAGGTATTTGAGACCAACAATTGTCTCAAATTCATCCATCATTATTTCAAAGCCTCTCTCTGATGCAATGTCATACCCAGCAGCAAAGGCATGACATGTGTCCAGACACACCCCTACACGAGACTTGTCCTGGACCTGGTCAATGATACCTCGCAGCTCTTCAAATTTACCACCAATCTGTTGAAATAAGTGTAGAATTATGGCCAATAGCATAGACAAAGTAAACAAAAAAATAAACAAAAAAAAAACCGAAAACACAAAGACATTCAGTTAACCTTTGCCCTCACAGGAGTGACAACATGGGAATATATCATTACAATATTGACCATTAACACCTTAACATTGGTAAAGATATTCTCCATACTGTTCTCCATGCATTCCCTAAGGTGCTGACAAGAAGAATTTGTGTAACAATCTATAACTTTTTTAGCTGATGGTAATCTTCCTTATTCTCATGACCGTACTGCATGATTTAGTGGTGATATTGTAAGGAGAAATTAGATGCTAGTCACTTTTAGGGGTTAAAAGGTTAATACCATATCCAGAGATGGAAATAAAAGAAATAACGACGAGAGTAGATTGTTTGATCAACACCAAATTTTCAGATCTGAAATTTTAAGAAATGGGTGACAAACTTTTCAGAAAAATAATTTTAACAGTTATTGAAATCTTAGAAGTGAAAGGGTCAAAACATTGAGAGAACACCTAATGTCTATTCTAACCTACAGTTAACATGTTAATATTTACACATCCATAGTCTGACAAATTGTATAAAAAAGTTACTCAAAGTATACATGTATTATGCAATTAAAGCAAAAGAGCAGGATTGCTATCATAAATAATATTTGTAGTCAAATACATTTAAATTTTACATACTATTCCAATATATGAGGAGTGTTTTCAGTTGGGATGTAAAAGTCCATTTACTAGATCTGGTTTGCATCATATATCTGACATTCAGTTCACAAGGCAGGAATAACATCTTAAAATCTTGTTGCCCAGTGGGCCAGTACATTTTCAGTTGCCCCCACTAAAATATTACTTGCCCAAATTTATGCATGCATTGCTCATGCCTTATCAGTCACATAATTTACCAGGTACTGTCTCTAATGAGTGATAGACTATATTTGGTGACTTGCAAACTTTGTTTTGCAAAGAAAAAGTTAAGGTACAGAGGGATGGATTGCTTTTTCTGTATTCTATAAGTACTCAAAATGCAGTGATTTCTTGTCAATGTTTTTACTGTAAGTTGTTTCTTTGTGGTTTTGACACGGTTTCTTGTGAGATTCTTTTTAATCCCATCATGTAGTCTTAAGTTTTGAAATTGCTTTTGATTGGAAATTATTTGGAGGCTAATTTCACCTTCTCCAAACTTACATTTTCACATGCCCAAAATCAAAATTTACCTGCCCTGGGCAATCCCACCTGAGTTTTTTCCTACCTTGGCTCACTATTATGCATGAGTATTGCAGTGACTTTGGCATAAGACATTAAGTCTCTTTCTAGATTAACCTATTGGCAATGAGGTACCTGTTGCTGTACATATCAATTGAGAAATAAGAATGCTTAAGATTTGTTGAAATGTTCTTATTAGGAGCTTAAAGAAAAATACCAATAAAAAACTCGGCACTTTCCGAGCCTGAGATTCAAGACTGTACCATTCTTGTATGAAAAAGCCCCAGGACATGTGCTTCAGTCTTAAAGCAATTTTCAAATGAGTATTGAAGGTAATTTGACATTGTTTTGCTGATTAATAGTTCAGAGAACATCTACCAACATTTCAAGCAATAGAATGCAAAACTAAAACCAATCATGGCTTGGTCCCTACTGTTCTATCCACCCCTTATTTTTACTCTGAACAATAATTGTTCTTTGTGATATTTTCCTCTGTTCTGATTGGCTACAATGATTATTTTGTTTTGGATTATTTTATAACAGAAAATTCACTCCCAACAACCAATAACAAAACAATATTAGCACTTACAGTATTTCCTTGGCAGCTCATGTTTTCTAAGACGGTAACAACATATTTTGTTTCTGCGTGTGCCTGATTAATACTTTCTGCTATTCTGCCTACGGATTCTTCCAATGTAATCTTGCCACACGTAGAGCCAGGATGGAAATTATACAGGCATAGACCTAGCCTTTCACAGCGTTTCAGTTCGTCCACCAGAGTGGCACGGCTCTTGGAGAGAGTTTCCTCGTCTGGAGAGCCACAGTTCATTAAATATATACCATGTGGGAGAATAGAATGCGGCGAGAAGTTGGCTTTCGAGCAAGCCTCTTTAAATAGCTCTGCATCTTTGTCCTGAAGAGGTTTACTCATCCACTGACGCTGTGACCTTAAAAACATTCCAAATGCCTTAGCACCAATGGCTAGAGCTTCAGATACAGCGTTATGCAATCCACCACTGATAGAGACATGTGCTCCTATCAGCTTTTCATGGAGAGGTTGGAAGTTGAGTTTGTCTTCAGACTTGATGGTCGCATGTACGCCAGGCTCTGTTTTCACTCGTTTAATTTCTGGCTTGACCTTTTCCTCAGTCGCTACTGATTTTATCAGGTAACCTCCTTTCTTTTCATTGTGGTCTTGTTCCGTGGAACTTTTTGCTCGAGCCCGTTTTCTTGCCTTAGATTTTCGGGTCTCACTCTTACTCGACGTTTCCTTCCTTGAATAATTTCCCTCTTTCTCCTTCAAGTTTATTGTGATTGCCTGTCCTGAAGTTTGCAGAGCTTTATTATTTTGAGATGCAACTTCTTCGATAGCTCTGGCTGCTAAGCGAACACTGCGCCTCATTTTAAAGACCCCAAAATAGAACTTCGTGGTTCACCGATGTCGGGCAGCCATTTTGCTTTTTCACGGAGGAGGCTTGGATCGAGGAGTCCTTATTCCCCAGTCTTCCTGGAAGGGGTAAGTTTCCAAAGAAACTGTGGTGCTGCGTCGGTGGGAGAGTATAGCAGGGTAATTTAGTGTTAACAACTGGGTTGAAAACGTAAATTAGCCACCATAAAGGGTAAAAAAGCTGACGTTTCGAGCGTTAACCCTTCGTCAGAGCGATTAGCTCTGACGAATCGCTCTGACAAAGGGCTAACGCTCGAAACGTCAGCTTTTTTACCCTTTACGGTGGCTAATTTACGTTTTCAACCCAGTTGTTAACACTAAATTACTTATTTCCTGGAAGGGCTCTTCTTTCTAGTTTCTTGATCGCATCATTGTGTGTTTAATAGTGTTTGATCTGTTGATATCGCCAATCAGCTGCTGAACGTCACTTACTCGCCTTTTGCGCCACTCGGTCAGTTTGATGAATGAACGGCAAAGCCTTCTCTCATACTCAGTAATTGTTTGGCGGAATTTTCTCGGATTATGGGTGCTTAAACACTGAAAAATCCGTATCGCTTACAAACAGTGACGTTCAAACCTGCATAGAAAGGGGAACGAAACCAAAATACGAAAAGGTAAACCGAAAGTTACGTATTCAGTGGCTTTGGTATTGCATTCCTCGCGACTGAGAAGGAAAATCGATAACTCGGTGAAAGTCGGTAACTCAGTGAAAGATTTCTTCTGTCGGTGATGACAAAGTCTGTAGGTGATATTAAAAGTTACCACCATCGTTTTTTTTTTTTAAGGGATTCAATGCATTTTTTCATATTGAGCCTTAGCACCGACGCACTTTACGATTTTTATTTGGGGATTATCGATCCTTTCACTTTCTTTCGTGAATTTAGTCGACCTTTCTCGTCAGTGATGGGCCATTGTGTTTATATAACGAACAAAATAATACAAAAATGCTCGTAGACATGGAATTTCTCCTCTCGTGTTCAACTCGACATCTCACTCATCCCCTGCGCTCACTTGTGAGCCATCGATTTGTAAAACTCTAAGAGAAATTCCATACCTACGCGCTCCCAAGTATTATTCTCTACAAATAGAACTCCTGGTCGCTCTTTAGCTAAGCTCCTGTGGGGGATATCACTATTGGACTTGCTTCCAGATTTTTGTCTGGTGTCTCATATCCTCACGATCGCTAAATACTATATTGTATGCGAATAAACACTAACAACAGACTTAAAACGTTGAAGTTATTGTTTATTAATATTCAGTTGACTTGTTTTTCACATTTTCTATAGACTGCCGATAAGCCCTCTTTTCCTTGCCTCTTTCGCAGCCTGGAGCTCCCAACGCTTTTACAGCGTCGATTTTTTTCCTCTGATTACGCAGATTCGGCTTGAAATTCTGACACACGAAGGAATAATCATGGTTCACATTCATCCATTTTGATACAATTCTTGTATTGATATCAAAGGCTGATTCTTCACAAAGACATGACATAGTCGACGAAATTATCCTATAGAGTCCTTTTACAAAGTGATATATGTAATATTGATTTTTTCTAATAGAACAAATCTATATCATCTAGACCAAGTATGCTAGATTACGATGGCTTTCAATACGTGTTACTTCCACAACGAGAGCATGACGATCATTTACTTTTTCAAGGACGCAAACTAATTAATTTGAAACATGACTTTATACCAAGCCACCTAGTTTAATCACCCTTAATAATTTCATGCGAGAGTCCATAACTTGAAGGACGTTTTGTGAAAGTCCTGCCAAAGCCTGATCCAGCTTATACACTAGAGATTCTTTGTCTACGGTTAATAGCTTCTTAATACTAGTTTGATAATTGCATATAAATCTATAGCTAAATATATGTAGAAATACTTTTCTCCCGGAGCTAAATTTATGTTTTAAAACAAGTTCAGATATGAATTGTTGTTTTTATAAACTGTTTTAGTTAGATGGCAGAAACAAGGGCTACGTCATCGGTCGTTTTGTCTGCGTCATTCTCCCCATCCTCGCCACTATCATCGTCGTCACTAGGAACTCCTAACTTCTCTTTCACCACTTGTCTTTCTCTTTCTTGTTTGAACTTCAGGTTCTCAGGGACATCCGGGACAGCCCAGGCTATCAAGCTGGTTATGGAGTACACAAGAAATTGGAAGACCACCACAAAAGCGAGTCTGGCAGCAACCACATTCCAGTATTCTTTAGAGCGATTATATGGATATGTGCTGTCAAAGTAGCCAGAATACCTAAGGGATAAAAAGGAAAGAAGAATACTGAAATCACTTTTTAAAGGTGCTTCATTCCTTTACAATTGCATTTTAATAATATTCTTTTCTCGATTGACACATTGATCATCCTTGTTTTGTCCTTTACGATAAAAGAATTACAGATATCAAACTACAAAACGATAATTTTTTGACTTAGTGTGTCTTGTATAAATTTTTCCATTTTGCTTAACATTAAAGTTGAATTTAATAAATAATTGCGTGCTTACTGAGACTTGCTTGACAAAAAAGTATCCTAAAGAGAAACGACATTTGTAGCATCTACTTGGTTTTTAGAAATAGCAAAATTTCTATGAAAACCTTTTCTTTCTGTAATACTTTTATGTAAGTGTCATGACAGATTCTCGCGTTTGCATTTGACTCACAAATTACCTGCAGTACTCTCTTGTGTAGTTCACGTTCGCAGTTGGGTCCATAGGTTCTGTTCCAGGCTCCCACGCATAAAGTGTTTTGAGATCAATATAAGCGAGACTGTTGTTGATGTATCCCTTTAAAGTTCCTCCTCCAGGAGAGTTTCGGTCCGGTGCAAACATATACTTGTATACAAGCTTAGGGATGAATTCCGAGGTGAATGCCAAAATGAAAGCGTTCATTAGCACCGCAATCTTGGTCACTGCCGCGAGAACACCGTGCCACGCCCCTATGTCTTCAACTCGAACGGCTCTGGGCCGTCGGTGATAGCACACGAAGTTGATGGCATCCACTCGGATTTCCAAAACCGCGTTAATAAGAGCGAAGATTGGTGCGAGTGGAAAGGCTGCCACAAACATAGTCACAAAGCCGTACTGGAGGACTAGAAGACATGATAAAAAAAGTTATTGTTTTGTAGAAGGCAAAAATACATAATAAAGTTATTTTGTAAAGATGCTGAATAGATTTAGAGTACCTATTTCCAGGTAGTCCCAGAACAGGTAGTGATCCTCCAATTCGCTCAGTTCATGGTCCTTAACGTATTGCGGACGGTCACCAGAATCTCCTGCCTTCCTCCGTTTCAACCACAACTGAAACGATCTAGATTATAAAGTAATGATTGAAAAACGTTAGTTTTTTATAGATATGTCAATTTGACAAATTAGCCAGACAAGTTTGCCCACTTACGGTATGCCAACTTCAATAACGTTGCCAATAATCTGTTGTCCAACCATAATTATCGCGATCTGGATGCAGAGCTCCAAGAAGCAACCTTGTTCACTACATCCGTCTTGTCGGTACTTGCCTAAAATTCGTCTGTATCTTCCCGGAGATCCCACAATTGACTGTGACTTGAAGAATGCAATGTAGATAATTGAGGCAAAGGTGTTGACAAACTGAAACAAGGCCATCTTCCACGTGAAACTGTCTTCATAAGCACTACGAGTTGCAGGATTCTCCCAGTTGGTTAACCAAACGGCCAGCTTGTTGTATGCGTACTTCAGTGCCGTGATAGCCACAAGATTGATGCAGGCAGCAAAACCAGTTGTCAGTATACGAGCACGCTTCTGGATAACACGGTCTGGGTTGCTGCTGAGAATGGCGAAGGTTGCTGCTCGGAACACCACTACACCGATGATTGCAGCTATCACCAAACATATCATGAAAGCAACCACGCTGAAAACTGTGGCATAGCGACGATACTGCTTCATCTTAGAAGCTCTATACACAATCTTCCCAGTCTCTGGATCTGGCTTGAAAGGATTCCTTTCTTCTTCCGTCAGGCTCTTAACATACTCTGGACGAAGTGGTTCCTCCTCTTCTTCGAAGTCTGAGGTGTGCCATTCGGATGCCAAAGAAGCCTCCCGACGTTTCCAGAACTCAAGAAAGAGCGTGGCCCAAATGGATGCAGCAAGCGCCAAAATAACTGTAGCATCGTTATCAAAGACATTCGTGACGTAAGCATAAAGACAAGTCGTTGGAGCCAAATTCCAGTAACTGCACTGCCGATCGCACAATGGACACATGTACCAAACACCGTCGTTCTTTTCATCACATATATCTTGTACAGGGGCGTGGGAGCCTGTTGTTATTATGCCGTACAAGAACACGATCAAGGCAACGATTGCGAGTGGAATCAGCATCGCAGAGTAAAATCCAAGCCAGGCGAAGTACAGGCCAATTTCGTGACCAAAGTAATCCTTAATGGCATCGTAGGGTTGGTACTTGAAACATCGGCCCAGTCGAGCCCAATCTCTCTTCAAGCGTTGACGATTATTGACTGGAAAATCTCCATCGCCTAGTTTTTCTGTACCTTCGTGCAATGGATAGTGTGCGATGTAGGCTCCATCCAAGACAAGCCTCTTCAGTCCAAGGCAGTGTGGATCTTGTGCAAATCGGGTGTTCTTCAGTATCTGATAGACAATGTGCATTCTATCCACGGTGGGAAAGAACATTTCCTTGTCTTCATGATTCATGTACGTTGTCAGATGCTCTTTATCGAAACGACCCATAAAATTATCAGCTTTTTCTCTAACTGTGGCATCATGAATGATCAAGGGATTCCAGCTGGCCATTTTCTCTAATCGATCACGTCCACAGAAAGATTGAGGCCATGAGGTAAACTCCACATCACTGGGCTGGAGAGGTACCTTCAATTTCATATCTTCGGCACGGCTGGCTAATAGTTCCCAAGGGGCGTGGATCAAGACAAAATGGCGTTGTACTTCAGGTTCCTAAATTGAAATTGAAGAGGTCATCAAATGGATTCCACATCGGAATTAAGAAGATAGCCAACTAAATGAAACTTTTGTGAGAGAGCGTATCAACATCTACATATTAATTGAAAAATGAAAGCGGTGTGTTTCATGTTTTGTTGCCTCGGGGGTAAGGGAGGGAGGAGAATTTTGAAGGGAACACGTGGTTTTCAGGGGGGAGTGGAGGGGGGATCAATCGCCGCTAATAGAACACTAAGGAAGGACTACAGAAAATTGACTGCCAATTAGCTGCCAATAAGGGGGGGGGGGGGGGTCATGAGAATATTTCTGGGTTCAAGTAAATTTCTTACTGACACGACCAAAATTCTCCAACTCCCTCCTCCCTCCCCCCACGCGATAGTTGACCGCTTTGCTTATCACGCGTGTCTGAGAAGTGATCTCTAATACACGGTTGTTTTGGTGCTGCTGAGGTAAGCCTTTGTTTGCTTTCCTTCCTCTCTCTCGGAATAGTCTAGATACAAACTGATCAGAAAACATCTTCTCTAAGCCTTAAAAATAGCACGATTGTATTGGATTCGTGCTGAGCCGAACCGTATAAACAAAACTTAATGCACCCACGCATGCATACTATCCGCAAATGTTTTTGAACGTCTAGGTCTAGACAGCGGGTCGGGCACGCTATCACGATAAATAGAGGTTAAATTTATGCATCTGGACTGGCTAAAACTTTATCTCGAGTAACACAATTTTGAATGCAATATCCATTTTGATCCTTTTTACTTTTCATCCAAACGTAGGTGTCAATAGAAAATAACGTCACGAGATCTTCAGGTTTTCATTGTCGAGCCAAAGGCAAAATTCAGTTCATGTTTTAAAAATAGATCTACAGTTATGCGCTCGTGATGACAAATATGAAAAGTGACATGAAAAGGTGACCATTTGGAATCAATTGCCGTAATTACAAAACAGTTTTTCTCAGATCGTGAGTCTGCCTTTGTGTTGTTATTTGCTTTTAGATCTCTGATAGCCAACATTTCATTCAGCGAACATTCAATTTTGCAGCTCCTCAGGATGGTAAATTTGTCGTCGAGATTCCCAAACTCCATATTGTGTTCCCACGTGAAGAAATTTCCGTAGTTGAGCTCTGATATTCAGAAACGCGTCGATAAAGGTGTAAGTGTGTAAAGCCGACACAACTTGCATGGCAAAAGCCTCATTTGAATAAATAAACAACGCCTTGTATTTCGAATACAATATATATCCACAAGTTTTGTTTATACGATCACTCTTTTAAACAATTCTTTTGTTCCTAGGGATAATTTTGGCTGAATAAACAAAATTAGCAATTTTCGATTACGATGGCCAACAATAAACACATTTCACTGTCTAATAGTCCCTTCTTCTGAGTGACCGCGGAAAAGTGCAGTGTACTAAGCGGATCGAACAGACTGTAAAGTTGTCTGTTGAGTAGAGAGGGACTTAGTAGGTTTCGCCATTGCTACCGAATCCATGATTATTTTTACTGATATAGAACACAAATGAAAACTTCGACCAATATAACAAAATCTGGGATAGTTTTATTTACTTGGAGTAACATGCTAGAAGTTTTACCCTCTTCTCATTTTGTAAGGTCACAATGTACTGAAAGAGATAGTCCAAAGTTTTTCGCAGTAGAAGATGGACCATTTAGTTCGTGTTTGACTGTATTTGTTGTATGATTGGAACGACTCAGTTCAACTCAAAGCGCATTTAATTACAAGTAGACACAAGTCAATATCCGTTAAAGATGAAAATGAAAACATTAGTATCAAGAAATCCATTTTTATGCAAACTCTTTTCCAGAATTTCAAGTAAGGAGTACCTTAGTTAAAAAAAAAATTATGTCCAGTATGTGGGGTTCACCATCTGATTTTAAAAGCTACTTATTAAAGCTTAAGTGTTGTACAAAAGCTTTCAAGATCTTTGGTCGAACTTTGCCAAACTACATTGAATCAAGTATCTGAGAAAATAAATAAATGTAAAGAGAAAGTTACCTTCTCTGCAATGACAGTTTCGTGTTGAAGGATCAAACCTTTCTTTTGAAGGCGTCTTTCAAAAGATCTCCGTGATTGTGCCAGAGCCTCTGCCTCCTTCTTGGATTCTTCGTCCTTTTCATCTTTCTCTTTGCAAGTCTCGTATACCAGAACATAGTCGGTACGTCTTTCGTGATCCCGGTTGCTTGTGGATGATTCATCTGCTGGAGATTCTGCTAATGGCGAAATGCTGACCTCCAGTTCAACGCCTTGGATGGATCCGTCGGTTTGGCTTAACTCAGAATACGATCCTCTGTCCATTATTGGATCCTTTCGCTTTCTGAGTAGCCGCGATAACATAGACAGAAACTTTAAATCAAGAAGTCCTAGCCTTTGATGATATGCAACTATGTGCTTCTATTGTCAAGATTAAGTTCCTCTTAACCCACACAAACTTAGAATGAGGCGTGAATCGTCAGTCGGCTCTTCTGATAGGAATTGGTATTCTTCTGGAACAAACAAGACGCTTTGTAGCAGACATTTCATGAAATAATTAAAATGCCAGTAAATTATATAAATATTGATGAGAACAGCCCCCGAAAAACGGTAACAATCCAAAATTTTTGCTAGGAATGTCCACCAGATCTAGAACGCTCACATCAAGTTTTGGTGATGATTTTTCAATTCTTTGGCTAATAAACATATATACACTCATTTGCAATTAGCACTTCAGCTGTACAAACAACACCTTTTTGCGAATATTCACGCAGATTTTAAAAAGCACACCAATATAGCTGAAAAACGTTGTCTGAGAGATTTTAAGCTTTTCGCAAAAAGCTATTGATAGTTCCTGCTGACATTTTCTGGAGCAGCTTAAAATCCTTAATCAGTGGTACATACACAAACGGTGTTTTTCAATTGATTATCCTCGAATTTACCACAAATTTATTTTGATAATTTCGATATTTGGGTGATATTGGACAAAAATTCCTACTCGTTTTTCATAACCAAGACATTACTTGCGAAACGCTTTCGTTATTAGTAGCCGAGCGTTTTTTGCTGAAAGCGTAATGTTGCCTTGGTGACTGTGTCCACGAGGCTCCCATTGAAAGTTTACTTGTCTATTTATCTGACGGAATAAAACTTTGATGATCATTGCTGTCCCGAGTTCACATCTTAGATGTTCCAGGATTTCTTTTCTTTGGAATTTTGCAGTTGGCAAGACACTTCAAATGAAGAAGTAAACATAACATCTGATAGGGACGTACGATATAGGCTCTGGCGGGATTGAGTCATGCTAATCACAAAAAACCCCAGGGGCAGAAGTTTTTCTTTGTCTAGCAGGTCACAGTTCAAAAATAAGATTTGTAGAAAAACACGGTTTTTCCCGGCGCAATTAAATGTGAAGAGTATTCATTATAACTTGACCGTTCTTAGTGAGGCGTGAGATTCTAGTCACGACATTTTCTCTACCTACGTTTCTTCTGAAAGGGACAGACTAATACTAACATACCTCCCCCCCCCTCCCCCAAATCAGTAAACTGCATAATAGTTCAGGTCAGAACGCAATAGGTCCTCACTTTTTAATGCAGTGAAACGATAACTGTAAGATAAGATATCACATTTATTTCACGTTTTTCAAATATTCTTTTAACCGCAACGACGAGGCACTTAGCTGAACTTAAGCATTCGCTTTTTGAAGTGGCTGCACTCTCTCTATTTGTAAATAATCAGTCTATGAACAATTCATTCATAGGTCTTTTGGCTCATTTATTTGAAAATTGTCGTATAATTTCTAAAATATTAAGCAACAAAGATTGTAATTGTTGTTTTTCTTGTGATGATAACTCATCCTTTACTTTAAAAAGCGACGAAGGCGAATTACGAGAATATTAGAAGTTCGAGTTAACGTGATCATGGATAATTGCTTTTTCCAGCTCTTTCTCTCGCTTCTTCTTGTATTCCAGTTCTTCAGGTATGTCGGGGATGATCCATGCGATGAATGCTGTTATGAAATACACAGTTAACTGGAAAACAAACACGAAAGCGAGTCGAGCAGCAAGAATGTTCCAGTACTCACTGGAGCGCTTGTACGGGTAAAAGTTGTTATGGTAACCTTTATACCTAAATGAAATGCAAACAAGGCGGCTTAACACAATGTCATAAAAAAGCAAACAAAGTTATAACCCTAACCACCCACAATTATGTACCCAGGAGCAAAAAAGATTGAAATACGAATAGCACCATAGCCGTAGTCTGGATTTTTCACAAGGAGGGTCGTAATTAGTCATACAGAGGGTACTCACCAGATCGTCATGTCGACCTTTACGAAGTGTTTGTGCGTTATGCATAATAACGAGGGTGTCACGGGCCCCCAGGACCCCCCCCCCCCCCCATCCTAGAGCTGAGGATGATGGAAAGTGACCAGTGCTTCATGTTACTGTAGGGATACTGTTCTTCTCGAGCTTCTTAGAGGGTACAAAGAAAGTAGATAACTGGGTGAGATATCTCTTGAGACATATGTAGCCTCATTCTAATATTATCTCTCATGAATTGTAATACCTCCATTGTGCCGCGACTAAACCTCGATATTAATTGATTGAGCCTTGGAAAAGCATGTTGGTCCTTTAAAGACCATCTCCCCTAACGAATTTACCTGCAGTAGTCCCGCGTGTAATTGAGATTTTGTGTGGGATTGATTGGTTGCGTGCCATTTTCCCATGTGAAGAGCGTCTTTAAGTCAATGGATGCGAGACTGTTATTGACGTATCCTATGAGTGTCCCTTTACTCGAGGGATCGCCATTTTGTCCCGAGTAGACCATCTTGTAGACGAGCTTGGGAATAAATTCGGAGGTAAAAGCCAAAACAAACGCGTTCACCAACACGGAAATCTTAGTGATGGTTTCCAATACAGTGTACCAGGCTCCTATGTCTTCAGCTCGGACGGCATCAGGACGGCGGAAGTGGCACAAAAAGTTGATGGCATCCAAGCGAATCTCTACGATTACATTTAGAAGTGCAAACAATGGGCCAAGAGGAAATGCAGCCACAAACATGGTTATAAAGCCATACTGCAGAACTGAAGGTAAAAATGACATGAGTGATTAAAATGAAGTTTTTAAATACGCTTCTCTGATATATTGTCGAGACTCACCCATTTCAAGGTATTCCCAGAACATGAAATGCTGCTCCAATGGACTCAAATCAAAATCTTGTTCATACTGTGGTCGATCACCAACCTTCTCCTGGCCTCGCCTTTTCCATAACAACATTATGTACCTGAAGAAATAAACGGATCTCCGTTAATGATTGCGCTGCTCAACTGGTCAAAAAGTCACGAACTTTGGGGCGTACATACGCCAGAAGGGTGTCCTCAAAATATTGAGACCATTTGTACTTCTGCTTGCGCTCCTAAACTGTACTATAAGTAAATATTTTCTCTTTTAGCCTATTACATACCATGGAAAGAATAACAAATTACATCATTAAGTGTATGAGTAACTTTTGTTGGTGTAATATCCTCCTGGCGTTTTAAAAAACTTGACTAGACACGATGCAAAATATAGAACCAACAGACCGCAAATTTATGTCTTCTCTTTCAGATAGATGAAACTCCAACCGAAAAATGTGACTGACACCCGGACCAAGAGAACAAACAAAAAAGTAAGCGAAAAAAAACACAACAACGTCAGTGATGGCAGCAAAATCCATAGGGCACATCAACCACAACCTCTTTTTTTTTTTTTTTCTTGTTGTTGTTGTTGTTGACCCAAAAGCTCATTTAACTACTTCTCCTTCAATAAAACAAATCATATGAAAGTACTCACGGAATTCCAATTTCTGTGATGTTGTAGAAAATTTGTTGTCCAACCATAATGATAGCAATCTGAATGGCCAGCTCCAGAAAGCATCCTTGCTCGCTACACCCATCCAGTCTATATTTACCCAGCACTCTTCTGTACCTGCCTGGAGTCCCAACAATCATTTCTGACTTGAAGAAAGCGATGTAGAATATAGAAGTATAATTGTTGAAAAATTGGAACAGGGCCATCTTGCGGATGAAGCTATCTTTATAAGCTGTTTTAGTGGGATGGTTCTCCCAGTCTGTCAGAAAGACAGCCAGTTTGTTGTAGACGAACTTTAAAATCGTGATTGCTATCAGGTTAAGCAAGCCTGCTGTAGCTGTTGTCAGGATCCGGGCCCCCTGCTCAATTTTCTCGTCAGAACTGCTGCTGAAAACTGCGAAAACTGCTGCACGGTACACAACCACACCTACCATTGCTGCAATCACAAGAAGGATCATGAAGGCAATGGCGTTGCACACAAAACCCAATCGTCGAAACTTCTTGATTTTGAAAACATTTGGGCCGATTTTTCCGGTTAACGGGTCAGGTTTGTAAGGATTAAGCTCTTCCTCAGTCAGGCTTGCTAAGTACTCTGGGCGAAATTCTTCTTCCTCTTCTTCAAACTCTGATGTGTGCCACTTTTGGGCGAGGACAGCTTGACGACGTTTCCAGAATTCAAGAAAAAGTGACGCCCATATGGATGCGATGAAAGCCAAAGCCACAGTTCCATTATTGTCAAAATAATGCGTTAATTTGGCGTAAATACATGTATCTGGAGCTAAATTCCAATAGCTACACTGTCGATCGCACAATGGGCACATGTACCATCGACCCCTGTTGTCTTCGTTGCACATGTCGTGTACTGGAATATGAGAACCAGTTGAGATAATGCCATAAAGAAAGACGATCAAAGAAATCATTGCAAGTGGAACCAGCATGCCAGAGTAAAATCCAAGCCAGGCGAAGTACAAGCCGATTTCATGGCCAAAGTATTCTTTGATGGCGTCGTAAGGCTGGTATTTGAAAATTCTGCCAAATCTTGCCCAGTCTCTCTTCAATTGCTGGCGTTTGTTTTTTGGAGACTCGCCACTTTCTAATCGATGTGTTCCTTCATGCAAAGGATAACATGCCAGATATACACCATCATAAAGAAGCTTCGAGAGACCCACGTCATCCGGTTGATCTGAGAATGGAGTGCTATGAAGGATTTGCTGCAGAAGATGTTGGCGATCAGTGACTGGAAAAAGCGAATTTTCACCGACATTCCGATCAAAGACATACTTGGAAAGATGATCTCTTTTGAATTGGCCCATGAAGTAATCCGTATTTTTCTCAATAGATGCATCACGAATCTTAAAAGGGTTTCTCCTGTTAATGGCCGTAACTACAGTTGATCCCAGCAAGTACTCCATCCAAGAAGTAAAAGTGGTGTCGTTAACCAGAAAGGGAACCTTCAGTTTTGCAGACTCGGCTCTTTCAGCGAGAACTTCCAAGGGAGCGTGAACCAAGACAAAATGCCTTAAAACCTCAGTATCCTTTTAGAAGAGAAAAAAAAAGATAAGATTAAATATGTAACGGAAACTTTTTTTTATTATTGAAATGTGACGGAAAGTCCATAATAAATGCAATTTCCCTTTCCAAAACTTTTTGCACAAAAATAACTTTGAAACAAAAGTTAAGCCGAGGAAAGTGGACTCTGACCTTCTTAATCCAGATTTGCGCAAACAACCAAATGTTGCGAAACGCTTCTCTCCTTTAAAACCAAATTATTTCCTAGATGCGTACTTACTAGGTCATGAAATTTGCTCATATTTGCATAGTAATCGATGTGTCATCTCTTATCGTCCAAGTCACTTTCATATCCATAAAAAAATTTTAATAAAACACGAGCAAAATTTAATTGAGAATCAACATCAAACCTCACAAAAATAGAAAACAATTCTTCTTACTGTTAATTGTTACCACTGTTTGAATTAATAACGAGGCTCTGATTGAAAGTCAGAAATGCACTAGCTAGTCGGCTTTTGGTTTACTTTTTATAAGTGGCAAGGCGTGCAGCGTTAACGGTAACGCTTGGCTAGTTTTCTATTTACTAAACAGATCAAAAAGCGGTCTTACCTGTTGAATCGCGCGTGTCTGTCGCTGAAGGATTAATCCTCGTCTTTCGAGCTGGTTCTCGAAATATGTTCTTTGAGTCGTCAGTTTAAGAGCGACAGCCGCAGATTGTTCACTTGCTTCTTCATTTTCTTCACAAGTTTCAAACACCAACACGTAATCAATTCTTCGCCTCGGCTCACTACTGCTCAAATAAACTCCTTCGTTATCATCCGTGATAAAATTTTCTGAAACAGTTTCATACTCTTCTTCGTCCAAAAGTCTTGATAATTGTGTTTTACTCATGTTCGGCTTGTTGAAAGCAAACTGAACTCAAGTAGCACTTCGTGACTCGAAAAGTGTTCAAAACCACTAAATCACTTCCCCTTGAGGCACTATACTATTCTTTGAAAACAATGCTACGTGCCTTACTCGGTATTTCTGGAGTTCACTCGAGGACAAAGTCTACTCAAATGAGCATAACAATGCAACTGCAGGACTTACTTACGCATTTTGATAAGAAAACCTGAACTAAATTAAAAACATTGGTAAAATCTTCACAGGGGCTTCCGAATTTTCTAACGCTGTCAATTCAAGATCGAGAACGACGCTTTTTAACTAATATGTTTAATTGGAGGCGCTTCTCTTCGGCAACGGTATCTAATTTAAATTCACTGTACTTGCTAGTCATTTATTAGATTTTTTTCTCAAAAGAGTCAACCTCCATCATGAACGGAGTTGAACGAACCGGCTTCTTTTATTTCCCAGCACGTTATAAATAGCTGCTAACGAAAAGGAGCTTGTGTTTTGGGTTACGTCCCACGAGCGAGAGCCTTAGCCAGTGAATTAATACAAAATTAAAGTCCTAATATATTTGCCTTCCTAAATTTCTTTACTTAAAACAATATAAATTCAGCTATAGAGCTAAGCACTAGCTGAAATGAAACTGTGAAAATGAAGCACAGACATTTTTTAAGCTCCCTATCTTCCACTCGCTCAAGCAGAAATCTGGGTGATTAAGGCAATTCTAAAATTTGCGGTGATGTTTTATTCCGTCGAGCTTATATTGGTCAGTAAATATCATATCAAAGCTCCTGCGTAAATACATATTTTATTTGCCGGCTGGGAGGTCCGTATGGTGAAAAACTGTGACCAAGGTCTTGAAAATACTGCCTGAGGTCACAATTTTTCACCATACAGACCGACCCTTAGCCGGTAAATAACATATTTATTTTTTTTAAACTTGACGAAATTCTTTCCGAAAGAACTCGAATGATTTAGGGCTGTAAATACGGTAAGATCTTCCATAAACTGACCAATTTTTGAGCGAGTAAATGGTAGTTAAAATAGAGGTGATACAAATTAAATAGAGATGCCTCACCGAAACATTTTCATTTCCGTAACGATGAAGGTGATTTAAAAGGCTTCCAAACAAACTTTGAAACATCTTTTTTTACAAGTATCTGTCACAATCTGACACCTGTCAATTAGGGAGCGCGTAAGAAAAAAAAAGCGCAAGAACCTTTGAAAAACAACGGAACTAGTTTGGCAAAGACTGTCACGACAATGTTTTCTTCAAAAACAGTCAATGATCTAACGGAAAGTATTATTCTCTCTCATCGACGATTCATTCATGTACGAAGATTTACCTCTGTTCATTTCAAGTAAACGGCGAGGAGAGTAATTGTGAGTAAATTCAAATTTTTTATTTTGAAGTTGCGAGAGTTTGTTCTTTTGTTTGCTGCAATGGCGTGTGTAAATCTGGTCTTTCCTCCACAAAAACTAAATTCGAATGGCACCCTCCGATGAAACACATGGGGATTCAAGCGGCCTTTTCTCATTAATTTTCCTTCAGTTTCTGTTATGCAATTTACAGTACAAATGTCCAAATTGAACGGACTTGGAAAGAGTCACCGAGAACGTATATTTGTTGTAGAACTTAAATTAAAACGTCGCTCGCTCTTTCACTACGAACAAATTGTTTGAGAAAATTCAGATATTAAATGAATGAAAGTTCCATCGTTCAGTTTAACTGTAACCAAATACTTCACGTTTTAAGTGATTTCAGAGAGAGGACCGACGTGTTTGCTTAAAAATACTCCCCAGCCGGAAAAACGAGATATATTTATGAAAAATGGCAACGAAAGTTGGGATGTACTCGGCGACTCACGGAAGCGTTACCGTGGCCCGTGAGGAGAGATAGGAAAATACTGACCGGGTAGAGAACAAATCAGATTGCAGGATTCGTTACCGTGCCCTCTCAAAAAAATAATTTCTTAGTATGTCTCCATTTAAAGACAAATGTCAACCTCCGTGAGGCGTTAAGCTGACAGAACTGGCTTTCCGCTCACGAGTTATTCCTACTCCCGTTTCTCTCGCGGAGTAGAGTTCACCCAAATTTCAATCTCAATTAAGGCAAATAATTTATCCAGTTCACGATGAGTAAGAACCTAAAGTTTATATATCCGAGCTACCACTTTGAAAAAATCTTCATCCAACAACAAGCGTGTAACAGTATGACTGTGCAAGCTACCTCCCAACCCTCCCCCCCTCCCCTGCATAACTTAACCCTCCCCACCAAGGCCTTAGAAATGAAATTCATTTCATTAATAAAAATTGTCTTTAAGTGATGGCCTTAATATGGCAACAAGCAGCAGTTCCGTTTGAGAAAGCGTAACTGAAGTTAATGTTTTGATAAGACTTATATTAAGGCCCAGCCAGCATAACAGGCGTAATTTTTTTCATGTTTTTCAGGCGAACGGAGGCGAACGAGAGGCGAGCGCGAAGTGTTAGTCACGTTCGAGGAGAGAAGCACAGAGAAAAATAACGCCCGCACGCATACTATTTTTCAAGATCTTCCGCCCCTTCATACACCTCCAATCAACAACTAATCCCAAGTGCTGACTTTTAACGCCTGTGTGTTATTTCATTGGATCTCTGTAAATTTCTCGTCTTCAGCAAGCATAAATGTTTGTAATTTCTGTCCGCCTGGGTCGAAGTATAAATTGTTTGCAGGTGGGGTTTTGATAATTTGTCATCATTTAGAAAGGAAACCATTTTTCCAAAACGCAAACGTGTTCTTTAGTTAAGCTAATGGCTCCTTATCTCTTTATTCCCTCGTTCCTCGCCTTCCTTTCGTTTAACAAAATGCTATTTCCTTATTTGTGTTCCCCAAAAAGAATAACATGGCTACACAGCTAACCTTTCTCCCAGAGTTCTGTGATCCTTTCCTCCTGGTGCATCCTGACTATAGCACCCGCCACCCAAGCGGGTGGTTAATACACACAGTCATATTTCTGCCCGGCGCTGACATATGAAAACCGCAGGAGTGAAAGTTATAGAACTAAAATAACTTAAAAGTAAAGACTAGGATCTCAATTAACGTGCGGCTACCGAACCCTTCTGGTTATAATATGATGGCACTCTCCTCTATAGCCTGGTTATTTGTCCCAAACTCTGCGCGTCCTTACACTGGCTCGGAGAAGTTGATCAACTAATAACTCAAATCACAGGTCGAAATGAAAAAGTTTATTTTTCGCTAACCACAAGAATTGTATCAGGATAAAGGCAGGGTGCTGACCAAAATATCTTGAGCTGGAGAGGAAATTCTCACACTCAGCTTTTGATTCCAGAGCAACCTCCAAAAGCTTTTAAGGATGACAGTGTAGACTTAACACCGATCATTTTTAAAACCAGCATGCCTCATCTGGTATATGGCAATGTTTTGGCCTGGAGAAATTCAAGGTGTGACTTGATGATGGGAGACACTTTAATTTTAGAGATCTTTAATGCTGTAATGCTAATGATTACTGAACTCAACATCACGTAGAGAGGACGTTTTACAATTAATGATAAACCAAATGCATCGCAATATTGATTAGATGATGGCAAAAAATCAATAGAAATACGCGCGTCATATTTTTTCATGCACGCCCGGAAGGTCCTGGTAGCTTGATGAAGAAATTTTACTCCTGAAACATTATGAAAGACTCTTAGTGACGAAATTACTTTCCATGTATTTATAGACGCTTTTCCTCTTATGATAACTTGTTTTCTAGCTTATGGGACTTGTCAGCGGCAGTGGACTACAATAACAGAATCAACCAGTCTCACTTTATCTCACAATAATATACGTAGTTTTGCTGTTTAAAAGCCTGGGCGTAGATTCCCCCTCCCTTCCCCCCCCCCCCCTCCCCCAGAAAAAATCAATTTTAAGCATTCAAGTTCTTACTGATAATTTTCTAAATTTTTATCGTCTTTTTTATGTAAATAATGAATTGAAATTGGGGTAAGAAGTTGCATGTGTATCACACCTAAGATAATTAGGGTTAAGACTCGTATGTTTGATCAAATTTTTTGCTTTCAACGTTGATTTCATCCAGGGCATCCTCATAATGTGTTACGTTATCATCCTCTTCTTCCTTAAGTTCCTCGATGTCACTGTCGTATTCAGGAGTATAGAACACTGTCTTGACCATTTCTCTTTCTCTTTCCATAATAAACTGCAGCTCATCAGGCTTGTCAGGCACCAACCAAGCAATAAATCCTGTCACAGTGTAAACTACAAACTGAAATACGAACACGAAGGCCAAACGAGCAGTTAGGAGGTGCCAGTATGCTTTGGAGAAGCCATACGGGTAAGTGCTATCATGGTATCCAGGGTATCTATTCACAGAGGAAACAGAACATGAAACGAATGCTTTTTTTTTGTGTGTATGGCAAATACTGTAGGGTAAACATCTGCCCCAAGACTATTGTACCTCTTGGGGAGCACAAGGAAGCTGAAAACAGCAATTAATCTAGGTTAGATCGGTCATTTCTAAGACAGATTTCATTTCAGAAAGACAGCAGCTCCAAATGAAGCTACCCTAAGTTACCATGAACCTCCCACCACTCTAAACACTCTATTGCTATTGCGATGAAAGCTATTTAACTACCTGCAATGACTTCTTGTGTAGTTTAGATTTTCTGTCGGGTTGTCTGGCTGGGTTCCATTTTCCCATGAGTAGAGGGTATTCAAATCTATGGCAGCTAGTGTAAAATTAACGTATCCCTTCAGAGTGCCTCCACCTGAGGAATGACGATCAGGAGCGTACATGACTTTGTAAAGGAGTTTCGGGATAAACTCTGAAGTGAAAGCGAGTATGAACGCATTCACCAGCACTGAAGCTCTTGTCACAGCTTCTAGGACGTCGTACCAGGCCCCTATGTCCTCAACACGGGCGACATCCGGTCGGCGAAAGTGGCACAAGAACTTGATAGCGTCCAGACGGATCTCAATGATGGTGTTGATAAAGGCAAACAACGGGCCGAGTGGGAACGCAGCCACAAACATGGTCACAAAGCCATACTGTAAAACTGAAATTAGTCAAGAATGATTCAATTCTGAGATTGCCACCCTTTGCCTCAGTGAGCATACAATCTAGATGTATCAGCAGAGGCCAAAATGCATTTTATAGACTAGTTCTATGTTATCTTGAGATAACAGGGCTTCTTACAGAAGCGGCTACATGAGGTCTCCACCAAGTAGCTGTAAATGGGGAAAAAAATTTCTGAAATGGATCTTTAGACTGTAACAGTAAAGTTGGTGTCGATATTAGCGAATCACGATGCGCAAGTTTACCAATTAAACGAGAGAAAGACCGAATATTATATTCAAATACACATCGATTTATTATGCAATATATATATATATATATATTTATTATCATCGTTATTATGACTATGATCATCATCATCATCATCATCATTATTATTATTATTCTCATGATTTGAATTTTTCAATGTTCCATTTGAGTTACAAATTTGCTCCACTTGCTTAGCAATCATGAACTTGGCCTTACAACGGCTTTTGAAAATTCAGCTGAGTTGAAAAGATATCAATTCTTACCAATTTCTAAGTACTCCCAGAACATGTAATGCTTTTCACATGCAGTTAGATCGTAGTCGCTTTCGTACTGACGACAGTCATCTGGATTCTCTTTGTTACGCCGATTCTTCAACAGACTCAAATATCTAAAACCAAATGAGAGCATGCGCACTTAGAATAGGCTGTTAGGTTTGAAACTGTGCTAACGAAAGAAATAAACAAATTCCGAAAAGATTCAAGCTCTCTAAAAGAACGTCCTTGGTACTTACGGCATCGCCATTTCAAATATATTGAAGAAAATCTGCTTTCCCACCATGATTATAAAAAGTTGAACAGCAAGTTCCAAAAAGCATCCCTGCTCGCTACAGCCGTCTAATCGATACTTGCTCATCAGCCTCCTGTATTTTCCAGGAGATCCCACAATAAGGTTTGATTTAAAGAAAGCAATATAAAATAAGGCTGAATAGTTATTGACGAACTGGAAAGAAGACATTTTCCATGTGAAACTGTCCTTGTAAGCGCTTTCTGTGGGTGGGTTTTCCCAGTCAGTGAGCCAAATTGCCAGCTTCTCGTACACTTTGGACAAAAACATTATAAAAACAAGATTGATAAGCGCAGCCGTTGCCGCCGTGATGATACGAGCACGTTTTTGAACATTGTTTTCCCTGCTACCACTCAGTACAGCAAACATGGCGGCACGGTATACCACTACGCCAACTGCAGCTCCGAGAACTAGAAGAATCATGAAAGCTACCACAGCAAAGACTGTGCCATATCTTCGGTACGTCTTAACCTTGGAAACTACAGGTTCTATTTTTCCGGTCTCTGGGTTACGTTTAAAGAGAAACATTTGCAACTGTTCTTTTGGTAAACTTTTCCTGTATTCAGGACGAAATTGTTCTTCTTCTTCCTCAAACTCAGAGGTGTGCCATTCTTGAGCGAGGGATGCTTGGCGACGTTTCCAAAACTCAAGGAATAGCGTGGCCCAGATGGCCACAACAAAAGCAAGGAACACAGTTCCATCGTTGTCAAGCAGATGCGTTGTGTAAGCATACATGCAGACGTCGGGAGCTAGATTCCAAAAGCTGCACTGTTTGTCACACAATGGACACATATACCAACGACCTCTGTTTTTCTCGTCGCAAAGATCTTGAACAGGGATGTAGGAGCCTGCTGAAATAACACCAGCGATAAATACCAGCAAGCCAACAATGGCAAGAGGAAACAACATGGCGGTGTAAAATCCGAGCCAGGCAAAATAGAGGCCGACTTCGTGTCCGAAGTAATCCTTGATGGCATCATAAGGTTGATGTTTGAAGAATCTGCCAAATCTTGCCCAGTCTGCTTTCAGCTTCTGTCGATCATTTGTTGCAGCTTCTCCTTCTTCCTGCGAATCTGGGCCATCATGAAGTGAATACGCAGCGAGGTAAGCCTGATCCAGAAGAAGCCTTTGTAGCCCGACCCCGTCCGGTTCTCTGGCAAACCGGGCATTTTGAAGCAAGTGTTGGACGATGTAGTGGCGATCCAAGACTTTAAAAAAGCTCTCTTTGTCCTCGTTGTTCACATACTCGCTCAAGTGATCTTCTAGAAAGGGAGCCATGTAAAAGCTCGGCTTTTCGCCCAGGGTGGAATCATGAAGGACAAAAGGATTTTTGCTCTGCAGCTTTTCGAACAATTTGTGACCAATTATATTCTCTATCCATGAAGAAAATACCGCGTCATTGGGTCGAAGAGGAACCTTTAATCTCATCCGCTCAGCACTCTGTGCCAACACATTCCAAGGCGCATGGATCAGCACAAAATGACGTTCTATTTCTGGATCCTGCATAATGCATGAAAAGTAAATTCAAAATTTTACATGAACATTGATGATATAAACAAGAGCTAATCGAATTTAAACTGGAAAAGGAGAGAATATGCGGCTGTATTATAAAACATTTCATCGCTGTCCCTTCCCCCGACAGAGTCTCTTCTAACGGCAACGTAATTCACCCAGATGGTTACTTTTCATGTAGCTAACGTAAGTAGTTCCTACTCTTAGCGTGTCGAGGTGATGGTACTTTTACCGCAAAGCTTTACAGGGTAAATATTTTTCTTCAAGGCTTTAGTGAGTACTTTCAACCATTACCCTGCAATTAATATTGAAATTCTCCTATTCGTTTGAGTTTATAAATCAGATTAAAGAATGTTAAAAGATCGATAAAATTCTAGGCGGCTATTGTTAGCTATGAAAACTTGGAGAATGAAAATTTACTGAAAAGCTCTGCGAATAATGCAAATTAAAACATGGCCTTATAAGCCTCTAAATAAACATTGAATGTGATAAAATGAAATAGCAATAATAGAATTTCTAATCTATAATTATTTACCTCCCCGATGATCACAGTCTTACGCTGCAGATCCAACCCTAGTTTATTTTCAAGGCATTTTTCAAATGAATATCGCCATGCGACAAGTTTCCTTTGTTTTGCGAGAGCATCATCATCCATTCCACTGACATCCTTTGGAGTTTCGTAAACCAAAACGTAATCAACATGCTTTTCGTAGGTTTTATTTCTCTTGTGTAGTTCGCTTGGATCGTCTTCAAGGGATACTTGCGATTTTTCATTCAACTCTATCTGGATGTTATCGATTCGGTCCAATCTCGCATAGGATCCCCTTTCCATATCAATTTTATATTTCCAGCTTTGCAACGGTGGCCAGGTGATGACAGGTGCGATTAGATTAAGGAATTCTTGTTGGAGAAATACGTTGGCAGGATGTGTTAGGTTCAATGTCCTTTTAAAGCAGGCGAAAATTTCAAAAGGCGTTAAGAATGGCTTCGAAATGCGAATCAGCGTTGAAAAACTCGCGCCGTTATTATTAATTCAAGCTGCTTTTATGATATTCTGGAAACGCATGGGCCCATGACACATGACAGCATTAATAATTTATTACTAGAAGTGATGCTTCTGTACTTGTAGTTAATGGAAATATCCGCTCAATTATCGTAAAGCGGCTTTGTGACAACAGTCCGATTCATCATCTCATGCGAAAGTAAAGTAATTATACTGCAGGAGCACTATTTCGACTAAGTAACTATCGGTCATAGCGAAGTATGTTAAATAGAAACAAATCGCTTTCAAAGCGGTCAAAATTTTGACAGGAGCTTGGCAAATTTTCGTCCTTTAAATGGTTTTTACTGGCTCGCTATATTTGGATGTTTTCCAACGTTTTTGGTGTAGAGAAAACTCTTCATGCTCGAAAACATGAAGGTTAAACATAGATGATATGCAATGAGGAAGATAACCTTTTCAAGGAACATAGTGGTACTTTTTTTTTAAATTATCATGTGAGTCATTATTACGTTTTGGGCTGAGGAGTATTCAGAAAAACACCTGTAGCTGAGAATGAAGCGAGCGTTCCAGGGGGTGACGAAACAAAACAAGCTGACTCATAATTCCACCAGCAAAACTGAACAAAAACGTGGATATAGAACACCTGGTATAATAAGGAGGGCGTTGGCGGTTTAAATGACTAACTGGTACGTACAAATGGAGTAAATTATAAACCGTATGAATGACTGGTAAACACTAGAGTAAAACATGTTAGGTACACCGTTATGATAAAATTATGATAAAGGATGATACCTATTGTGGCATGGCAAATAATAACTTCAGACAGAGTTTTGCCGAAATTTTTTCAAAAGGTTGTAATTGTTATCCTCTGGTGTTCTGCATCACATACGATTGATATCATCACAGGTAAAAAACTTCTAAATGACATTTGTATCCAGCGGTGTCCATTGGCTTGACTGAGGACCCTTATTTTCAAGAGAACTGAATTTCTTCAGGCTACCATCGGTTATTTTGTGCGGAGGCTTTGTGCATTGTAAACCCATTTCAGGTTTATGAAAAGGAATTCGAACTGGAAGAAAAAAGATAAAGAAATAATGCTGTTATTCCCTTAGGAAATTAATAATCATGTTTCTTTTCACACTGCAGTTGAACGATACTTTTATTACCTGTGATAAGAGGTCTGATAAATAGGGACAGCTTTACCGCTGTCTAATCCTTTTGGGACGGAGAGATTTAAAATGTCCGCAATAATATAGGAAATTTCATTTCAAAGGTTTTCCTCGAACTTATGTGTGAGAATCAGAGGCTGCTTGTGAGAGTATCCTGTGACAAAGCTCTCTGTCAACTTAAAAGGGAGACAATGAAGCAATTATCGAGAACGCTATCACAAACCCTAAGGGTTTTTCAATTCTCATCTTAGATGAAAATGATCATTTGTAACTTTGCAGGCGATGAATTGAAGATTCAATTGTAGTTTATTGCAATCTCACGCTGGGTCTTTTACAGAGAAAAAAAACACTTTACAACCAACGATGCTTTTCGTTCTTAACATTTAACTCTAGAGCACCAAGCGAAATAATCAAACACTTTTCTAGATTAAGGTTATCAGTAACAGTTTCTCAACTAAACCACTGTTTATATAACAGGGAGTTGAGTATGTTAAAACTACTGGGAATAATCAGCACGGAGAGCCAAAATATAAATGCAAGATTCGAAAATATCGAATTATTTTGAGATATGGTACTTGCTCTGAAATGCAATAGAACATGAAATGAACATTCTTACGTCTCAAAATTTAGAAGGGTCAAAACCGCGAAAATTGCTTATTATATAAAAATAATTCAACCTTTTACCAAAAGGAAATTGTGAAGTACAAGATATTCCTACATGTTCAGAACACATTGCACGCAAGTAAATTTTCTTTAAGCTATGAGCCAACTAATATGAAAAGGTTTAACTACGTAGAAAAATTTAAAGCCCTTGGAAACAATTGAAAAATGGGCATTTGCAATGGCGACAATGAGAAAACTTTTCGTGTATTCCTCATTTAGCTGAAAGAATAATTTTTTAAGATCTGAAATTTACCTTTTATATTTGTGGCTCGTAATGGTCAGTTATGTATTCTACTTCTACAGTTGTTTTGAAATTATGTCAAATATTGATCTCATTACAGCATCTCATTATCTGGGGGTACGTGATGGTCACCATTGCTTTCATCAATATCATACTTCTTTCTAAACGCCAACTTCGTCAAATGCTGTTCTCGTTTGGCCTTCAAATCCAGATCCTTTGGAACATCAGGTACCATGTAGGCGATGAAACTTGTGATGAGGTACACAAAGAACTGGAACACAAACACGAAAGCGAGGCGGGCAGCTATCACGTGCCAGTAATGCTTGTTCTGTTTATAGGGTGGATCCGATGCAAAATAGCCATTATACCTAAGACATACAAATAAAGAATCACTTTAGTCATAGATAAGCAATGTGGCAATATGATGTAATATCTGGAAGAACTTGAAAACCCGGTCAATGATTCCCTGAGACTAGAACCCAGTCCTCTTGCAGTAACCACAAGGACACAACATGTCAAGTAAAGTTTTGCATAAAATGATGAAATATATGTTTGCATTTTATGAGAAAAAAAGGGGCTGCCTCGATATCGTTAACAAAAACAACAGCATTTGATAAAAATAAAAAGGAGAGAAGAGGAAACAAATTTAAAAAAATGCCGTTACCTGCATTCTTTCCTGGTATAATTAAGATTTTCAAGCGCATTTTCTGGTTCTGTTCCAGGTTCTTGCTCGAACAGGTATGTGATATTAATATACGCCAAAGAGTTGTTGATGTATCCATTCAAGGTGCCTCCTCCTGGAGATTCGCGGTCCGGAGCATACTTCATTTTGTAAAGAAGCTTTGGGATGTACTCTGATGTGAAGGCCAGCACAAAGGCATTTACCAGGACTGAAATTTTTGTCACACCCTCAAGGATTCGGAACCAGGCTCCGATGTCTTCAGCACGTGCAGCGTCTGGCCTCCTAAACTGCGATACAAAGTTGATGGCGTCTACACGGATTTCAGTTATAGCAGTAAGGAGGGCAAAGAGAGGACCAAGAGGGAATGCAGCCACGAACATGGTCACAAATCCATACTGTAAAACTGCAAGTTGAATAACATGCATATATTAGACAGTATATAGATCGAACGTTACGTGTCCGAAGCATGGGCACCTTTTCAATGTGTTTGCTGAAAGAAAAAAAAGACATCGTAGCCTTGATGACGCTTACCTGTTCCTCCCTTTTAGTCACTGTTGATCTAGGATTGATTTCGATCAAAGCACCGCCCAGTTTATAGAGTTACACAATTTGGACTAATAAATAACTTAAATACATCGCTTAATTTTTGTTTGTCAGAGGTTTCCAAGAAATGTTGAATTACGTAAGGTCTGTAGAAAACAATCCAAACTGCGATCTCTTGTGGAACGGCGGATGAAGCTTCTAATGTGAACTTGTCACTGAATCACAAAAATATTACAGCTTACCAACTTCGAGATACTCCCAAAACATGTAATGGTCTCCTTGAGGACTCAGATCAAAGTCAAGCTGGTACCGTGGTTGGTCTTGGTTAGTTTCTTTGCGCCTCTTCAACCAGTACATGACATATCTGTGAAGAAATTATGATAACTTATTAATAAGCATTGCAATTGAAAACCGCTAGTTAGCAAGGCAAAGAACCAAGTCAAAGTAATAGTTGTAAAATCAAGAGAATATGAGAAGCCGATATACTCTGGGTGGAATTTATAATACAAATTTACTTATACAGGCAGAGTGCAGTAACGTTTTCCACTTGAAACTAGAAGATACGCAAATTACATGTTTCAAGATTGTTGAAAGATATAACTCTAACTCGTCAAGAACACAGTTTTAGATGTGATATCGTATTCTTAGTTCGTTTGAGAGAGAGGTTACTTTCTTATCGGGTTTTTTTAACGACCTATTTTGTTACTTACGGTATAACAACTTCGGTGACGTTGCCAATAATCTGCTGCCCGACCATGATGATGAGAAGCTGAACACAAAGCTCTAAGAAGCATCCTTGCTCGCTGCAGCCATCCAATCGGAATCGACCGCCTATGCGCTTGTACCTGCCAGGGGTTCCAACCACTAAACCTGACTTGAAAAAGGCGATGTAAAAGATTGAAGCATATGTATTCACAAATTGGAACAAGTACATTTTCCAAGTGAAGCTGTCTTCGTAGTCGGTGCGCGTAGGCGGGTTCTCCCAGTCAGTCAACCAGACGGCCAGTTTGCTGTAAGCGAACTTCAAGAGGTTGATTGCGAGAAGATTGAGGAGAGCTGCAGTTGCTGAGGTAATAATCCTGGCACGTGTTTGGATTTTTTTGTCTTTGTTTCCACTTAAGGAAGCAAAAACTGCAGCTCGATAAACGACTACACCAACCACAGCAGCGATGACAAGGAAAATCATGAAAATGATAATACTAAAAACCCCACCATACCGCCTGTAAATGGTTAACTTGGGTACGTACGGCTCCATCTTTCCAGTGGCTTCATTTTTCTTCAGGGTAGTTACGGTTGAAGAGTACTCAGGACGAAGAGGTTCCTCTTCTTCTTCAAAGTCATCTGTGTGCCACTCTTGAGCAAGACTAGCCTGCCGACGCTTCCAGAACTCAAGGAACAGCGTCGCCCAGACAGACGCGATGAGAGCTAAGCCCACTGTCCAATCATTGTCAAAGAAATGTGTGACGTAGGCATAGAGGCAGGTGGACGAAGCTAGATCCCAGTAGCTACACTGCCTGTCGCACAATGGGCACATATACCATTCGTCTATGTTTCCCTTATCGCAGACATCTTTGACTGGAATGTGAGAGCCCGCGGAGACAATTCCATACAGAAACACAACAAGACCAACGATGGCGAGAGGTACTAACATTGCCGTGTAAAATCCAAGCCAAGAAAAGTACAGGGCGATTTCACTGCCAAAGTAATCCTTGATTGCTCCATACGGCTGGAATTTATAAAACCTTCCAAATCTGGCCCAGTCTCGATGCAATCGCTGTCGATCATTTGAAGGCTCCTCATCGGGTTCAAGTGCAACGGGACCATCATGAAGTGGGTATCCTGCCACATAGGCACCTTCATAAATCATTCTTCTGAGCCCAACACCATGTCGACCTTCTGCAAAGCGAGCATTGAAGCAAATTTGCTGCACAATGTATATGCGGTCAATGTTGTCAAAGAACTCCGCCTTGTTGTGGTGATTGACAAACTTGGTAACCTCAGCTTCCTTGAAGTTAGCCATGAAGTAGCTGCCTTTGTCTTCCAAAGTAGAATCTTGCACAATCAAGGGATTTCTCCGACGCAGTGACTGCATTCTTTCGCTTCCGATTGTCTTCTCCATCCATGATTTGAACACAATATCGTTTTCTTGAAATGGAACTTTGAGACGCATCGCCTCCGCTTTTTTCGCCAGTACGGGCCACGGAGCATGAATAAGGACAAAGTGTCGCTTGACTTCAGGATCCTGGTAGAAAAAACATACATAAGATTTAATCTAAAGAAGTTTCGATCAACAGATGCTACGTTCAGAAACGTAACAAAGCTCTTTTCAATAAATCGCTCGCTTTTAAACTAGTCTGGGGATAAAAGATTTTTGCCTGCCCTAAATCAAGCTAGGCCCAAGCGTATTTGATAGAGGTAAGTTAAATTTGTTAAATTTATTGGCTAACTCTCTATTTAATTTTTGGACGATTTTAATGACACACGAACACATGTTTGTTTGAACGCTTACTAGTAGTGTTCAGTATATTAACTTTAAAAAGGTGGGCGAAATTTATCTCAATAAGGCAATAATCGAGAGTCATATGATATTTGAAGATGATGGCAATTGTATATTGTTACGTAATTAACTGCTCAGTTTTCCATAACTCGTGATCGTGCCCCTTCAATGAAGATGGAAGGAAACTTTCAGCAAGCAGCAAGAGTTTTTTTTAACTTTTCTAACTTCCTTTTGATAAAATTTAGCAATTTTAGCATTTCGTGAAGTACATTTTACGCCCTTATTGGCCTCTACCATTATACGTTTCGAGTCTGGCATTAACTGAACTTGCTCCGAAGGGTTTATGAGAAAGACAATGAAATATTAGCATTAGATCAATGATATTATTGTGTGAAGCTTGACAATATTGATCATTACGATAAAGCGTGCAGTTTTGTTTTTTTCTCAAGGTAATTTCAAGCAACATATATAATTGAAAAGCATCATCTTTTCCATCCATTATCATGCGTGTTCAAACAAAGCAAGAAGGAGAATTGGCAATTCATGATGAATAACAGAGCTCGGCAAACTATGAGAACAACAACCAGCGAGGGTAGCCCCACCTGTGCAGAGACGATCTCATCGTATTCTATTTTAAGCCCTTCTTTCCTTAAGCAATCTTCAAAAGCTTTCCGTTGATATTGCTTACTGTCATTTGAATTAGCTTGGTCCTTTTGATTTGTTTCATAAACTAACACGTAGTCGATGTGCTTTGCTGGCTGTGCATCGTCGCTGAAATATACTCCTTTCGGCAATCTTCGATCTGATTCCTCCCTTAATTCTAGCTGTGTATTGTCATTTTTATCCTCTTCATCTTGGCTTAATCTGGAATAGCCGTTTAATCCATTTTTCATCTTGGGTTTCCTGTATTTCGGTAAGCTCTTCAGTAAAGCGTCAGTTTGGCTTAGAGAATAAATGGGCGTGATAAACTTATGCTTCTCGGCTCATTGCTTTCATCGTAAGGTAAGATTTTGTATAAGAAATCAGGCACGGGTGCTTTGTTTCCTTAAAAAGATTTCGCATCATTGAACACATTGTAATGAGCTAAGCTATATCACTCACGCGTTAAAAGTTGAGTTTTGAACTTTCTAGGGTTTTTGAAATTTCAAAGACAGTTGTTTTGAACATGTCAGTTCTCGCGATCGATGTGCGTCGATGACGTTTCTCCCGCAGAATGTACGCAGTTATACCTACTCAAAGTTCTCTGCTGCTCTACTACGGCCTATGCAGAGTACGTAGTACGCCTAACAAGTGAATTTTTATTTTCAAACTCAAATATACCAACTTTTGCCCTAGCTACGTTTAACAGCAATCAGGAGCATAATGTTTTCATAATGTTTTAAAGAAAGGTGCTGTTCTAACAAGCGGACTCTGCATGCTGCACACTGACCTATCATTTCGTCACTGTGCTTACAACTAAAGCAAGAAAACTACAGCGAATAATGATAACTCACTGGGAAAGTTAAATAGTGCTTTTGTGTGGCAGTAAGTCGTTTTCGCAATTTCTGCTGTAGCAACCGACTTTCTGATGCATGATAATACATGAATAGCTCGGAGAAGAAAGAATTGACAAACGTTACTGAATACTAAACAAGAATATGCGAAGAGCTGTGCTCTGGGTTTTTAAGTTTTTTTCAAGCCTTTACCGAAGATTCTATTTGCTGGATGCTGGTATTTTTCATGAGCTCTCTAAATAAGCATGCATGTCCTGGGAGAAAATGCTCTAAATATGTTTAAATTAAAATATAAGGTTGATTCAAATCGAGGAGAAGAGTGAAAGTCGTTGTCTATAGTGACCAAAACTTTACTTCAAGAATGTCAAATTATGGCTAGTAGCTTCTCAAAGGTATATTATTCAATTTTGGAAGATAAGTAAATTTTCAAATTCCTAAGTAATTGTTACAAGATGGAAATAGAATTGCTTTAGTCCTTTTAATTTTCAGTTTCAGTATTAATGGCGATTGAATCCGGGAAGGTAAAATACTCTTCATTTACATTTCCTGTTTACATCCAGCGGTGAATGCTAATTTAGCAAGGGTCGTGTATTCCCTGAAGGATTTTCCACTATGAAGGACAAACAGAAAATAAACCCCTAGGAAAATGAAGTCCTCAATAGGAAGCACGTACCCCAGTTTGCGAAAATCGATCGCAATGATTTTCCGAACGCTTTCATCGCTCAGTCTTTTAGATAACAGATCAAGTTGGATGCTTTTGAAAGTCAAATGATTTTATCTTTGTCTTTCTTTGTAAACAGCAATCGACGGTAAAATATTCCGATTTGTTCTGAATTCAATTTTTTTCACTGCTAAAGGCAAAACATTAAGAACAACCCTCGCCAAATTTTAGATGAAATATTCAGAAAAAGCTCGAAAGAATTCTAGCTATTATTAGAAATACACGCTCGATTTAGCAATCAACGTAGCGGAATATTTATCTTCTCGCAGAATATTCGTGAATTCTCGACGAAGAGATTGTTTATCCACAAATTTAGAGTTAATGTATTGCCAAGCGTGTTACCAAGCACAACCAAAGTTGATTTTCAAGAATTTCATTCAAGAGGACTGATTCTGTTATAAAATTACGTTTTGCTGCTTGATTAAACTCACTCCAACCCTTGCGTGTGAAGAATGACACTGAGTTGACCGATGGAATTCTGAAATAACCTCAGAAATCTAGTGAATTCAACGCTTTTCTTTAACTTTCCCGTACGGAATAAGAGATAACGCTTCATATTTTGCAAACAAAATAAATAAATAAAGGCACTCATTCGAAAAACTTCTTTGCAAAGAGTTTGAAAGTACTTATGTAATAGAGCGGTAGTCAGACTAACTACACTGAGTTTGTTTTGGCTACGCTTCAAATGTACGCAATGAATCTGCTAGGTCATCACTAACCTGAGATGATATACACTCTGACCGTTCTAGGATTAACCCAGCGTTTGCAAGACTTTCTTCATACGCCCTCCTCATTTCCTCATGTTTATTGGCTTCTTCCTTGGCTTCTTCATCTTTATTTTCTTTCTCCTCGCAACGCTCGTATACAAGGACATAGTCGATTTTCTTTCTCGATCCTGCGTCGTCCAAATACAATCCCTTCGTCTCTGTCTGTTTGGAGTGGAAAGATGGCTCCACCATATTAAGAAGAATGTCACCATCTTCGGTGGTTTTCGTGTAGGCGACAGGTTTCGCCATGAGAGCTCGATTTGTGGCGTAACTCTACAGTGGCGTTGACAGAAGCGACGAACTCGCTGAACTTTGCAATGGGTGTGACAGAGGGCGAATATATTTGCATAAAATACAAATTAGATGTAATTGCCTTACAAATATAATGTATCGCGCGTGTTGTTAAAACTCCAGGTGCTGTATATCTCTTGAATGAATACTGTCATTTTTCGGCGAAAAATCGAAAAAAATAAAGGAGAAAAACTAGAGAGCACATTTCTAACAGAGATTGTGGCGCGCAACGAAATGATGGATGTATGTCAAAATATTATGCTCCTTTTTCACCCACTTTTCAAAACACCTGCCACTTGAATTATTCATGTATATTTTTTCTTTCACTTGCACAAAAACACAATCGGTTCTGGACTTTTCAGCGAAACGCTGCGGAGCAGGTTTCGCGCTTAAGCGCGCGCTTTAGAGTGCGCATTGGATATGAGATGGAATCAGAGCACTAGAGATGCGATATTCAGAGTTAGAAATTCAGTAATCAAATTCAGCGCAGGCCTTATTTCAATCTATTCCGAAGCGACTTTGAAACATGCCCTCCCCTGTCTGTGATAAACCTTTTAAATATATTTCGAGCACAACCTACCATAACCTTTAAGCTGATCTCATGTACATCTCATTTTCAAGGAAACGGTTTACTGACACTTATCTTGTAAGAATACAGGACACTTGATAAATTTTCCATTTCAGAATAGCACATTTTCTTTTATCTTCGAGCAACAGGGAAAGTACGCAATAGCTTCAAGATCATTAGTAGTTTAATACCAGTCACATCGAGTTTCATACCAAATACATCGAGCTCCTTTTGCTTTCAGCTTAACAGTACATCAGTTTAGTTGGCGGAAAATGTCGGGAGAATTGAGGCGAGGGATCATCATAGATATTCATTAGTTTTTTATACTTATTGATGCAAAATGAACTTGATATTTGAATTTTGAACGTGTGATGCTTTTTGTAAAACTTAAGCAGCTTTTGATTAACATGAATAATTTTTGAACTGAAAACCTATCCTCAAGATTTTTCTTGCCTTATGGTATCATTTAAATGATCGCATCTCAGGTCCTACTTTTGTGGTTTCTCGAGCAGCGGAGAAGATGATTCTAGATTTATTTCCTTTCTGGCTCGTTCATTTTTCAGAATGAGGCGGCAACACAATCTTAACAATTCTTGAACCCTCTATACTTTATTATACTTTCCCCATACTGTTCTCCATACATTTGCTACGATGCTGATAAGGAGAATCTGTTTAACGATCAAGAGCTTCGTTAGTTGTGATCATTTCCTTTATTCTCATGACCTTAATGTTTGATTAAGGGATGATGTTGTTAGGAGAAATTAGATGCAGTCATTCTTGGGGGTCAAAGGGTTAATTTACAGAAGAGTCAAACTATTTTCCCAAGCTTTTTATTTCATAGGTACTGAGATTTACCCACAAAAATCGTAGTAAATAAAATTCGTACTGATTCTAAATGTAGCCAATCAGGAGTACGAACGACAAAATTTCACCGTGAAAAATTATCGTTCGTCCAATCAACAACGCGAACGACGAAATTTCACTAATGATGAATGAACGTACTGAAGAGAACGTCATGCGAGAGCCGTTGCACAAAACCCGCGCGCTTTGAAAAATGGCCGAGGGAAGGTTCGCTTCTGTTTACTCAGTTGAAGAATTCATTTTAGAAAACAAAAATACCGCTCAAAAAACTGAAAGAGATGTAAGATTGCTTGAAAGATTTTTGAAAACGAAGGACGAAGACAGGAAAATTGAAGATATTCCAGCGGCTGAGTTGAATGAATTCATTAGCGAATTTATCATCTCCGTACGCACTAAAGTGCGAGTAAGAGTGCGTACGGAGTACGCACTCTTTACATGACACTAAGTAGTTTGTTGGCATGGCTTCCTTTATTGTAATATTAATATACATTGAACTTGATTGATATCTGATGAACACAGGTAAGCTTAAGTGTTATGAACTTTATGCACTTTTATTAACTTGTTGTTGAGAAATTTTTAAACTACTTTTTACGCTTTTCATCGCCCCATTTGTGCTATTTGTCTACCAAAGACAACACGAAAAAATCTCAGCACCTATGAAATAAACACATTTATACAAATATTCTTGGTACATAGAGATTACTTCATGGAAAATGCGCGCGTACGATTTTCATTCACTCGTTGATACGTATCAGAAATCTCACTCGTTCGCTGCGCTCACTCGTTCGTTTTCTGATACTACACAACTCGTGAATAAAAATCGTACGCGCGCATTTTCCATGAAGTAATCTATATGTACCAAGAATATTTGTATCAACCACTTAGATCCTTAGACTTGTCTCCACATTGGTCATCAAACAAAGTTTCAGCCAGTCAAGCGTTGTTGCAGTTAATTACAGTTTTAATTTGTTAATAACAGCATACACAGCGACAACAACAAACACTACTACTACTACTACTACTACTACTACTACCTCTACTAAACAGATCGATTCTTAAACTAGCCTCCAAATTGGTCATTAAAAAAAGTTCCAGCCACTCAGATGTTGTTGCAGTCAATTGCTGTTTTACTTTGACAAAAACAGCAGCAACAACAACAAACACTACAACTACTTCTACCGCCACTACTACCATTTCGTCCAAAGCTTGGGGTATAAACTTGTTCCAAAGTCCTAAGGGCCAGTGTGACACAAGCAATTGTAGGTATGCACCAAATGGAATACGTTCAATGTAGTAGAAAAGGTGAGTTTTCCAAAATTTTTCATTTACGTCACCACTTTTGAGAGAGGTTAATTAAAATAACAGTTATTGTTGGATATATTTATTTTGATCATGCACACCCTCGCCGTCCTTCAACTGATGTAATTTCTCTTGCCACATCAAACCAGAAGTTTCCATTATTTTCTGAGTTAAAAAGACAGCGAAACCATGTAAGTTTGCACGATAACGTAACATTTTGATGAACAAAGGCTAGTCTGGAAACAACTAATCCTATAAGTAACACTCTAATGCGAACAAAAACGTTACATACAAAACCGTTCGAAGACTTTGATCAGGAGAACGAGTTAATCTAGTTACATTATATACTGAAGAATGGCATTAGAAAATCTTGGATAATTTCTCTTGGGTTAGTTTTTCCACGTTTGTTAAATGAAGAGTCCAGTCGCCAGTTTCAATCGCTCACGATCAGTTGCTGCAAACATAGAAAGGAAACCGATCAGCGCCTTACGAAATTTGGTGATTTTAACAAAGCCTCGTACCACGATCAGACAATGACATAGAATGGATATTCAGAATTTAATTCGTATGGACAAACATCACGGTTTTATCCTAACTTATTTGTTGAGTCATCTTTTAAGGTGCAAAAATAGCATTACGAAGTTAGACCCAGCAAAAACGGGAAATAAACAACACCACGCAGAAGAAATGTTTAGTTACTGTCATTTGAATGGGCACATATCAATGTTGCATATAAAGAATTTTACTTGAGTACACATTGAACAATATAAAAAACGTTGCCAAACAACAGCAGCGCCCAGCAGCTTTCACAAGGATTTCCTCTACAGATACAAATTTCCCACACAATAGCTCTGTTCGTCACAATGCTTTAGAAACTCATTTACCAACCTCACTAAGCAACTGCTTCAGTGTTTACATCGACCTCTTCGGTCTCTTTTTCTCGAAGGGCTTCCTTGGCCAGGAATTCTTCCCGTTTGATTTTCAGCGCCAGCAACTTTGGCTGATCAGGAACCAACCAGGCTAAAAACTTTCTGATTGAATAAACGATGTATTGGAACACAAATACAAACGCCAGCTTCGCAGCAATCACATGCCAGTGCTGTTTAGTGTAGGCATAAGGATATGCACGCTCGTTATAACCTGGGTACCTGCATTATCATCAAAGGGGGAAAAGTTAAATCGAACAATTTTTACTTTGCTAAAAAGAAAAAACATTCTCACGTCATAAAAAGTCTATTTATTAACAAAACGACTAGGACATTTTCTGAAAATGTTCTTCCATGCAACTCATTCAAGCCGGTACTTTTTAACGCCTCACGTACAGTTAAGCTATCCGCGACTGATTCAGCTCCACGTATCCACCTCCCAAGTAAAAGACAAAACCAATGGCGTCTTTTTCAATTAAGTGTCGAAAGTGATCAGAGATTGCTCTGGTTCTACTTTACTTTTCTCTGTGATTGGTCCGGAAAACTCGCACCACTTTCCCAACCAATCAGATGCAAGCCTAAAACCAATAAAAGCTTACTGACGCGCGTTTTCCCGCGCTTTAAGCAGTTTGCTTGTTTTTACTTTGAGTCCTAATTGGTTCTTACTAAAACTTATTTTTTCTTCCTTCTTATCAGCTTTTTTCTCGTAAAAGCGCTCTAATACACTCGAAACTATCATCACTCATTGTAAAGCTGCATGTTGACTTACCTACAGTAGTCGCTGGTATAATTCAGCACTTGATATGCGTATTTATCTCCTGGCTCTCCAGTCAAATTGTACTTTTTGTAGTCAGATATATTGAAGTACGCCAAACGACTTTCCACGAAACCCGCCAAAGTTCCGTCCTTATTGTAGGAGTACATGTACACGAGCCTCGGTATGAAGTCTGACGTAAACGCTATGACAAACGCATTCACCAACACAGACACATTTGCTAAACCTTCCATAATTGGGTACCAGGCTCCGATATCTTGAGCGCGTGAGGCGATGGGTCGGCGGAATTGACAGACATAGTTGACAGCGTCTACACGCACTTCTATAGCACTGTTAAGCAAAGCAAACAGTGGTGCAAGAGGAAAGGCAGCCACAAACATCGTCACGAATCCGAATTGTAACACTGAAAAAATAAAGATAAGGACCGGTGGGAATACAGCGAAATGTAATCACTCGCTATAATGAAACTACTACGTACAAATTGATGCAAAAAAAAAATCAGCGTTGCTTGGGTGATATTCCTGACTCCGTATCTTTTTAAAATAAAAGAAATACACTCAGCCTCTAACATGTAGTACATTTCCTTCCATGTTGCACCCTCTCTTTCAGGACAAAATATGTACAAAAACGCTTTTTCTTTGTGGTTTAAGCTGCCAAATCAACGCTCCGCCAAATACTTTCTGCTCATAAAAATGGATGACACTTAAAGTACATACACGGCCAATGAGCACACTCTTTGCATAAAAACCCGCAGTAAAATCATTTATCAAAAGTCTTAATTTATAGGAACTGTAAGCCCCCCCTATTTGAACAATTTAGTCGTGTGTTGAAAAATAATCAACCTTATCTCTCACTATTCCAATGCAATATAACGAGAAGAGAGTATTACCAACTTCCAGGTATTCCCAAAACAAACTGTGTTCTGGTAACGGGCTCAGTTTGTAATCTTCTTCCCACTGAGGGATGTCATCGGTTTCTTTCCTTGCTTGGCGCAGTTTCCACCATTTCATCAAGCCACTAAAGAAAAGTTAAAATAGTTGAAGGTATATAAAGGTTGGTTTGTCTGAGGTAATCGTGATTTAGCTATTTCTTCCTTTCGTGACGTGCACATCATTACCCCACCCCACCCCTCTAGTTACAAAGGGGTTCAAGAATTCTGCGGTATACTCACGGGATGGCAGTTTCCGTAATGTTTCCAATAATCTGTTGCCCGACCATGATGATCGCCAGCTGTATACACAAGTCGAGGAGGCAACCTGCAGCGCCACACCCATCTAAGCGTCCAGTACCTCCCAGTCGCCGGTAGTTGCCCGGTGTGCCAACCACCAGGTTCAACTTGAAGAAAGCGATGTAGAAGATCGAGGAATAAGTGTTTACGAACTGGAATAGGAACATTTTGTAGGTGAAGCTGTCTTTGTAGTCAGTCGCTGTTCGCGGATTCTCCCAATTGGTGAGCCATATTGCCAGTTTCTCGTAGAAGAATTTCAACAAATTGATGAAAACCTAAATCAGTTGAAAAAATCGTGATGACGACTTGAACTAAAGAATTTCGATTCCTGAGGCTAATCATTCGCAAACTTTTCATATCAGTATAGCTCTCTTTTGAAAACTCTGGTTTTGCATTGGGAAGTCATGACAAATGTTCGAGACAGCTGAAAGTTGCCCTTAATTCAGATATTTTTCCATAACTTGATAAAAGATTTGCTCAACTGACCGAAAAATAACTAAATGTGCGTGATCGCGTATTTTTTCTGCATTTCACTCAGTGGTTCCCTCTGAAATGACTACATCGCAATCCATATTGATAATGAGAAGGAGGGGGGGGAAGAAAGAAGGTTAAGCTAAAGTTCAACAAGACTCACCAAATTAAGTAAGGCTGCTGTAACACTTGTAATAATCTTGGCATTTCTCCGCACATTGCTTTCTTCGCTGCGCACTAAAGCTGCAAACACCGAGGCCCTGTAGGCTATCACTCCAATGACCGCCGCTACTACCAGGAAAATCATGAACGAGATTGCGCTTCCAACTCCAGCAAACCTTTGATATTTCGTCATGTTTGGGACATGAGGTACAACCTTTCCGGTGACAGGATCTTCCCGCCAAGTTGGGGCAGTGGCCACAAACTCTGGACGGAACTGTTCCTCGACGTCTTCAAAATGCATCATGTGCCAGCGGTAGGCAAGAACAGCTTGACGTCGCTTCCAAAATTCCAGGAATACCGTCGCCCACACAGACATGAAAATAGCGAAGATAACCGTGCTGTCGTTATCGAATGCATGGGCTGCGATGTAGTAATAACAGCTTGAGACCAGAGACCAGTAGGGGCATTGATCGTCACACAGGGAACACATGTAGAATTTACGTTCGTTGGATTTGTTGCAAATATCTTTTACGGGTTGAAAGTCGCGTGCGTTAATGAAACCGTACAAGAAAACGAAGAGCCCAAAAAGAGCGGCAGGAATAAGCATGACTGTGTAAAATCCCAGCCAGGAGAAGTACAGGCCAATTTCGGTACCAAAATAATCCTTGATGGCGTCATACGGCTGAAACTTGAACCAACGTCCGAACCGCGCCCAGTCACGCCTCAAGCGCTGCCTATCGTTCGTGGGGGGTTCCCCCTCAGAACATTCTTCGGGACCAGGATGGAGAGGGTACGATGCAGTGAAGTTTCCTTCATGAATCATTTTTTTAATTCCAACATCATACTTTTCTTCACCAAACTGAATATGACTACAGATGTTCTCTACCATTCGACTCCTGTCCGTTCGGCTGAAGAAAGTGTCTTTGTTCTTATGGCCGACATAAATTTCTAAGCGATCGCTCTTGAAGTAACCCATAAAGAAATTCCTTGACTTGGTGATGGTGCCATCGTGGATCTCGAAGGGATTAGTACGATCAATCATATCGCGGATGTTTTCTCCTACGTTTTTCTCGTACCAGCCTTTCGTTGTAATATCACTTTCCTGAAACAAACAGAACGAAAATAGATCGAAAAATGTAAATACCTACATATTCAAACAAACTAATGGAGAGGGTAAAATGAAAAATACTTCAAGTGCGAGAAAATGTACGACAAACAACAGAAAAATCGAGAAATATGAATCACAAATCTATGACATCGATTACCTTTATGGGCATTTTCATCATCATCTCTTCTGCGGTCTTGATTAAAAGTTCCCATGGAGCGTGAACTTTCAAAAAGTGTGTCTTGGTTTTGTCGTCCTATAAATTGAAGTGTGGTAATGAGTACCTCGACTGTTAAGCGATCATGACTGAGAAATTTAATAAATATTATTACCGCAATTGTAGCATAAGGAGCCGAAATGTTTTCGGTCATTTTCCGTCAGTACTTAGGCATGAGGATCCAAAAAAAAAAGGACCCACAAAAGAGCAACCGGTGAACAGGAAGAGCTAGTGCAGATCTTAAATTCTGAACACTAAGGAAACCTAGCACCACGAGAAAATAATGTGCAAGCAAATGTTATAAAAACAGAACTGACAAGTACCAACTGAGAAGGGGCTGGTCAGTGACCCTTTCGTCCAAATTGATGTTTCTTTGAACTTCAGTGCTCTTACAACGTGTGCGTGACATGTGCTACCTGATGTTACGAACAGTGCGTCTGATCACAGCTAGTGTCCCATGTCCTGTTGCTAACAGAGTCTACGAATGACCATTCTTAAATTCCTAAATGGATGCCGTATTTTCAGCCTCCTCTATCTCAATTACCACCCTACATTTTAGTGTACGTTTGTGCCTATTTTCAAATATGTTCGAAACATCTCTCAAATTCAGATCGAAACAACACTGAATCACAGTTTTAGAAAAGACTTAGCTGCCCTATTAGACGTCCTCCTAAATCTTCAGCTTGTGAAACAGTAAAAATGCAAATTGCCTTTTGTATCGCGGGCGTTTTTTGCTTGTTCTTTCGAATTTTTCTCACAATCCACGTATATTTTTGATAAAAATATATAATTAGTTTTAATTCACGAGCTACAGAACTAAATAAGACGCTTAAATTTCTTTAGGCAAATATTGTGTTTTTCTGACACACGTAATAAAAGTTGCAAGGCGCACGTGTTGATCCAACGTTATTCATAACTTAGACGTGACAAATGTGTGAAGATTACGTGACAAGTTAAGATATGTAAATATTTTCACGTCGTGGGCTACAAAGGTGAAAAGTTGTAGATATCCTTACGATATTTGGGTCATCGTTCGAAACTTCTCGTAAGAAAAGAGAGATACACCTTTAAACGATCTACAGAAAAGCACATTCTAGACGTCGCGAGACAAAAATATTGTTGTCTGTGTAACGGGAAGCAAACACCAGACGTTGTCTATTTAAGAACAAAAGAACACGAGCCACAACGACTACAAAAATAAATAGATTCACCCTGACAAGTTCCATAAGTGAAATTTCATTCTCTACATATTTTATACTCAAAATGAGGAGCAGGTCAATCAAAAACCCTATTTTAGTCATTATTTTGAGCGCAAAGGCAATTCCTTAGGTTTTTAGCACCTTGGTTTACTCGAAAATATTCAAATTTTATACAACATATGATAATCAATATCGCAAAGAGAATTTTGTCGTATGGAATTGTTTTAGTATAGATACACTAAAACAAAGCTTAACTTCCCAAAAAACATTTGAGTGCTCCTTTATCTTACTTTCGGCCATATGTTCATCTATATTTCGATAAAAGTAAAACTGTTTTCTTTCTTTGTTTTATTGAATTGAGCATATCCGATTGAATTTGCATCGAATCTTACACCAATACATAAACATTACCTTTGTAGTAACCTCTTCTTCGTACTCGATTTCAAGCCCAGCTTTCTCTAAATTTCGCTGAAATCTCTCTCTTTTCTCCGCTTTTTCACCCAGTTTTTCCTTCTCCTTCTCGTCTAACTCATCTTCGTCCGAAGGCGTCTCGTAAGCGATCACATAGTCAATCAGCCGCTTGCCATCGCGAAAGCGCAGCCGTTCTTTCTCCCTCTTTTCGACTTCGATGTGTTCCAATTCTATCTCGAGCGTCTGCTCCTCCATCATTTGATGTTTTGATAAAACTGCTTCTTCGTCCAAAAGTGGTGTTTGATCGGCGAACGACTCTTCGCGACCTGTACCAGGACTTTCGTTGGCTGGAACGCGAGAGCGCAGCCCGCTCGCACTTGGGTGTGCCATCAAAAGTGAAAGATATGTAAATAGTTAATCTTACACTAGAATTCTCTTGACTGTCTCGCCGCAGGCAAATAATCTCAAATTACTTTTATCGCGTACAGCACGTTTCTTATGATGTGTCACGCACTCATTATGCGCCCGCATTTAATTGATTGTGTGACCAGCCATCTTACGGAAAAAATAAAAATGGAAGAGTAAAATCAAGTATTGGACTGGACCTTTGAATATCCTGTAGGGTAGGCCAGCCCCTACGACATAAATTTTATGTATTCAAACGTAAGTCCAAGCGTAGATGATATTTAAAGATCTGTCAGTGAGAGAGGACAAACTACAGAATTTCTAAAGATATTTCTCCCAGTCATGTTGAGATTGAGAATATTTAGTTTTTCTCAGAGAGAACAAGAAGGAATACGACTCTCATAAGTTGCTCCTTATTGCAAACTTACGTAATTTTCACAAATTTTTTTAATTTTAACTTTTTGCACGTTTTGTTTTCTGTTGGGGATTTATTGGTGCTCTCTCAGCTCAGCCAATAAACGAGCTTAGAAGTTTAGACTCGAACACTGATTTTATTAGTAATAAAACAGTCATCAACAAATATGTATGAACTAACCTCTCATCGTTCGACTTTGGAGGAGATGTTTCTCCAGCTAAAGTTAAGGAATTCATGTTTTCGTCATGAACGTTCTTTTTAGATTGACTAAAAGAAAAGAATTTGACAGAAAGTGCGTGCTTAGTGACAGGGAAATGATCAGATACACTCTGTGATCAGCCGTTTGATGTATACTCACACAGCTTTAAGGGTCTTTTTGGGTATATTTTTGTTCTCGTCCAAAGCGCCGTATAAAAACTTGGTTTCGTACCTGTGGATGTGTCAGATATGTACGATACATTCAAATACATGAATAACAATTTTAACCAAAATAACAAGCATAACAACACAAGGCGTTCTGAAGGCCTCAACCATGAAAGTTCTAATAGTATCCTCTTTAGCTTGGATTCAAAATGGTTGCCTCCAAAGCCTTAAAAAATTTGAAAGAATTCAAGTCAATTTAACAACTTTCTTTCTTTCTCACTTAAGTAAATTGTTAATTCATAACGCGACAGATGGAAATATCAAAAGGCAAATTAAACAAATTCGTTGAAGAAGATGACATTTGACAATAAGTGTACGGCTATTTATCAAGTAGTCGTGAAGTAATCTAACGAAGTCGTGAAAATTGTTTAGTGAAGGCAATCGAGTACCTAGACTGGGAAGCTGTAATTTATGGCTTTTGCGTATCGAACTTGTACGACCAAACGCGGCAAGTTGTCCTTAACAACCTCAGTTTTCAGCAAATTGGAGCAAGAAAATAACAATAAGTTATATATATGATGTGGCTAAACTTAAACTTCAGCTTACCATTCCACAAGCTTCTTGGTCTCCATATTACTTCAAAATATCTTGTTGCTCGGGAAAGGCTCAAGTTCTCGCAAACCAAACTTCTGCTTTATCAAAAATTCAGCGACTCGCAAACACGGTGGCGGGCACTCGAGAAAATCGAACACCGATCATAAATATGTGAAAAATTCGCGCATTAATAAGCCAATCACGAAGAAGAAGTTGGCCAATCTCGTAGAGGACATTCTTTACATTTTTCATGTTTCATGTTTCATGATGGTCTTGCCCCTTTAGGGCCCTCACTTTAAAATCGTTACATCAGGTGGAAATCTCATCAAAAATTTAGCGTCTGTCGTGCTGATTTTTTTCCTCATGTTTTTTCGAGTGCTCACAACGCGAGGATGGGAAGGCCCAAAAAGGAAGGTTTAACACAGCAATTCTATATCGCATTCAGCCGATTATTCAAAGGAGAAACAGACCAGATAAAATTGAAAAAAAAATGGATGTAACACGCATGAAAGTAGCGTTAGCCTGAGCCAGAGTGGAAGCCCCGGACATTTGACCTTTGTGATAGTGAAAAAAAGTAATCGTGGCAAACGCAGTTCGTCGATTCACTTCCATTTATTAACCGAATTTGGTTAGGACATATGCTACATGTCTGTTATGAGTCTGTTCCAAGAAAAATGCAGACTCATAAAACCAAAAGGAAGACTCTAAATAAAATATACAAAATAAGTCACACAGAAAATCAGTTTCGAATCATGCTCAACCAAATTAAAATCCCAGTTCAAAGAGAAAAGCCCAGACGAGATTTTGATAATTTCATCCTCCAATGATGTACGTTGTCATCACACTCTATTGATACCAAGTCTGCTTCCATTAGCAACACTACTAGACTTTCTTGATCTGTTTACATTCTCACAAGACATGTAAAGAGAATCTGTAGAACCTTCAGTGTGCGACACACGTGCGTCCAGGTCACGTGACGCTTCAGCCTCACTTCGAGTTAAGCATTGCTTAGCGACATAACTCTCGCGCATTATCTTCACCTCAAGTTTGCGGGGAATGTCGGGAATGAGCCAATCCAAGAGACTAACGATGAAGAAAACGAAGTATTGGAAGATAATGACGAAAGCTAAACGGACAGCGAGAACGAAGAAATACTGTCGGTTGAAATCGTACGGCTCCTGTGGGTCAAAGTACTCCTTGTACCTGGTGAAACAAATATCAGCTCAGTAAGTTTGGCTAACATTTATGCAGTTAAAAGATAAGTTTTTCGTTTGTCTTACGATGTAGTCACGTGTGATGTAGATCGCGACGTTTCGACTGCATACTGCTAGTCTTCTTCAAGCGACGAGGTCTACTGGTCATGCGTGATCTAATAGAGCATGATGCCCTGCTGTGATTAGTTGTTTTTTCAACAGCTCTGATTGGTGCAATTCGATCCTTGCCGTTCACTCAGTGATTTGCTCCCTCGGCGATCCGCTACTACTACTCGCGCAGGGTCAAAGAGGCAATTCACATAAGACTTCACCCTAACAACATCAACAGGGATAGTGGAATAGAAATTCCAGAAGCGTGGATGCCCACGATCAAAAAACACAACGACAGGAGAGCCGTGCGATGAATAACCACAACCTTTTCACGAAATTATGCGGTTAAATGACAAAATAATTTGTAAAGTTCTAAGATTACCTGCAATAGGTTTTGTTGTAAGGTAAGTTTTTGAAAGGATCCCGAGGTAGGGACAGCTCACTGAAGTCTTTAATGTTGAAGTAAGACAAGCTGTTGTTGACATAGCCAGTTAAACTTCCATCGGAGCTGTATGCGTATTTGTAGACTTCCCTAAAAAAAAGTAAAACGTAAATAAAATGAATTATAGAACACTTGATCTCAAAACACTGCCACTACTGGTCAGAAGACTTCGGGGCAGTATGATAGGTTTCAAAGGCCAAAACTTTAATTCTGTTATCCTATATATGATACTTTCAAACCTATTGTACAGTTACGCAATGAGATGATTTGGTTTGATCAACTGCCAGAGTTGATAACGTAAATTGGCCACCGTAAGGAGTTTCAAAGCTGCCGTTTCGAGCGTTAGCCCTTCGTTAGAGTGAATGGTACAATGCAGTTGACTTTACAAAAGGCGGCCAGAAAAATATCTGCTTCTGTTAGCGAGGAGTTAGTCTATCACCTCAGGGCTTCTCTCCTACTTCCCCACACTTCCCCACCCCCTCCTCCAACGGGATAGAGGCAAAGTTCTCCCCCTCTCTACCTTCCCCGATATCTTTTACTCTGTGCAAGCCCCAGCTACACAAGTTTATCACAGAAGTGACCAGGCGTAGTGAAGCCTCCCTTTCAAGTGACAATGCTCAACCGAACTTGTACATCACATTTGACATCCCGGAAGCGTGAAACATAGTTTATTTTAGCACACATACCTTGGAATAAATTCTGATGTAAAGGCGATCACAAAAGAGTTCACTACTACGGCAAACCAGCTCATGGTGCGTAGAATTCCGAACCAGACACCAATCCCTTGAGCCCGCTCTGCTACTGGTCGGCGGAAGTTAACGACGAAATTAATGGCATCTATGCGAAGTTCCAGGATATTGTTGATGAGTGCAAACAAAGGTGCCAGGGGAAATGCAGCCACGAACATGGTAACAAAACCAAACTGGATTACTGGACATCAAATGAAAGGAAAGCTTGGTTAGTTCGAGCCTGGCCCTCGGATAGTGGAGACGAGAAGAAGAGCAGGCGCGAGAAAATGGTAAACAAGCAGGTGCTGCTGTTGCGGTCGCAAAGAAACGGTACTTTCCTACACGCTCCAGCTCACTACGCGAAAGTAATTTTTCACGCCCCTGCCTATCCGTTCGTTTCCGCTGATGGAGGACCTAGAATTCGCTTAAGATGAACCACCTATATCAAAATTCACTAAAAAGTACTTCTTTTAATTCCCAGATTAAAAAGAGAAACCTGAAAATTACATTTACCTGTTACAGAAATTAACATACACGTGAATTTGCGTCATTTTGGCGGGAAAATCCTAGTCTTTGCTTTTTACCTTGACGATCTTACAATGAGGAACTGTTTACAAGCCCATTGATGAGGTTCGTTTCTATCATTAATTGGTACACAACGAAGACAACATCAATATATCAACAACACACAGCCATCAACATGAGACTTCAAACCAAGTAAAGACCAAACATTACCCATGTCGTGATATTCGTAGAACATTCTCAACTCCGGTTCACTATTAATTAGATAATCTATCTCCCACTGTTCAGGATGTGCGTTTGATCCTTTTTCCTTACGCCCGTACCACCAACGCACGAAAGATCTGAAAAAAAGAAACAAACGAACCATTCTTTAAAACAAATGAACGAACTTACGAATGAAAGAACGAAGCAAAGAGCGGGCAGTTATGTAACAATCCAAAGAAATTTCGAACAAGCGAGCAAACTAACGAACGAGGGAAAGGTATCATAAGTTACTAAGTACGAGTGGTTTGTTCTCTCCAAGTGTACTCACAAAAATACAGTAATTTTAACCATCCTTTCAACCCCCCCCCCCCCCCCTTGCTTGGATCAGTCGACCCAGCCAAAGTTCTCACGTTGTTTTTTATGGGTTGGATAACTCTGTTCAAAGAACCTTGCTATCCAGCGGATAAATGCCCAGAAAACAGACAAGCATCAGATAAGCGTTATCCTCCTTTTGAACATCTGGGGCCTGATACAGACATTTCAGCTCTCATTCCGTTTCTCAGTTCTAACTTAATACAAGTTACCACGAAAAAGAAAAGACAAAAAAAGACAGACGCCGGGCACAGCAAACTTGGTAAAACTCACGGCATAGCAAACTTGGAAATGGAATTGATGAACTGCTTGCCAACCATTATAACAGCTAACTGAATGCACAACTCAATAAAACATCCCGATGGGTCGCATCCTTCCATTCTTCCCGCGCCGATTCGATTATAGTTCCCAGGATATCCCACGATACGACTGCTTTTGAAGAACGCAATGTAAAACAGCGACGAGTACATGTTTACAAACTGAAAAGAAAATAGCTTTAGTGTTAAAATGTTTTGATACTCTGTTCTGGTCCGGGGGGACTCCCACTCGGTTAGCGCGACCGCTATTTTCTCATACACAACTCCCAGCACAGTAATAGCGACAAGATTCAGAACAGAAGCTGTCAAAGAGGTTATAATTCGCGCGCCCTTCTGTATGTCCTCGTCCGGGAAGGCGGACAAAACAGCGACCATAGCTGCTCTGTAAATGACAACTCCAACTAAAGTAGCAATTACGAGTAAAACCATGAACAAAACTATTATAAAACCACACGTGAATTTCCCCGCACGCAACGAAAACGGAATGTAGGGCTCCAATTTGCCTGTCACAGGGTTGGGTCGCTTGTTTTTGGCCTTTGTAACAAAAGCTGGCCTTGGTGGTTCAAATTGTTCTTCAAAATGCAACATGTCCCATTCGTGAGCTAAGCTTATTTCGCGTCTTCGCCACATCTCCAGAAACACGGTTGCCCAGAGAGACATAAAAACCGCGAAGAACACCGTTCCTTCGTGGTCAAACAGATGTGATACTGTAGCGTAATCACAGCTTTTTGTTAGGGTCCAGTAACTGCAATCTTTGTCACAAAGCGGACACATGTAAAACAACTCGGAGTTTCTCTCATCGCAAATCTCCTTAACTGGTTGAAATGTTTCCATTGTTATAAGACCAACGATGAAGCAGCACAGGCCGATTAAACCAGCAATAACAAGCATGAAATTGTATGTTCCTAGCCAGGCAAAATACAATGCTACACGAGTTCCAAAGTAATTCTTTATCGCACTAAGGGGCTGATACTTGTACCACTGACTAAAAGACGCCCAGTTTTGACATAATCGCTGACGTTCGTTTGTCGGAAGATTATCTTCGCTCTCTGTCCGAAGATCTTCATGCAAGGGATATGCACATTCGTAGACCCCTTTATGCAGCAGACGAGAGATTCCGAAGTCGTCCATTTCAGACGAATACTTCGTCGAGAGTAGAAAGCGATGGGTCATGCGACTTCGGTCAATGTCGGAAAAAAACGTTTCCTTGTCTTCGATAAGGAAACAGTCCGACTTTGCCCGACTAAAAACCGCGGTTACCTGACGATCAGGTTTCATGAGAGAACGATCTTGAAGTTGGAAAATATTAAGAACATTTTTGGCCTTTTGAAGCCATTTACTCTTTTTCGAAGACTTGAGGTGTATTAGCCTTTCAGGCTCGCGAACAGGAACCCGAATCATCATTTCCTCTGCGCACTTGGCCAGAGCGTCCCAGGGAGCGTGGACAAGAACAAAGGTAAGGTTTTCCTACGATGGAAAAAAAAAATAAGTAAATAAAAATTCATTTTCAGGGATTAGAACTGTCATGTCTGTTTAGTCCAAAGGATTTCAATACATTACAGAAATAAATCTACTTTCAGGAAAGATTAAATTACAAATGTTATATCTACAGATCTAGGCCCAGCGGTACAAAGGGCGGATAACGTTATCCAACGGATAAATTGCTATCCAGCGGATAAGTGATGGCAAACCGTAGAGCGTTATCCACCGGATAGAGATTTATTCTGTGGATAGCGTTATCCGACCTTCGAACAACCGGGGCCTGGATGTTGCAGTGAACCTGTCAAATTAAGGCCGAAAGTATAATTGCCAACATACCACTCAAACGATTCCTTAAGTATTGTATTTTCAAACCTGTTTGTTAGATGTTACGTGTTCTATCATCAAGCCTTGCTTTTTCAGATTCTCCTCATATTTTTCTCTCATTTCCGCTTTTTCCCTTTCTTCCTCTTCATTTCTCTTCTCCAACTCAGGTTCAGAATAAACTAACACGTAATCAATTTTCTGCGTGGAAAACAAATAAAATTTAATCAAATCAAATTAGTTGTGATTGTTATTGGATTTCTGCTCACTACCTAAGAAGGCTCGGATAAAATTGCAAGGAACCACGTTAGACAAAAATCATTATGAGATCTTATACTAAGATGGCCGAAGCCTCCTTTAACTTAAAGAAACCCATATACTACAAAGTTTGCTTTCTGTTATTTTCATTTGAAAACTAAATTTACTGCATCAACTTGTGGAGACCTTGAATGTAAACATCTTTCCTGCAGCTTACACGAAAGGAGAAAGGTGTCAATTGTTTAGGTTTACAATATGATTTTTAAAACAATACTGAATACGGATTTTACTTCTGACATATGTTTCCTACTGCTGTCTTGTATCACACCATGCACTAACACAACAAACATTAAATCAAGTAGAGTCCCACCTTATTCAACAATTCACGTTTACTTATCGATCCCGATAGACCTTGATCGCCCATATCTTGTAAAAGTATTTCCTCCATTGTCGAAGGATTTTTACCGGTAGCGATGCGCTCAAGGTTTATTTCCGAAGTGCTTATCGCTGCGACGTAGCTATCGCGTTTCTGCGATGCTTGACTCCAACGAATTGGGGCAGGACTTTGTCGCGGTTTGTCAGACGCACTTGGCAATTCATACGCGGTGGAAGATGCAAGAGTCGTTTCATAAATGTCTCCGACGTTTTCTGCGGTTGCTATGCGTGAAATCGGATCTCTGAAAATGAAATGGGATAGTTTAACTTAGTGATGAGTAATGTTTCAATTACTTGTAAAAACAACGCATAATCATATCAACAATGGCGGTCTGAACACAAAATCGTTTCGTAAGTAAAACCCAGGTGGATAAATAAGTATGGTGGTATAACAGGTGGCAAACCACTGTGGCTTTCCTCTCGAAATTTGCAAATACGTCTTCGTGATTTGCTTGTTTACTAGCGTAATCAAGTGACAATAATAAAAGAAAAGACATTTTCTAAACGTTAAGTGTTAATTCTTAAAGGGAGGTCCACCTATCAAGAAAAAAAAAACCGTCGTAATGCTTTCAGGCTGGTACCAAATTTTGCGGGTTTTTTTAACACGCCTTTCTTCTCAATGCAGGAGGTTGTGGTGCCTCGGAGTTTAATAACGAGTGAAAAAAAATTTAAGCAAACTATACAAACTTAAAATTTTATCAAAAATAGTGATAAAGATAATTTTTTTGCACCGTTTCTCACCAAATTTTCACCGTTTAGACCATTCGACTTCGATAGCATATTGCTATATCCATATACAGCGTCATCAAATTTAAAGCCATTAAGAAATGCGCGTTCTGTAGTTAATGTTAACCTGATTAAACGGACGCTATAAAATAAACTCACCTTCCTACCAGACAAAATACTCGTGATTTGTTCATTTTGTGTAGTTCCCGCAAAGGGAGGGTGAAATGGTTTTCTCGGTCTCAATTCCGCAATCAAAATAGGCGGAACGTAGTTTTACTTTGCATTGTTAATGAACAATGCAGAAACAATATCGTGATAATTTATGCAGAAAAATTATATCACATGCTTAGTTAGATGACATGGTGGCAAAGGGTGCGTGGAAAAAGATGTGGAGCTCTAAGAACCAACGCCTGTAAATATACATTTAACGTATAAATATCAGAAAAATTAGGTATCGACATTATTTTGGCAAAATTTAATCTCATTTTGAGGCCTACTGAAAATAATATTTTTGCGATAAAGAAATTCTCGAACAAAAAGGCAGTAAGAGTTTGAGCCCTAACTGAATCGTTATGTTTATTTATTTATTTGTTTCTTTTCGTTTTGTTTTGTTTTTTGCGAAAGACACGTTTCTCCAATTGTCATTCTCTCTTAGGAGTCTTCTAACGTAGTCTTAGAACTGAGGGGGGAGGGGTGGGGTAACATTCACTCGATGGATATTTAGTTAGGCATTTTATCTAGTAGGAGTGGAAAATACACTTGAATAAACTTGTGAATTCATCCTAGGTTACAATAGTGTGAAAATCCCAATTCTTTAGTTAAATTTTTGAAATATCTCCCGATATATCTAAAAGTAAGCACCACTGATTAAGAGACTCCTACTGACCGGAAGTGCGTGACACAAGGTCAACCCGTTTTAAAAACAGAGACGATCAACTGATTCATCGTGTTTCGTCATGACAGACAATTTAAGAAACACAATTAATAATTAAAAAGAAGTGATTCTTTTCAATGTAATCGAAGTGATCCAAGACACCGTTAATTTTGAACAAGATCATGGGACTGAAAGGCTTAAAAATCTACCGGTTACAATACCATGAATGTAAATAATCATGGACTGTACTGGTGCATGCTGGTCTAGAACAGGCCAGCATGGCCACACTGACCGTAAGACTCGTATCTAAGTAGTGCTAGCTGTCTCATCGAACTCCTAAATAACATTCCTAACCGTTAGTTTTTTTACAGGTGAAAAAACTGACAAAAAGAATTTCTTACCTTTAACTTCGACTTCCAGGTCGATCGAATACAGATGTTATTACGACATGCCTTCACAAACGTTGATTAAGAAGAGATCTGGTACTCAAACATACCCCATAAGGCATTTCGCGTCGATCAATGAGAATATGCAATCATCCAGCAGAAATACTCATGAGCGGATAAATCCAACATGGCGGTCTTGATGAGCAGGTTGCGGTATCACAAATTATATCAGTTTGTCCGTCTATGTAATGAATCTGGATACTCCTTATCCCACGTGTATCCACAGAGAAGGTCATTAAGTCACACTGTTTGTCAGATGTATTCTACATCTTCGCCTGTTAAGGCCAAAAAGTGGAATCAAACAGGAACGAAACAGCATGCGCACGGTTTTGACAAAACGCAGTCTCCTCCAAGGCCACATCATCTTCGGGACGATCTCACATCAGGATCGCATTCAAAGGATGATAAGGTTTCAAAAGAAGAGGAAGATCCCGAGTCTGACCCGGAGACTGAAGACGAAGAGGAACCGAAAAGATTTTCATATAGAAAACTGAAAAGTCAGAAATCTGGAAAGGGGTATTTGCGACCGTCTCGGTATATGTTTAGGGAAGTTGAGGCTACAGGGGAGGAAGAGAATCTATGGGAAAGAAAAAATGCCGATATAAATCGCAAAGGAAAAGTTAATTGGTATGCAAGACAAATGTTGAGGCTTTCTCAAGAGAATAAGGTAAGACTATGTAAAGATAACTCTATCTTTAGTTTGTCCGTTAATTACATGTGTTTTTTTTGCTTTTTTAGTTTTCTTAGCTTAATGATGTCATTAGAGACTGATGTGTATGGAAATTTATTGACTAAAGACAACTTTTATCAGGTTGATGAAGCCCTCGAACTCTTGTCTTCTATGAAAAAGGACAAACTTAACCCAAAGATAGAAGTTTACAACATTTTCATTTCTGCATATGCCAAGACTGGGCAAGTCAAGAAGGCTTTCAAACTCTTCAATGATGTAAGTGATATGTTGACTAAATTTCTTATGAAATTTATCTTTGAAAAATATGTTGCTCCAAAATCCTGAAATCAACAGTACAAAGATTGCAGCCAGTAACACCCTATAAACTTAAGTGGTAATGCTATAAATTGTTTACTTCACAAGAATAACGGTATCCTTTAAATGATGCTTTACCCCTACAACCTACAGAAAGTAAAATGTAACAAATCAATTCACTCGGAGGGAGAGTGGGATTAAGCAAAGTTAGTTGTTGTGATGCTCCTTCTTATGTTCACCATCAATGATTCTTTGACAAACTGAGTATCTCCTTCATGATTGTGCCTTCCACAAGAGAATGTAAAATAGAGTCAGTTTATTAGCCAGATGGCTCATATTGCTAGCACTGATAACCTTGTTTCAGTGGCATGAAGCAGTTAGAAGTATTTCTTCTCTCTTCTGGATGTGATGCTTGGCCATATTTACCCCAAAGCATTTTACCTCACATGAAGGGATGGGGAAGAACTTTGAGTAACTCTCTTGTCCAAAATCACACTAAAAGGACCCATTCAAGGGGCAGAACTAAACCTTTTGATTAGGATTCCTGCACACTTACTATATCACTATATCACCACAATAGGAGATGGTCTTCCGTAATGTATCCACAACAAAACTCTAGTATCCCTGAAACATCTTGTAGCAATAAAAAGGTGGCTAGAGTTTCTAAAAATCTGTATTTTTTTCATTTGTTTAGGTTAAGAAATGGGGTCTGAAGCCAACAGCACATACCTACTCAAGCTTGTTCTATGCTTGTACTCAAGCTCCAGTTACAGAACGTACAATGGAGAAAGTAGAAAAACTTTACACTGAAATTGGCATAAGAGTTTCCAAAGATGAACTGGAAATGAATCTTATTACATACAATGCAGCCATCCAGGCCTTTGCTGTTTGTGGTAATCCTGATGGAGCATTTGACGTGTATCAGGAGATGCGAAACAAGAAGTTTGTTCCTGATGAATACACCTTCACATCGTTATTAGCAGCCTGTTGCTTTGATCCAGTTGAAGGCCCCAGACTAGCTTTTCAATTACTGGAGGAAATGAAGTGGTTTAGATTACAGCCAAATATTTATATTTACAATTCAGTGTTGAAAGTTATGAGAGATTTTAAACTTTCTCGCCAAGAACAAACTAAACACCTACCTGAGGATACAAAGGGTCCTGTAAAAGAGGAAAGAACTTCTGAGCATGAGATTCAAATTGATGATGGTAGTGAAACATCAGACATTGAAATAAATTATGAATTTAGTTCCTCAGAGAATCGTTTGCAAGAAGCAAGCATGCTTGAAAAACAGAATGAAGAGAGTGTAAACTTGCATGACTACTTTCCTGGTGTGGAGAAGTTTATCCAAATAATGGCTCTTGAGGATGTTAATCCTGATATACGCACCTTTCAAATGCTGCTGCACCTCACATCATCAAAATCAGAAGAAGAGTATTTGATGAATCTTATGAAAAGTTGTAACATTACCCCAGATGCTACTTTTTTTGACTCTGTAATCAAGAAAAAGGCATTAGAGGATGATCTAAAGCAGGCAAAGGTAAACATATTTATACTTCTAAATACCCTATTTAACATATGCCGTAGATTTAACCTTTTCCTTTGTAGGACATTGGGTACACATCAATTGTAAACTTAGAATATAGCACAATTTACTTGTATGTGAGTACAAGAGTTTCTGGCTGGAAACTAGTTGAAGTCAGTAGTTGAATTCCTTAACAGCTTAACCTTTGCCCAATACACCCCTGACTTCACCTTCTTGTTAAAATACAGAGTCATTATAAATTAGAATGTGATTGTTACGCAGTTTGATTAATTAATTAGTTAATTAAGACCAGCACTCAAATTTCTCTCATCCAGACTTGTCAAATGAATATAACAACTTTAGTTAATTTTCCCAGTAACTATTTTGCTATGTGTATGTGAGGCAGTGGGTTCCTAATTGCTGAAAGACAACAATTTTTGCAACCCAAGTAATACAGTTTTCTACTGCTTTCATTAATTGTAGATTTTAAAATTGTCATCTATTTTAATACAGGTTTACATGAAGCAACTGCAGGAGAAACTGCAGTTTTCTCCATCAGAAGCTTCTTACCAAGCATTAGCTTGTGGATGTAGAAATCAGAATCAAGGACTTACTTTACTAGATGACATGAAGGTTTGAAATATGATTATACTCTGATAAATTATATGATATTTTAAGAGGTCTGTTAACTATTACTTAGTATGCATGAGCATGGATACAATCTTTACATTTGCATGCAAGTAATAAGCATAAGAATGAGCTACTCAAATCAAAAACCATTTTTAAATGTTCACAATTGAAATAAATGCATTATTAACATCAAATGCAGTAACAAGGGGTGGTCTGTAATCTCCTTTGTAGCCATGTTTTAGTCTTGTCATCTAACACTCTCTACCCAACCAATGGCCATTTGAGAGGGGAGTGGGGGGGCGGGGGGGGGGCGAGAACAGTGCATTGATGACCAGACCAAACAACAATGGGGAAGGATCTTTCAGCCACAATACACATAAATACTGCTCATTGTTTTCTTTTACTTCTGACTTACCATGTAGGCTGAGGGAATCACAGCTGGACAGTCAGTATATGGAACACTTATTGCAGGAGCAGCTAAATTACGGCATTTTTCTTACTTGGTCAAGTTAGTCAAGGTTTGTATCAGAAATCTATTTTCAATAAGAAAACCATTGTCAGCTGTATTTTACATAACCCAAATGGATTTGTTTTGGTCTAGTAAGGGGGGCACTGAAAATGGTTTGGGATCCAAAAACACTTTTAGGTATGAGAAATAGCAGAACAGGCCATTTTGGTTTCTCTTCATGCTTATTTTCAATCATTTGGTAATCCTAATCTGTGTCTTTCCCTCTGTTCCTGTTTGTCTGACTGTCCATTGGTTTGCCTGTATTCTTTGCTTTCTGTCACATGTCTTTATTCATGACTGTCTTTGTGGTGTGTGCATGTACCTTAGTTCTTTGGAGTATCTTTTTGGCTGTATTCTTGAGGATGAAGGGAAGGGGCAGAAATTATCATAGAGACGCAAAGCAGTCAAGGAAATTTTTAAGATATTAACCTTGTAGGGCCTTGTACATAATTGTTGTTAGAATGCTGGAGCTGAGATGACTGCACCATAATACAGAAGACAAGGATCCTGTTTACTTTCGGTTTGGGAAGATGATCTTTTCTTCCCATGGAACGGATCTCTTTTGTAGTTTTCTATCTGTGTGTATATCTGCTGGCAGTATGTTATGTATCTCTGAGCTGTCTGTCTGTCAACTGGTTCATTTTTTTAACTGTTATGGTACATTCACCAGAGAATGACAAAGGATGATGTGCAGCCCAATGCTAGGATGATAAATGTCTTGGAGAGGATGTACAGCTTATCCTGTGAGAAACCCGACATTTCGGTAAGCAGTAGTCAGTTTAATTTTTCCTCTACTAAAATTTTTCTATTTTGCTGCAGATCAGTGTAAATTCTCTCCTCATCACAGCCCTTTAACTCGGAGGAAGGGCCGACGCTTGAAACGTCAGCTTTAAAAACTTTATCAACCCATTTGATAAAATCATATTATCTTGTAGTAAGTCCCACCAACGCAGCACCACAGTCTCTTTAGAAACTTACATGTACCTCTTTGTTTGTATCACTCTGTTGCTCAGTTTTCGAGTGAAGTTTTTGTCTTCAAAACACCATGACCCACCATGTGTCTTCGTTTCATACTTGTTTGGTGGCACAGTGAGAAGTTTGAACTAGTTAATGGTTTGAAGTGAGTAAAACACCATAAGACACAACTTAAAGAAAAAAACGTGCTGAAAACGAGAAGGAAAAGTAGAAGAAAAAATTGTTTGTTGGATCAGCATCACATCAAAGTTTCCTTAGCCCTTTACACCCTAAAACAAGCATGCATGCCGTCCATACCGTTTTCTGTACGTTTCCTTAAGTGCGGACAAGGATAATTTGTTTAACAATAAAGCACGTCCTTAGTTGGTGATCATTCTCTCTCTTCTCGTGACCTTAATTTTTGGTTCAGAGCTGATATTGTAAGGGGAAATTAGATGCAAGTCATTCTTAGGGGTCAAAGGGTTAAGAAAAAGATCATTTTTATTCGTTAGGAATCAAGTTAAGTTAAATTAGATATGTCGGAATGAGGATGCATGTGTTGAGGTACCCGGTTTCATTGCCACGTTCATTTTTGCTTTGCTGTTTGCTATAATTTCAGAATGACATGCCGGATCGTGTGGTGCAGCTCAAAAGATTCCGCTTCGTTGAACAGAAGGGTTTTCGCACATTTTATGAAATCTGGAAATCGAAACGACTTAAAAACAAGAATGCAGCAACAGAGACTAAAGCAAGTTCCAATGATAAATACTATGATAAAGGCAGAGACGACGACAGAAATAAAGATGACGCCGTCGACGACATTACAAGTGACGATGATTCTAAATTTAGCCATCTTTAGTTACTATTAAGACACCCCTGGTGGTATGCCGCTCTGTCAAACCGCTTCATGTGTATTGCTGCCATAAGAAGTCGATACGATTCATTCTTTCGCCGGTATCACTGAACACCAACTCAAATCAGTTTAAATTTGTCCACAGATGAAGATGTTCTTGAAAAATTTCCATGTCTTGGTGTCAAAGCAAAACCATACTGCGACCTTTCACGGTGTTGTGTTGTGTAGCTTCATGTTCCCTTGCTTTGGTTCCTAGCACTTAATAACACAATTGATTTGGAAATCTTTTGTTTCTTAAAGTGTGATTGGTTGATATCGTCCAAGTATTTCGGATTAATTATTGGTACGGTCCGCTCTCTATTGGCGCTTTCTTTTTGATTTCTTGAGCTGTCCGGAAGTACCGCATGCCAACCAAACACCAAGTGCAGTTAGACGGATATCTGAAGGATTGAACTAACTAAACTTTTCTATGGCTCTCTTTATTGCATATTCTGGAAAAGTTCACACAATTTCATAATGTGTACTCTTCACTATATGTAATAATATTCAAGGAAAACACAGATGTGTTGACTAAAACTACTAACTAAAAGCGGATTCTACTCCATAATGGTTGACGGTAAAATTAAAAAAATGCGACAGCCGATTGGAATTCTAAAGACTCATTGCTCTACTTTGTTTTCATAGAAAAATAACCTAATTTTTTCCTCATTGAGATAAAATACTTTTATAGTAATGCTCTAAATACAAAACTGAGTTTCTTTATAATTGCTCAGTACATTCGTCTCTGAATATTTTTTTTTTTGGCAGTGCATTTACTGCATTTAACGCTTTCGCACAGCTTGACAAGAAAGCGAGGCGAATCAAATTTTAAGAATTATACTATTCCTACTTTTCATCTTCTCCGATATATGTGCAGACATTCCAACCCCTTTAGAGGGGAGTATATTATTTAGCGCCGAAGGTGCGAGCCTCTTGGGGGGGATCTAAGGGCATGCCCCTCCCCCCAGAAAAATGTTCAAATTTAATTTCTCTCAGGTGGCATTTCCTGCATTTGACATCAATTTTTTGGTATTCTATAAGGTCTCTACTCTTAATACAGATATCTTTGAGCTTTTCTTTGCTGTTGTTAATCCATCATTGCAGAGTCAAAAAGGAAGATATCTTTTATTACTTTTACGATGGCCACTTTGGAAGATCATGAATAATTGTAAACTTTCTGTCCACAAGGCATAAATGCATTCAGTGGGGAGCCACAAAAAGATCGCGAAAAATACATATAAGATGAGCAATTTTTTCTTTCTCATCAGAATTTTTATGATAAATCGGGAGAACCTGATAAAAATAGGGAGGGCGGAAAGCAACACATCAAATCGGGAGGGTTGGAATGTCCGTGTATGAGAAAATATTTGTTTACTAAAACCTCAAATAATCTATATTAGGTGAAATATATCCATTCTAAAAAGAAATTCCCCAATTGCAACAATTCACTGTTCCATGGTCATTAATACACAACATCCGAGCATTTCAATTTAAGATGGTGATATATGTTGTTTTCCTTAAACTTACATCTTGGATTTGAGAGCGCAAATGACACCAGAATCGAAAAAAGTCTAAAAAAACTATTTCCGATATCGCTTATTGGATTATACAACAAACGCCGCCTAAACGTTCTTTTCTCTCTTTTGGAGACGTTACACTCACCAGTTCCCACTGATGTGTGTTTTCTTGTTTACAATGTATTGAGGTCATTTCTTCAATCGGGCTATGAATTGTATTCTATTAAACTACAAGCGATTTAAGAATCATTTGCTCTGACAAGAGACGCCTGGTTGAAGGAGAAGACGAAAAACATTGCGTTACAAGCTAAACTTTACGCTGTCATCTCGTACGCCTCCATGACATATTTTTTCGGCACCAGACCTACACTATACCCTTGAGGTTTGAACAAAGACCCGATCCACCAATCGTTATGCGGCTTTTCGTAAATATAAATCAGGTCACCTCGCCGGAATGCCAGCTCATCTTTGTCATCTGCTTCACAGGTCCACAGGGCTTGATAGATGTTAGCATAGTTGATTTCAATCGTCTGAACTTCTTTGGGACTCGGAGGTGGTTCGTCTTTCGGTTTAGGTGCAGGAGGCTGTGGCTTAGCAGCTGGCTTTGATGGTCGCTCAGGAGCTTTCTCTGCAGCTGTTCCAGGAAAAATACATTTACCCGTTAACTACCAAAAGTTATCTTCTCCCTAGAATATCCATACATCACCTAGCAAACAGGTGACGAGAATATTCAAACTTATCAAGTAGAAGTTATCTAGATCTAAAAAAAAATTTCTTGTTACTACTTTACAATGAAATATGAAGCAGCTAGAGGAGAGAATTAACAACTAGATCTCAAGAGTTAAAAGGTTAACTACCGCATTTATTGCAATTTTGCTGACGAGTACGAAGACGTATAAGAATTTTTTAGATTTCCCTTTCACCTGATTTACCCACTCCAGCTAAACACAGAATTTCTCAGAAATTTACCACACAGACCAACTTCATACCGAGAGAGCAGTTAAATCAATGGACATATTATCAACTTACGTGACTCTGGAGGAATGACTGGCGGCTGTGGAATCTGGGGTTGAGGTCTTTTGGGTGGACGCATCGGGGGTGGGGCAGGAGCTTGAGTATCGGCAACTTCGTAATTTTCTTCCACTGACACAGGGGGTGGGGGAGGCGGTAAGTCTGAGGTGTCGTTAGGGGCGTTTGGTTCAGCAACTTCATACATGTCATCTTGCTGCGGTACAGGACGAGCAGGAGGGACGGGAGGGGCTGGCGGCTGTCCTTTAGAAGGTCGCGGGGGTGGTATCTCTGGTGGTTTGTCTTCGCTGGGGATGGGTGGCATGGGTTCTGTCTTGCTGGGTCGAGGTGGAGGTGCAGATGCCTCGGGTAGTTCGTATTCCTCTTCTTGTATTGGTTCGACTGTTTTGTTTTCACCTGAAGTAAAATAAATAAATATATAAATAAAATTCATGTACTCAAAAAATAAACCTCCAACTTGTTGATGCGACTTGCGCACGAAAATCGATGGTCTATTTAAGTGGCGTAACAGGTGTTTATCGCCACGAAATGAGATGAGAGATGTCCCGCACTGCGCAAATTTGCTGTCTGCAATTGAGAAATGCCACGATAGTCTACGACGTTTTTATATGAAAGCGAATACTCTAACACGCCCCATCCCGACTTTCAGTGAGCCATGACGCTATTATCTGTTAACTAACCAGGGAAAAGTGGAAGCGGGGCCTGTTTTGAGGGGACAGCCGTGGGAGAAACTTCGTAGTCAACCACCTCCCGTGAAGGGCCTGGAGAAGGGTGGTTTGAAACAGGTGATTGAACAGTCTCCACTGCTTCGTATAAATCTTCTTGAGTGTCATCATACACTTCGTCTTCTTCTTCCACAGTTTCGTTTTTTAGGCCCGCGTCAACATAGTGAAGGCTGTCATCATCTCCTGAGGTGTGCCTATTGCGCATTTCTTCTAATTTAGCCCTTTGATGTTCAGACAGCGGAGCATCACAAGCCCTCTGAATGGCTTTTATCCACTTTTCTGTTTCTTCCTTACTGTTTGTCTCAAACTAAGAAAGAAGAGAACAATAAAAATGTCGCCCTCTACAGATCAGCTACATAAATCAGTAGAGTTTAAAATGCATTCCAACAGTTTTTTCTCCATTTAAATTTTAAAACAGTCCTGCGATTGCGACGGTGCATGTTGTATGACAAAGCCAGATGGGGATTAGTCGTTAATGCACTACACATCAGAAGAAGTGCACATCACATCGGAAAATTCCATCGGGTTCGAGCCATAACCGAATTACTGTTTTGTAATCTTAAACAAGACATAGAACCGTCATAGTGCCTCACTTTGCCCGAGCGGTTTAAATAGGGGGCAATGAACTGTAAGGGAACCGCACGGAACCCTAATCCGTTCATCAACATGGGGTAGTAATACTCCAAGTCGCCTGATGTTCCACACTGGGATGGTAACACTTGCCTAACATGTTTGTGGCTATGAAAAACTTGTATAAAATAACGAGAAGAGAGAAGCTCATAAAAAAGTCACTTCCCCAGAGTTCTCATATCCTAGTCCATTCCGCCTGCGTCTATTTTTTTCCTCAGGCTTCTTAAAACGATTGAAAAATCGTTCCATAATTTCAGGATATTTGAGAGGAAAGAAATATTTTTAGAAATTTCACTTTCGAAAGTTAACAAAATTAACAAAAGCAAATTGAGGGTGTGACTCTTGTACCTGGTAAGTCCTCTGGCCACCCGAATGCGTGAGATGAAACTCTCGGCCTCTCTTATTGGCTAGCTGTACTTTGTAACCTGGCAGCAAGATATGCCCTTGTTGTTTGTTGGCCTTCTTGTCCTTAAAGTAGTACATCGCGTGGTTACGCACTACACAGAACCTCTTCTGAAACTTACTTCCCAAATACACCTTTCCTTCCTTGCGACGTTTGTTCAAAAAACCTGCAGGAAAATAATTTTTAGCGATCAAAACTACTAACTAGAATTTTAACAATTTAACAATGAGTAAATTAATTATTAAATAATATTTTCAAAATTATAAGAGAAAAAGAATGGTATTTGTAAATAATGTGAACCAATGCCCTCGGGTTTTCACTGAGAAATATTTTCTCTTCTCGAAAGTTTCAAAGTTTTCGAAACTCGAATTGAAAGTCTCGAAACTCCGACAAGCGAGGATCGAATTTCGAGGCACGTCAACTTACAGTACATTAGCCCATGGGAATTGAACTGGTGATCTCTGTGTAGCATCGGAGAATTCTGTGATCTTTGAAGCCTATTGAACACGTAATAGTACCCAATGGTGCTAAACTCTCTCAGCTACACATACAACAAATAGCATGCAAAATGAGCCTCTGAAGTTGAAGAATGTACTAAAGAAAAGTGGTTTAAATTAGTTTTCTGAAATGACTATTGGAATTCAGATAATTTGCATTTCAAAGTTTGAATGTGTTTGGAAACATGATACTGGTGCAGGGGAGCAAAATAAATTTAACATCAAACCCAGATGATGTAGCATGGTCATCATTAAAGCCAATTGGCCCACACTAGCAAAGCTTGTCCCGAGTTTTGTAGCCAATGATAATAACTTTTGAATTAATGAGGATTTTGTCTTGCTCCCTTGGATGGGATGCTGGTGCATCACAGGTTACTCCCCTCCCTCCCCACCCCAGCATGTCATCAAGCTTTCTTGATAGTTCATCAAAGTTAATTTATGGTCCTGGGCCTGGTTGTTCAAAGCCAAGTAGAGCAAACCTAGTGTTCAATTGTAACCTGGTTTCTTCATTCCTTTTGTTTAAAAGCCTCTTTCGGATAATTTTCTCTATTCTTTTCAGAACATCTAATCATCAAATTGTGGACAAAAATGACCAAAATGAATTTTCTTTTAAAGCTTTCAGATCTGAAACCCCAGCTTTGAACAATGCAGCCTAATGGATAGGGAGAGGCAATATAGGTAAACTAACCCAATGAACTTTAAACCCTAAGCCTGCTATCCAGCCTGACATTAGGAGACTGTATCCCTCACTAACTAAGAACATGTGCCTTGTAATCATAAACAACTTTAAACCTGAATACTTTCCCAGTTTACTAAACTGCCTACCTTACATCTGATGAAGCTCAGTAAAAGAGCATCAGAAGTAAATGTAATAATAAAATCAGAAAGTCAAAGGTTTCAAAGCTATGTTACCACCCACTGCCAATTTTTTGAGCTCACAACCAAACTTATTTCAATTATTGTGAGGAGATCTAATCAATACCTGTTATAATGACACCTTGAACTTTTTCAGGACTTGTGCTCTGTTTTAGTTGATCCCAGTTGACAGTTCCATCTACTAAACTATCTGGTGCTTCAATGCCTTCATACATCTCACCATCTGCGTCTTTTGGAGCAGAATGATCCGTGTCTGTAACTAAACCACAAAACTCCAATTGTCATTCAGTGGTAGTATTATGCCAAGCAAGAAACCCTTCATTGTTAGGTTGGTCAATCAAGTCAGGGAAAGAGTGGGTGGAGGTCACCATCAGTCCTTATAGATATACCTAAGATGTACAATGCTCTTCTCCCTTGAAGCACATACTGGCAAATTGGCAGTAGAGTCTAAGATGTAACCTTGTTATCTTTACTCGTCTGTTTTCAGGTGCAATACCAAGTTAGACCATTGGGGGAGACAATTATGTTAGACTAGTAGTTGAAGACAAAGCTGTGTTGTGAATAATCCAAATGGGAGCCTAACCGGTCTGATATTAGGATAGTGCATATTTTAAGTTAAGTAATAATAAGTTGAAGTTAAGTAATAATAAGTTCTGGGGATGGCTACTCCCATACACATACCATTCACTTTGGGTTTGTACACCGGCCTTGGATTCTAAACTATTCAAAATTGCAGAATATTGTAGAGAGGCTCCCCAAAAGGTTAACAGCATCATTAAAAAATGGTTTTTCTTTCAGTAGTCTTGGTAGAATCAGAAAAAGTGTCATAACAGATGCTTATTGATCAGGATTTCTTTTTTATTTCCTGGCAATTCAGATAAGGAGACAAGGGGTCGGTGTTCTCCCTTATTTTAAGTATGACAGGTAAAATATATTTTCAAACCGGTAAAGCAATCCTTTTACCTGTTGAATTTTCAAGAATTCCAAGCAATTTTAAAGGGTAATAAGAGGTACTACAGGCAGTAAATGTTACTGGTTACTGCCTGAAAAGGAGAACACTGCAAGGGGTGTCACTTTTCTTGATCCAGCGATAGTTACAATTTTAGATTGTTACAGTCAAGGGCAAAAGAGGAATCAGAATAAAAAAAATCTCCTTTCTACTTTCCACTATTCAATGGTTAACATTCAGCTTTTCAGTACCACTGACTGCTGCTACAACTGCATTTCTTCAGGAGTTAATATCAACTTAATGAGTTAAATGACAATAACAATAACTAAGTATTTACTATCCTCAATACCTTCATAATCTTCATCAGCACCTGGGATCTCATAGTTCTCTTCTTGCTCAGCTGGAGCTGGAGGCTTCACACTTTGCTCTGTAACTTCATAATTCTCATCTGCAGTGTTCTCTGTTTGAGGTTCTACATAATCTTCTTGGCCTGGGTCATCTTCCATAGCCATGTAGTCTTCACCAGCAGCCTCTCCACCTTGAGCCTCATTTTCCTGCTCAGCTGACATCACCTCATAGTTCTCACCACCCATATCTGCACTTGTTGGTACATCATTTCCCTCAACACCCTGGCTCATTTCATAGTATTGATCATCTTGAGCTATAACAGCTGTAGAATACAATTTACTTTCTTCAATAATTATCACCTCTGTGCACAACCCTTGACCTCAGCCTTTATCCCTCTCATTCCAAGGAGTAACAATTAACTAACATCCCCATACAGCATCCAAGAACTGCCCTGCAGTCATATAATGAGAGTAAAGATACATTGGTCTTAAAACTGGTAGGTTTATAAATTTGTCAGGTACATTTCATGTTACGATTAAATTTCCAGAAACAGAATGGGAAAATAAATACCAGCCACGTCATCATAGAGTTCCTCTCCACCCAGGTCATCACTGGCTGCTGGTACAGGTGCCGGCACAGGAACTTTACCCTTTGGTGGACGTGGAGGTCCTTTACCACCACCAGACAACTCATTCTGCAATCCTAGTTGGGTTTTCAACTTTCTGAACTTGTCTGCTAGCAAGGTACGCTCTATCTCTGCTGCTGGAGAAAGTTTTTCTTTGGCCAGTGTAACAGAAAAAAACTTTTCAGCCTCTGAAACAAAAAGGGCAGAGTAAAAAGATCAAGGTTGAAAGTCCAAAGCAGGCATTCACTAGTTATTTGTTTATGAGGTAAAAACATCATTCTCTAGGCAGAGTGAAGGCAAACTGGTCTCCTTGAGACTAACAAACTCTAAATCATCCTTGTGTTTACTATTACAATTAACCCTTGTACCCCACAAGTGATTGACATGTAACTTCTCTTAATGATATCCTTATCTTTTCTAGCAAACAAGTAATGAGAATACTCAAACTTATCAGGTAGAAGTTGTTGTCTTAATCTGACACCAAATTCTCATAACTGATACTCAAGGAAACGTGAAGCCACCAGAGGCAAGAATTGATAATCAGATCTTGGCAGTTTAAGGGTTAACACTCCTATTGGCCGATGGTCGTAGCAAAATATTGTCAGCATTTACACGAGTTGGGAATTTTCGCTTCCTGTAAATGTTTAAAAGGTTATGCATCGAGTGTTTCGCATTCTTGCAATTCAGTTCATCCGCGTATGAATGTATGCTTTGAAATTCGCTGAACTACATGTATAGGAGAAACTACGATGGAAAGCACATGACCACATGCACATGTAGTTATAACACATGAACTAAATGTATACTGGGTAAAAATTCGTTACAGCTACAATACCAAGCAGTTATACATGTATAATACTGAAATTTGTAGGATGTTTCGAGTGCATATTTCTCTTCGTGGCTTCAGCCTTCTCATTGTTGGTATTCCTGCCGTATGCAAGTCAAGTGATCAGCATTAACTATGAAGCAGCGAAGTCATTCATTTATACTATCAAAGTAACAAAGCATAATCGCAGAAAACTTTCAAATGCTGTCTGATATACCGGAAGTCCATAGGTTGCTTCAATGGAAGTGAACGATCATGATCACGATTACTCTCTGCAGCAAACACGCCACCGCAAAGATTAATCTCTAATTTAGCTTTAGCTTACCACAAACGGCCTCTTTAACATCCTTGCCGACTGGATCCATCAATATTTCGCCTAAAACGAAAGCCAAACTACCAAACTAACAAAAAATACATCGCCTTCTACACAAATAAACAATCACTTTCCGCACAAGCTTCGCCGCATAACACATTCAATATGTATTATGGGTAACATTCATATTTCCTCGTACTCAGTCCCGCTCAGTCATTTGTTTCTCGGAAATAAAAAAAAATGCTAAAGTAGGCAAATTCCCAGAATTCTACGCTCATAACATACAAAATGTCGTCTTTAGGATCAGAAAATCGTATGGAGCCCTTTTTTGTTTCATCTTGGAGGCCCAACTCTAACCTACCGGTGCGATACGGTCATAGCGAACTTGGTTTCTTTTCTATTGACGAAGAAAGGCACTTCTTACCAAACAAATGTAAACTTGGGACGTTGCAGCTACCACAGAACTGTGATAGCCTCGATATAGATTTAAATGTGGGATTTGAGCAATGGAAAGAACTCCCAAACGTCCAACAACACCTTGATTCCATGCTGCAATGGATTCTACTGAACAAACAATTGATGACGAGAACAGGTGACTTCCGCTCGAGCAAGGATGGTGGCAGGTACTTTCACGTAGAGTAATAGCTTGTATTTCTGAACTACAGCGATACAACAAATAGTTAAGCACTGTCCTGCACTCTGAGAGTATGGGAGAAGGTTAACAGTTTTTTTGTTATCATGCGCAACTGAAGAGGAGCGAGACCCTCGTGAAATGAGTGGAGATGGAGATGAAGGAGTAGGCTTCCCTTTTATCTACTACGTAAAAAAATGTTCTTCTTGTTGTTGACTTGAATACGCCGATAGCAGGGTAGCTTTCAGTAATCGCCATTTCTTTTTATCAGTTCCAAGCGAATATTAACAGAACCAATAATTTTACTTGCTGACTACCCAACTGCGATTAAAAAAAGATATTCAGAATAACGATCCAAACGGTGGATAGAATGCCTGCTGGGATTGCCAAAGTGATGCGAGTGTCTTCTTTCACACGATTGTTGGTCTCCCCCATTTGAGTAAAATCGCAGTATCTTTCATTGCAGCTGAAACTTTCACCTCGATTTCGAAGAGTGACCAGGAGAGATAAAAGAGTGAGGGTTTAAGGACAAATATTGGCATGAGGAAAGGTTTAAATTGAACTACCACAGCAAAATTTTAATATGTATACAGCTGACTTGGAACTAATTCCAGTCGAGTTTTGCAGCTCAACCTGTCTGGACATTTTAAGCAGATTTATCTAGTCGACGGAAAAAGCTTTTTCTTTCTCAGTTGCCAAATTATACAATGGAAACATTGACTATGCAAGGGGGACTTTTTAATATGTTTTTTTTTCTTATGCCCCAGTTAATCTTTTCTTCTAGACTGGATGTGGACTTTGTCACGTCGCGTGGTAATCTGGCGCGTATCCTTAACATTTGGAGTGGAAAAGATGGTAAAGGCCGAAAGTGGACCCTTTTGGCCACTCGCTACAGAGGAACAGTTTACCTGAGCCACATCGAAGATAATCGAGACGATGAAATGTCGTCCTTTGCTCGAAGGGTTTGTTACTGGGGAAAAAGGTTTGAAGTGGAAGTCACTGCACCCGCAGAAGAAGACTCGCTCCCAGGCTATTCGCGTGGAAACAAAGAGGAACGATATGGTCCTATGAAAGCTTACCCAGGGTTCTTTTCAGTCGTAAGATTTCAGTTGGAAGGTCATAAGATTGCGCTAAGAGCTGAAATTGATGCCCAAACGCAAGTAAGTGATTCTGACATAATTAAAGGTTCAGATTAATTAGGAAAGGAACGCCTTATACCACTTTCCAAACTTTAGATATTTTTACAAACTAACTTGAGAAGACACTCTGGACCCTGCAGTATCACTGCAGGGCCCAGAGATTGACGAAAATCGGACATGAAACGTCGAGCTCGACCCGTTTAAATGGACAGAACATACACTTGATTTCTGGGTGGAGCAGTTTTATTGTTAACTGCGCAGATACTAGAGAGAACTATGCCCCACGTCGATTAAATTTCATCAAAGAAATTCTTTGAGAGTATACTTCTGTTTCGACTAAGTTTCGACTGGTTTGCGAAGATCTGAAATGACAAGAAAACATTACTAAACATTACTCTTCCGCTTGATTTTTCAGGCTCTGGATGAGCTTCAAATTCCAGACTACGTAGAACTCAAAGTTACGACCGAAAATATTGTGCGGGCTACTTGGGCGTTTAAACGAAAGAGACTAGTACCCTGGTGGTGTCAATCAATCGTTTCAGGAACGCCGCTGATTGTGTACGGTATCCGAGACTACGATGGTCACGTGAAACGTATCCAGCACGTGAGAACTGACGAGATACCTGATGAGGTTGGGCATGAAAATCTCGACAAAGATGGATGTTTGATGTTCTTGAGTGATGTGCTCTCTTGGATGAAAGACATCGTGTTCGAAGAGGACACCATGGCTGTCTATGCCTTTCAGTGGGATCCAAACGCGCCTGCTAATGGCGTGACGGTGAGCGCGTTGCGTGACACAGAGGGCACTTTCTTGCCTGATTGGTACTTGAATGAGATGGAAGATTATTTTGCGAGTCTTTGTGACCAACGGCAAAGCAAAGGCCAGAAAAGAAAAATGGAGGACGAAAGTCAAAATAAAGATCGAAAGGAAGGAATGAAGGATATGCGCAAACGACTAGAAGAATCTTGGCCAAGAACAACGGATTCTGGGAAGTCGGACTATCATGAGAACATACAACGAAGGAATTTATCCCACCCCACGGCGCGGAGGTCGTATGACGACCGTGATCGCGGGAAAGCAACGCAGGTGTTGTCGCATGACACACCTGATGAGGGGCGCCGCCCAAAAAGAGAATCGTCCCAAAGAGGAGATTTCAAAAGAGAACATCACGCATCAAGCGTGGCCTATAGAAATGATACAGAACGTGCCATTGCAACTGAGACGCGACTTCATCTTGGTAGAACTAGCACTCGTGATGATCACCGGCACCCATCGCCACAGTTTCATCAAAGTAACAGAAAGCAACTTGATAAAGTTACAAGATCTGAAAGATACCGTCGAGAGGAGGAAGATCAGAGACGGCCACGGTCGTGGTCGGTTATGTCGCCACGTATGGAAACACATTCCCTAAGATCGGGTAATAAAGGTTATCCTTTTGCCGATGCTGAACGGAAATCAGAAGAGTCAAGAGTTAAACGACCCAAGCGAGACTCGGAGCATCGAGGTTTCAGAAGACACTGATATTCATATCGGAACTTCAAAAAAGAACCTTTAAATCGAAATTCAGTTACCTATAAACAATCTTCACAAAAATAGGAAAACATAGCGCGTGAGGAAATGCGAGATATTTTTTTTTGAAAGTACATTTTAGGAACGTTTAAGTATTTTTCACTTTGTTTGATACAAATGTACATATGTAATAATCATTCTCTGTCATATTTAGTCTAGACGTATTTGAGGCTACCACCTCTATTTTTAATCGAGATTTAAAAGGGTCGATTGTCCAAACAACCAATGTATTTTATAGACAATCTTTTAACCAAAAAAACAAAACAAAACAAAAAAGAAACCAACAGAAAGGTCTTGTTTGGTAAGGACCGTTGGTAAAACTTTTGTACCATACAAACAAAATCTGGTGAAAAATACACCGCGAGGTGCTTAATTACTAAATACATTTCGTGTTCCGAACTCAAAGGAGGCGGAAAAAAAAAAGATAACTCAAATTCAGTAGATATAAGTAGGGATACATGCATGAAAAATGAAACTACACTTTTATTAAGAGTGTAAGTATCTTTCACAGCATTAAAACGTTCAAAAAGCATGAAGCAAGAGGTCTTTTGTACGAGGATCAGGTCACCTGTTGATAGCATTTTACGAGGAATTACCGGTTTTGTTGACTCTGCATTGACTCTAGAGTTTTATTGAGGTTCTCTTGCTAATGTGAATGATAAATGAGGGCCACAAGTGAAAGTAACGTAGAAGAGCATAGCTCTTGGCTTTGCTAGATCACTGTAATGGTAGGTGAATGAGTGTGGCTATTAAAATTCTTTGTGCACTACACGTGAAGTTGCGTGAACTTCAGTGCCAGACCTCTCGCAGACCTCTTGCGCTCGCCGATTCGAGTAGCTCAACGCCGCTCATAATTCCCCGCGGGCGATCAAACGCTTGTGCCGAAGCGGTGATAATAAGCGCCTAGTTACAGGCTATTGAGTGCTACACGGCTTAGGAAAGCTACTGACCTTATAGTCGTTCTATTTTGTTAAAATAGGGCTCGAATTGATGCTCATGCTGTGAAATTGTCAAGGTGAGTGACAAAAATGTGTTATGGGGCGTGTGAAGGAGGAGCGTGGGGGTGTGGGGTGTGGGGTGTGTGTGCGTGTGTGTGTGTGTGTGTGTGTGTGTGTGTGTGTGTGTGTGTGTGTGTGTGTGGGGGGGTCCAGCTAAGGGATATACATATACCCATCACTACTAAGTTGAACGACAAAAAGTTACCGAAGTGACTGATAAGACCTGAATAACGGATAGTAGAATTAAACAAGCAAATCCATCTGCCTTCCGAAGCGTATCTTTTCTTATGATCTTATCGGACTTCTATGTCTGTGGAGGGAATGCACAATTATTTCATACAAAAATTGTCTCGAGACGACTCTCGAGACAAAGTTTCAGCGGATGAACTGAACGGTCTCCATCGAAGCTCCTCTCAAAGGATCCTGAAAACGAGGCTTGTTCACGCAAATTACATGACATACACTTCTTCGTCCTTTTTATTTTCGAACAAATCTGTGAGCGGAATATGTTTTCAAAGCGTCTAGTTTTGAGCCAGAGAGGCTGTCGTGCGGCGTTTTTCGGGCTTCAGAATGTTCAAAGAGGCTTCGCTGCTTCTTCAGGTATAGTTCTATGCTCTTTTTAGACTGGTTTTTCAGACTGGTTGAAGGTCGGCCAAACGTGCACGACCTCTTGGGGTTCGGCAGTCACAATTCCTTACAAGATCGAACGTATTAGAGGAACGTTGTTGACAGAGATGAGTTTAAAACTAACTCTGGGTTCATAGAAACTTCGTATGCAACGAAAGCTAGGTAAAGTCCTTGTATATGCGCAGTTGTTGTTAAAGCACTAGAGCTGAAATCAAATTCAAAATTAAGCGCTTACTTTAAAGGAAGTTTCGGTCATCGGTGGTCCTCGCAAGCCTTTGATTCTAGAGAAAAACATCGTAATTGCACTACCGAATCGGTACAGATGGGAGAGAGAGAGCGAATTAAACAGATTAGTAATGGTGATATGATTTAGTGGAGTTTAGTTCGGTCCGTGATATATGAATGATCATTCCACGACTGTGAAGCGGCAGACGACCGATTTATCAATCACGAGTAAGACTATTGACAGAACTGGACGTCTTATCAACAGTTAATCAAAACTATGTCAAAATTTGACATGTAAACAAGCCATCGAGCATGCTATTCCATAAATGAAACAACCGTTCAATTGGCTAAATTAGCGGCAACAGCGCACACACGACGTGTACTGTCCAATTCTATATGTAGAAGCATGATGCGAATATTTTCCAATTACAATGTTCAGTTACAAGCATGATGGTCCTATATTAATAATGGTGACAGGACTGAGTGCAGTCTGTAATCATACAATCATACAAGTGTTTAACAAAATTGGATGACCCCAACGGTCACTTACACCCATAACACAAACATTGTCCTTTATTTGCTAATGGCACAGACTAAGAGGAGTCCATTTTGGTATCTCATGATACATTTACTAGTGATTAAGGCTAGCAGGGACTGCTTCAGTCAAATTAAAAGCTTCAAGGAATCACAAAATTTCATTTTATATTTTGTCAATTGTCCATATAAACTTGATTCAAGGGATGTCTGTACCCGGTATTTGAACTTTTGAAATTATTAAGGTAATTCTAGCTGTTTCATTGCTACAATAGAGAGTCACTCCCTGGTATAACATGGGCTTATTTTAATTTAAGAGAGTGACCTTCAGGTATGCATGCAAGTCATGTATTGTGGCACTGTTTTTTCATTGGTTTGAATTTCGATTCATTTTTGCAGATGCAAGGTTTTGTTTATCTGTGAGTCTAGTGACTCTGAACTGAAGCAAATTGCAAGTCAAACAATATGTGAAATTAAATCAAACAGCACAGAAAGTTTCATTTTGAGATTTAAGAACAATGATAGTAACAAATATTTGTTTGGGTTCCTAGGACCTCTACTGCAAAAGACGGCACCTCTTGATCCAGGACTGGGAATGCCACAATGTGATTATGAACCTGAACAGTACCAGGTGGTACACATTAAATTAATCTTAAACCATACTTAGTATAGTTCAGCTCTCACCATGCCAATGGAGACTGTAGTTCTAAGTCACAAAGACATATCTGGAGTTAATTTTTTTTTTACCTGCAAAGGATGAGCAACAAATCAATCTTCAAAGTTGAATAGCAAGTTGAGAAGCCTTAGGTTAAAGTCTCAAAAGTAATTTAATGTGTTGAAAAGGCCTTAAAATAAGCCTTCCAGGTGGGGATTGCTAAAAAAAAGTTAAAACATATGGCTTCTCTGCCCTATTAAAGACAAACTTGTTAATTAGGCTTTACTTTCAGCATTCCAAGTGTTTTGAATTTGTAGAGAACTCATTGGGATCTATTTGTCTTTTCATTAAATTGTGTATATTTATCACCTTTGTTTGAGTGATATGTATGTGTATGTGTGAACTCTACTGTTACTTTTTTATTCCTAAGATCTCATTAATAATTCTCTTTAATGTCTGCCATATAATTCATAGGATGTTAGTTTGGAGAATTTGTAGTTGGATCAACTACAAATTTCTCTTTATTCTCATCACTTGTCTGCTTGTCTTGAATTGATATTGTAAGGAGAAATTCTTTCTTGGTCACTCATGCAAATTAAAGGGGTGATCAACACGTAAATTCTCAATTTTGATATGCTCTCAGGCAGACATGTAATGAGAATTTATAGTATGAATCAATGATAGAAAATAGCTTTGATGTAACTTTAAATTATTAAATAAAGGTGTGTTTGTTTGCTCTGATTTATCAGGGAATCTCATTTGAACATGCTAAAGAAGTGAGGAAAACCTATCTGAATCCAGCTTTGTTTTCATATTACAAGGAACCAGTGTTTATTTGCAAGGTACAGTTATGGATTTTCACAGATATACTCAAGTCAGGACAGCACATTGTTATTGTGTTTCCTTACCACACCCCAATTAATCATGGTCCTTTTTAGAAAAGAAACTCTCATGACGAGTCTCATGAAACTTTGTGAAGATGACAAGCACTTGTAAAATTTTTTTAGCTACACCCTATATACTGGTCAGGAATAAATTTGATCAGCTTATTCAGGAGAACCCTGATTTGCATGTATATCACATACTTTTATTGCCTAAAGTGTGTGATTCCCAAACTAGTTTCTTTTAAGACCTGGTTAGTTGATCACCTTACAATAATCTCCCAGAAAATGATAATTTTTGAGGGACAGCTAGTCCTGGCAGATTACCCCACCTAACTGTGGTTATTTCAAATGCCACCACTCACTGAATTAAATAATTGTTATTAATTATAAAAGATCATTTAATACCCAACTGCAATAAAAATTGCCCTAGACTTCTTAACATGTTGTGATTTTTAGGGTCACATGCAGTGGCTCTGGGACAGTGCTGGAAAAAGATACTTGGATTTATTTGCTGGTATTGTGACAGTCAGTGTAGGACATTGTCATCCGTAAGTTTTGGTGAATTGTTGAATTATCTTAGAAAATTAACTGTAGACAGTAGTCAAGACTGGTGCTTGCTTACATCTTCACTCCCTGAGGCACAACCAAAAAAATGAAGTTCTTCTGATGATATTCATGTGTTTTTAAGCACTGAAAGATGATGGTATGGAAGGGAAATATCATTGAGGGGATATCATTCAATTTCTCTGATCTACATTAAATTAACAGAAATGTGTGGTAGAGAGTACTGAGAATTAACTTTTAAATCTTGGGTAAGAAAGGGTTAAGATAATTTCTAGTAGTGGGGTTATACAATACATTTAATCTTGTGCTTAATATATATCTCCATGTCTGAATAGTCAGGAAGCTCTCCAGTTTATGATAGCTGATAAAAATATCTGTTGTTCTTCAGTCATGTGACCAAAGCTGCAAAAGACCAATTGGATAAATTGTGGCATACGACTAACATATATTATCATCCAACCCTCCATGAATATGCAGAGCTTATGGCATCAAAACTTCCTGGAAACCTTAAGGTAAACTGAAACTAGGGTTTTTAGATAATAAATAGGTTCAGTAAATTTTGGTTGTTCAGTACTTAGTATTTAAATGAAAGGGGTCTCTGAGAATATTAGAAGGTAATGGGGTTGGGTTCATTAGAGCCAGTGTAGATATCCTGTTAATAAACAATTTGCAACATCTAACAATGTTTCCCTCAACTTCAGTGAGTTCTATTTTAGTGTTGTAACTCTCATTGAATGAGATACAATTCTGTAAAGGGTTTCGTGGTTTCCTGAAATGTTAAATGTCAGGAAATTGGTCAATTAATTATCCATTTATGCATGATCACTCTGATAAGACTCACAATGTCAATTAATTTAACACTGAATATTCAACTTAGAAGGAATTTAGGCAGCCAAACTTTATTTTTCAGTGCATCCCTTAATCACTGTTTTGGTTCATTCATTAATTCCATTTTTATTTGATTGTGTCTTTGTAAGTTTATTTTTATTTTACAAAGTGTGATCTAATCCAACCCTGAGATTTTTTTATGACAGACTCTTCCTTTAATTGCCTGTGATGTTACAACTAGGAAGATATTGTTGTTTACTATGAACAAGGCAGATCCATAGCTCTCTTGAGCTACAGTGTAGCTAGTCAGGTTATTAGGTAGGGAAATATGCTTTGAGCCTTTTTTTCCTTTTAAAAATAGACAGTGTGTGACTGTGGTAAATAATATCATTGAACGATGCTGACCATGACTGATTTGTGTCAAAATTTCAAAGGCTTGTATGGTGTTTTATTGAGTTGCTTGACATTTAAAATCTTCTACCTTTGACTATTTGAGTTGTTTTGCCCACTGACCAAAGGCAAACAACATCCTCTAGCTTAGAAAGATTATTATCATTGGGCTTGAAGACAAATAAAAATGGCATTTACTACTTCTGTTCAAGCAAACCTGCGAGAATGGCAGGATCAATATGTAATGCCCTAAATTTTTGTGCACAGAAGTATGTACATAGTGTAGTTCAAGAGAATCACCTTAATTGTCTTGCTGTAGTTATACAATAATTGGGATCCAAATTTTATGTACATTTTATTTTTTCATTTTAGAATTTGCAGGAAGTTCTTTCTTTTTCACCAGGTGTGCTACTTTGTAAACAGTGGCTCAGAAGCTAATGATATGGCCATCATGATGGCAAGAGCTCACACTGGAAACTTTGATTTCCTTTCTCTCAGGTAAACTGTGCAGTGATAAACACTAATAAAAACTCCCAAGATCTGATTTTCAACTCTCCCCTCTAACTGATACACATTTCCTTGCAAATTAGTTACAAGAATTTGGTGTTAATTCAAGAAAACCATTTTCTACGTAATAAGTTTGAGTATGCTCATTAACCATTTACTGGAAAATTTATGGAAATTCTAGGGAGAAGTTACATGTTAATCACTTTTGGGAGTTGAAGGGTTGAAAGTGATGACATAGCATTAGAAATGGTTGACCTTTTAAACTCACAACATAATAATGATTGTGATAATTTCCCTTTCAACGTCTTCAGCCATGCTCTTAGCTCATCAGGGACATCTACCGACCCCAAACTTAGTAACAAAAAAAGGAAAGAAATCACCTGATGTGTTCAATATATGGATATGTTGATTTGAACTGTGTTGAAATTAGCAGGATTCATTTGGTTTCTTTTATGGCTTTGTAATAGAAATGCATATCATGGTGCCAGTCCATACACTCTGGGAATTCTTGCTCACAGCACATGGAAACTCAATGTCCCCGTGGGATTTGGATATTTTCAGGTAAATGGCAAAAAGAAGTTACATGTAAATGTAATTTGGTAACGTCTACAGTTTTTGTTTCAATGTCAATATTCTCAACTCCTTCTGCTCAGCTGGGTTGTAATGTTTTTAAAACGCTTATCTCCCCAGACTATGAACCCAGATGTGTACCAAGGACCCTGGGGCGGAGCTAACTGCCGTGACTCAATAGCGCAGGTTGATGGGAATTACCGCAGTGTTTGGTGTAACTCACTTTATCATTGTTTCATTGTCCATTCCTGTTCAATTCATTCATTCATTCATCCATCTACCATCTATTAATTCATTCATTAATTAGTTCAATTTTTCGTTTCTCGTGCTTCATTCGTTTGTTAAATCCACTCGTTTATTTATTTATCTCTAATTTATTAAATTTATTTATTCATTTATCGACAGACGGACAGAACATGTAATTGTGCGGCAGGTAAACCTTTCTTGAAACAAACGAAAAAAATTCTATCAATAGATATGTGTGAGGAGCTTTTTCATTTTCGATGAAGTGATGTCGAGTACACCATCTAACCAAAACATTTGTATCAATACAGGTCAGTGTATGGCTTCCAAGATGTATGTTGATCAGCTGAAAGATGTCCTGGTGCATTCGACTTCAAAAAAGGTTGCAGGATTCATAGCTGAGCCTATTCAGGTTAGAATCCTTTTCCCAACTTCTGAGTCGTTTATGTAGTAGTTAAGAACATTTTCCGACTTGACATAAGAAAATTTTGCATGTATGACGTAGATGTGTGGATACCAGCGCCCCATCTGATTGGTTCTTTCTTGCGAAGCGTAAGCGAAAATCATACTACAACCAATGGCAGTTCTTTATAAAATCACGTCATCAGTGGAGAATTTTTGAACATTTTGGTCTTATTTTGAGCATGTAACATATGTAGGTTCTTAAGTTAAGCGACGATTTACTCGAGTGAGACATAAAATTATAATATGGTAGATAATTTAGTGTTAACAACTGAGTTAAAAGCGTAAATTGGCCACCGTAAAGAGTTAAAAGGCTGACGTTTAGAGCGTTTTCGTCAACGCGATTGACGCTTTGCCGAAGGGCTAACGCTCGAAATGTCAGCTTTTAAACTCTTTACGGTGGCCAATTTACGTTTTCAACTCGGTTGTTAGCACTAAATTACCTGCTATGCTCTCCCACCGACGCAGCACTATAGAAACTTACTCTCTTGAGAAATTAATGTGATCTCTTCATTAGGGTGTCGGAGGTTCCGTTCAGCTTCCCAAAGGTTTCCTGAAGGGTGCATACGAGCTTATACGTGAAAGAGGTGGTGTGTGCATATCAGACGAGGTACAGGGTAACTTTTATTTCTTCATAACGTATGCGTTTCGTCTAGCCACTACTTTCCGAGAGAAGTGTTTTCTTATCTTTTGTTTTTTGGGTATGCGTAGGTTCAGACTGGGTTTGGTCGTCTTGGCAGCCATTACTGGGGTTTTGAAACCCAGGGTGTTGTTCCAGATATCGGTAAGATTTTAAAGAGAAACATTGATTCTCTGGCTACAAGTTTTTTCCCTTCTCCCTCCCCATTAAAATATTTGTTGACTTGACAAGTAGTTATACAAAGCGGGTACTGACTCATTTTGAAATTTCACATGGTCTCTTTGTGAAATTCAAATACATTTTGAATACATCTGAATTCGTGTGGGGAAATAACACAAAAATAGTTGGAGATCGTTTGCATGAAGAACTGAACTCAGACTGTCATACTCTTCTCATTTATAAAGACAATTGTTACAGAAGAAAAAATCAAGGCACTTTTCTTTGCGAGAAGATACAATATTGATATTTGAAAAATCTTCACACAAACAGTCAACAAGATTGAGTGGTTGATTCAGGCGTGATGATGGGTGATAAAGCAAAGGCATGACTTTCAATTTCACACACTGTAACTTGTGACATTTTAAAATATTTTAAAAACCAGCGTAAATGACTTTGAACTTCACAGAGTGACAGTTGCGTGAAATGTAGTTGAATCTCACGGAGAGATCCTGTGAAATTTCAAAATGAGTCAGAACCCGCTTTTTATAACTACTTGACAGAAAGTCTTCTGAGATCCGCATAATAAGTGAAACTCCGGAAGTTTACAACCTCGTCCATAAAATGCTTTGCTTTCGAAAGAATGGTACAAATTGGACGGGAAAGGACCTTATTTTGCGGTGGATTTACATTTGTTTTCTATCTCTTTTTTTGATTAGTAACGATGGCTAAAGGTATTGGAAACGGTTTTCCAATGGCCGCTGTCATCACTACACCAGGTAGGATTTGCATACATTAGTTACCATCAGATAGCGTGAAAGGTGGATCTTTTTCCCCTTCATTGCTTAATTTGAATGCCCGATACCCTCAAAATTCGTATGTAATTTCTTCCTCTTCTTCAGAAATTGCCCACAGTTTTGCCCAAGCCGTTCATTTTAACACATTTGGTGGAAACCCTGTGGCTTCAGCAGTAGGAAAAGCTGTATTAGAGGTACTGCCCCAGGAAGTGTTCCAATTTGCGACTGAGACTGTTTTCGCTGTCCTTAAGAGATGTGTTTTCGAGTTTCTAACAGCTAATTTACTTTCAATGGAAGATTTACTTTCATTGGCCAATATTTAGCTGAATAAAGTCTATTTCAATTCTGATTGGTCAGAAATGTACTGCGGCGGGTGGTTCCTCAGATTTCCCGCCTTTTAATGATGCATGCGCAGCGGATGGAGTCTGCTATTTGCTTGTTGTTACGTAGTCAGTTTCGGATCGGCACGAGATCCCTTTTTAACTTTCCTTGTTGAGTTGTTGATTCTTCAATCGGATTTGCCGGAGATGTTTATCGAAGTGAATTTTTTTTTCGTATTTCTTTGCTGTAATTTCTCTTTAACCAAAGATTTGACCAAGCAGCCAACTTTTTCTTCCCTAAGGCTATTGATGAAGACGGTGTACAAAAGAACTGTGAGGTCGTGGGAACATACTTCTTAGAAGAACTGCTTCAACTTAAGAAAGAGTTCCCGGATGTAATCGGTGACGTCAGAGGGAAGGGTTTGATGATTGGCGTTGAGTTTGTCACAGATAAGGTGAGAGTTCAATTTATTCCCCATTATTTGGGTGGGAATACGAATCATTCTACGGTCTTAAACATTTAAGAACACGAAGATCGTTTCAATTTCCTAGGAATCAAAGACACCATTGCCTCCCGAGAAATTCGTCCCAATCTGGGAAGATTGTAAAGACATGGGAGTTCTTGTCGGAAAGGGTGGACTGTATGGAAATGTGAGTATTCACTTTAGAGATATTAATATCATCCTTGTCCTTTGTCTTTGTCGTTGCTTTGATAATTTAGTTTTGTTCCCATTAGACGAGTATCACTCTCGTTATACGTTGATTCGAATTCAAATAATTTCTGGTACACAGTGCCTGTCTTATTCTTCTCTTCTTTAAGTCATGGCATCTGCTGTATGACAGCGCAACTCATTTTGTTGCCCGCCCTCACGCACGCACGCACGCACTTGTCTTCCGCACTGGAAGAACGCGCGTCTCTCAAGGGTTTAAACAAATGACTTCCTTATTTTTCATAAGAATTTAGTTTTTCAACTGATGGGTGTTTCAGTAATTATTGTGCTTAAATTCAGACATTTTTTAATATTTTTTTGCCTTAGGTAATGCGTATTAAGCCCCCAATGTGTATAACCAAAGAGGATGTCGACTTCGGAGTTGCAGTTATTCGTGCGGCCTTGTCCAAGTACTCGCATAGCAAATAAATAACAATCGTTGGACTTTTTACGACTACTGTTGGCACCAATAGTACCTCTGAATAAGTTGACATGCCACACCGACTTTACTACATTCGCAGTATAGAATATCACAACACCGTTCAAGTATCCCAATGATCTGTCATGTTGTAAAACTATTTTTTAGAGAATATTCGTGAATGATAATAATTGCCAGTAAAACACGAGACATCCTGATCGCATTGATAATCAGTGGGTCCGTGGGTTTTTCAGAGATCGATTTTGGGGATATTGAGTGTCTTTAACTCTTTTAACACCTAGAAGTGATGAACATGTGACTTCTCCCGATAATATCCATGCATTATTAAGGAAACACGTTATGGAAAAACTCAGACTTATCAGATAGAAGTGGCTTTCTTGATCTAACACCGAATTATCGTGACTAAGTGACACAGAAATGTGTAGCAGCTAGAGGGGAGAAGCAATATCAGATCTTGGTAGTTGTAGGGTTAAATGCTTCTTAAAATCATGGCAATGCCTCACATCAAGTGGACGAAAGTGATTTACCTACAAATGGTTTCAACGTTGGGTAATCAATAAAGAACATTGAATCTATCGCACAAACGTCCCCTCTCTTATTTCTGTTTTAGCATTCATATTGTATCTATAGAGATCTGCTCTTGATGCGCGGTATTTTTAAGCTAAAGCCTTGCGAAGGAGGATGAAAAGGTCTCAGGGAACTGTTGGGAGAACCGACAAGGTCCAGGAGAAGTGGTGATTCTGCCGGTTGTATTTTTCCATGAGTCTGAAGACAGCGATCAACTGTAGGGCGTGCGCAGTTCGGTAGAAAAACATAGCTTTTAAAATCTGTAACATTCGTTAGACAAAACATTGTATCAATTTCTAATATAATTTTAATATCTGGGGTAAATTTCACACTTGCTGTAATGTAAAAGAACAGTTTTGGGGTTTTCAGCCTTTTATCACTACTTCCTAGATTATTTACAAAAATTAAGCTGCGACGGACGAAAACGTCAATTTTACAGACTAATTAAGCGCAGCATCGAGTCTAAATATGCATATTTAGTATAGTGCAACCAAGATTATGGGCTCAATCAATACTGGGGCCCTAAATAACACGCGCTAAGCTGTTTGGTTTGATCACTCTTCACACTTTTCATACAATTAAAAAAGATATATCTCTAGCAATGGTCTAAGATATTGATCAATCTCTCGCCAAAGAGAGAGCGGCATATCTTTTTCCATCATATAAATACGCATACAACTACGGTATCGCGCTTGCTTTGTATCAAATGAAAATATTTATATATTAAGTCATTCTTAATCTCTCTTAATCAAATAACGGGGCTAATTAAGTAAAATGTTACGTGGACGTCTCAAGGAGAACAACTTCGACGTGTTATGAAGTTGGATCATACCATATAGTTCCGTCACCTACTTTTGTTATCTTTCTTTCCTAAGCGGGGGTACTAGAGGCTTGATAAGTCCATCCCCTGGGGGAGGGGGCACTCCCATGTAACGCTCTACAGGTGACTGGGGAGATGGAGGTAAAGAATCTTCATAGTCTGGCTGAATTGACAGGTTTTGTTCAAAGTCTCCTAGGATATCGTCGATATTCAACTCCCCTGGTTCGTAAGACAGAGTTGAAGGCATCAATTCTAAATCATAGTCAGCCTGACTTGAGAGGGGTAGTGTTGGAGGTGGCAAAGTCGGCGGGGGAGGGGGAACAATTTCAAGATCAAAATCCGCCAAATCGTTGCTTTTCTGAGAACCTCTCTTGAACCCTTTGCGTGCCTTCCTTGAGTTAGACGAACCGTTTATGTTGTTATTGTCCGTTGTTTCTTCCCAGCCTGACGGCGGAAATAAAGCTTGCAGATTCAAGTCTAAGTTTACACTTTCTGTATCGTTGTTATTGTCAAATTCTTTGAAATGCATCGGTGGCGGAGGGACGATTTTCAAATCCAAGGAATCCAGGCTTGTTCTTGAAGCAGATCGTTCAGACCTGCCATACAAGTAATCCATCGGGGGAGGAGCCACTATGTTGAAGCTATCTGTACCGTTCTGAGCTCCAGTTGTTTCACGGTCGGACGTGATCGAGTCAGATGTGACTCCATTAGCTCTAGTGAAGAGAGATGACGACAATAAAGGCGGCGGAGGTTTAAAGTTTGGCGGTCCAATGTCCACTTTTGCTTGGAATGGTTTGGGGCCGACAAGAGGTTTTGAAGGCAATGCTGGCTTGGACGGTAACGTACCGTTTATATCTCGAGTAGGGATTTCATTTTTGTCAAACCCACCATTTACTTCCACGCCAGAATACAGATTGCGAGCTTCAATCACTGAAGTCGATGCTTTGATGACGTCATCGTTAACAGTGCCAGCTATAGAAGATACCCTTGGAGGAGGCGGTGGCTTAAATTGTGGCGGCGGCCTGTTTAGTGGAGGTGACGAAGAATTTGATGTTGGCGGAGAATTGAGAAGTTTAGCAGACGAAAGCGTGGGCGAACCAGGCACAACGACAGGGAACTTGGGGGAAAACGGAGTCTCTGGCGATTGGAGCCTTTCTTCTTGCGACGTGACAATGCTATTCGGAAAACTATCTTGAATACTTTTCGGTCGGAAGGGAGCAGGTCTAGGCGGTGGTGCCCTGACCTTTGTTTCAACTGCCACGACGTCTTTCGTTTTGTAAGGAAGTGGTTTGGGAGGAGCCTGACGTTTTGCATCGTTCATTTTGGTCACGAACTCAGCAACGACATCCCTAGTGAAGTACGCCTCCACTTCGGGCGTCGAAGACCTATCCACAACTTCGGAATATGGACTTTCATTGCGACGAAGTTCTCCAACTTCTGCATAATCCGGATCCACTTTAGGCAGACTGGCATCACGTGAAGGTGGCGATGGGCGCCTGTCCTTGTAAGGACTGGAAGGTGCTGGGGGCATATCTTTCCTGCTTACTTTGCGATTATGGGGCGGCGGTGGCGGAGGTGAAGGGTTCTCCTGAGCAGATGGGACCAAAGGTTTTACAGTTCGAGGTTCAACGACTTCGTAAGGATTCTCGACAACTTCCGGAGTGCTTTCGTCTAAAGTCATGTCGAATTTCGACGAGTTAAAACCATCAAGTTCGGGTGAAGATTGAGTGGAACCGTCGCGTTCCGGTGAAGGTGGAGACACGGGCGGTGACTTAGTAGCTAGCGATATGTCTTCCTCTGAATAATTACGATCAGGAATAGGTGGAGATTCATTAGAGTGGATTTCTTCTTCGATTTGATTGTCATTTACTCTAGGAGCACTAGGACTTTCCCCCTTGTTGATGAAGAAAGACTTGGGCTTTTTCTGAGTCATATCGGGTTTGGCGTAACTTGGCATTTCCCGTCCAGAGCCTTCAAATACCGATAGCATACTTTTCACTCCCATACTAGGTGAAATACTCGTTTTTAAATCGTTACCGTCATTCCTCTCTATCTCGAGCTTCTTTAGTTCCACTTTACTAACATTTTCGTCAGCTCCGCCTACTTTAATTTTTCCAGCATAGTTAACAGGTTTTAGTGGAACCGGTTTCGCCGGTTTTGAAACAGATTTTGGTGGCTCGGGTTTACTTGGTCTTGGAGCCGATGTTTTTACAGGGCTTTGGGGTGCGTTCGACTGCGGCGACTTTTGCTTTATCTTGGGGGGAGGTGCAGGTTTCGGTTTAGTGACCATCGGCGCTTTTGCAGGCTCTAAAACAACCTTTGGAGCTTCTTTCTTGGGAAGTGATGTACTAACATCCACCACCGTCCAAAGAGGTTCTTCACTCGGTTGAGTATCCACGGGCTTCACGACTGAGTTAGGTGATGCAACGCGAGGAGAAGAAGGCGAGTTAGGCGATGCTAGGCGAGGGGTAGAGGGCAAGTTAGACGATGCTACTCGAGGGGAAGGAGGCGGGTCAGGCGATGCTACTTGAGGGGAAGAAGGCGAGTTAGGCGATGCTACGCGAGGGGAAGAGGGCGAGTTTGACGATGCCACTCGAGGTGAAGAAGGCGAACCAAATACACTGTCATTACTTTGTTCACTGCTTATACGGCGTTTCTTGAAGCTTTCTTTAAGTTCATCTTTAGGTTCAAAATCAGGATCACTCATACTTCGCTCTCTGAAACTTTTTAGCTGTTTTGTGCGTTCCTAGATAAAATAAAAGCAGCGTGTGTGTTATTTTAAGACGGACAGAACAACTAACTATACAATACGGCGAGGGACAGTCGACACGGTGAACTAGGGCTTCACCTTTCGCTATTCCGGGAATCTATTGTCCTACTAGTGTATATGCTATGTACAGTGACTTAATAAAACAAACATTTAAATGAAAAAAACGCAAATAAACAAACATGGTCGCATAAAAATAAAAATGAAAATATACAAGAATACATAAATATTCTATAGATTGACTTTAACTGAAGTATCACACGCGTCGAATAAGACAAATAACGATAAAAGTAATAAAAATGAAATTAAAAAATAATCAAATAAATGTACGATCGGACAAATAACGATGAACACCCTATTTCGCAACCATGGCGTGCACTACCACTGAGGTATGAATTAAGAGAACAAAGAGAGGATAAAGTATGAATCCGGAAGGAAGACACCCAGGGTATTGGAGGAAAAGGAATTTTCATCAAAGAAAAGAAACGAAACAATGAGGCCATACTTCTCTTTGCTTCTCTCTTTTGGCTTGTTCTTCCTTCTGCTTCTGTCTCGATACGTTTTCTGCATGTGCTCTCTACAGTGGAAACCAAAACACAATTATGATTCATAATAATAACTATAATAATAAGAAAGAGTTGACAGCACATTTTCATTTTCGACGAATCCCAAGGCAAGAGAGCGACAAAGTAATCCAACATTGCTTTGGTCTCGATTCACTCTGCCCTGTGATCGGTCGAGAAAACGTGCACCGTTCTCTCAACCAATCGGTTCCAAAACTAAAAAACCAAACACAACTTGGTCGCCCGCGTTTTCCCGTGCTTAAAGCGCTTTGCAGTTTTTACTCTGAGTTCTAATTGGCTCTGCAAGGTATATTCTCCTTTCCTCTGATTGGTTGTTGTGATATAGTTATACTTTTTCGACACTCAATCGAAAAGCGCTCTGCAGCAATTTCATGCAATATTGTTCAAAAACGGAACGGTACATAATAGAATCACTCACCGTGAAATTCATAATAAACGCTGCAAAAATACCAAAGAAATCTTCTGTAGTAGCTGAAGTTGGTTTTTCTCCAAAGAACTTCACTGTTTCTCGGAATTCTTTGGTGCAATTTTCTTGCAAGCTAAGCAGATCAATTAATTCTCCTTCTGTTTCGTCTATAATGTTCTAAAGGTTTGGATTAAAGACAATATTTCAGACCTCACTGAAACCATTTAAGGAAGTGGCGCAATTACCGTCGCCATAGCCTCTATTAGGTGTCGGCATTTGTAATTCTATTCCAAATAAATTTGGATAATTTCAGTTCAGAAATTCAGTGTGGCTTTAAAGTTCTGAGGAATCTTATGTAAAGACACATCCCATTCAGAGGAATTTCTTTTATCCGATTGCACTCCAAACAATTAGGTTTGGTCATGTTCCCGGATGAACATAGTTGCCAATTTGATATATAAATCTATCGATAAAACCATTCCCTGCTTGCAACTCAGAAGAAACGCGATGTAATGGTTTTCGCGGGGGAAAATTCGGTCCGGGGTCCAAATCAGCTTTTTTTAATGGAATAGTACGAGAATAAGTATGAAAAGGGAAAACACTGGTAAAACTATGGAAAAAAGGTGTACAATGTGGGAAAGTAAATGCAGTTAATAGAAAATGCACGCAAAAATCTCTAAACTAAATGAACGCTGATAGTGAAAACGAAATTCGAAATTGGCTTACCTTTACCGCAAGTGAAAACTTATCATTTGGATCCTGTGACTTCAGTGACCGGAAAGCTCCGAGGTCTGACTTAAGCTCCTGTAGAAACATGTACCACAGCGGAAAGTTATGGAAATGCTATTTTTTTTGCCGTTTTAAGACATTTTCTTGCAATTTGTGAGCTCGTTCGAACAGGACAAAATGAACAGAGCACTAGACAAACCTTCATTCCTTCAGCCAACTCTTCCACTTCACAAGCCACCATTTGCCCCGAAACTAGGAAAACAAAATAAAAAGTAAAATTTCATTCAAGTGCATCAAGCAAAAACATTATTTCAGAGCCTAAACAAACGTGAGTTAGGTTATTCTTGCGTTATTGCGCTTCAAGTTGCTTGTTTTCACTCTGTCTCCACATAGGTTACTTGCGGTATTTTCCTCTGTTGTGTTAAGCCGTGGTAACCATTTTGAAATTCGACAACAATCACTCACATAAGTTCTAAAGCGTACCTTTAGCCGCTGTAGGCACTGTGTCGAGTTCTTCTTTGATGTTTAACACTTCAGGGCACTTAGACTCGATGGACTGAACCAAAAAGTGCAGCAAAGTGGATTTGTTGTCTGAGGTTTTGGTGTTGCTGAGCTGTACAGAATGAAAGAAAAAAACTATCATTGAAAATATGGAACTCTATCAAGCAAAAACATCTACAATGGCGAGAACAAGTTACAAAGGACTTCAGAGATCTCCTGAGCTGCGTTTAGGTACGTAAACTACTTTATAATTTTCAGTAAGAAAGTGGCTTTAAAAATTTTGGGAGGTTTTAAAGAGTACTTTGTTAATTGACTTTTCAGGGCTACAGTAGGAAAAGTAAATGTACCTTGTTCAAATACTCAATCTTGAATGCAGCGGCTGATCCTATCCTCATATTTCCTTTGTTCATGTAATTACCCATCTTTAGAACAAGCTGAAATCAATCAAACAGTCAGTTAATTAATCAGTCTAGTGAATAGGCAGACGGACAGACAGACAGAGAAACACAGACAAACAGGCAGATATACAGACAGACAGACAGAGAAACACAGACAGACAGGCAGATATACAGACAGACAGACAGAGAAACACAGACAGACAGGCAGATATACAGACAGACAGACAGAGAAATACAGACAGACAGGCAGATATACAGACAGACAGAGAAACAGACAGACAGGCAGATATACAGACAGACTGACAGAAAGAAACACAGACAGTTGTATTCGATCTCCTCAGTCTATGATAATCACGGTAGATAACAAAATCTAACCTAACTTGACCTCCCTTGTTCCTTTGTGGCTTATTCGTACTCTATTGGCGATTCGTAACGCGCACGAAATTTCATTTTCAGCTGCCCTTGTAAATTATATGCAGAGGCAACTCTCCATGGGCGCCAAAACGACTCAATTACCCTGAAAGATTACTTCCGATAAAAAATATCTTTCTAAAACGCCGCAAAGGCTTTCATAGATAGGTAATCATAATTATAGTAAGCCATCATACCTCTAGGATCCTCTTTAGCTTTGTACTATTTCTAAGTTCCCCAGATGCATCAAGAACAGACTCTAAGTCCTGAAAAATAATTCAGTCAACAATATAAAAATGGTAATGATGATGATGAGAGTGATAATGATGATGATGAGAGTGATAACGATGATGATGAGAGTGATAACGATGATGATGATTATGAGGATAGTAATAGTAACTAATGATTGTGTAGAAGAAAAGAGCACGGGATTGAATGAATTCGAGTCAGTTTCGCTGAGCGAAACTTAAATCAAAGTTTTAATTTCTCTTCTTTCTTTATTTTTTGAGAGCTTAATGTTTAACGCCTTACCGGTTTAATTTCTTCTACTTTGTCAGCAAAACGAGCCTTGAAGAGCAAAGCTTTCAGTCGTTGTTTGTACCAAGGCACCTTACTCATCTGCAGAAAAGATAAAGAAACCTCACATACATAACACAAGAAAAGAAACTTAAAACATCGCTATAATTGAGTCGAAGACCGAAATAAGACCAGCACAAAAACAGAGCTCTTAGCAATTTTCAAAAATCTCTCTATGAAACCTTACACACAGCAAAACCGCCATCTCAATATTTCGTCTACATTGCCATGTATTAAGAATATTCAACTGAGAAAAAGTGTTGTGCACAAAAACTAATACGCGTCTGTTACATCAGGCCGTTACCGTAACTACACGTACCTCGTAACAAAACCTGTCTGCTTTGTCCAACTTAGAAACATCGTCCGCGAAGTATTTAAACTTCTGGAGCTGGAAAGGAAGAGATGGAAAACATGTTAGTTGACTCAACGAGACCCTTAAGGAATTAAACTTACAACTACATGTAACTGTATGCTCATTTGGCTTCTTTTACTCATACGCTTGGACTCAAAAAAGCACTTTATGCAACGAAGACGATTTGAGACTCAAGGGAACCAGCCCCGAAAAAGTTTGTTTTTTTGCGCACAATGAAAGTAACGTCACAGAATGTCTCACCTAGCATAGCTACCGCCCTTACCTCTTTGCTGTCTGGTGCATAGAGGAGAAGCTGTTTCAAATGAGCCTCGCTGAACTTCTCATCGTCCATCGACAGGAGTGCTTGTTTTATATCTTCAAATGGCATTTTCAAGTGACCCAACAAAATTGCTGCAAAATGAAACAAAGAACGCCATTAAATGGTAACGTCATTAAATGGTAAAATTTACTGACTGTGGACCGCGTGACTCTCATGGTACGAGCACATCCCAGTTTCCGCAGCACTGAGCGACTAGAAGTGCTCCTCGAAGAGAAGCCAGTTTGTCCGAGGTTCCTCGCAGCATATCATCTGTTTATCGTAACCTGTTCGTCATCTTAGGAGGAGAGCAGGAGGAGAAAAGCTCTTCAAGAGTGATGTATCGTGATCAAAAAACTCATCGCTTTGCCCAGACCTTTGTATCCGAAGCCAAACACTCACAGTAGTGAGGTGTTAAGCTTCAGCAAAGCATCTCGTGAGAAGCGCCAGAGCCGTTGAGCGGCAAGAAAAGGAGTTCGCGACGCGTCTCTCGCCAATTCAAAAAGGAAAGCTTGCTCGCAGGCTAAGCGGGCTAAATGATGCTACAAATTTTGCGCGTAAAACAGCCAAAACGTCTCACATGCGAAACATTTTGACCGCTGAAAGGAAATTAGCATTCTTATTACGTACCTATGTTGTAGGTTTTCTTCGGATTCATTACTTGTGGTTTCGCAGGCTTTTTCTCCTCTTTACCTAAAAAGGATAAAAATTATTACAATTTGGTTTGCAAAACAGCTACAAACTCAACTTTATGAGAAATCAAACTCACTTGATACTTTCTGTATGGCACTGAAACTTTGCTCGAGTTGAATGAACTCGATGACTTCTTCTGACGGCTCGTTTTGTCCCAACTGTAATACGAACAAAGAGAAAGATTGGTCAGTGGTGGAAAGCTGCAGAGGTTTACTTTGCTAAGGGTCGTTTCAGACAGATTTGACATGGCAATGGTAGAGCACCTGATTCAAATCGCTTTACTTGAAAATAAACGAACCAAATGAAGACAAACAATTTTACGAGATATGGCCTGTGAATCCGAGAAGTGCCAGAATCGTGTGAGTTTGCCGCTTCTACTTCAAATCCGCTGCTTCAGATCGCATTTCATTCGTCGCTCTTTTTGACGGGTACATGTCGAATAAGTTGATTGGAGTGCGCCAAAGAGACAGTTAGGTATGTCAAAGGGTAGGTCTTCCTATTCTCATATTCGCAATTATATGTGTATAAAACGTGACAACGTAGGCAAACTCAAGCAACAAAGTCGTAATCAGCGTTCTGTTTTCCTTTTGTGTGATGCATGTGTTGGGCGGGGAGAGCGAATTACAGGCAAGCGTCCTATTTTACATTTCAAATCGCGCCATTTTTAATTTACTTCGATAAACGAACTAACCTCTTAATTATGTGTTTAAAATGAAACTTTAAGGCAAAAAAACGGATACTTTTACAAGATCGTTAATAAGAACAATCCTTACCTTAGCCCAAACAGTGTCTTCTAAACCAGCGATACTCAGTTTCTCCCAGTTCACTCTCTTCAATTGCATTGGTGCAAGAACGTTTCCAGCACCCCCAACAGGGGGAGGAGGAGGGACAGACGGTGGGGGAGGAGGCGGTGGCGGTGGAGGTGGTGGTGCTCCCATGGGGGGAGGAGGTGGAGGAGGAGTGGCGCTTGTACTTGCGACATCTTGGGTTCCTTGGTAAAAGCAAACGATTTTGAATTAGACTATAAACTCACACACAGAAAATCTAGCCTACAGGTATCTGACACTTTGAGAGACTGCAAAGACATGAATTATTAGTAAATAACATGCATAGTAAGTGAGTAAACAACATCGGAACCTCGATCGTAACACCGCTTCAGTCAGTCACGCACTGTAAGAATTCTCTATAAAATGTTACTTCTAGTTTAGCGAATTTACCTTCTGTTTCTTTCCCATCTTGATCTTTCCGCCGAGCTTTAACCGCAGCATCTAGGGGATTCTCTACAGCGTTGGGAGAGCTGGGTCTACTACCGGGATCTGAAAAAGAAAGAAGGAGAAAAGTCTGAAAAAGAGCGGCGAAAAAGGGAAAGAATCAGTATTTCATGGCGAGCGGAACCCGTGACTATCGACACGCCGGTGCCTTGGCTCACTTAATGTCCTGCACACTGAGGCTGGGACTTGAGCGCAATGGCGACTTCGAAAATTCTCGTTAAAAGTGATATTCATTCATTTAATAGGAGAGATAAATATATAAATAATTATGTTCGGGCTGACTGTACCTCCAAGCTCTTCTAGTTCTTTCCTCTTCTTCTCACTTTCATCAAGCGCCTCTTTTGTCTCCATTAATTCCTGTGTAGTAATCGCCAGTTGATGTTGGATTTTCTCCACAGCTTCCCCAGACGTTTCTCCTGCTCCAACAACAATACCACTGTCTCCACTACCACCTGAAGACGCTGAAAGCGGGGTTGAGGTAACAATTCCCTGCCCACGGTTTCCTGGGGCTCCTGGTTCGGGTGAGGTGCCAGTGAAAGGAGCGTGGACCTGTGCTTGCGTCGTCAGGCTGGTTACACTCGACTTCCTTATTTCATCTGCCAATAGCGCGTCGGCTAACTCCTCTGTCAATAGCAGGAGATATTCAAGAAAGTAATTAACACTGCGCAACATGGCTTTAGCCATAGTTAAAAACGGATTTCCTAGCCCTGGTTCTTCGAAGGGTGGATAACGCTATCCACTTGGTAAATCTTTATCCGATGGATTACGCAATATGTTTTGTAAACACTCATCCGCTGGATGGCGATTTATCCCTTGAATAGTGTTGAGGAACCGGGGCCTCGCTACATCGACCCAATTACACTCTTGTTAGATATACCTGGTACCTCTGTTCACTTGTTTAGTGCAATGAGGCCCGGTCCATTTACTAGCCTGCTACGAATTACCCACGAAATATCCAACATGAACGTTTTTCTAACCAGAAAAAGCTTTTGCACTCGATAAATTAAACATCCAATGGCCAACCCACGAAAAGAACTCTCCTACCCCGTAGACCTTCATTGTATCATAGCTTGTACCATAATCTTCATCTAATATTAAAGTTATTGAATCTTACCAAGTCCTCCGAGATCCAGTTCCTCGTCGTCATCATCACCCCATCCGGAATCAGGAGTGCCATTTCTGGATCTAACATCCCTCACAGGCACAGTATCCAAATCTGACCCTGTGAAATATCAACAATTAATTGTATCCTAAGGTTTTGAAAGTCCTCGGCAGCAAGCCATTTATGTAAATTTCCACTGTAGAAACTGTTATGCTCTATCTCAAAGACTAAAAATTACTAAATAATGCTCGAAGTTGCAGTTTACACCAAACAGAGTGAAAATTTCTGTAGCAATGTACATACGAAGTGTAAAAATGGTAAAGTCATTGGAGAAGTTTCCACTAACCATAGCCAAATCCTGGGCTATGTCGGCCTCTGGCTGCACCAGATGAAGGCCATTCCCCATACGGCTCCTCTGATCGAACTAACAAGAGAAACATGAACGGATTAGCTCAGTAGGAGCAAAGCCAAAAGCTATCTTATTACAACTAAAGATGCAAAATTGTTATAAAAGCACGCTCAAAATTTGACGAAATGAAGGGGAAAACAGGCTCATGGAAAAGAAACTGTTATGAACCAGTATTTATGGAGGGAAAACCAGTATAGAGTCATACAATTCAATATTAGTAAAAATTAATAAAAGGGTTCTGTATGGCAGTCACAAGGAAAATTTTGATAATTGTTGGGAAGGGACAGGGGTGTTTTCTGTACCTGCTCCTGGCGTTGTTGTACGAGCTCTTGGTGCGTCTACAAGCCGTCTTGCTTGCACTCTGTACAGTACATCCACAACTTCATCATTGTTAGTGTTCAGACTCGGTACAACACCAGCTAAAACAATAAGAAGATTTTCAAAGTAAGTTCTTTAGCATCTTTTGCAGGGGAAAGTTTGCCTAGTTATTCCAAAATATATATATTTCATAAATTGATTTTAAAAATGTACAAATTAGACTTCCTGTAGCTAAATGTCTCAGAAGATCTTCTCTAAAACAGGGAAGAAAATAATTGATCTCATTTTATATAGTAAGCAACGAAACCAAAACATGAAGGCAACATCAGGACAACTTGAATATAAAAATAAAAATAAAAAACAAAAGAATCTTCTCGATAATTTCACTTTCAAAATAGAATGCACTTGCAGGGAACCTTTGAAGGTCTTGAAATCAAGATGCCTTTCCACTTGTAAAGCCAGTTGTGTTTTATAAATGTACAGGTAAGTTATAAATGCAAAGCAAGACTCTTCACATACTGTCCATCTTCCTGGAGATCATTCTTGCTGCAGCTCTGTCAAATGCTTGTTGTTCAGCCTCCGGCAGAAGTTCACTTAGGTAATGTAACATCTGCAGTTTAGCTCCATCATCAAGGACAGGTTCCAGTGCATTGATTAGTCTCTGTACATTTCTAAAGATAAGAAACAGACTCTTAGATAATAATCCTCTCTACATCCAGAGAATGCTCTCAGATCCCTTTCTGATAGCAATCCCGTATCCACCTAACCATTGGTTATAAATTAAAGACAAATAAGACTCATTATAAAATGATGGGCAAGTTTTCTCACTAGTTACCTGTCTCTACTGTACTGATCAAGGCTCTGCTTTACAACAAGTTGCTCTCCACGTGTAAGTAAACGACTTATCTGTAGGTTGGTGAATCAAAATGAAGCTTTGTTATAATTGTAATTACCAAAAGTCAAAAGTTAATAATGTTCTGTCCATGTGGCATCTGAAGACAAAAACTGATGAAAAAGTGTTGACATGAATAAGCAGTTCTGGAGAATTAATCAGACAAAATCACATAAAAATTGTAAAGCAAAGTACCTGTATTTTGAACTGGCGGGAAAGTGTTTGCAAGTCACTTCTGTTATACCCAGTTCCATTTATGAAGAGATCACCTCTGAGGGAGAAAGCCTTGGATGCTCTTAAAGAACACCTTGACACAGTTGCAGGTCTCTCATTTTCAAAGGTCACAGAAAGCTGTGAAGACTTGCTGGATGACGGCAGGGATGAGAGAGACGACTGATGCTTTAATGCACTCATGGGGCGCCATTGAACTAACAAGCTTGGTTTTGAACCACTTCCTTTCAACAGCTGCACTACATGTTGATGTGACTTTCCTCTGCAGAAAACAAATTAATGCATATTTAGATGACTTTAATTGACGCAACCTTCTGTCAGCTGATTTGAATGACTACCTCACCTTACAGTCAAAAAATCTACATTTTTGTTTAGTTCAAAGTACATATTTTGGTTAGTACTGTTTGCGGCAAAATTGGACAAAAAATTATTTATATTAGGGCAGAAGTTTCAAGAGGAAGAATCTAAATTTACTCTGACCATCAATGTTTTTTACTAGATTAATGAGTAAAAAAAGAAGCATTATCCTTCTATGAAGGTTTAATGAAGTAATGATCACAGTTTGTATGTGATACCTATGGTTAAGTATATAGTTTATGTACAAGCAAGTACAGTGTAGGATAGTTCACAAATGAAACTTTTACTGCACCTGACATTTAGTCCATTTATCTCAAGTATATGGTCACCACCTTTAATCCCAGCCTGAGAAGCTGCTCCTCCTACAAAAAAGAAAGTCATTGGCCAGTGAGAGGATTACAATCAGAACCACCTTGGAATTTTTTTGGCTGTCTCACATGTATCCCCCACCATGACTAGCACTAAACAAATTTTGCTACAGAATAAGAGTTATGGGTCAGCCCAGATTTACTCATAAAAACTGTGTGAAATGGGCTAACTTTGAATTAATTTCAGTTAATATAAATCAATTTTCTTTGTTAGCCTCACATTTTCACAACCTTTCTAAATAATCACACCTTCCATGTAAGTTATCTGTTCTCTGCCTAGTCCTAACTGCCATCTAATCTGATTGTCCATGCAAGTTCAATATGCCTGGAAATTGTGTGAAAGATGATATCTCCTGTTGCACTTACCGTAACTACCAGCCAAAAGCATACCCTGCATGTATGTCAGCCTCTAAGTGGCTAGAAAGAACTTGATACATACAAGTTTTCCTTCATAAATTTATCTCCTAATACAAACAAGACTTACAAACACTTTGAACAAACACTTACCTCTGTCAACAGATTTAACAAACACAGGAGAATCCCCACTGAGTGTAAATCCAAACCCTGACCCAGGTCCCTCTCTTATTATTCTTACAGTCCTGTGCATTGCAAACAGTGAAATCTTCAAATCAGTAAAACTTGTCCCATTAAAATACTAAATTAACCCTTTCACTTCTTGGCATGACCAGGAAGTAATTTTTCTAATCAAAAGCAGGATTACATGTAAGCAATGCAGGGAGTAATTTGGTACGTGCATATGCATACTTAATTTTTAAAAAACATTTAAATGTTAATAACTATATGCAGGCAGTAATGTTTTTACCCTTTAACTCCCATAAGTGACCAAGACAGAATTTCTCTTTGCAATTTCAATACAAAAATGAGCCGGCAAGTGATGAGAATATTGAATAATATCAATTAGGGGATTGTTAGTTGATCCAATACCAAATTCTCCTTATTAACATCATGAGAATTGTATTGCAGACAGTAAGGAGAATTACCAATGAGATCTTGGGAGTGAAAGGGTTAATTGAAGTTTTTATGAATTCTCATCACTAAGAATTGCTATATTTAATGTTATACTGATTACACTTTGAACAGTACCCATAACTGATTGCAATGAGGTTCAATTTTATCCTGGGCACACACTTTAGGGGCTGAACACTTCAAACCCAAAAAACAAAAGAAAAGACAGAAAGTGAATCAAGGACAAAATTGAAGCACAACAATCAGATAATTAAAGTAATACTTGCCTTGGTGGAGCAGCCATATTCTCTCTTGCTTGCCGTCTTGCTAAATTCTCCCTGAACTGATTGGCGTGAGTTGTTCCGACTGACCATGTTCTAAGAGGAAGATTTCAGCATTAAGGCAAGGTTGGGAGAAAAGCTATAGGAAGCCCATCAGATTCCCTACTGATAATACTGTTTACACTAAAGGAAAGAAGAGCTGCAAATCTGTCATGGTTCTCTATTTGCAAACCTAAATTGCAAAGTATACAAAGAATAAGGGAGTTTCAACAAAGAACCTTAGCCAACAAAATTTCTAAATTGCATTAAAACTGTCTGGTGTTTTCCCTTAGGAAACAAACAAAACATGCAATAGTGAGCAACTTACCCAAACCTGCCAAGAGCAGGAGTGTTACTGCTGTTATATTCTGGAAACTCTAAGTCAGTGCTGCTGGAGAAATCTGGGAGGAGGTCTTCATCAACAGACTGTTTCTCAGAATGCATTATTTCACCATTCATTCCAACCGAGATGTCAAACAGTGGCCGTTCCCGTTTGGGGATGAAACTCCTAGAAGATAAAAAAATAAAATTAAAACAGTTAAGTAAGATTGTTAAAATATAAAAATGTTGTAAAAAAATTATCAACCTAACAACATTTCTAAGTTCATTAAAATCTATCCTTATAAAAGAAAATAAAAAATTCCAAAACAGAAATAAACAGAACATTAGGTGAATCATGAATAAGGAGAGAGAGTATAATGTACAGTACAATGAGGAAACAGCACTTAGAGTAAAGCTAATGACTTCACAATTTTGGTACAATGGTGTGACTGCCTAGAAAACTAGGTAACTACTTGAGAATAAAACCACATAGACCCCCTTTGTTTGTTATAATAATAAGATTAAATATGAGCGAAAAATAATTACCCATCTTGTCAAAAAAATCTATATGGCTACAGGAGGAGAGGGCGATGGGAAATTTCTGCTTCCTCCTCTATATTTCTATGATATATCAGTAAATTTGAAGTCATTTACCTTGGATTCATAATTTTTCTATTTGAAAAAGAAAAGTGGAGCAAAGTTTTCTCTTGATAAGAAAATCAGAGAAGCATGGCATGACAGAAGTGTTGATTAGATTGATCTATTTTTAAATACAATACCTGATATCCCGCAGCAGTTTTCTTTCCACTGGAGTTTTAAGTATTCTTTTGAGATTCTGTGCCAGTTGCTCAACAGATCTGTCTCGTGCATATTGATTGAGGGCCTTGACAAGCTCCTTCTTAATGCTTTCATTGCCAGCTAAGTAATAATTCATCTTTAAGAGAAAACAGCAAAAGTCAACTACATTACTATCAATAATTCTGAAATCAGCTCCCCATACAATTGACGGCTGTCAGTGGTTAAATATGTTATATAAAATAGTTCACTTCATCTTTGGCACACAATGGTCAATATACTTTTTATGTACAATAATTGTGCTTTTTTTTTCTTATATTTTTAAAATGGCAATTTTATGTCACAAACTTCACCACTTATGCCACTCAAAAGTCAGTTGTTATTTAACTGGAATTTAATTAAAAGCGGGAAGTAAATATTGTCTGTTCTTTCAGTTTCGATTGTCCAAAATAAAGATTTATGTATCAGCCAAAAGAATTTGATACACTATAGCCTGCTATCAAATATGGTAGTCAAATCTTTATTCATGTTTTCTAGCAAGCATTTGAATCTTGAGTTTATCTCTACATCATTCCGGGAATTTTGTACAACAATTAACTTGTCATAAACTTACAACCATTGTGTTATCTTGGATTGAAAGAAAAAACCCACTGATTGCTTTTATGGTCTTGAAAATGTTAAACATTTTTCTTCCTTCCCATTTGTTGACAAATCAAACAAGTTAATGATAAGTCAAAAGGCTCGGCGAGAAATACAGCCCATGTAATGTAATTGACGTGTAAAATCTACGAAATTAAAAGTACGGAATTATAATAATATGCGTGAACAATTGAAGTTGAATCGAACAAAATGCGTGTTCATCTTTCTTTGTCTTGGAATGTGTCAAGAATACAACAATCCAACGGAAAACGTATCATTTTGACAAATGGACGCCATTCACAACAACATTGGGGTTTGTAATCGCTTTAACAGAAATGTCATACAACTTGACCAATATCTAATTATCCTTATTTCGCTACCCAAGTGTAAACTTATGTGTTTGATGTCCATACAAAGACAAGAACGTGGATCAATAATAAATAAACTCTCCAAAACAGCGGTGTAAAACTGACCTGCACAAAGAAATCTTTAGCTCTCTTGTATCGCGAAGACGAACTCTTTCCTTCTTTTTTATCTGTAATTCCGATGTCTGCAGCTCCGGCAATGAGGACTATAGAAATTGTAGGTCCACAAGAATCTATCATTTCTCCAACTTGATTCTCGTTCATGTGTCTGAGGTTAACACCATTTAAACGGAGAATTAGATCTCCACGACGAATGCCAACGTTCTGAGCCGGGCTTCCCTGCTCTACATCCGCAATGAAGACAGGACCCTTTCCGCGAACTGCAAAACCAAACCGTCCTCTTCTCCGACGCAGATCAAAAGTTCGAATGCGTGAAATTACGGCGAGCGCTGGAGGGACAGTTCGCGATCGTTTTGCCAATAGGATTATTTCTTCCTTGCTTAATCCTTGAACGTTTTCCCCATTGACTTCGAGTATTTGATCGCCGGGTTGAAGTCCCGCTCTTTGAGCGACTGAATTTTCGTCAACAGACAGGATGACAACAGGAGCTCGTCCGCCGACGGTAAAACCGAAAGCTTCGGGCCATTTTTCGTTCGTTCTCATGATGACAACAGAAGTATCAGCTCAAATTTGAAGCTTGAAAAAAAAAATCGAGAATTTTCCTTGATGTTTTCTTTCCACCACAAAGTCGTTTGTTTATCAAAAACTGATCCTTCTCTCGATTAAGCCATCCATTAATAGCACAAACATCTAAACCACGGTGCCAAAGTTATAACAAACTTTCCATAAAGTTTTCCGTTTTGAGAACGCCTTTCGCTTCAGCGATTAATTTGTTATCTTGGAATCCTTGCTGTTTAGATCCACGACAAGTTGATGACAATAAAAGCAAGTGGAGATAGAGACACGTTTTCGAAGAGTAGCTTAACGCGGATTGACAGGGTCGGCGACGCTAAATATGAAACCAGGCAACCAGACCCGCAACAGCGTATAGGTTTCACTGTGGCAACGAAATGTCGACAAAACCGTAAAATTTCTTTCTCAAAAGCAATGTTTCCTTGGATTTGATACTTAACTCACACTGCAAAATTGAAGAATGAATCCACTTTGTTAGTTCAAAAACGGAGACGTGATTGTTTAATCCATTCCCTGCGCGGTATTAAGTTAAAACAATTCTCTACTTCCAATTACGCTGTTGTTCGCCCAGCCAAATCACCACAATTATTCATGCTAATGGCATGACGACTTAAGCACATCCCGACCAAATTTGCATATCTTTAAAATTCTGAAATCCAACGTAGTCATCGTCGAAAGAGAAAAGATTCCGAAGCTGTAGACTGCCGAAGCGAAGCTCACTCTGTTCATAACAAGCTACGCTCAAAAAGAATCTTGGGTATTTTTCTAAAGAGTCCTTCAGAGTGTTTGAAAGAATTTTGTCATGGGCAAAATAAACATTCCTTGATAGCCACCCTTGACCTTACGTCATAATCTGGAGACAAAGCGTTGTAACGCAAACTCTTCATCCGAGAGGAAATGGAAGAAATGAATTACTAAAGAGCCCCTAGAGTAGCAAAAGGACGAATTTCTCATTCTACGCGCTTGGATCCAGCTCTTCAACCGTGACGGAACTAAACGAGTTTTCTGCGAATGTAGGTTTTGGCTGTCTTCATAGTTCTCATAATATTTATTCAGCGATCTTGTTTTGCTATGTGCTCGATACGTTTACTTAACGAAGAAAAAACTACACGATTGGCCTATGTTAGAGAAATGGGACACCCGCGATCCAAGTAAAATCGATCATTAATCGAGTTAAATATTTAATTATAAATATCTGACCTGGCTTGCCAGCTTATGTTGTCAAAAAAAAAAATGATATGCCGTTCACTTGTGAATGGAAAATTTACCTGATAATCTTAGGTCAATTAGGAGAAACATCATTAATAAAAATTTCGAGCATAAAATCATTAACACCTCAAACCATCGGATGTCAGTTCACAAAAGATTTCGAAACTATGAAAAAGTCACGGTATTGTAAATGACGTCATCGGGAATGTTGACGTCACAGTTTGTGGCTCTGAGGTTCTTTTTCTCAACGAACTTAACTGTCAATTGGAAACAACCGCTACCCGATTTAAGTCTAATCATCAGTTTGTCGGAAGGCGAGATTTCACTCGGCCTGCTGATCCTTTGCTGAGAAAAATTTCTTGTTGTTAACAGAGAAACAGAGGAATACAATAACGATCGACTGAATTGTTTCTCCATGTTTGCATCAGTTCATCTCAGATTCAACGAAGTTTAATTTCCTCTCAGCACTGTTTTTTTTTGTACGTGCCATGTTCAAAGCAGAGAAAAACCCAGATTAGCTTAAATAATTTCTCCGTGGTAAGAGGTCAACTTTAAGCATGTTATCTCGAGTGACCCCCTCATTACGCATTTATCACAGAGTCTGGCCTCTTCTTTTTTTAATGTCGGAAGGCCTTTTTCCACTACTAAATTTGATTTTTTTTCATTGCAGTTTAGAACACTTTTACACCCGTCATCCATGATACTATAACGATTTCTTCAGAGATGAAGAAGGAAAAAAGAAGAAGGATTGTCATTAACATGAACAATGATAAATCATTTGCATCTATTACGCTCATGCCAACCTGCACGTCTGCTGAAAGTGTTAGCAAAAATATTTTTTCTTTATAAAAACAGTAGCGCACAGTAGGAGATGTGCAGCATACTTCCTCGTAAGACCAATTCTAATCGTTACTGGACGCAATTCAAAACATAAAATTGTTTGTGAGTCACTGTTTAAATTATCTTGCGATAAAAGTTATCTTGGTCTTTTGCCGTCCTCTCAGTGTCTATTGCGCCAAAAGCCATTTCAGTTAACAGGGACCAGCTTTAGACTACTTACTAACGGTTCACTATATGTGTCGCTCACGAGTTCCAGTGCTAGAGAAGAATTTGTATTATAATTAAATCATGACTTAATTTTGGCCCGTTATCCATAGCTAATCACCAGTCTTAAAATCTTTTTTTTCCTATCTGAGGATGGCCAGAATTTCTATTGCCATCGTAAATTGCTGATTTCTAATCGAAAAATTTTATCTAAGTGAGAAAGCTAAATGATTAAAGTGGCCGCGCGATTTCAAGTGACAAAATTAAATTTTTAATGAGCTTTGTCACTACACAGACAGGAGACAAGAATAAACCGAAAGAGATTAAAGAAGGCTTTGAGGATGGTCTAGATCCCATTACACGGATTTTTTGCAAAAAAAAAATTGGGGCAATTTTCTTGAAGAACAAACCTGACCCACGGTAGTTCCTTTTCATGATGCAAATTTCTTGATTGTCAGTTTCTTGAAACGAAAAGTGATTTTGTTTTCGATTATCTAATCTGTCGTTCAATACTTCAACACTCTAATGTCCCCATGAAAGAAAACTAAAAGCTGCTTATATGCTATACAAGACCATGATGAGGTTAACAATCTTTTTCACTACATTTTCATCTTCGCGGGCGCGCAAAGTAAAGCAGGTTGCGCGCGTGGGCAGGCTTGTTGTCGTGATGGTATTAAGAAAACGTCAAAATCTATTATGACGTCATGAAGACCGCTCTTTTGCAAAGCAACCACTGAGGTGTTTGCACTTACAGAGCTACTCGGCAAACAGCTTCCTAATGAAGATACTTGAGTAAATCTAGACAGCCTAAAAGATCGAAGTTTTTAATCAACAATGAGAATTTATCTTAAGAAAAGAATGTGCGCGGTGGATGAAATATTTTTGCCATGACAGAGTTGGAAAAGGATTCAAGCACTGTCACAGAAGGTATGCGCCTAACATATCCGCAGTAATAACCATAAACTTTTCGCTGGATGGTGTTAATATCCCATTTATGGAAGGTCTTACGCTCGAGTCAGTAAGATTCTCCGATATTTTGTTTACAGAGACATATTTTTCGTTGTCTTAAAATTGAACGAACGAAAACTTTGGGAACTCTTCCAGACGAGATCAAGGAAATAGCTACGTTTTACCAAGTTGTACAAAAAGTTGAAAATTGTTCATGACTTAAAACAAAACAAACACTTATCTTAGGTAAACTAATAAAACAGAATAATTGATTCAATGGTCACTTGAAAAGAAACCGGTGCAACTCTAATGCTTGTGTATGATCGAGCCAGCACGGAAACAAGATGTACTTATTTCAATTTTTCATTATAAACTTAAAAACGAAGCATTTGATTACAGCGCATCCTGCGATGCCCATCGGAAGCACTTACAAGTTTGAAACAGTTAATTTAGCATTTCCACTCTAATAGATCGGCATATCATCTAATTTATAGCGACGTTGTTTACTTTGGAAATCTAATGGATCGAGCCGACAAAGCTTATATTGAATCGCCAGCAGCTAGGAAGAAGTAGCTGAGTGTTTGCTGCAGGCATAAGTGTACCGGTTTTGATCGATTTTCAATGATGTTTGTCCTTATTAGAAACTGTTTATGACAAATCAACAGAGAACAACTCGTAATTTCGTTCCACTTCACCACAAAATGATTCCTAATATTCATTTAAACAGAGGTTTCATCAGTAATCCCCGAAACCAAATTTGATTTGATCATTGTCAACTTGTCAAGAGAAACTTCACGAGAAAACCTTTTTTCTTTCAACTTCGCAATAAACAAGGTAAAAGCGCGCTTTATCTTAACGTTTTCGCGCGGACACAGACAGTTCTGACACCACTTCGAATTCCTAGGGAACTAAAACCATTCCTAACCAAGTGAGTCCCGGCGACACTATCAAAACATGAATAAAGTTTGATTGGCCGTAAAAACGTAGCAACTTTGATTTTTCAATAACTATAGGCATCACTTTATGCCCTTATATTAAACTAAAATATTATATAGTAATATTATACTATCACTTGAAGCGATTCCGGCAAATAATTTCGTTTTAAGATATCTCGCCCTAACTTCTAACCATTGTAATGTTTCTTCTTACTTTCAGGTGCGACGCAAAACAATCGGAACTTCTTCAACAGTACTTCAGAGTTTTTCAAATGGTAATTTTATAAAATTTATTGCTTTCTTCCTCATTTCATTATATTTCTATAAAAGATGTTTATCAAACTCTATCGTCCTTTTCTTCCCATAGCAACTGGAAAGTGATTTTACCTTTTATTGCTGTAATTCTACTGTTCTCTGTTACCGTTTTCACGAAAAAGGACATCACTTTTGCTGTCAACATCTGGGTTTTTCCAAGTAAGCACTGCCTTTATTTCATTAAGCACACATGACGCACTTTTAGTTACTTCAGAGCTAAATCAAAGCCAATAACAGCTAATTCCTCTTTCACCAATGATCGTCTATATAGGTTTTGCCGTGCTCATGGCATCCTATGTGTGCTCAGTTCTCAGTGTGCAAAACTGGATTCCTGCTCTCCGACATCAAGGTATGCGAATAACTCAAAACAACTGTTAGAAATTTCTTTAGTTACTTGAGTGTAGTATTTTCAACCATTAGTCTCTCCCCATTCCCCTTTGTATGTTTTTTAGTTTAGCCAATCACGTTCAGAGCGCTTAAATTTGAGTTAGAAGTTGACGTGAACATTCACTTTTTTGTGCGTTGAGTTTAGTCAATTTTTCCTCACGCCTTGCTTTCGTTTGGATTTTAAGGGTCGCTTATTTAAACGAGATCTAACCCAAACCGCGGTTTTCCGCAAGCAGTGGGCCTCGGTGATTCTCCATAAGAGGGCTGATTTAATTTAAATAGATGTCCGTCTACTTTTAGGTTTCGGCCTGTTGACACTGTTCGCAAAAAACTGATTATTAGATAAAAGGTTCGGCTAAATTGAAGAAGGCTTAGAGCGTGGTTTTGTTAAACGACGGCTAAACTTTGTTTAAATAACCGGTCCTAAGAATTTTGGAAGGATCTATTTTAAGCCAAACATTGATTTCAATTTAGTACATTTATGACACACACGCAAAAACAATACTTGGTACCTCGATTTTTCTTCAGAGTTTTGGCAAAATCAAGGTCCGCCATTTTATCCAGTTGTCAATGCAGCCCCTGCTCCACCCCCACCACCAAGCTACCCTCCCCCTCCTCCACCTAACACCATAAAAGGACATAAGGGCCAACGAATCGACTGTAGAAAACTGTCTTGGGAGCAACTCAGCCCAGACCTCCTCAAGCAAGACACCATCTGGAAAAAGGTGAAATTGAAACTGTTACAGCTGTGTACATATAGTTTTATATCAAAATGTTTTAATTCGCTGTTATACCGTATAGCTTTGGTAATGAAAAAATTGTTGTTGTTCTGGATCAACACTTGCTGTATGTTTCTTCAAAAACACTATTAATTCCCCAATAAAAAAAAAATGAAAAACATTTCTAAAAGTCACCGACTCCTTAAGGGGAAAGACGGGGTTTCTTTTTCATTATATGAAGAGACTGTTGTCTACGTTTTAGGTTACCCTGAGAGCAAACAAGTGATTTGTGCTGTCAGGAATTTAATCCAGATCTTACACTGATCCCCATATGTATTTCATCTCCTTCGTTTAACTTACTCAGAATAACGCCTTTCTCTGATTGAACTTATTCCTCATTTAGGTTAAAGAACATCTGCCTTTGGAAGGTATTTTTGACTCTGATGATATAATGAGGGAATTTTCTGTCACGTCATTGTCAGGTGTGTAATCAGGTATTTTCAAAGCATGCTGACACAGCAAATGATTTTATACGCGCTGACCAAAACAAATATGAAGTTCCTTGCATACATTACCAACATATGAGATTATAATTACTTCTTGCCGTCAACAACTTTTCCGCACGGAACCATGGAATCTAATAGAATCTATTTATTAATTAGTGCCAAGTGAATATAAACTCTTGTTAGTAATGCTTATTTTTCAGTCGTCCTTCTTTCAAGAAAATATCAACTGTTGATATTCTCTTCCTTCTTGCCAATATAATGACAGAAAGAGCACAACGTTGTTTCTATAATGAGCATGTTATGTAATTTTATTTCAAAGGGAGTTCACTGAAAAAGATCAAAAGAGAAAATGCTATGGACGATAAGAAGATTTTCAATGTCTGTAAGTACTTCAGTTAACAAAAAGAAAAATAAAATAGTATTAAGTAGCAGCGAACTAACTCCATGTTAAGCAAAAAAAAGGAAAGAAATGAATCCTTATATTTTGAACTTAATGTTGTTTATTGAATCGCCATTTAATGTTCCTTGAGTGCGCAATTAATATCTGTGATTAACATGCGTTGTGAAAGAGTTAGCCAAGATAGATTTGCAGACAGGACGGATGGGACAAATTTGATCACCACAAAAAAAATTTTCTAGAACGGCCACTAAGGAAGCTATTTTTTTCAAAGGGAGGAAGGAAGATTTCAGATCGCTTTGACATTCTCAAGAACGGCCACTAAAAGGGAAAATTTTCCCAAAAAGGCTTTTAGAGAAAGGAATAAATTAAAAAACCATGGTCTAATGTCTATTTCGAACATAAATATCTAATAAATGAATTAGCTAACTGATATGGTTGCTGATTTATCATAGCAATCATTTTGACGCATTACAAGCTTAAAGCAGAAGGCGTTAAACAATGCTTGATGTCCGGGACCACACAGCTTACATCTGACGTACTGAGACAGGTGTTGGCATTTGCACCGGATGATCAAGAGGTAACAGCTGTGTAGAGATATGCACATAAAAAAGTGACAAAACAGAGTGATTAGATAGGAGTCCGCGCACGTACCCTAGCTGAACAAGAATGGTTTAACGGATCACAAAGAATTGGGTATAAATGTTTTAGTCAGCGGCTAAAATGAGGAAGAAAGTGCAAAACCCCTCTGTTTAGTTTCTTAAAAATTCAGTTTACTTAGTTTTTCTTAGCTTTAATTGGTTTGTGTGGGCATGTTAAGGGCGTTTATGATTCAATATTTCATGACAAGTGACTGATTATGGAAACTTGAGGCAATTTTTCTTTTTTGCAAAGATTCACATTTACAGATGAGTCTTTTGCAAAGACTCACAGTTAAAAATATTTTTATTCATACTAAAACTTGAATCTTCATCCAAATGAATTTATATTATCCTGTCGAGCTACTTCACAACTACCATGTTAACGCTTTATTAGGCCCGAGCTTTACGGAAAATGGAGAGAGAAAACAAGATTTCACTTGAGCCAGCTGAGCGATTTTATCTTCAGGTAACGGTATTATAAGAAAGCATATAGTTAGCCAGTTGAATACGTTAAAACGTGAGAGGTAAAGGCTGTTAGCTAATAGGGATTTATTTAACTTTTTTACGCATTAAAAGGCAGGGCCGGGATTCATTTTCGATGGTCGCGTTATAATAATCTTCCACTTCTGTAGTGTTTATTGTTGGTTGATTAAAGGCAAGTCAAGACAGAAGCAATTTATGCTTTAAGGCAAAACACTTACAGTAATTCATCCACTTGCCCCGTTGTTGGGAGAGTGGATGACGCTATCCGCTGGATAAATCTCTAGCCTACGGACAGCGTAGTATGTTTTGGTAACTCTTATCCGCTGATAGCGTTATGCGACTTGTGAACAACTGGGCCCAGGAGTATGAAAGTATATCAGCAAAAGGTGTCACTCACACTGTTTGATGGTAATGTATCTTAAATGTCTTTTTGTCATTCCCAGGTTGCAGCGACTGTGCCTTCCTACAAAGCAAGACTCCGCACTGTTTTACTGAAAGCTCAGTTACAAGAAAGGATCGCACAAATCAAACCAGTAATAAGTTTATCCTTTGTTTGTTTCATATGATTCATAACTTCTCTTTCTTTCACTTTGATAAGGCCTTGCCTTAAATTGATTTACGTCACTCCTGAAAGATTCAAGTCGAATATCGACTGATCAGAAACAGAGACGAATTTCTCCCGCTTATGAAAGATCGCAGTTCGTTCTCTGTAGCAAACTTTTTGAATCTACGAACATTCATGACAAAAATTCACATTTGATTTGTATTTCAGCATCTTGAAACAGTCATTACCGCCTGCCAAGAGCTTATGGCTTGTGAAAAACTCCCAAAATTCATAGAGGTACACTTCTTGAAGTAAAATGTGCATATCTAAGCAAGGTCTTTTGTTGTACAAACATTTGATGTCCAATTACCCACATCTATTATTCATACTTATTCTGCCAATTGTAGATGGTCTTGACCATGGGGAACATCATGAATGGTAGCCAAACCTCCGCCTTTAAGATAACCTTTGTTACAAAGGCAAGTTTGTTTATTTTGTTCCACTCATAATCTATTTTTACACGCCCTAGTTGACAAAGGAACCGAAAGCCGGCTGACATCATACCTCTTAGTACACGCACAACAAACTGTATTCACATCGCGTTCATCCTAGCAACTTATACAGCAGCTTTAAACATCAGTATATTAAATTAAACATTTTTCGATGGAGTCTCGTAAAACCAAAACCAAATTAACAACAAAGACCAATCAGAGGGACGGAAAATACCATTAAGAGCCAATCAGAACTCAAAGGCAAAACAGCAAACCACCTAAGACGCGGGAAAACGTAGGTGATCAAGTTATGATTGTTAAGAATGTGACGCGAGTTTTTTGACCCAATCAAAGAGCAAAGGAAAGCGAAAGCAATGCAAGCCCGGATCACTTCCGACAATAAATGAAAATTCCCTTCAACTATTTTTTCCCAGCTGATGGATTACAAATCATCTTTGAACAAGGCCACTTCTATGTTGGACTACCTAACGCGAGTTATCATCACAAAATGTCCGCACATCGCCGCTTTGGGAGATGATCTCAGACACGTGGAAAAAGCATCAAAAGGTGAGGATATAAAATCATTTTCAACTCACGCTATAATTTGACAGAAGAGATTATCTGACACTGGTAAGGTTTTTTCGTTGTAACTAGCATTTCATTCCCAATAAGTCGCGTTCATTGCGTAAATGGAGCTTGACAGATTTAAAAACAACATTGATGTTCAATTGGAGAACGAGCTCTACGCCTTAGTTACCGTTCTCTGAAGCTCCACTACAGGTTACATTCCAGGCGATATGATTCTTTTGTAACCTTGTTTTCCCGACTTTTCAGTTCCATTTAATTCTCTTGACAAGGAAATATGCGAGCTGTCCGCAGAAGTTGAGGTAAAGCAATCAGTTTCCAGTTATCATTTGAAGTTCTTTGATTTTAAGGCGTTTGAAGCTGCCTTGTTGGAACTTTCGAATTCTTGGATGTTCATATATTTCAATTCACAGGTCCTTGAAGAAGACGTAGAGAAAATAAACAACGATAGTGTAGAGGAAGACTACTTCAGTGCAAGTATTGGAGTATCCTTAAAAGCTGAGTATAAGACTTGGACTGCTGCGCAATGCAAATAGTGGATGATACGCATACAATTTCAGCGGAGAAAGGGGGGGGAGGGTTAATCCCCTTACTGAATCTAACGGTGAACCTCACTCAAACTGAGCGCCTTTTCCTGGGCGCAAGTAGACTATTTTAGGATTTCCCTGGTATCTGAGTTACGATATAGAAAACATCTGGAAAATTACGATCTAGATTTAGCAGGGTCTGTGAGTCACTGAAGGGCTACTCCTAAGAAAATGGAGTTATGGTCACTCAGTTTTTCGCGAAAACGTTTGTTATAGTTTTGTATAAGTAGTATTTTACCGTCACTGCAATAAAATGGTACTAGTTATTGCATACCGGAGCATCTTTATCGAGCTGGACATAAGCAGCTGGAAGATCAGGTTGGGTAGTATGATAACCCTTAGCATAATTAGGGATGGCACAAAATTCCTCATAATTTATTCATATTTTTGTAGCGAGAAGTTATCATTCAAAGAGAGTGATTAATTCTCATCCTTTATCGAGTTAGGAATAAGAACTTGTGAAAAAAGCTTCAAGGTCAAGTCATACGAAGCTTTTCCTTAACAAACTTTTTAGCTTTTTGCTGTTTCGGCAAAGGAAGACCTTAAGGACGTGTTATCGCTTCGGAGGAATGCCAAGCGAAGCTTTAGCCTCCTTGTGCAGTACTTTGGCGAAGAGAGCGATAAACCGGAGGAATTTTTTGGAATCTTCGCAACATTCCTACGGCAATTTGAGGTATTCATCAATCGTAATGAATAACTGTACTCTTAAACTAGGTAGGACCCTAAGTGATTGTGATTGGTTTTGATCTTCACGATTTAAATTGTTTTTTTCCAGGATGTGTTGAAGACGTATAGATGAAGATGCAACGCTGAGTCACGAAGAAAATAAATTTAAATTCAAAGTAACAAAGTGCCCATTGAAAGGGCGTTTAGTTTCAGAACTGTCTATTGTATGTAAACAATCATTATTACATGCATATCTTCGAAAAATTTTACAAAATAAAGCAACTGCTTCTGTGCAGAAAAATTCATGGTAAATGCGTTTTTGGGTAAATAATTAAGTTGAATAAAGCTTGAATCTTCAAAGATTTTTTACAATGCTATAAAAAGCGAGTCTTTTATTGCGACAAAAATAACACAGCGACCACAATGAGCCACGAAACTCCTTTCCAGCAACGTCCAAAGAACGTAGAGCCACATGTGAATTAAAAAATTGATCGACGCATTCCTCCTTTTAAACTACATATAAGGATTTCAATCCTAGCCGCTTTCATCATAGGGGGTAATATTTAGCTTTGTAATTTTTTTTTTCTCTCTCGATGAATATAAACCTGATCAACACGTTGGAACGTAAAGGATGAACGAAAATATAGCACTTCGGTGCCAAAGTCATGCAAAATAAATTATGGAGCTTTATTGTCACGAGCAAATGCTCGAGGCGAGATACAATACAGAGTCACCTCAGCTGCTGATTAACCAATTTCCCGCCAATATATTCAAAACTGTGATTCGTCAGCTCAAAAATGTATCAAAGGAGAACCAATCAGAGAGCTTTTTAGAGAGGTCAGGAAGTTAGAATCTAGAGCAACAAGCAATGGCAAGCTTGCGACTTCTACGTGCGATAGGTGAGATAGTTTTGATGTATAATTCGCACGTGCATTGTGGCCGTATATAACTTGGATAGCAATTCTGTTCCACTACCAAGAAGTTCTAGATCCCGCGTCACAGCAATTTTGTACGACTATTTCACCAATAAGCTTGGCGAGACTGTAAAGAAATGGCGCGCACTAAACAGACCGCTCGTAAATCAACCGGAGGAAAGGCTCCACGAAAGCAACTCGCAACAAAGGCAGCAAGGAAAAGTGCTCCAGCCACTGGCGGTGTTAAGAAACCTCATCGTTACAGGCCAGGAACAGTCGCACTCCGAGAAATTCGCCGCTACCAGAAGTCCACAGAACTTCTCATCCGCAAACTCCCCTTCCAAAGATTGATCCGTGAGATAGCACAGGATTTCAAGACCGACTTGCGTTTTCAGAGTTCTGCCGTGTTGGCGTTACAAGAAGCGGCAGAAGCTTACTTGGTAGGATTGTTTGAGGACACTAACCTTTGCGCAATTCACGCCAAACGAGTCACCATTATGCCCAAAGACATTCAGCTTGCGAGACGTATTCGTGGAGAACGCGCTTAATTGAACATTCTTGGTACTTTTTCTTCACTTTTTGATTGAACCTGTTTTGATTTCATTTGCACATTTACTGTTACAAATTTATTCGAAGACACACATATACTGCAAGACGAGCAGAAACCGAGCAAAAACTTGATAATATAATCACAAATTTGTAACGTCTCTGTATATAAAGCGTGTAAGATAGCAATGCAACTTCTAAAAATTCATCAATGCTTGAGTTATTTGTACATAGAAGCATCTCGTTTGCGTTCATTTTATCCTTCTCATTGTATCAGACGAGTGTAATAAAACTATTGTCAATTAATTTTTCCGACTCGTTCAATATTAACTATAAAAAAATTGTCTGACGTGAATGGTTATCACCAGCCCGATTTGAGGACTAATAGGACAGTGTGCGCGTCATGCTTGTAATTGGACAGTAATAGGACAGTCGAGGGACAGTTAACACGTCATGCCTGTATAAGTAGACAGAACGCTTCATGTGCGCGCTCTCTTGTCTCGCATTTCTTCGAGTTAAATGTTTTTTATTGAAAACGTATGACCGATTTCTAGTTTCTACCTCAAATTCCATCACAGTTTCGATTAATTGGTAACCGGACTTCGTGTCGTCCAATTCTGTCTGTAACTCATGATTAACAAATCGGACGAAATCTTCACGATAATTAACTAGATTGCGCTGTATTCTTTCCCTGATTTCCCTTGCTATCAAATCAAATAAATTAGAGGCGAAGAATTGAAAAATTAAAGGAAATTATGGAGAGGGCTACTAATTATCCAGGGATAGCTTTTTAACTATAGGACCGTCGTGCAATTTTACTTTTTCCGATCAAAAATCTTGGAACAAATAATTTTTTTTGTTTGTAACAAACTTTAGCCCTAAGCGGTTCAGCCCTAATTCAAATCGAAATCTAGAGAAGCACAGGACGTTTTTTTATTTTGGTTTTCATTACATGTAAAGAATGTACGGGCACCATCATGTGAAATAGAAATATTCCAAACACTCGCACACATGCAGGTTACCTTGCATTTTACGATGTTAGCTTCTTTTCTTTAAATAAATAAATTACAGATATTAAACAAATTTCTTCAGAAAGAAAATGATGTTCCCATGAGAACGATATGCCTAAATTAAAGCAGCTCGTGTTGACATGATTATTAGTACTCCTTGGCAAACTGGTAAAGATAATTCTTGGCTTCACTCCGGAAATAACTGATCTGTAAAGCTTCCCAGTTTACGAAAAGACCTGTACACAAGCGCAGTGACTTGCCCATCTTCAATACTTTTAGTGGGAACATTTTGCAAACGTACAAGCGCCGTAATTAGAGACCACCAAGATTTCGTATGCCACCTGTTTTTAAGTCTGTTTACCGATGAAAATCGGCCTCCTCACAACAGATCAAAACGGTGGACTGTGCATCGTTTCCACTCACATGCAGCCACCTCGTGAATTCCATGGGGTGTTATTTACAGAAAAGTTCTAATACCCACGACTGACCAAGTCTGTTGAAAATAGAGAGAAATCAGGTATATCTGTTCCAAATCCTTAAAAAATAATAAAAATAACAAGAACCGACGAGAGAACTGGAAAATCATGAAAACGAAAATAACGTTCTTACCTTTGTAGCTGTCTAATTCGTCTTTCTTTTTCTTGACGGCGGTTGGTGCCGTAGAAGACTGAGATTAAATGAAAAGAAAATATGAGTGGAAAGATGGGTAAAGAATAACTGAAAATAATAAAATCATAGGGGATTGAAAAGGAGTGTCACGAAGGGATGGTAAAAGGAAGGTCAGAAAAAGAAATAAGTGGAACCAAGTTGCTGTACCGTCCGCTTGGAAATACGTCTCAGTTAAACTTTTTACGTTTAATAATCTCCTGTTATGGCAATAAATACAACGTAAAGAAACTGACCAGGTTCATTACCTTTAAAACCGGATGAGGGATGCCTATAATGTCGCAAAGTCTGTTTCTTATGACACGAAGTTCTTCAATCTTCGCATCCCTGAGAAAACAAGCATGTCAAGTAAAAGTCGTAATTAACTGTATGAGGCCAAACAGCTGAACAAGTTTACCAAAACTAACCTATCTATTTTCAGATCATGTCAGAGCGCGAGTAAAACTAACATAAAATTCGCATCTCTCACCATGAAGTTTCGGTCAGTATCGTTAACACTTCATCTAAATTTTCCGCCGGTATGATGTCATCATAGGTCAACACTGCTGAGTACAGGTGGTCAGCGGTAGTTTTACGAACCTTGCAAAAGAAGGGATACGTTGAACATAAATGAAGTATTGTACCGGCGTATTAAGGGTGGGGCCGACAACAATGCAGCTACGCCGTAACACCTTAATCATCGAGAGACTTTCGCCCTATACTGTACAATTGAGTGCATTGGATATTCACCGTTCTTGTATGCAGTTTAATCATGAAAATTCTTACCTGAGGGTATCTGTGACAAAGAAATATGGAAAGCTGTTGGAAAGCTTTCATTCTTGTCGCCCCTGGAAACTGTAATAGGCCGCAAAACCTTGTTAAAAAAGAGGAAACATGTAATTAGCTAAGCTTTGTCCCAACATAATAAATCGAGAAAAAGCTTGCTATCTATAGATTTTGTTTTTACATACTGCTTGCGTGAAAATGAGGGGCATTTGGTTAATAAAAATCAAATATAGGAGAGCAGACGTCCTCGAAAGCGGTAAAAACTATCCGTAAAAGATTCTCGCCATTTACGGCAATGTGTAGCAACAGTTTTTGTCTGAGTCAGTCTTAAAATGAGATTTCATGCGGCCGGCGTTAAGTTGAGGAGTGAGCTTACCACAGTGTCCCTTGACACAGCTTCGATAACATCCTCGCCAAATTTATGACGGTTTAGTGACATGAGCATTTACGATATTGTACAAAGTCACAAATTTAAGGAAGGCACAACACATAATGTTGCTTAAAATCCGTGAACAGTTGAACTAGCGGCAACTTTTAAAGAGTTTTAATTCTTACACGCTGACACTCGTGATTAGCTTTCTAGCGTCGCCAATCTTGAAGATTTCCTTTTTTGTGAGGTCCAAAACAGCTACGGAGAATGGATGGCTGCAATGAAAAAAAATGAAAAGGATATCAAATAGCGAAAACGACTCAAAATGTCTAATCATTTTTAAAGTAAGTGATTAAAAGCTTAATCTTTTCATATGAAGATCATTCAACTTTCAGTTTTCTAAAGATGAGATTGACATTCCCACAAAACATAACATTGACATCGTTGGAGGAAAATTGCGAAGCTGTGTCACGATATTTTAAATCAGTGTTGTCATTCCCAAGGAGAGCCTTTAGAGTGATTATTTGCCAGAGAATGCAAAATGATAGTCGAGAACAAAGGAAACAAAGAAACGAGTAGATTAAAGATGGTAAGAATTAACACGGATGGCATATTACAAACTTCCATCTTTTGGTTGTACCTTTCATCCTGGGTGAACAGCTCGAAGCAGCCATTGGCTAACAGCATATCAAGCATCTTGAATAAGGGAACTATTATTCTATGTTCACAAAAATTTCAGATTGATAGGAAATTAATCGACGTCGGGAGCATAACGACAAAAACAAGAAAGCAGAAGAAAGGCAAAAAAACAAAACAAGAAGAAAAGGGGGGGGGAGATTAAGCTCGAGAATGATGGGAAGTAGACTAAGGACTGGGGCGAGTGGAAGGAAAGAGACCACTACAAAATAAATACAAAAAACAGTGGGAATCAATTAAAATGACAACAACAACAACAACAACAACAACAACAACACCAAACTATAAAAATGGGAATTGCACAAGAATATATTTTTGATTAAGATGGAGCAGAGCGTGTTTACAGGTTGCATAAATAAATAAATAAATAAACAAATAAATAAATTATTTTGAAAGCAAAAACAAAAGCCACTTGCCTGTCATTTTTTTCATTCTTCCGAAAAATATCTAAAAGGGTTTCCGCAATCTCGTTCATCTCAAGCTCACTGTAATAACAAGAATTGTACATAGTGACTATACTGGGTTTAGATATGATCAAAGGGGAAACACAATCAGTTTTTTGTTGCTGTACTCGTCCTTGCTCCGAAGATTTTTCTCGAGTTGTTCCGGAGTTCTTTTTTCTACTTAAGAAATACTCCAAATTTTAACTTTGATCCGGGAAACAGTGGACGAATAGCCAGCTCGAGAAAGTGCCAGAGCTGTTAAACTTTTTATTTATTCCTTTTTATTTTATGAATATTTGGGAAAAACGTGCTTACTACCTCTTGCTTATGACTTTCAAGAATCTTAGCAACGATGACTGAGAATGTCGCACCTGAAAAAGAAGAAGAGAAAAGAAGTCTTAAGTCAGGACCAGTTCACAACTTAATAACAACCATCAACCCTTTAACCCCTCGGAGTGACAAGAATCTAAATTCTCCTCACAACATCACCTCTGATTCACATATCCAGGCCACGGGAATAAAGGAAATGATCATCACGTACAGGAGCTCATGATTTTTAAACAAAGTCTCCTTGTCAGTGCCTTAGGAAATTTATAGAGAACAGTATGGAGAATATACAAACTGATGTTAGGATGTGAAGGGTTAAGGCTCTCTTAAAAGATCAGTAACTCTTGCATGCGGAGAGTGCTGATGATGTGAAAAGTGTCTCAAATATTTAACAAACGAACATGACAATTACCAGTGATTCGGTTAGTCCTCCAACACTGACAGTCAAGCCAAGAAGAACAGTCCTTCTGTACGACGCCAAACCGAGGAGCTTCGTTATTCGAGGAAAACATTCAGCAGAGGCGCTCCAATTCATTTCCAAGCATTTATCCCTAAGAAAAAACGAAAAGACTTCGAGAAAAATGAAAAAACGTGTCAATCGATGTTCAGTTGCAAGATATTAGACTCATTGGGCCAGTTGTCTACACGTGGTCTGACCCAAACCGCGGTTTCACGCAAGCACTGGGCCTTACTTATTCTGCATAGGAGGGTTGTTTTCATTAAATAAATGCCCTTTCACTGCTAGCTTTCGGAATTCTTGATACAGTTCACAAAAAGGAGCGCTCAGACTACAGATTCAGCCACATTCAAGACAGCGTACAATTGGTTTTGATAAACAACGGCTTCACTTTATTTGAATAACCGGCCCATTGACTTAGGACTCCAAGGAGGCAACCACAACGACGAGAGGTTGAGTTCCCACTGTGGGCTAACTATATTCAAACCTTGGCTCTTACTTCGGAAAAATGTCGAGAAGTTCTTTGTGGTGCGGTATATGTGGCAAAGTAGGACTGAAAAGAGTAAATAAAAGAATAAGTATATAAATATAGTATATCAAACCACTGTCCTTTAAATAAAAAATTCATGGACATGAAAATCTGTTACAATATTTTTACTAGCAAACTAAGCTTCGAAAAATAATATCAAATTGCGATATAAAAATTGAATTTGTTCTCCCCGAGTTGTAAATGATCTAAACACGTGACTCACCTGTCCATATACAGAAGTCTAAGGAAAATCTCTCCGGCATGAGCTCTCGTGCGATCTATTTTCTCAGAAGACTGCTGCGCAAGACAGCACATCACCCGCTCACAGCTATGAAAAGGAGCAGCAAGTTTCATTAAAAAAAATTAAATATATGCCTGTAAATAGGATTTTTAACGTCCTTCTCTTATACTTGGGAGTACTGGGTCTTAGGGAAGGAGACAATGCTTTGAATAAGACCCCCTCTAAGATTGCTCGTGAGTCATATGATCAAGCACCTAACGACAGTGTTTCCTGAAGAGATGGTTTTCAATCGACCGATGTAAAACCACAAAAATTAGAGAAAACACATTAGAAGAGGAACAAAAAGGTTTTCTTTTTTCAAGAACCAACTTCGTACTTACATCTCTGGTGTAAAAAGAGAAGGATCGTTTTCTGCAACATATCGGGTCAGGGTTTCCAACCCGCTCATGCTGGCTTCACGCACCCTGCAATAAGAGAAAATGTAATTGTCAAAATGCGATCAAAAATTTACATTTTCCTGGCTTCTTGTACCAGAATTAAAGCATACAGTTACAATATAGTTTCCCACCTAACAGCTCTTTTAATTTACAAAATACTGCCAAACCCGATGTTTCGGGTCACATTCAAGACTTTTATTCAACCTCGATAGAACGATCTGCTGGCCAATCGATTAAATTGAAATGACAAGTTACATAATTTATAGGGAACCATCACCACCTAAACACATTATAAAATGACGTCTGTAAAACAGAGAAATGTGTTTGGGGTTACTTTTCCCACAACAAGGAAGTTATCGTACCAAGCTCCGACGTCTCCTCTGCTGTCAATCGTGTAGTCATTCATAGCAACGAAAAAAGCCTCATAAAGTTCATGAAGACTGCTTTCTGTGACAATTTCTTCTTCGTCTCCTGTCCTACTTAATCCAACGGTGCAAGCGATTCTGCAACCACGAGAATAGTGAACGTTATCATACAACTTTCTGACTTTCAATGTCGTAGGACTAATCGTTTCAATTCCAGTTTTAGAACAATGACAACGACCACGGTTGACGGCGCTCTTAAAGCAGTGACACATTACAATGAAAACAAATTGTGTCTCTTGAGATACCTTGCAAGAGAATTAAGCGCCTCTCTTCTTGATTCAGCAAATTTTCCTGGATCATCCGCTACCTGTGAAGCTGTAATTAAACCTGTAAATGCCTAGAACAGAAGCACAGCGATAAATTTGAGATTTGATATTTCTAATGAAAAACCGTGGTCTCAAGACTCCGAATCCAGGAAATCGAGAGCTAGAATGTCAGCGCGTGATGGTGAAAAGTAAACTAAACTGATTCAGTTCACGAAAACCAGGTTTTCCTAAATTGAAGAAACAATATCCAAGATGATTTCGAAACTAGCTCAAAGCAAAACATACTTAAAACATACAAAATAAAACATTGAAAACGGTGAAAAAGTGCCACATTCAGACACCTCAGCGAATCGCAAACTATGACTCCTTTATTACGCTTTGAGGCAAGCCCTTTTTATCCCGTGTGATTTGTAGTGGAGGAAAATGAAATGGTACTTACCACTTTTAACCGGAATGACAACATGAATTTTGGCAAAAATCCTAAAGCTTGAGCGAACCCAACTCTAATAGAAAAAAAAGAAGTGAAGGGTGTATCACTTACACGAAATAGGAATAATTACATCCGACATAAAGTATAGAAAAGAGAAAAAAAAAAAAATTTTCACCTGAATTGATGCCATCATCACAACCACAATATTTAATAAGGAAGTCAAGAGTCAGATACACAAAATGAATGAAACGACCGAACAAAGGAATGAACGAACGACTGACCGACCGACCGACCGACCGACCGAAAGAAGGACCGAACCAACGAACCAGCGAACGAAAGAAGGAACGGACGAACGAAAGAAACAACGAACGAACCGACGAAAGAACCAAGGAACGAACGAACGACTGACCGACAGACCGACCGAAAGAAGGAACGAACGAACGAACGAAACAAACGAGTGACTGAGCGAGCGAGTAGGTGTACAGACGGAAGAATGAAAGAACGAGCGAAAGGTCACATGACCACACGGGCTCCATGAATGCATTTACTCACCTTGAGAACTCTGAAGGGCTTTTTAACTGCCCAACGTAATGTGTGATGATTCTATCTGCAAAAGAGATAATAGTCCATTGTTTCGTCAATAATTACCAACTCGTTCACTTGAAGAAATAAAATGCAAGAAACTACATAATTTTCTCCATTGCCTTGTATTCCATCAATAGCTCCACCGTCGTCTTTGACGTAATACTGCTGGCATAAAGCACCGAGGGCTCGAACAGCTCCTTCCTAAAATATTCAGGAGAACAGAATTAATATTAGTAGGCAGCAGAAAATCCACCGTAGATTGACACGGGGTAAATGTCACCTGTATAACAGATTCTGTGTGGGAGAGGTTGTCATCGATAGTGTCTTGAAATACGCCTAAGAAAGGAAGAGAAAAAGAAACGAAAAACGTGAGCATACTCAGACATGACACGAATGTTGGCGAACCCACCCAGACAAATAAAGACAAATATATCAAATCATCGCAAGAAGAAATGAACCATTAAGTAATTGAGCAGGAGAAACATTGTCACTTTTCCAAAAGCCTCATTTCCTACCTAAGGAAGTGAACTATGATTACTGTCAGTAGCTCTCACCAATTATCTGATCTCCATGCCAAGGTAATTCCGATAAGGACAGTTTCATTATTAAATGACAAACTGGAAGTAAAAAGAGAGGATCAATAATTGAGTGCAGACATATTACAGCAGCAATACAACAAGGATGAATCCTCTCCTGATTTAAAAACTTCACAATTGCTTATGTCGATATCGTGCATTTTCCAAGAAAAAGTCGTCATAATATGTTCACGGCTGTGGCGTTTTCCCGCCAACTTAACGCAGGTTTGAGCGCGCGCACTGTTTCAATACAGGAGAATCTCGAACTCTTCGTCAAACTCCTGTTAGAATCTTAAGGTCTCTAATAAAGATGACAGGAACAAAAAAGTGACTACAATGGCACTTCATACCTGCCTGTCGCATGTAGTCCCCTCCTAGACCTCTGAAAAATAAATGAAAACACAAGTTATGATCAAGATCCTCCCGCATGAAACTCGCTGCGCTAGACGCAAGATCGCAGCAATTGTTTCACTTCATACTGCAAATCAGATGGTGATTCTCCAGTTTTCAAAAAATGACCAAATAAAGTTGACAACAGAAAGTGCCATGCGTAATTTCTTGTCACCGTATCTTTCAAACATAGCTCTTCGGTACAATTCATTACCATCGTGGTGAAATTGAAGCTCATTACACGCTCGGCAACTGAAGAATAATTTTGTTGTTTAAAATCTCACCTGAAGCTTTTTGCTGAGTTGAGCTAAAAGGAAACAGAAAGTCATATCTGAATTATTGCGCATGAAATTTATCAGCCTCTCAACATATTGCCTCTGCCAGAAGTAATTCAAAACAAGTCAAAACATTATTACTATACATGAAAACACCATCTCAAACCAATTACCATGGTTTTGTTGGTAACTCTTCTCTCAAGCTGCTATAAATTTCGACGCAAAATAAATGACAGAAGTTGATGTTTCATCAAATCACTCTGTCTACCAAATAAGTCTATCTATTTTCATATAATATATTTTTGGAAGATGAGGTATTAAAATTGAGAGGAAAAGTTACCCGTTTCAAAGTCGTACCTAAATCGACAAATAAAAACTCTACCTGAGGTACAAAGTCTTTCACGATTTCAAAGCAATCTTTGTCAACCACGTCTGTCAGCAATCTGAAAATAAGAATCGTTAAAATATCTTTAACTGTACAGTTTTTAATTTATTTGTCAAAATAATTATAAAATAACGAAGTAAAACCTTTAATGTCTGTAACAATACCTTCCGGTTTCCTTAGCGTATAGAAACAGAGCGTGTATAACTTCAGAGCAACCCAGGATGCAGCCATGGCGCGTGTTCAGGTCGATATTGTTCATTTGTAAAAGCACTTTTGGAAAAACTAGGAAAGAACAGAGAAGAGTTTTAAGCAATACAATAATACTAAGTACCTTTACGTTACTATATGCAGTATTTGCAGCTCAAAGGATGATTGAACAGAGCTGAAGGACATTAGAGACAATCGCCCAGATTTCTCATCTGTCGGCCAGGCATAACAAAGGACATATTTAAGTTGTATTTAAATAGATTTGGGGAAAACAAATTTGAATGGGATACACAACAATTTTCAGAGCTTATGTTTTTCTCACAGTTTCATTACAATTGATATGCAAGAGTACCCCCTTCTCCATCGATACCTGAACTTTTTTTTCCACTTGAACTGATTCTCTCTAAAAACGTTACGAATATATCGCTGATATCGGCTAGATATAGCACGGAATTATCAAAACTAAACGAGAAAAAAATGTATTTTGACAAGATTGTGTTAAGATGCGAAAAAACGCATATGTTGAGCAAAGCTTGGACCTGAGATTAATGGCGTCAGGTTTCCCTAAAAAAGAATGGTTTCTTTTATACATCCCCTTTGGGCGGCCTCTCTCGGTCGACATTCTTAACGTTGGGCGAGGTATCGTTGCTAGACGATTTCTACGTCTATCAAAATAGATACGATAATTGAAACGGCTCGATAATCGACAACATACCAGTCTTAGCCATGTATTCTGGATCTGAAGGAGTTAGATTGTGTAAAGCTTGAGAAGCCAGTTCTCGAATGTTTCTGACAAGGAAGAAAGACAAGCTTAAACGAGGATAAACTTACAATAGATAATGCATGTAAGCTTCAATTCTGTCAACATTTTCCTGATAATTCCCGTAAGTAGCAAGCTCCAGTGAAGGACATTTTTTTGTCTTCCGGGAAGATGTGCGTGGCCTACCTCCTGACGATCGAGGTGTTGTAGGGATCTACTGAAAGGAAACCCCGTAACTGCCGTGAGGTGATCGAAGATGATTCCATGTAACCCTCAAATAATACCCAAGCTTTTCCCTGAACGATTTCAACCTTCAATTGATAAAAATTTTGAGGTGTACTGTAATGATCACAACCCTGAATGGCGTCCAAATTTGTGCCTAGACCATCTGTCCTCGAAATTGTCCTCAAAATAAATTCTGACCTAGAAATGATTGCTCGAAAAGATCATCCGCAGGGTGTGTATCGTACCTATCCCAGTGTTGTAACTTGACATCAGCGAGATGGTCAATCAACGCCTTTGTATATTCCTTAAACTCCGCTACTGATACACTGAAAACAAAAGAACATTTCTAATTGAACTTACAGAAGGAGTCTGGTAGGATTAACAATTATAAGAAAGGACAAAATGATATTATTCCAGTCTAAGATTTTACCTTACAGTCAAGTATGTATTCACTCTGTTCCCAACCGCAAAATAGTCAGCCATCGTAAGAATATCGATGCCATGAGGAAAAGTTCCCTAAAACGTCAAAAAAAGTTATCTATTAAAAAAAAAGAACAAAAACTACCTTAACACTATAATGAGATAGTTTTGAGAGAGAACGAAAGCTATAAAAAAATTGAAAAATTAAAAAGTTTTTTTTTAAAACATGGTCAAGTAACGCAGGAAACTTTGAAAGACAAATACACCCTATTATACTCTAACATTTGTTCTCAAAATACCCTCATTTGAACTGACCTGTCTTCCCACATTTTCTTGAAATGCAGCCTATAGGGAAACAAAAAAAGACCATTTGTGTTTTAAATATAAAGTTGAGGTGAAATTAAATCAAGTTTTCAAGAACTTTTATGGCATAAACTATTTTCTAAATGTTCAGAGACTGGACCTTAGGGCAAATACTCATTAAACTAGGACAAAAGCAGACAAACAAAAAACAATAACCAAACTCACAAAACCGAGGAAAACAAAAACACATCAAAATCTATAGCTTAACAGTCGTTGAAATGACTTAAAGTGCAGATAAGTAATGTGAATGATCTCCAAATCATGGGCTAAATTCTACTATGTAGACTTTAAAAAAATGGTATTTCCTAACTTACCGAAGCAGCCCGCCTGCAGTTCACTTCTCGGTCAAACAGAGCAGCAGTTATTAGAGAACTGTCAAGAAAAAAAAAAAAAAAAAATAAAAAGCTCCTTCTTAGGAGGGCAAACCCGACTTTTGACCCTTTATCAGAGTAAAATGTAAAGAACTACACTGCTGCAAGTTAGTGTTAGTTCTGAACTATCCAGCATTCGGATCGCCATCAAAAGACTAAATCACTCTCCACTCAATCCTTAACTCGCAAGAGGAAGTTAAACAGCCGCTCGTTATTGAACTTGTTTTCAATCGTACCTGGATATGCCGTGCACGTGCGGTTGGATCTCTTGTGGATCGTAAGCTCTGGCGAATGACCAACAAACATAACAAGCGCCATCCCTAACGTGGCTCCCTTTGAAGTAGAAAAAAATAAAAGAAGAACGAACAATCATACATGCGTTCGGAAAGAATAATCCCGTCAAGTTGCGTACAGGAACCCATCTTACCAACACTGTATGTTCCTCTCATTTCATCATAAGACAAGGCTTTCAGCACAACAGGAACAACTGAAAAATAGAAAAAAATAACCAAACTTAAATCATACCAGTTATTGAACAAAATTACACATCGAAAATTGATTTTAAAAAAAATGATACTAGAGAAGTTAAATTGCTAGAGCGATTCACAAAGAATTCTCCCTTAAATTCGTGTAAGTAATGTAACCAGGAAAGTCTTTCTCTGTTATAAAAATACCTGTTAAGTATTGTAACTGTCAGGCGGGAGAATTTAAAAAATGTGAAGAGGTCATGATTGCTCAAACTGTTTAAGTTGCTTGCCCGTCTAATCCGGAAACTCCGCGTAAATTTTGATAGTTTCTATGTAATTTTGACTTGTGCGTTTCCTTAGGCCGTTCTGTGCCAGATATTCTGAGGAGATTTATTGTGTTGATTTCAAAGCTACTAACCTTCAGGGAGCCTATTGGGTAAAAGAAGTCCTCTACGACCGAGTTCAGCGAGAGCTAGACAACCTACAGAAAATTCAAATACAAGGATTACCAAACTCTACAACATTTAAGCAACATCTAAGTGTCGCCAAGTGTCCACAGATGTTTAACATCGGTGCGAACTGAATCTCTTTTTTTCACGTAGCGAATCAACATCCGCGAAATGCCGTGAAATAGCTTAGCTACATGAACAATGCTACAAAAGCAGTTAAAAACCCACCTCCGTGCCAGCCACAATCTGATTCTCGGGTACTGCAAAAAAATAAATTTATTGTTACAAATGTAACATTAAGCTAAACTACACGAAGTTCAACTACTGTAGCCACATAATTAACGTGGAGATGATTGTAGATACATTGATAACATTTCATACCTGAATAATTCTAAGACGTTTTCCACAATCTGGTCGGCTAATTCTTGAGGAAGTCTCCCAGTTATCCTTCCAATCCTTATTTAATAAGAAACATTTCATAGTTCAGTCACATGTACTACACTTTCGTGCCGTCAAAGGTTTACTCAGGATTTGAAAAACTCCATATTGAAAATCTTCCAACCCACCCTTTAGCCGCTGACCATCGCACTACGGTATCCTTATCTCTGAGACCAGTCAAAAGTTTCTCTGCAAATTATTACATTCATAAATATTTACTGTCATCAAATTCTATTAAACATATCAATTACAATTTTCACTGATTAGCAAGATGCAAAAGTCTTTCAACGTTGTTGAATTCAGCAAAAAGTTTTAAGTATTTTGTAGTGAAAAGGAGATCGTAAACCAACCAATGATATCTTCTAGTTCTTCAGGAACATCATAATCTTCTTCCTGTAATACAATAAAAATTGGTTCAAAACCAAATCAACTTAAAGAGATAAAATAACAGCATTGACACTATAATAACCTGTTATTAAAAAGTCCATCAATAGTTGAGTCAAACAAAACAAACAGACAAACATGCGAAACGTGGCCTGCACAGTTACAAGATAAAAAAAAATCCTCACCTCAGCTGTGTTTAGTCCTGCTGTGTGGTGACTATTTTCATTCTGAAATAACAATTAAATTTATAAGAGAGGTGAACTTTGATGTAAAGACTGTTCTAAACCTTTCAAACTACAGGTTTGATAAATTGGAAAACTTCCACAAACAACAAATCTCAACCAACAACAAATACATGTAAGTTTGGAAGAAGGTCTTGAAGCAGCCAATTTGAGACTGGATGTCACTTCATAAACTACCTGTTCTTGAGAGAATGGATTGGCAAGGTTGTAAGCCAAAGATCGACTCCCTCTCTGATATCTACCAGTAAACACATAAAAAAACAACAGCTTAGTGAATGCAGCAAACATATAGATGCCTCACAGCCCCTGCTTTGTCACAATTAAAATATACCAAGTGGAAATATACTTTTCTCACTGACTATCATCATAAGTCAGCATAATAAATTGATAAAAAATAATAGTTTCCAAGATGAAATCAATTTGACTAAGTAGATCTAACCTCCAGGCTGCTATTCTTGGCTTCAGAAATGTCAAACCAAGACGCTACAAGAAATGTATGGAAAAAAGCATTCATTATGAAATGTACAGAACTGGTACAAACCTATCACACCCTCAGTCCTGAGTGGTCACTATATACTCATTTATTAGGTATAGGTAACAAAATGATTTTGAGTGCAATTTGGTGTTAAAAAGCACAACTAAATTTTTTAAAATTTAAATTAAATCAAAGATAGCAAAATTGCACATGCCTGAAGAGGCAGGTGCAATTTGTAGGCTTTGAAAAATTTATAAGTGCTTATTTACACCAAATTGTGTAAAAAATAATGCTTTACTAGATAATAATTAACATGAAAAATGCATCAAAGAAATTCAAGACAGAAGAAATTTTAGGAGTGGGCTTGCTATTTGTAATTTTCACTTGTGGCACAACTTTGCATACACATTGCATGAAAAATGCACTTGTTTTCAGCTCATCAGATGCATATAATTTTTTCATGTAGATTATTGTGTTTCAAACACACTTTCAAATGTATCAATGCATGTATAGTTACCTGTGTAAGTTTAATATTCAGTTTCCTAAGCAGCGTGTTATTAATCTTTGAAATCTCACGCACCCCTATTTGCTTCAAGACTATAGGAGCTAAGAATTTATAAAAAAATTATTGCAGATTAGCATCAATATTGACAGATATAAAAAATAATGAGTAAACTAGACTGTATTGTATAACTCTGTTCAATAATCTTAAAAACCTTGATTCAATTTGTCAAAGTTTTGCAAAGTTGAATGTTGACATACAAATCATATTCAGAGATACAAACAATCTGCTGCCCCCTATATGAACTCTTACTACTGTCTGTTTAGCCTGGAAGCAAGCTTTCCTGTTTGGGTGTCTCCTTAAGGTACAGCTGCCTATAAAATCATTGACTGCTGCTTATGAAAAAAGTTATTGTAAGCCTTGCATATTGTACACTGTCACACTAAAGAGAAGTTTACTCACCATATGGTATTAAGTCATCTCTCTTTCCATGCTTGAAAAGCAGAGCCTTGAAAAGTCGGGGAGTAAATGACAGAGCCAAAATAAGATGGTGTCATATGGTGTTATGGTAACAATTAATCAATCAGTCAACCAAGGAGTCAGTGGAAGATGTGGAAAGGCAACATGAAATGCTGGGAAGGTATGCATGGGTCTTAACTCCTGCAGATTTTCCTCAGGTAAGGTTTGACCTTAATTATTGATCTTCAGACCTCAAACATATTTATTGGTTCTCAAATTTGAATTAATTTATGTAATATTGCCAGATATTGAATTATATGAAAACACCAAACCTTGGGTGAATAGGATTTTAATTGCGAGCTTCTTCAAGACATACTCAAGGTTTTCATTGAAAAACATAGTAGAAGGAAAAAGCGTAAAGTAACAGGAATTTATACTACATGTCTAAATAAAAAGTGGTGGTGACCAACAAAATTTAGGTAAAGAATTCTGCATAGAAGCCACAGAATTCTCTGAGTTCAACTGTCTAATGAACACTCTATAGACTATGAAATTTTTAACTGACCAATGTTGTCAAGATCCCTGTCAACAGCAGCATTCCATCCATTGTCTCTCCTGGTAAGATAGAAACACAAACAAGAGTCTTTTTAAAAAAATGATCTAATCTGGAAAGAGTCCAGAGGAGGAACAACATGGCAATTAAGAGGTCATATTTCGATTTGAATGTCTGACAGCCCTTCCAGAGTGTGCTTGCTTCTGATTTTTCATGGAAAGGCTGGGATTTGCGAGCATTGGATGAAGAGGCCCAATAAGCTTTGCAATAAGTGGTTTAAATTGTGCATGATTGTTATAACTTTGCATCTAGGTACAAACCATTTGCTCTCTCCATCCTTATCAAACACCAGTCCAGAAATTCTGCCAGCTTTTCTTTCTTCACATCCGGTCTTGTAACAAACCTATAGACAAGTGAGGATACAGGAAGTGTATAAAATATATTATAAACTGACAATACAGATTAACTTGTTACAAAGATCTACCAAACATACTTTGAGATAACTAATGCAGCAGCATCTCTCGACTTGTCTGGAACTGAAAGATACATCTGCAACAAGACAAATTAATAGAACATTTTATAGTTAGCCACTATTAGACACTGTGAATAAAAATGTGACCTTCGACACAACACTAACAGCTTTTAGGTCTGTCCCACCTACCTTTGCAGTTTCAAGAATTCTCTCCACCACAGGCCTGCGTCTCTCCTGTGTTCCACTATCGGCATCTCTCTGTCCATCAAAGCGAGCCATGTCAAAGGGTATCATGCAAACAATAGACAACCACAGGAGAAGAACATATCGCGTCTCCCAGGTCTGAGGTTAATAAAAAATATCAAAATTATTTTGACCTAAGGATAATACATCATGGTTGACAAAAAAGAAAAAGATGAAAATGAGAGATTTTAGAAAGCTGCGATTTAATAACATTTTCCTACAATTGCAAGTCACAGTGGGTCATAGGGCTCCTATTGATAACAGATATACTTTTAAGTATTCTGAAGGGATTACCCTAGTTAAATAAAGGTTTGCTACTGCTACTTATGTTGATGAAAATGTACAGTACATTAATGAGTATGTTGTAAGTTAAATTGGATTTAGGGCTAAAGACATTTAGAACTAGCTTGATTTGCATTTTCTTTGCTTAAGAAAAGATAATTTGCAGGAACATATAAAAATGCAAATCAAATTGTAATTGAAATCATTTTGACCTGAATTCTTTTCAAACATTATCATATTCCCTAAATTATATGTGTCACATTAGTAATTACAGATAAGGTAGTAATATCATTAACTAGAAATAAAAACTATAAAGATGACACACCTCATGATCTTGAGGATTTTGCTGAGACAGCATTCCAAGAACTGGTTCCACATCAGTAACTTCATGAGAAAACAGCCGTACCACAAATTTTGGTCCCCTGACCTGATCAAGTTTGAGTGAGAAAAATAAACAGGAAAGTACATGTTGTTAATGATGATGTCACCTATGTGTTTGTCCTCCAATAAATCATAAGTAAGATCCATTCAAAATGATTATAGGCTTCAGCCCTTAATACAGTGCAAAAACAAATTCAACTGGTTTATTCCATTTAATAATATACATGAAAAAATTATGTGCATCTGATTGGATGAAAACCTGTGCATTTTTCATGAAACACAAGTGCAAAGTTGTAACATGAGTGCAAAGTTGTAACACAAGATCAAATTACAAATAGTGTGCACAATTTTGCTATCAAAATTTCATCTGTCTTGACTTTCTGTGATGCTTTTAAGACAATTAATGTAAATTTTTCAAAGATTATAAATTGCACTTGTCCTATAGGCTTGTGTAATTTTGTTGTCTTTGAATATTCATTTGTGCTAATTAACAACAAATTGCACTTGAAATCAAGTTATTACCTATACTTAAAATTTGTTTTAAAGTATGACAACATACTTATAAGCAACAAGGGTTGCTAGCTCCTTGATCTCCCTCTGTGACTAAAGAATCAGTCTGAAGGTTTGATTACAATTATAGGGGATTAAATCTATCAGATTACCAAACACTTAAAGTATTAATTGATATTACAACCACATTCTTTGTGCCCTAGGAAAGTACTTATTTAAAGTCCAATACTAATTGTTTTATATGGCAACCCAATTTCTCTAGTCAACTTTGCCAGTTGTTATCATGCATAACTGTATATAAGTGATGAATAAAGGGGGTAAGTTTCTGAAGAGGGGGGAGGGTGAGGGGACAGGGTTTCATCAGCTGAGTTGTTCATTGTAAAGAGTTCCTTTCACTAACATTTTGGCTTTACCCATTCATCACAGCGAATAGAAGAATTGTGGGTTGTGTGTGTTATACATGTACATGATATTTCACTTCTAATTATATACAGCTCCAACAGCATGGGAAGGCAAACAATTCATTGTGTCAAAATGGTATCTAAATGCATGATCAATTGGAAACAGACCTTGGTGATTAAATATAAATATTTAAATCCCTGCTGAATCACTTTAGCTGGGTTTGATGCATCACAGACTATATGTTGCAATTTCTGTACAAGGCTCTCTGAAAGTGAGAAAATAAACCACAAATGTGAATTGCCCAGTTCTATATTTAATAAATTTCAACAGAGAAAGAAAAATGAATACTGAGAGTTTTTTTTATTATTATTTTCAGTATTATTTGGTAACTTCTGCCGACAGCTTAAAACTATACTCTGCAGTACCTACTGATAAGTAGCTTAATGTAATCTGTTCATTCACACATTGTTTATACAGGTAAAGTTTACCACTCTACTATAAGATGGGTTTCCTATTTGAGAAAGTAGTCCAAGCAAAGCTTGAGTAAAGATCTCGTCCTTATTTCTTAAGGATAAAAAATCGCAATTTAAGAAAATATGTAAACATTCTACAATATTGTAAAACACAGTACATACAAATCGATAACTATGAAAATTCTTTACACTACTTACCTAAATGCGGATCCAATAAATGTGGCTGTTCCTGATACTTATTCAATATAACTGCAAATTAACCATTTTTATACACGGTAGTGGGTATGATAAAAGGAAATTTTGGATGGAAGCCTGAGCTCTAAATTAATAACATACTCACAAACAAGTAAATGAAACAAAACTAGGAGATTAGAAAACATGCTACACTTACGAATTAACCGCTCCTCTGCAGCCTCGAGTAAAATATTATCATGACATATGGTTCCTATTGATTCGATCAATGATGTTACTTCTTTGAGTTCGGTAAAATGATCCAAGCTGTATGACACAGAATTCTCGTCCTCCTTCGCCGCCATTTTTTATTTGGATCCAGTAACCAGTCCCACTCGGTTACCGCGTAGATACTTCAGGGTGAACTCGGCATACATAGAAGGGTTTTAATTTTGACGAAGTAATCTTCCTTTTTAATTAAACAAATAGGTAACTGACGGCGAGGAAGGTAGTTTTTTATGCTTTCTTTTAATGACAACTAGTTATAGAGCTTTGTGCAGCTGAGATGTCAAGTTACCCATCATTTTTTTTCTTGTTATTTGGTAAATTAAAAACACGTCATTCAGAAAACTTGTGAGCAAACAACACAAAGCAGATACGGGATGAAAAAGAGATGAAAATAGAGATATAAGTTGCACATCCTCCTCATTTTCAATTATTTCCTTTCAATTAGTCATTTATATGGAAAGCCTACCGCAAGAGAGAGATCTTAGATGAAGTCTTTTCAAAGTCAGCGCACGATATAATAGATTTATTGAAAAAAAAACCACGAAATGTGCTATTGTCTTTTTATCCGTATCAGTTGCTATTAATGGGCGAAGATTGTGAACAAAATGTCCGTCATTGTAGCAAAATCTCAAAATATAAATTTCGCCTTAAAACGTTTTTTCGAGCTGAGTGTTATCCATGCATTGTATTAAAAGCGGTTGGCAAAAATCGAAAATTAAAATGTCCTGTAGATCTTTATAAAAGCAGACAGTCAAAATACTCTTCGCCCTAAAATAAGTCGTGTATTAACATCTCACATGAAAACTCTCGAAACAATCAAATGGCTTTCAATCAGTCCGGTAGTATCCGTCCGTTTTAAGGACCAATGTATTCAGAAGAGTAATTAAAATCGAAATCTAAGCCGACATCCTTTTTTCAGAGAAATTGAGACCTAATTTTAATTTTAACACACAAAGGAAACCCTTGCCCAACGTAGTACAACCCAATCGGCGGTTAGAAATTAAAACATTGAAAGATACACCTTGGTCAGTTTTTGTTTTCACAATCTGTTTGATTCCCACGCAAGCAGCATCCGACCGCGTAAATTGCTACCGGGGCCTGCTTATTAACTGCTATAAAATAACATTAACAAATGAGGTAGTACAAGTGTCAACCGGAAATTTGATAAAATATATAATAGCACACGTTCACTGAGTCCAGTGTAAAAAATCTTTCCTTGCTAAGCTGAGAATATTGAAACATTATGAAGAATTCTCCCGTATGGAAATTTACCGGAAAATCAGCTTTGCCAAATAAATACATTGAGAGTTGTTACCTTTTTCTGTTTTAGAACTGAGAAGTGAATAAGCTGTCACCCAGGACAAAAAATTGATCATTACTCTGGCTGACAAATAATTTTTTAGGCTGGCGTTTAAGGTAAAGGCAATTTCCGCACAATTAACATCACTTTAGAACGAATTTCTCTAATTCGCCAACAGTAGACGAAAGGATTTATCGAAGAATTAAGAAAAATCACAACAGATGTTAGGTTTGTTGATAACACAACTGGGGAGCTATATCCAAACAATGCTACCGCGATTATGGCACAGAGATAAGGAGTGTAACATGCTACAAGAAAACCGAAAACTGCCAGCATACTGTTTACAGATCTACGGTACAGCATCATGTTCAAAGTCTTTCGAGGTTGCCTTGTGGAAGCCTCGTTTGTTATTCTTGTCTTTAGAGCCCTCAGAGTTCGATGTATTCTAAAATAGCACGAAGACGTTATGACAATGCAGGAAAAGCCAAGAATTATGGCACTGATTTTATTGATTTGGATATTCCACATTCGGGAGACCGCCCAGATAGAGCTGCAAATCCACAGAAGTGCTACAACCAGAGTGACTTTTTTCACGGTTATAATCAGTCTGTGTCGTATTCCGAGTCTCAACGCCAGATATCTTTCAATGCTTATTACTGTCGTGGTTGTAAAAGACACGGCACAGAAGAAGTAGGCCACGGCAGCATAAAACGGCTGAATTGTACAAAACAATCCAAGATTCCCATGGAGAGCACCCAAACCTGTGGCAACTTGTAACGGTTGAGCGACCATACCAACTCCAAAATCAGACAAAGCTAAGCTGTAAAAAAGAGCTTTGGACGACGAGTAGATCGTGCGGCACTGGAAGAGGGCGAGTAAAATTATCGAATTTCCAACAATCGCAGAAATAGAAAAAACTACATTTGCAATGCACAAGAACACGTACCAATGACGAGGCGATTTGCGTATAAACTGGTACTCACGAAAATCTTGATTAGAGCAAGAAGTATTAAATACCTCCATTTAAAAACTGTTTGTAAAATTGCTTGATCGCCTTGCGTTTCCGGAGAATTACTTCGAGTTTTAGAGGCTTGGGGAGCTTGCCAGTATGTTCCCATTAAAATATTGTGCCTGATATTGAGCCTTGTCGCAATTTTACTGATAATTTGAAGTTAAGTTAAAAATCTATATACACCCAACGATGGTTTTTCTATGTCAACATGAACAAGGGAGATGTCAATCGTGCCAATCAGACTCAAAGCTTTGACTTTCAACTGAAAGGAAAGTAAACATTAAGCCAGCTTTGTTTTACTTTACTTTGGCGTTCCGGATTACAACCCAAAAGAAATAAATTTATCTCGACAATGAAGACAGGGAGTTGCATAATTCTAATTGTACTAAAGAAGGCGTTTTATTTACCACGCAGACACCAGTTTCTTTGGATTCGATGAACAAATGTTTGCGACTTCGCAAGAATGAATATTCTGTGAATTGCAAAACGCTGTTCCTCTCGCGAAGTACCGTATAAATTAAGTCTAACTGTATTCATGAGAAAATGAAAAAATGATCGTCAATTAATAACTTTAATATACTTTTTTAAATTTCTCGCGAAATGGTCCGCTTTGTATTTTACAGCACGCATAAAAGCCAGATCTGATTACGCCGTTCTGACGCATTTCATTAGAGATTCAATATAGAAATGACGTTTTTCATTTGTTCAAGTTTATTTACAAAAGAAAAGTGTTTTTGCTATAAAATAAGAGAGTTTTGAAAAAGAGAAGTATATTTCAGAATCAGAGGTTAATTATAACGAAGTTTTACTTCACAAAAGATGTTTTCGACATTATATGATATGTAAGGCGCGAGGGAATTGCTAAATCTATCAAAAAACCTTGTAGCTCTACGAGTAAGCACACTGCCCATACAGACGTATACTGATATTTTTTTTTTTAGTCCCACGCTCCAACCAAATGCTTGACATCTTTCTTTATTAGAAAATCTCCATTTCTGCCCTTATACTCTTTTGAAAAAGTATCCTTCACCAAACTTATTGAAGGTGACTAAGGAGAAGAGTGCAAATGCTTAAGTATGCTATACAGCACTTGAAACAGTCCATTTTTCGGAGAGAAATTTTGTCCGTTTTTGTATCAGCCAAAATGTTGTTCAGTCGTGGTTCAAAGTAATTCTTCTCACTATATAATTTTTTTTTTTATATTTTTCAACGCTTGAAAAAAAAAACGTAAAAGAAGGCTCTCGTATATAATAGCTTCCCACAGCCTTGCATCTGTTCAGGGATAAAAAATAAAGATTGCCACCTGTCTTCATGACAAATCTGCAGCTCATGTGCTCTGTCACGGATGATTTTTTTACTATTGCTTTTACTCCTACATTTTGCAAATATTTGACGCGAATTTCCCCTCTCCATATTGCTTACACCAGCTGTCGCTGTTAGAAATAAGTTAGTAAAAAGATCAGTTATATCAAGGTTGGATGTATTCGTATGACTCACTGGCTATGTACGGGGTAACACAATTAACACGCGCATACATCGGAGGATAAATATCCGTTCCACTTTGTGCAAAAACCAGAGAAAGTGATGCCAGGTAACATTTCCACAAATAAATACAGCAGTTACTCATTTTTGAAAAAAATTACGCAGATCATCCCTATTCATTCGCGGAAGCGCCTCCATTAAACTTGGAAAGACATATCAGCAGGAAAACTGGCCGCCATGTTGTCTTGCCTCTACTTATCAAAGAGGAGAGGTCAGATGAGGACCGATCCTCGTGACTAACCATTATTGATATACCAACCAAAAACAGTATGGAACATGGATATTCTGATGGGAATCTGCAGTGAAAATTACCGCGTAAATCCGTCGCGGAAATTGCCGTTTAAAACAGTTCAGTTTTCCCAATAGATCGCCACAAACATTGACAAACAAAGATTAAAGTCACAGCGACTTTTTACCGAAACTTGTTCACACACAGAAATAAGCCTTAAACATAAACTTTGGCTATGGTAACTTCTACCTCAGAATTAAGCACACATTACGGTCTTTGGTAAAAAATTCAATTTTGGAAACTCACGATTTAAATTGTATAATAAGGTAAAAAAAAAACGCACGCTCTGAGATTAAACCGAATTCACGATAACTCGTTATAAAAAGTCATCACGTGCATTTTCCAAACTTTAATCACGGTCATCAGGGCCTCTGTGGTCATTTACCAGTCAACCTAAATGTAACGTGAATATATATCATTTTTTGTGCGCATCACCGGACTGTAACAATGAGGAAAGTGAAGGGAAACTTATATTATTCCTAAAGCACAGCAAATGAATTTTGACGAAAATATATTCAATTGCCTTGAAATTCGAAATCAATCGGAACCAGCACGTACGCAATTATGTTGTCATCTACAAACCCACACAATGGTGGACATCTATTTCTATAATTTCTTGCCGTGCTGATGTACATTAATTAAAGCCCGTGCCAATTTATGTCAAATATTTCAAGATCTTCATTTGGGGTCGTTTAGAAAATAAAAATTTGCACAAAACCGCAACCCTATAAAGAAAACACCTGTTCAGACTCAGACCACTTCGCGAAGGGTTATTCGAATAAGCAGATTATTCATTAGGTCTATGACTGTACTTCAAACTTTGAGGTAGGGAGTAAAAATTTTCGCCTAAATCATCATTATCATAGGCATCAGTCCATTCCGGTATTTGCGCTACGTGGATGATGAACATTTATCATCTATTTTGCTCCACTGACTCTTTCTTTAACTAGATTCTAGTATGACGATGAAACAGACTTAATCGAGTTTGCAAAGAACGTATGGAACAGTTCAACTCAATCTCGTAGCTCAAACTCAGAGAACGAGAGATGCAGTGTGAACAAAGGCATGCCCATTTACCAGGATCATTTTCAAACTCTTATGTCTTTCAAGGTACCGCAAGTCCTATTCTTCAGGCAATCGTTTGGGCCCTATAGAACTCTCTTATACTTTCTAACTTATGCTAATATCCACGCGCCCTAATCAAAGCGTTCAATAGTCTGTAGTTTGGTTTCTTTGGATCTAGGAGTCACAATCATTATTTATCTCATATCTGCGATCTACAGTTTTTCCGCGGCGATGAATAGCGTTGAAGTATTTTGTGGAGGTCGTGAGCCGAACGTCATCTCAGATCTTAGTTTGGGATCAGTGTCTTTCATAACGGTGGCATTCATCGTTTTAGGCAGATATTTTGCTTTAAAACGGCGACTAAAGTAACGGCGAGCAAGGTAGCCTGTTCCAGGCAATCAGTCAAAACAGCACGATTTTGTGGCGGAGGAGTGAAAAAGCGAGGGAGGCTTGGGTCTAGTTGGGGTCAGCAACTGTCTCGACCCAAGCCTCCGTTGTTTTCACGATCGGCCGCAACTAAATATATTGCGCCGTTTACTATCGTTTTACCAACTGAACGCTCGAAACATGCTACGACAAAGGTATTACCAGATGGTTACTTCAAAAAGGGTTGTGTTGCTATTAATTTCTTAATTATTCGCCGCATTCGCATTCGCCGTTGGGGTGTTTGTTACTCGACGCAAAAATCCGTTCTACGAAAAGAAACGACACTGGAAAACAGTTTGATTGGTTTAGAGTACATGTTTCGAGAGCCGATACTACTATCCATTGGGTTTGTCCACTCAGTGAATGGAACCCTCTCGAAAATGGCTTCTGAAGACTGAAAGCACTCAACACAATTACACAGGACATTTATTTTAGCTCTAAAAAATCGAAAAATCAAGTATTTGGTTATCTAACAAAATTTCATTTAATAAATAGTCGTAATTGTAATGTTAACGATCGAGAGCATGGCTTCGTGTATACACCCGATTGCAAAAACGTTGACAGCCTAAAAATACTTTAGACGATGGGATCCGTTGGCCTTATGGGTGAACGTGTACATGGTAATCACAGTCGTGTGTGATCAATAATGCAAGCTGTCCACCTTTCCTAAAAGAAAAGAACTATCTTATAAAAGATTTGACACGAAAAAAGAGGGAGAAGTAAATCACCGATGATGTGGCTATACCAACACCACACAGAAACTTTTGAGTCCTCATCGTTAATAGTTCACGTTTTGTTAAGTGACTACATTTTGGCAACCGAATGTGTGTTACGCCTACAGTCCTACAACTGACTTAAAATATTGACATAAATCTACCATATATATGAAAATTAATCCTTCCTTCGATGATATTTTCTAATTTTCACTGCAAGGATTATTGTTCCATAGCCATGATCTATCAAATCAGCAAGGTTCGAGTTGACGTTAGCCATTTTACTTTCAAGATCTAAACATCAATTCTCCTTAATGTTTTCCACTCGTTTCTCATGATTAAAATTTGAGAATTTGGCGTGAAATCAAACAATATTCTATGGTTGATATTCATCTTACTTCTCACCTCCTTTCTGTTTAAGGATGTTTTGAAACTTGGATGAGAAAGTTATTTTTGGTAACTCCAGAGATTAAAGCACCACTGGGAAATTAACTTACTTTAAAGGCGTCTTGATCTCTAATACATGAAGTAGACTGACATCACCGTGAACGGCCCCGAAGCCCGGAGCTCATGCCGATCAGATTGCTTTCAAAAACATCTTCAATTTCTTTATATAAAGGTTTTTGAAATGCGTGACATAGACTGACAACAACGGGATCAGTGATCTTACGTCCATCCAGATTAAGTTTGGTTACTTTACGTGATGGTGTCTGCTTGCTTGACACAGACTGAAAGCACCGGCATCGGTGATCAGATTATCATTCAGATCAAGTGTGGTAACTTTACATGTTGGTCTCTGTATTGCTAGACATAGACTGCCAACACCGAAATCGGTGTTGTGACTTTACATGTTGGCGTCTGTATTGCTTGACATAGACTGGCAACACCGGCTCGGTGATCTGATTGTAACTTAGATAAAGTTCGGTGACTTTACATGTTGGCGCCTGCATTGCTTGACATAGACTGGCAACACCGGCATCGGTGATCTGATTGTAACTTAGATAAAGTTCGGTGACTTTACACGTTGGCGTCTGTATTACTTGACATAGACTGGCAACAGCGGCAGCGGTGATCTGATTGTAACTTAGATGAAGTTCGGTGACGTTACATGTTGGCGTCTGTATTGCTTGACATAGACTGACCACACCGGCATCGGTGATCCAGTTATCACACAAATTAATAAGTGCGGTGACTTTACATGTTGGTGTCTGTAATGCTTGACGTAGACTAACCACACCGGCATCGGTGATCTGATTACCACGCAGATTAAGTGCGGTGACTTTACATGTTGGTGTCTGTAATACTTGACATAAAGTGTCCACAGCGGCATCCGTGATCTGATTACTTACAAGGGCCAGGGAAGATAAGAAATTTAGTAATCCGAACTCCACCATGCAAGAAATCCCGTCGTCACAAACACTGCATAGATCTAATCATAATTTAGTAATAGGAGAAGAGTGGTTAGCCAAGAATTCGACGAATCGTTTCAGTCCAGGCAATGATAGATTTGGATCAGGATAAATAGCTTTATGACATTTAATGAGTGATAAATATTTTTTTGATGTTTTCCTGTGTCATTTTCGTCGTTTATTGCGCTGAAAACATCCAAGAGGAAGGTTACGGCGAAATAGTCAACATCGTTCAGAGGAAAAAAATGCAATTCCTCCGGAAAATGTACAGCTTTGAAGATGACCATTTCGTACAAAATTTTGGGCAAACTCTTTGTCTTGATATTCAGCAAGACATTGTGCTATAAAAAGAGGAATGCGTGCGTCTTTCTTTACGTCTTTAACAAGTCCCTCGAGAATTTTTTCCATGAATACCTGGTCGTTTTGCTCTGATAAGATGCCTGCCATAAATCTCATAACCATTTTAGATGTATTGCCTCTGCAAGGAACCTCTTTCCTCTTGACAAACCAGCGAGCCGCTAAGTATTCTTGGAGGTTCCCCTGGATAAAGCAGAAATGCTTTGTTGATTGAGAAAAGCATGTCCTAAACGAAGGACCACAATGAAGAAGCCCACTTGCTATGGTGTACTCAATTTCTTCTGAAGAAAAATTTCTCATGTCGTGGTCGACAAAAAGAAACTTTTTCTCCAGCAGTGGAGTAACAACCCCCACCTCCCCTCCCACCTCCCCTCCCCGGTGGAACTTGTTATTTACTTTTATGTGTTGTGTGGAACACTTGATTTCATAGGAAAAGGGGGGAGTGGAGTGGAGAGGATTGAGATTGAGCTGACAAGAAAGGATCTTTCTTCCTTAGGTCTGTGTAGTGTTTCTGACAGCTGCCAATCATAATGTTCGGAATGCACACGCGGTCCTTATGAAGAGAAGTCATTTTTTCTGTAGTCGGGTTTCGTCTCACAGGTTGATTAAAATATCGTTGTGTTTCTACCGAACGTCTCAGTGGTTATTCAGCCGTAAACACCACATCTGGCGACGAGGATTATTCATAGAACACACACACAACAAAACCAAAAGGATTTAACGGGATTTCCGAAGTGATTTTCACAAAAAAATCCAAAGCGATCTCCGAAGCATTTTCCCGCGTAAACATCATGGCCATTTCTCTACCAAACTTTCCACCGTTTGAAGTTCACCTCGATGGAAATGCAGGCCCAAGATGGAAGAAATGGTTAGGAAGATTCGAGAGACTAACTACTGGAATGGGAATCTCCGATGATACGCAGAAGAGAGCCCTTTTGCTGCATTACGGCGGTCCAGAAGTCGACGAGATCTTCGACACGCTTCAAGACGTCGGTGGAGACAAAGATTACAAAAAGGCCGTCGAGAAACTAACTGCTCACTTCTCTCCGCAAGTCAACGTAACGTACGAAGTGTACAATTTCCGGCAAGCCAAGCAAAAAGACGGAGAAAACCTTGACTGTTTTCACACACGCTTGAGAAGCCTAGCGAAGACCTGCGATTTCACAAATCCAGACAAAGAAATCAAAGAACAGATTATCTTGAACTGTAAATCGAATTCCCTGCGGCGCAAAGCTCTGCGAGAAGACCTCGACTTAGCCGGCCTCATGAAAGCTGGTAGAGCCTTAGAATTAAGCGAAATACAAGCAAAGGAGTTAGAAAATCACGAACAAACCGTAAACGCGGTAAAGTTTAAGAAGAGAGGAATCTCGACATATCTCAAAGGGAAACAGCGCCATCAACAACCTCGCCAGGAGTCACGCACTCGCTACGAGTCACGCAATCACAGCAACTCCCGAAAAGAGAATATTAAATGTAGGAACTGTGGCGGACCATACCCTCACAAAGACTCCTGCCCCGCGAGGAACAAGAAGTGCACCTCCTGTGGCAAACTAAACCATTTTGCTCGTGTTTGTAGAACAAATCCACCTGAGTCAGCAAAACACGTCTCACATGAAGACACGGCCGAAAATGACGAATACGTATACACTATAGGCGGTGACAAGCAACCAACTTGCCACGTCGGGATCGATGGAAAGCAAATCGAAATGATGGTCGACTCCGGTGCATCGGTCGATCTCATAGACGAACGCACCTTCAGGGAGTTATACCAACGGACGGTACCAGAAGCCTCCAAGCGCAGAATTTTCTCCTACGGATCATCCACACCCCTACCTGTTCTGGGAACCATCGAAGCCGAAATATTCGTCAACGCCAGCAGCACATGGACAACCTTGCACGTCATCAAAGGTGCTTCAGGAAACCACCTGGGTTTTAACACTGCTACGAAACTTGGTGTGCTCAAGATCATCAATCAAGTCAAACCTGACGAGACCAGTCCCCAGTCCCCCACTAACGGAGATTTGGAGAGCCTGTTCGGTGGAATCGGCAAAGTGCGAGGGAAAGTCATCAAGCTTCACATAGACACTAACGTTGCACCCAAACAACAACCACACCGTCGGATACCCTTCCATGTCAGAAAGGATGTCGAAATGGAGTTAAAGCGATTAGAAGAGCTAGACATCATCGAGACTGTAACGGGCCCAACACCCTGGGTGAGCCCTATTGTCATAGTCCCCAAGAGCTCTGGTGAAGCGAGAATATGTGTGGACATGCGAGAGGCCAACAAGGCTGTTAAACGAGAAAAACACCTGATGCCGACCATAGACGATCTGGTTGCTGACCTCAACGGAGCGACAGTCTTCAGCAAGTTAGACCTTTCGTCTGGATACCACCAACTGGAGCTGGCCCCAGAGAGCCGCTACATTACCACATTCAGCACACACGTCGGACTCCGAAGATACAAGCGCCTCATGTTTGGAATTAACGCAGCATCCGAGATCTTTCAGAACGCAATCGAAGAAATACTCACAGGCCTCCCTGGATGCAAGAATATGTCCGACGACATTATCGTTTATGGAAAAACTCAGAAGAAACACGATGAGAACCTCCGTGGTGTACTGGAACGGCTGAAACAACATGGCGTACGCCTGAACAAGGAGAAATGTTCCTTTTCAAGGAGTGAGATTAAGTTCTACGGACAGATTTTCAGCAAGAATGGAGTCAAGGCAGACCCTGCCAAGATCAAAGCGATCACTGACATGAACAAGCCAGAAAGCATCGGCGAGGTGAAGTCTCTGCTGGGAATGGCTCAATATGTGTCTCGTTACATTCCAAACTACGCTACGATAACTGCTCCCCTACGACTGTTAACCAAGAAGGACAAGTCATGGCAGTGGGCCGACGAACAGCAACGTGCATTCGACAAGCTGAAAGACAGCCTGACCAAGAATCACGTGATGTCGTACTTCAATCCAAGACTCAAGAGTGAAGTGATAGTCGACGCGAGCCCTGTCGGACTTGGAGGATTGTTGGTACAGGATGGTAAAGTTATCAGTTACGCTAGCCGAGCACTCAGTGACGTCGAGAGCAGATACTCTCAAACGGAGAGGGAGATGCTAGGAGTAGTCTGGGCAGTCGAACATTTCCATCTTTATTTGTATGGATCAGAGTTCACCATTGCCACAGACCACAAACCACTCCTAGGTATCTTTAACAGTCACAAGCCAACGTCAGCGCGCATCGACAGATGGAAGCTGAGGCTCATGCCTTACAACTGTCAACTCACCTATCGACCTGGCAAGGACGCAGAGAATCCAGCCGATTTTATGAGCCGCCATCCAAGTAACATAGAAAGCAAGGAGAGCAGCATTGCAGAAGACTACGTGAACTATGTATGCAACCAGGCAGTGCCAAAAGCAATGACGCTGCAAGAAATCAAGTTAGAGTCGGAGAAGGACGTTTCGCTCCAAGCACTTATCAAGGCCATCGAGACTGACAATTGGACACATCCCGAAGTACAGGAGTACAGAAATGTGAAGGACGAACTGTCGGCCTACCAAGGAATTGTACTGAGAGGAAACAGGATTGTAGTCCCAAAAGTACTGAGAGGCAGAGCTGTAGACCTAGCACACGTTGGACACCAAGGAATGGTAAAAACAAAACGCCTCATCAGAGAGAAGGTGTGGTTTCCTGGTGTAGACAAGATGGTTAAGGAAAAAGTCGACAGCTGTTTACCATGCCAAGCAACAACTACTAGTAAGGCAGAACGACTCGAACCTCTAAAGATGACACCGCTACCAAACGCCCCTGGAAAGAACTTGCGATGGACTTTCTTGGACCACTCCCTTCAGGAGAGTACCTCATGGTCGTCATAGACGAGTACAGCCGTTTCCCAGAAGTTGAAATCGTCACATCCACTTCTGCTAGATCCACCATCCCGAAGCTTGACTCAATCTTCGCTCGACAAGGAATTCCTGATGTCTTAAAGAGTGACAGCGGACCCCCCTTCAATGGCGCGGAGTTCAAGAACTTTGCTGAGCATCTGGGTTTTCACCACCGCAAAATCACGCCTCTCTGGCCAAGAGCTAATGGCGAAGCGGAACGTTTCATGAAGACACTAGGGAAGTGCGTGAGAGCCGCTACCGTTGAGCACAAGAGCTGGAAACAAGAACTCTACAAGTTTCTACGACAGTATCGGGCGACACCTCATTCGACCACTGAAATTTCGCCGTGCGAAGCACTTAACCACAGGAAGCTCAAGACTACGCTACCAGAAGTGACACCACCAGTTCTTGAGAAACAGAAGAGCATGACAGATAGGGATGCAGAACAGAAGTTGAAGATGAAAGCATATGCAGACCATAAGTTAGGAGTGAGAGAGAGCAAGATCAAGCTAGGAGACACAGTCCTTATTAAGCAACCAAAGCGCAACAAGCTAAGCTCCCCGTTCAGTCCAATATCTCTCGTGGTTGAAGAAAAGAAAGGATCTATGGTTACAGCAAGCAATGGGAATAAAACTATCACGCGGAACTCATCCATGTTCAAAGTTGTCCCGAACCACATAAGGCATGCTGAAAAGATAACACAAGGGCAGGCAGACGAAGATCTAACAGCAGAGCCTTGGCCACCAGAAGTTTCAGAACAAGACAAGTCATCAAGTTCTCCAAGCCCAATTACACCCTTGCGGCGATCTCAGAGGCAAACAAGGCTCCCTGCAAAACTGAAAGACTTTGTCCTACTTGTGCAATAGAACCAGACACTCGAAGCTTGCAGTTGAACTTTGTGACAAGCTAAACACGTTCCAGTTTATCGTTCTTAATCATTAGAGTTCAGTTGTTTAAGTCGATCTTTTCCAGACATACATGTATTCAAGTTTACAATCAAGAAGGGGAGAGATGTAGTGTTTCTGACAGCTGCCAATCATAATGTTCGGAATGCACACGCGGTCCTTATGAAGAGAAGTCATTTTTTCTGTAGTCGGGTTTCGTCTCACAGGTTGATTAAAATATCGTTGTGTTTCTACCGAACGTCTCAGTGGTTATTCAGCCGTAAACACCACAGTCTGCTTGATTAAAAAATTCAAAGAAGACATTAAATGAATCAGCATTTCTTGCTGTCGAGGGATTTTTCCCGGTTTCTGCTTTCGATATCATACTTAGCTAGCTTTTTTCAACTGTAACGTCTGAGACACGCGGTTCAAAAAATTGGGGTTGAAAGCAAGATTAACAGTGGATAAATAAGTAAATAACTGATAGAGCAGTAAAGGAATAGATAGATAAATAAATGGATATATGAATGAAGAGATGAAGGAATTAAAAAACAAAACAAAATAAAACAAATATATGTGTAAACAGATGAGTAAAGTGATCCAAAGATGAAGTTCAAGGCGAGGGAATATCTCGTGGACACAAGTTTAGTTGATCTGTAAGGAGTGAAGCTCAGGGAATTCATTTCTAAGGCGACACCTTTGATAGCAGCCAGAGTTAATCTGAGCTGTTCTATTCGTTACTGAGTGAACTTAAAATCTTTCCAGGATAAACTATATTACCTCAAATCGAACCGAAAATCAGGTATAAGTAGTTGTGATCTCTCACTCAGTGGGAAATCATCTGGATGTAAGATAAATCCCGGACTCGTGAGTCAGTTGGGTTAACCTTATTATTATACAGTTTTTCATATGGTGAATTTCGATCGCAAATTTAAATTTTAGCGCCATTTAACATTTGCGGTTCCCATCTGATGTAGCAATTAATTATAGCCGCAGGAAACTACAGCAGTCACATATATTATATTCAGATAATTCTCATCCGAGTAGCGTCTCGAATTATTTGATGAATATTTCCTAATCACTCGTGACATTAAAAACTAGTTATTTTAAGCCTGACTTGCTGCGAAACAATAAGGTGAACAGATAATTTTGCAATTAATTTGAAAAAAAGATATGGCCAAGGTATAATCATAACAAAAAAATGAAATTTGAATTTCGCGAATTATTTCACAATGTTAGAAATTTCCAAAATGTCGTGCCTCTTAGAATGCATGTGCCAAAAGGATCGTGAGCATGAAACAAGACTCAGTGTAAATATTTTAGTTTTATTGCGTCAAATCAACACTGATCATGTGTTTAATTTGATTGAAAGTCAATGTTACGACCATCAGTACACGTTTTTATCTAGTTTTTTTGCTTGGGAACCATTGATATGAAATGTTCTTAATGCTTTTATCAATAGTCTTGTTAAGGTAATTTATATTTACATTGTTTTGTACGTGATCAGGAATCTTTGGATTTTGCCTAAAAGTGGGAAAAGCGTAGTATTTGTTTCGTGTTTCAGAGATTTTTCCGGTCAAATGAAATTAAAAATGATCTCGAGGAAAATGTAAACGGGTCAAGATTTTTAAAGGAAAGAAGGAAATTATAACACGAAAGAGGGAAGAAAAAAACGAAGAAATATGAGCAAAATTATTGAATTTTCCGGGTTTTTTTATTGACTAAATTTTGTAACAAGAAAATGACAGAGGAATTCATTATAGCTAGGAAAACGTGCGGCGAGAAAGGAAGTTCTGCTGAAAATGAAGATTTATCATAAAGGTTGATATTATGATGTCGGTAGCGTGCATTTACGGCATTTTCATTTTATCATAGAGGAAAACGTGCGGCGAGAAAGGAAGTTTTGAAAAAATCTTGTTGAGAAGGACATGCATTTACGGCATTTTCAAATCTTGTTGAGAAGGACATTCTGTACTTGTGAAAATTAAATTAGAGTTTTATTGATTAGTTTGGAGCAGAATAAAGGCTAAGCAGTTTAATTCAAGGGAAAAAAAAGCGAGAAGGGATAGTAAAACAAAAGTAGAAATAAACAAACAAAAGGACGTCGTTGTTATACGAGCAATTTCCTGTAAGTATTATTTTCCGGCTGTCATGAAGTAATACTTCCGATCAGGTCATTATGCAATATTTACGATTTATCACTGATCCCTTTTATGTTTCCAGCAATTCCAAAGAGTTCAACGAAGAAACGTTCAAGTTAGGCTGATCATTTTGAAAAAATAAATTTTGGTGTGTCAATCACTCTAATGCATATATAGTACGTTATTAGTCATATGAATAATTTTTTTTAAAAAACATGATTTTTTAGGAGGTTTAATTGAGATGATAGTTCAGTAGCAACTGCTAAGAAATTATTTAAATCATTCATAAAAAAAAAACACGTTTCTTTTATCTTCAGTCACGTCTTAAAACGCATCACGAAGTTCTAGATGTCCTAAATTTAAATCTCAAATTAAAGAATGACCCGACCTTTTGTGTAAACAAAATTCTTTATTCTCATCACGCAGTACCCAAACGATTCAATTTGCTTTCGGTACTATTTATGTTAATCTGACTTGACATTCTCTCGAATACAAATAATGTTTTATCAAGTGTTTGCCTCACATCGGAAGGACATTGATGTATGACAAGATGAAAGTGTGGGTACAACACAGCTGTATAGCTTCACATCACATAAAGCGAATCAAATATAATTGATTTGATCACATTGGTCAGAGGTAGTGGTTTGTAACTCGCCAGGTACGTAAGAGGTAAAAAACCTTAACTAATGGCGAACAATTCCTTGGGCAACACAGATGGGCCACTCTTTACTAATTCCTCAGCTGTAGCAAGAAAAACCTGCTATTACCTGGATCGGTTTCAGATTTTCCATAGCGGTCCGCCAACAAAGGAATACATCGTTAACTGTACGCTTAACGCAGTATTAGCAGTTCTGGCCATTCTTGGAAATGGACTCGTCCTTCAAGCGCTCCGAAGATCTGCCGCGCTTAGACCAGCTTCCAGAGCTTTGGTTTACAGCCTTGCCGCCTCCGATCTCCTTGTTGGATTGACAGTTCAACCTTTCTATGTGTTGTACAAAACGGCTGAAATATTGAACATGCATCAGTTGTACTGCGTCACAGGAATTGGATTCCATTTGTCAGCGAACGTTTTCTCTGCCGTTTCGTTTCTGACGGTGACAGCCATAGCCACAGATCGCCTTCTGGCTCTTCACCTTGGGTCCAGATATCAAAGAACCGTAACGCTTCCAAGGGTGGTAACGGTCATTGTCACTATGTGGGTGCTAACTGGTTTGTGGATTTTCAACTGGGTATGGGATATCAAAATATATCGAAAGTTTAATATAATCGTTGTTACGATATGTTTGGTTTTCTGTACAAGTGCGTATGCCCGACTCGGATACAGGCTTCGCCAGTTGAGAGTTCGCACCATGTTACGATGGCGGGACGCCGAATCAACAACGAACCAAGAAGAAAGAAGCAGCTCGAGTGGTTCAAAATCGAAACTACGATTTGGAGCATACAAAAGATCTGTGGCTAACATGTTTTATGTTTATGTTTTAATGCTTATTTGCTATGTTCCATACCTGGCCATGTTCGTAGTCATACAAACGACGACCGTAACCAAAGCGAAAATTGTCACTCTAAGTTATACCATGACTTTGTTGTTCGCCAATTCGGCTTTCAACCCGTTTCTTTACTGCTGGCGGATACAAGAGATTAGATCGGAGGTAATTTTAATTCTCGCAAAATTTTCTTGCAAGAGCAATTGAAAATAAAAGTGCAAATTTCTGTTTGATTACGAAACGTAATGTAATGCATATCGACCATGACTAATAACCTTTATATGGTTTTAAGCACTACATGCTTTGAAATTAGATTCAAATTGTTACTCGGCGAGAACGGAAGCGGATAAATTTTTTTTTCTATTTGTTAAGCTGACAATGCCAAACATAGCTGAGAAATTTGACTTGAAAAGAGAGTGACATCGAATAGAGGCTTTCTTTTCGTGAATCAATATTTGCATATCGAGGAAATTTTTGACGTATTCACCGATGTTTTAAGTATTTAATGTGTTCAAATGTGCCCTAAGAATACGGCCGCGCCGTATGATTGGGCTAAGGCCTCTTAAAGAACGGCGAATTACTGTGGTATGCTTCATAGCTTAATCAGGTTAGAATAACTGATTAATTTTTGAAAGGTAAAAGGAGCTGTGATACTGCTATACTATCGATCACAAAAATACTATGGTCTGAAGCGAGATTGTCTAACCTTATGCAAATTTTTTCTCCGAATGACACGAAATTAAACGCGAATGAAACAAAGGGCCTCTTATAACTTTGAAATTACTGAGTGATTTTTTCGCCAATATGAGAAAGGAGAAAACTTATGAAGGAAAGCCGTTTCAACTAACGGAAATTTTTTTTAGGTAGCCAAGCATGTAACTAAACGTAGAGAATATAATGAGGCTTCTGGCATACGTTAAATGTGCAGGTATAATATATGATATATTTACATAAAACTGAATATCATAATGGAAAACTGGCCATTGCAAGTTCTGTTCTTAATGACTCAGCTTCAAGGCCTGACATTTCTCGTTATTTTGAGTAACAAATAACTTTGCAAGTTACAAGTGGCATCCTCTTTAATGTTGTTTCAAAGGTTCTATGGGCATCAAGGAATTTAAATTTGAGTTATAATCCACGTGAAATTGTACCATCATTACATTTGCAATAATTTCAACTTAATGATACAAAACACACGGCTGATGAGATGCCGCGATGCTACTGTGCACGATTTTCTTCAGATGGACGTGCTATAGTTTAATTGTCGTTAACGAACACTTAAATAAGTTTGTAGGAGATAATATTACCTTGTATAAAAGATATCGAAGTTTACAGTTGAACCTAAACGGGATAGATTAGATTCTAAGTTTTTAAACCTTGCGTAATAGGAAAATATTGTACAGACGTTTAATAAAGAGGTAAAATGGTTATATAGGTGGTCATGCATTTATTACTTCCTATATTTGAAGATAGCGATTCACGAAGTAATCTGAATATTTCCCTGAATCTTTGTCAGCACTGATAACAAAAAAAATCTATAAATTTACTCGGCAACACATGTTTAAAGGATGCCCATCATTTTAAAAACAGTGAAGAGAGTTACCCGACCAAAGAATTCTTTAAAGGCAGTTACATCTATTGCATAAGAAGAATTTTTTTGCCTCGTTAGAAAAAAAAAGAAACAAGCAAACACATAAAAAAATAAACAAAACAAACGAAGAAATAAAAACAAACATAGAAACGAAAAAATTTAAATAAAAAATTGAACAGAAATAAATACAATATCCCTGCTGAGGAAATATAGTCCGTGGTGTGTTGAAGATAAAACGCATAGAGCAAACAAGAGATTAAGCTATCTTCGATTCGCTGCCGCTGGGGAGCATACGGCGTCGACTATGGATATCTGCTGGACCTTGTTTTTGACTGTTCTTTTTGCCTCTCTCGAGGCGACTTTATTCTTGTCGAGCTTTCTTGGACAGTGCGCCTTCGAGACTGCCTTGGATGTGCACGGTAACTGATTCGTTTTTGCGGCATATTACTAAAAGTGACAGAGTTCTCTGTCTGTAAAGATTAACTCTTTCATTTCTGGGGAAACTATAGAGACCTATTTCTTTTCCTGAGAAGCCTCTTATATTTAGTCGGGTATTTGGCGTTATTGCATTTTATTACGATGATCAGTTATTGAGTTCAGTTAATTTCCTCAACTCAAGAACCTTTATATTGCCTTCGTTTACTTAAAAAAGCCTGGAGATAATTCAAGGAAAAAAGTTTCGTTTCTCGTATGAGTGAAAAGTCACTTTTCTTTCTTTGTTATTGTATCGCATATTTTCTGGACCTATGGGATCTTCCTCGAGGAATAGGAGGTGAAAAGTACTCTAAAGGACGAAGCGAGACATATCGCTTAGCATTGTAAAGCAAACCACTATAATTGCAAATGTCAATCTTTGCGGATATCTGAAGAGTTTTCTTAACTGGTGCATCCTGCTTGGTTTAATGAAAAAAGTGTATGAGGTAGCGATAGTTCCTTGTGTGATTATGAAATCACCTTCTTAGTATCACGGCTTAGTATCGCGGTTAGCTCTCGATCTGTGCTCCTTCTCTTCGATAGTTTTGAAAAGGAACATTTTGGAGGTTAGTGAACATGTTTATCAAAAATAATTTCTTTGAATGAGAAAGACTAAGAAAGACAACTGTTTTCATACTTTTAGGAATTTTACAAAACTGAACTACACTTTTGATAAAAATAATGGAGTACGTTACTTTTCCCACTTTCAAACTGTGAATTGGGCAACCTAGCCAGCTGCACCACATAGGGTGGCCTTCATCATATTCCTTTTAATATAATTCAATAAGTTCAATAGATTTCTTATCCCAAAGCAAAAAAAAGAACGGAAACAGAAAACGTTGTACTGATACTGATAACTGTCCTAACAAACGTTTGCACGTTCTTACCATCATGTAAGAAGATCTAAGTTCTCATTAGGTTGTTCATATGGAAATTTTCAGACTGAGAAACACTGCATCATGTGGTATTACACAGAGTCAAAAGCCACTATGATCGGCCTGGCTACAATGTTCTCTATACTCACTGCCATGGACATCATTGGCAACGTGATTGTTTGTGTGCTGATCGTTAAATTCAAAGATATGAGGTGAGTCAGACGCCACTTGCAATGGTGAAGGATTTCATGTGGGACACTTGAAGGCTGAAATGAAGGTGACTGGAAATTTCATGCATAACCAGATGTGACAGGCGGAAGAAAAGGAAAAAAAATTAGTCCTTTAAGCCTTTTTTACCTAATCATTGTTTTCTTTTTCATTTGTTTCGATTTTATGGCTTTTTTTATCATTATCAACCATTAACCGAGGCATGGGGGAGGGGAGGGGGTACTTAGTCATCCGCTAATCGACAATACAGGATCTTTGCAAATATAAGCCTGAGGTTAAAAAGGGCTTATGTCACATCTTTACGTTAAGAAATCAAAATAGCATTTAGACAATAAAAATTTTATCAACTTTGATTCAATTTTTGTCAGAATTCCAATGAATTATCTAATCCTGAACCTGGCTGTAGCAGACATTTTGGTCGCCCTTTTCGTCGTTCCTCGGTTTGTACTCTTTAATGCTTACATACTCCCTGATGGAATGACTGGTACAGTTATCTGTAAGCTGCTGACCGGTGGTAATTTATCTTGGATTGGAGCAGTTGCTTCTGCATTTACACTGGCTGTTGTAGCTTTAGAGAGATACTACGCAATCATGAACCCACAAGGCACACAATTGACAGCTGCGAAGGTAGAGGTAAGGAAAATGCTAAATCAAAAAACAGAGAGGCCGAAAAAGAAAATAAAACAAACAATAATTGAGTAAAAGCAGAGACAATTCATACACTCAACGCGAAAAGATATCAGTAGCACTGGGGTGTCCAAATTACATTAACCTTTGCAGATCCATATTTTCAATCGTTTCCAAACTCGTATGTGTGATTTGGTGATATAGCAGATATGAGTAAGGTAGCAGAATTATTAATCACACAAATCGGCGAAACTGCAGCTTCCAATTTTTGTTTGTCAATCAGAGATTTTGAGACCCAGCCGCCATCTCGCCTTTGGCAAATTTTTATATTCGTGTTAGTTTAATTTCTCACTCCATCGCTCATTACATTCTTGCAGATCATTGTTCCAGTAATTTGGCTATTAGCAATCCTCTTCAATTTGCCTCTGCTGTTAACCGACCGGTATAGCACAAAGCACAAGACTTGTATGGAGAACTGGCCAGAGGAATGGATGGCAAAGTCCAGCAGCTTGATATGGCTTGTGGTGACCGGCTATCTTCCCATATTCCTGATGATCGGACTGTACGCAAGAGTCGTGTATCAGCTTTGGTTTCTTGATGAGGATGATGGCGACAGCACTCGACAGGCAAGCATGGGGTTCTTTGAATGTTTTTTGTTTCCGTAGACTAACTCAAAATTAAGCGAGAGACTATACTTTTTTTTTTTTTGTTCACTGATTAACTAACTAGCCCTATTGAAAAAGCAAAATTTTTGAAGGCAATCACAGCATTACCAAACTTTTTCTGTGTTGTTATTGCTGAAGCGAAATTAGGCCACTTCCTCAAGAATCAGCGTCATTCCAGTATGTTATGTCCTTCTCCTAAACAAAAGAGACAGGAATTCTATCTTTTATAAATACTCCGTTCATTACAGACACGGTTTAATTGAAAAATCTAACTCTCTCTTTCTTTTAAAGCTCGAGGGTCGTTGGACAAACATAACCTAGGAATTGGCAAGCTTGCATAGGGATATAGATCAAGAACAGCAAATGCTTTGAGAGAGGCTTTCAATGTTAGCAATTTCTTTCATAACCATTTCGTCAATTTCATAATTTTAGGGAGTGCTGAGGATTCGAAGAAGAATCACCAAAATGGTTTTCACAGTTAGCGTGGTCTTTGCCGCTTGCCGGATTCCTGCCCAAACGATGTACGTCATCAGCTACTTCAGTCGCACCCAGTACCACAGCGATTTACTGCATATCATATCCGTTGCTGAGGTGACTGCCAACTCCGCCATTAACCCATTCATATATGCCATCGTTAATCATCGCTTTAGACAGCACATCAAGGAACTGATATGCTGCCCTGGTTTGTGCAAAACAAAGGTGGATGCCTTTATCCCAGGTCAGGATAGCACCCAAGATGCCACTTACACTACGGAGGTAGTACAGTTGCAACAAACATAGCAAGAAGAAGCTCCAAGATGTGATTAATCTAGATAATGAGCTTGTTATTATTGCCACCATAATTGCCATCTTGTAATGAGTTTCGCGAGAATGTCGTAATGTCGAAGTTTTAGAAAATTTTGTAGTTTTAGGAAATTATCAGAGAGGTCAATCATGACATGCACAGGAACTGGCCAAATTTAACAGAACTTGTCATTATTTGTTCACAACTTGTGATTCTTTGTTTAAGTGTTTTATCTACATTTGGAACATTTATAGTTTCTTCTCGTTTGACTTACGAGTCGTAGAAAAAGTCCATGATTGTTGACCTCATCTGATAGCTTACGCTTTGCATTTTAGTATTTTCACAACGTTAGGTCCATGGCGCATTACCGTCCCATAGAAATCCCTTTATATGGTTTCTTTTTCTTTTCATGGATTCCGGGTGGTATTCAGTTTATGTTAATCACAAATTTAGGAACATGTTGTTGCAGAGTACATGTTCCTGCACGACATAGTATGGTATCGTCATAAAGGTACAAAACTGTGTTAGCCGTCCAACTGTTATCTCCTTGTATTTATTTTTACCGAAAATCATGGTTAAGGTTCGCTTTGTTGCTTCTAATTTTCTCTTGCGTTTTATTTTATGTTCCTTTTAAGTTACTTAAAAATATGTCTTTGTTTACTGTTAAAAGTGGGACAGGCTCGATCAATTTTCCTTCAATTAATTAAGTAAGAAACCTTTATTTCCATAGAGTAGCTCCTTCAGTTTTTGCACGAGATAAAAACTGCTATCCATAGAAGCCCAACATATATGATAAACTAAGTTGATTAGAAATAATAGTGATACACAAGTACATTCAAAAAAATCTATAAAATGTTATCCAAAGGACCTAAAAATCAATTTACAATTAAAATCTTAAAAATCTTAAAATCTGATTAAAAATTACACAGCCATGATAAAAGGGCCTTTTTTGTACATTCTAACTTTATAGACAGAAGTCTAGGTTTACTGCTACTTCTTGTTGCTCTAGGTAATACATCTTTGTTATAATTAAAGTAGTGCATAAAGAACTGTTGACAACGGTTGCTTAAGCATTTCATGACTAAATTGCGTATATGGCTCTCACGCTTTTTCTCCAGGGTTTCGTAACCTAAGAAATTTAGCGCCTTTTCGCTGCTCCCCAGACACATAGTGTCTCCTTACAGTTATTCCAGTAAGTTAAGTTTTATGTAGTGCTGATTGATTACGCAACCCACAATTGCTTAATTTCTAGAAGTCGGTCCCACCTAATGGGAAATCTGAAGGAATGCTGCTATCGTCTTGTGTTCTTTCGTTAGTTCGTTGCAGCTGAGATGTTCCTCACCTGGATGAACCTTGTTCCTTTGGAAGACATTACGGTGTAACATGGCCTTGATCTTCTGGTTGAATCTTTTGTTGGTCAGAGCATACACAAAGGGGTTGAGAGCAGAGTTGGAAAGGATCATTATAGCGCCGATAGCAAAACTTACATCACTGTAAGGTGAAGTGACGTGATGCAGGAAAAAGATGGTCGAGTCTGTGATCCAACAGATTCCAAAACTGGCACTGACAATTGTCACCGTTAAAGTGACCCGCCTTCGTACTTTCATGACACCCTTTATAAAGAAAAGTTTAAAAAGATAACTCAATACTTCTTAGAGTTGCGAGCAGCTATGCTGTCATTTGCTGTGTGAAAACAACCAAACAAACAAAGCAAACAAACAAAGAAACCACGCTACATGGGCATCGTCACTTTTTAAGAATCTTTTATTGCCTAGTGAGGGTCCCCAATAAGGTTCATCAATCCTGCGATCCCAACTAAAATTTTCTCTCAATCCCGTAATCCCGAAGGTTTATACCGGCCAATCCCGATCCCGATTGTCTTAGCCTATTTCCTATCCGGTGGGTGATGATTTTGTTAACCAGCACTGATCCGTTGAAGTCTATGGTCACCGTAAGGCGTGAGTTGATCTCTTTTCACCAAAATGATAATATCCTTCGTTTTAGAAGTTTTCAAAGTCTTGCACGAATGACGCACGCTGGTCACGGTAACGACCTCCTTTCATTAAATTTCGATCACGGACAAACGTATAGGTACAGGTAGATCAATATCAAAGAAACGAATAACAATTTCAACAAGTGCATTAAACACAAAAGGTCACGCAATCCCATAGTTCCATAACAACGAAGATAAAGAAAAATTAACTGAACACAATTCTGCTGTTGAAGCGAACAGTTCTTCTGAAGCGGGGACCTCTTCCGGGGTAAAAATCAGCCTCTCGCTCCAAAGATGGAATGTCATCATCATCACTCGGGGAATCGTACTCCAGTATTCCATCTTCCTCTTCGTCTTGTTTCCCGCTGTTTTCTTGCTGCTCCTTGAAGTTCGACCGCCTGAATTTCTCTTTGATAGAGGTACGGCGTGAAGTTCCAGTTCTTGCCATCGTTGTTTCCTGTCTGACAGAGAGCTGACGTACTGCTGCAACAAATGTTTACGCCCAGTACCTCCTCAGTCATCTTCTGTATGCTCTGTGGTGCCATCGGCACTGGTGGTAACGGTTGAATTGCTGGTATGGCTGACAGGATATGAAGAATTTAGATTCTGGATTCGTAAAATAGTACGCCGCCTAATGGATTATCTTCGTTAAGCCTTCTTTGGCTACATTTCCAAAGTTTCTTGGATAATCTTACACCGTGAAAAGTTTATCTTTGTGATGCACAACAAGGTGAATATTCTTCACATCTAGTGTCATGTAACTCAACAGGTTAAGAGAACCATATCGGTATAATTCTGATACTTGCTGGAGGTTTTTCAAGGCCGTTAAGCATTTCAATTGACGCAGCAGTCTTAGAAGCCACGTTACCCTATGGGCCACTGAGGATTTTTGATAAATTGGCAACTTCGCTTCTGATATAAGTTTCATTCCCGCGCAATAACTGAAGAGTGTCGCTGAGCAGCCCGATCTCCTCTTGAATGCTAGAGAGCCTGTATGCCTGGTGCTTTTCATGACCGACAAGATCAATTTGTGTTATATCCCGAATCCGATCAAAATCACCGAATACCGTGTCCCGTTCATAATAGCAATCCCGCATCTCGCTCACTTCTGGCTTAAAATTCTCGGATCTCAGCCTTTAAATAAGCCCAATCCCGGATCCCGAAAAACTTTTTGGAGACCCTCCTTAGAGTGGAGATTTGGCAAACACACTTTGGCAAAAAATGGATCCGTTTTTCTTATTAACACTTCTTTTATATACTTCTTACTAACTTCGTTTTTCGTTCCGTGTTGTAAGTTAGAGCGAGTTTTTCCCGCTCGGATATATGGCCCAAGCGCAAGGTGCGTGCGCCAAAAACCCGAGAGGAAAAACGAAATTCCATAATTTACAGTACGGACCGAGAAGACAAGGATAGTTAATTATTTATCATATCTTTGGAGAGTTCGAATAGAAGGCGAAGATTTCAATTCAAGCAAATTTTAATTTCGTTGGCTACACAGTGAAATAAGGCCTAATTAAGATTAACCAACCAATCAACCAACCAGAGTAATGTACCACAAACCGTTAAATTAAAAGAGTAATACAATCATCTCTTACTTGTTGTTGATGAGAGAGTTGAGTGTGATCATTTTTTCTGAACCACAAAGCGTACACCACTCGTGAATATAAGCCAGTCATTAATACCAAAGGAAGGGCGGCTAAGATTAAAAACAAGGTTATGCTGTATGCTATGCCCATCCACTTTGAGGGCCAAGATTCTTTGCAGTCGCGTATGGTGTTGTCAAAATCAACACTAAGAAACGTTGGTAGAATCATAATCACTGCAAAGATCCAACAGCTTGGAATAATTACCTATGCAGGGACGAAAAACGCACACAACTGATAAATGGAAACGAAAATTAAAGAATAAAGATATTATGCTTAAGAATCGAGCCACACCATCTTCATGCTCTTTACTCCAACCCCCTCTTTGCCTCCTTCTTTAGCAAAGATCATTTTGTCTGTGGTGACATCTTTGCCAGAGCTGCAGGTGGAACCGATTAAAACATCATGGCTGCATTATTTTTTTAATAACTTCATTAGCATTAAAGGAAACACTGACTTTAAAAAAAGAAAGAGAGACTTATTCCTAGACCCACCAAATTTCGGCAAAAATGCGACCAATGAAATTCCTCTGAGGTCACCTTAGATTCTCCGTCAAAATGCATTATATTCACCATTTTTTCCAGATATGAATGAGAGAAATTTATCCACCAGCTTTAATCGCTAAATTCTAGTCTATGTACATGCAAATCTCAGAAACATTTTTACCTTCAGGTTGTGATAGCTAAGCTTCCATCTATTTCCATAAGGATGCAATACTGCATGATAACGTTCGATGGATATCACCATCAAGGTAAAAACCGATGAAGCAGCTCCAACCCACGAGAAGTTTCCGCCTGTCAGCAGTCGGCATAGAACTGACCCGGTCGCTCCGTCAGGATGGCTAAATGTGCGGCTTAGGATGAAGTCGGGTATGATGAAGATTGCAATCACGATGTCTGAGATAGCCAGATTCACAAGTAAAAAGTTTATAGCATTTCTGCGAAAATCATGAAAATATCATAATTATCAAAAATTTAGTCAAGGGGTTACTGTAGCTTTATTTTTCTATTCAAACACTGATGTAGTTCCTCATTAGTCTACACAAACGGAAGTTTTAATTTAAATTCGCAAATGTATTCGTCAATTTTTTTTCCTTCGATGAAGGCTTTGTACATACTTAGAAGAAATTTTAAATCAAGTTTGAAACAAATATGAAAATTTTGCAAATAAAAAAAATTAGAAAATTCGAAGGAAAATCATGTTTGAAAATATAGTTGAAAAATATAACAATATTTGAAATATTGCACGGTGTATACTATAGGTATCAACGTATTCCAATTGACCGCCTCACGCTGATGCCCCCTTCTTTTCCGATACTTTCCGTTTACGCGTGTCGCTGAAGGCATCGTCAAAAATTCAAGACATCTAAATGAACAAATTGTGGCCGACAATTAAGAGAGAAAGAACGCACAGTACATAGTACGAAATGAAGCGCTCTATTGACGTCTGACATCAGATAAATCAGCGATAAAAGAAAACTTGTCAAAGCGTTCAGGGCAGTAATTTGAACAGAAAATGATTAAAAATCGTTCATCCTAAGGAGCGTCTCCTGATCCAAATTTCTTGTAAAACAAAGACGACAGAATTTCCCATTCGATCATTAAAGTAAACCGAGAAACCTCGCAATCGACGGGTCAAATTGAAGTATCTTGATATTAACACTTTTAGTATTTCCGGGAAACCGAGCGAACCCAGACTTTTAAGTTTTTAGCAGGCAAAGTTTTTGTGCCATTTTACATACTTAACAGAAAATGCAGCCTGTGAGATGTGTTTTGTCCTAAGTGAAGAATTAGTCTGAACAATGAAAAAGTTCTCGCTAATTACTTACTGCATATCCCGATGTTTCATAATTATCACGCACACCAAAATGTTTCCTAACACGACGAGAATGACGAGGGTAGAAAGAACCACTATGCATGCAGCAGCTGCTGTTTCAGAGACTGAACGCATGGACATCTCCAAAGAGTTTGACGATCCTTCCAATACAGAACACAAAAAAGTGATATTTATATTAAGACGGTACTCTTGGTTTTTTTTTTTAGCATGACTGAGCGACTGTAGAATTAATTTTTCGTTATATTTAAATGTGACAACAACCGCCACTTTAATAATTACCTGTAAAAACGTTTTAATTTAAAACTGAGGCGAAACAGAATATTTTTCATACCTTACCAACCTCAACCTGCTCTTTTGGGCAAATCCTGCAAAATAGATACCCCAGAACGTTCAGGATTCCTCTTAAATTTTACTAAAACTACCCAGGGTATACGGTCATTTTTCATGGCATGTTTCCATATGCAAAACCCTATTTCGAAAGTATTCCTTATCATCCTATATACATTACCATAATAAATTAAAATTAAAGTCAAAGGAGTCAAACATATTTGTCATTGAAGATCATTTTGTGTTCTTACCTCTGTCTTTAGTGTCGAACACTGAGAGGGCTCATGATAAATTGCATTCGTATTCGTTCTTCCATCTTCCCTCTGTGGATTCAAGATGTAAATAATCGCCGGCCTGATCAAAAAAGTGTTCAAATTGGACAAAGCATCTCATCCTTATCAGTTCGTGTGCTTTGTTCAAATTTTATTTTAGAACCATGTAGGAGGTCTTTGCAAGAAAATATAATCAGTTTATATTCTCTTGGTTGTTGTTATTTATAATTATATAAACACCAGTAGTAAAGTATTATCGTGCGTAACACGATGCGGTGACTTCCATTGTGGATCGTGATGTTTTATTTATACCCTGCTAGTCATCCTTAGGCGAAGAGGTCGACTGAATACGCATCAGCATGCGAGACCTCATACATATTGCGCCGCCAGCTGCGCTTAGTTGTTTTTCAACAGCTTTGACCGGCACTTTTTAAGAGATGTGTTTTAGCAAGAACAAGAAAGCCGCATTTGTGGCCGTTTAATTAATGACGTTCTTCATACCGCGATATGATCATACCAAAAATAAGGTTTCCCGTTATAATAAAGAAGACCAGAACAGAGTGAATCTTTGGAAAAATGTAAGCAAAACCTTGTGCTTAAGAGGCTAAGAAAGTTTACCGTGTGCTAAAAATAATCGTGGTAATCATCCAAGGGGTGGTATAGAATAAATAATCGGGTAATAACGAAGCATATACCGTGTGCTATCTTTTCATGATGCCATCTTTTCATTTAAGAGTTCGCATTTATTTGATAACGTCATATCATAATCGGCTGAAAGGGAGAAAGTTAGCTAGGCATTAACAATACAAACTGTTCCAGCCTACATAGGCTGTAGTTTTGTCTATGTTAGGTCAATGGGTAGCATAGCCGTGAAAGGCCTGGGTCATATGATATCTTTCATCACGTCTTTCATCACGCCTACACAAAACCATCAACTAGGCAAATTAAACCGACTTGTTCGCTCGTTATCAATCAGGGGTTTTTCAAATCGCCTGTTTGATAAATGCAAAAGGGTTTTTTTAAAAATGCTTTTCCACTAAATAATAATAATTACTCCCACAGTCTCACAAAACTTCACCAAAATGTCAAACAAAATGTGACAGCGTAAAATAGAGCCATCATAACATCAGTGATGGATAAGTAAGGAACTCCAGGATTCAAACGGTAAAAAACTAATTTTATACCTCCAACTTGATTACTTGCGGTTCACAATACTTATGTCATTCGGATGTCTTAACGCGCTTCATCGTCACTATCATCACCACCATCAACATCGTCGTTGTCATTACCCCAGTTATTACTTTTATCGTTATTATTAATGCATACTTTACAAAGTAAAGAGGATAGGCTCTGTTACTACACCCTGTACAATTTCTAGAAGACCCTGAATATATCAGATTAATTGCAGTCCATTGTTACCTTGACTCAACTTACTTCTAATTGTTTACTAAACAAGTGAAGTTCGCAAACTTAACGTTCTCGTCGATATTTTTCCAGTCAATTGTTGAAATCACTTTCCCCTGCATTAACTTTGTCTTGAAGATTTGGTAGAGTGGTAGCCACGGTCGGCAATACTATTTTACCGGTGGAATGGATAGTGGGGCCAATTCTGTTTGTAGCGACGCAATTGCATCGGAACATTGTCTTGATCTTTTGGCGGAATCTTTGGTTAACCAGAGCGTACACAAACGGGTTGACAGCAGAATTAAATAGGATCAGTATGGTAGTAATATAAAAAACAACATCACTGTAAGGAGAGTTGATAAAATGCAAGAAATAAAATGTCGAGTCGGTGAGCCAACAGACTCCAAATATGAAGCTGACAGTTATTACCATCGCGGTGACCCGCTTCCGCAACTTGATCACAGCCTATGTGAGGAGATCGAAAACCTTAGTAAGATACTTGTTATAAAGCGAGTAATAAATGTATAAATGCTTTCAACAGTAGAAAAATTTCGGGATTTGATGTACCTCGATATCCTGTTATTGATATGGAAGGGTGGTGGAAAATAGAGTTGTGGCTCAGTAATGTCTCAAATCAAAGAATCGCACCCTTTTAAGACGGGCTATGGACCACAAAGTTGTGCGTTGAATTTGCAAGAACTTCTTACCTTCTGTCGATGTGAAAGTTGATTATCATCAGTTGGTGTGAACCACAATGTGCACACGATTCTCGAATAAAACGCGGTCATCAGTGTCATGGGAAGAACGGTCATAGTCACCAACCAGTTCATGCTATTGGCTATGCCCATCCACTCCTGAGGCCAGTCTTCCTCGCAGTCACCTAAGGTGTTCTTGAAGTTCAAGGCCAAGAAAGTTGGTACATTCAAGGTAAATGCAAGAATCCAACAGAAAGGAATAATTACCTAGAGCAGAAAAGAAGTAAAGAAAAAGGGCTTTGGCCTGTTTGTAACGACTAATGGTTCGACGATGATCGATTCCCAGCCTATTTTTTCTTAGATTAAAGTCAAAACGTATGTAAATTATAGTACGTTGTGGGCGTTTATCCTGGGAGTTATGTTTAATGAAAACTTTCTATAACAGGTGTTCGTATTTGATGCAAACGCACTCTAATCGGCTGATTCGCTCCGTATTATCATTTCCCTCGTGCTGATTAGTTGCTTTTTAATTACTCAGCTTGATTTTACAGAAATCAATCAACATCGATTTCTCCAGGCGGATCTGTTACCTTAAGTTTGGTATTGGTAAGCTTTCCCTTTTCATCATATGGATATTTTACTGCATAATAGCGCTCAATGGCGATAAACACCAGAGTGAAGACAGACGAAGATGCTCCAACCCATGCAAAGTTTCCTCCAGTCAGTAGCCTGCATAGAACTGCCCCAGTCACTCCATTAGGATGGGTAAACATCAGACTGAAGATGTACTCTGGTGCAAGAAATATTGCAATCATAATGTCCGAAACAGCCAGGTTCACAAGAAGGAAATTGATTGGAATTCTAGCGGATGCAAAAATGAAGGTAAACACAAGAATGTAATTAAAAGATGACAGAGCAAGAATGAACAACAAATAATGATGACAACAACAACAACAACAAAATAAACAAAAATAATGATAGCAATAAAAGTAGTAATAAAGATAATAATGATGATGATGATAATATTGATTAAAAGACAAAAAGAAGTGCATTGCTACATTTATTTTAAAGCAAATGGAATAACCGCACCAATAATGCTTTTGAACATGATAGGAACGTTTAGGATATAGATTTAAAGCAAATTTTTTGTTTTTCCATTTCATCTAGTCTAAAAAACTCCGAATAGTACGTTCCCAGTTTTGTGATATGAAGGATTGATCTTGTGAATCATAAAGAAGCAAACAAACCCATAAATAAAACATTTTAAGATAAAATTTATTTTCTCCCAAAAGATGAATGAGCTGACTCTAACTGAAAAACATAGGAAAAGTATACACCAACGGTAGTTCATCGCGGTTAATTTTATCGTGACTCTAAATCGAAAATGGATAGGTAATTTTTTACCTTTGAGACTGCTGTACTAATACTGTTGAATCGGAATCTAGGCGGTTGGCAATGATAAAACCCCGCTGAGTTACTGTTTACGCGAGATGTCGGGGATCATTAAATATTCCGATCGATAGAATGACAGAAAAGTCACAAAAGTACTGTAGGAAGAAAATTTTACCTCATATCGCGATATTTCAGTATGATCGTACAAACAGTAGAGTTTCCCGTTATAACAACGATGACAAGAACGGAAAGGACTGTCGCACAAGTAATAGCTATTGTGTCAGGGACTGATCGCATGGACATATTTTATGTGGTCGATGGTCCACCTAGAAAAGAGGAAAAAAATCCCACCAAAGAAAATGCGTTAAAATAAACAAATGGATTGGGCCATTAACAACTATATTTGGTCTGTTAGGTTTTTTCGCATAAGGAAAAATTAACGAGGTAAGAAGCCGATAGCAAAGTACGCTGTTTTTTTCAAATACACTTTTTTGATCATAACGTATTTTCGTGGTTATTACACCATGTCTACCGCAGACGGGTAGGTTCTCCGTAAATTACATGCAGATAACGGTAATAACCTTTCCTAAGATGAAAAACACGAACGTAAAAACTTCTATTTGAGAGGTGAAACAAAGCATTGGTTATTGAACATCTGTTTTCAATGGTTTTTACTCACCTGTCTTTACAGACTTGCGCTCTGTTTCAATTCCAAAGCAGTTAAAGATGTGCCAAGGCTATTTCGATCTACATTAGCGTGTGAAAACCATGATATCATACAAAAACTGACAGGCTAAGACTTTAGGAAACTCTCGTATGCATGTCAAGCCGGAAAACATCGAGGTAAGTATAATATTCTTTTGAATTGATGTTAAATTCAACTCATCAGTTTGTGCTATTGTAATTAAGACAAACAGACTTTTCAGCCAATAAAAATCAAGTGATTGCACCTGCCTTAGAGCCCTTTTGTTTAATTTTTCACAAGCTTCTTAGTTTTAGTGGTGTTCTATAATTAGGCATAGTTCTAAATTACGGAGCGTATAATAATTCTTTAAAAGAATTTTTCTGTGCTCAGCATTACGACGCTGAAATGGAAATAGTTTATTCAATTTATTATTTATTTCTATTCTATTATTGGTTAACCTTGAAAATGCAAATCCTCTGTAACTCAAGTTGTCCTAACAAAGGCCCAGGTTTGAGGATAAAACTTAAATTTGTCTTACCCCTTATAGCTGGGAATTAGTCCGCACTAAAGTAGTGAGTGGTAATGCCACAGAGGGCTTGGGACGGAAGTAGGTTAGCCATTACTTAGCGCACACAAAATTGTAAAGCCCACGCTAACTCGACAGCTAAACAGGCTTAAATTGTTCAAATCTTACTAATCAGAATCGTCTGAACAATAACTGGGTGACGCTTTTCTGCTGAATAATCAGAATTACTTGTGCAATCTTACCGCAAAATGATATGGCCACTTCGGCAATCCCCAAGCAAGTGTTGTAGGCTTATGTGGAAGGATTTCCCAATGTTACTTTTTTTTAATTCGTGTGAAGAATTTTGAAATAATGATACGTGATGTCTGGGATGAAAATTTCGAGTTTCAGGTTATCAGCAAGAGAGGATTCTCTCTTGTTATTAGTCAAGCGATATATTATTTTGCCGATTACACTATTAGGAAAGACGAACGAACGATTGAGCTGGCGAATAATTTCTTTCTCTTTTCGAGATCTGTTACTCGTATAACGTGTGCTGCCAAAAGATCGATATAAACCATGCGTTGAATTTAATTTCAGTTTTTATTCTTGGTTTTTGGGTTTTCTCCGGGATTAAAAACTTGCCAGTGTTCCTAGTTTTGGCCATTGACGATGGAACTGGCGCCCGGGTAAGAATGTGAACAAAAAAATGGATTCCTCAGGCTTACAATGTGGTGTGGTTAATAGTCGTGGCAATTATTCCGTTGACCGTGATGGTTGTGTCGCATACTAGAGTAGTGTACAGGCTTTGATTCAAATTTACGCCTGACAACAGCGAGAATTCGAATCAAAACCAGATCCTGCAAGACTCATAATTAAGTCGTTGAGGCTTCCTTTGCGAGATAATAGTTTGTTGTATTTTGAGTACAAACTTAACAGATTGAGATGTTATCAATCTTTCATCTTTCTCTGAGAAAAGGGAGTGCAGAAGGTGCTGAAGCAAGCCACCTTGTCTGTCAGCGGTATCTTTGCGATGTGTTGGATTACAGGTCCCATCCAGTCTACATCGTGAGCCACTTCAGCGCCGAGAGCTGCTTAACTCTGCCGTCAACCCGTTTGTATATGGTCTAGTGAACCAGAGATTCAAAGAGAAGATCAAAATAATGTAAGGAGCAGATTCGATACCTGATTGGCTGTACAAGACTAAAGCTGTCAAAAATGTCAAACCATCAAAGTTCACATTCTGCAAAAGTTTAAAAACTTGAATATTTCGGCAGGTCGAATTTAACACTTCTGCCAGAAGTTTTTTAGTCTCTAATACAGAATCTGAAAGTGAAATGTTCAGTGAAACACGGCAGAATTGTGGTTCATAAAAACACGCAAGTTTTTCACACGACAAGTAGAAAACAAACAGTTTAAGGCGAGTGTTTTATGAATAAACGACAGCCGAATTCACCGGAACATAAAGATCGCTCGGGATAACAGCGCCGTGACACTCGGCTGCAGTGACCTTCCATTCCACGCATCGGAAAGGACAGCAAGCTCTTATTTTTTCACACGAAGGGCGGTCGCAGTAGTTCCTGAGGCTTGCTTCACTGCGATGACCGAAGATTGCCATGATGAGCAAACCGCGATGGACCTCAGCATGATCGCAGTCGCTCTGACACCGGCATGATTAGTATGAATTTTAACAGTTATGCCAGTTTGGTTATATTTTTCATCATTCCTGTTTTGTTTTTGATCACGAAACTTTACTTACTATACGAGTGTTAGCTGTGTTTGATTTTTATTACCGCACATAAGCTTGCCATCCAACTAAGCGTGAAAACCTCTAAAACACTGACTGTACATGTCGTTTTCTCCTTGAGGATTTTCGTCTCTGCTCACGTTATAATAACGTAATTTACGGCGCCTGGCCTTTAAAAACCTTTGTTTGGTTCTTCTGTTGCTACTTGCCGGTTCGCCTGTTCCGATATTTCACTTCCAATTAACGAAAAAAAGCTAGAGAAAAGTTCTGGAAAAGGTTAAACATAGTGCAATTTGGCAGATGGCGTGACAGCTTTAGCTCAGCTCTCTGCTCTATACTCTCATGGAGCGCGCTCTTTCAACCAGTGACAGCACGCGTTATATCCGAACTTTATTATAACGTCCTATAATCATTACCACAATGTCAAAGGAGTAAAACATATTGGTCGCGGAAGATAATTATATGTTCTTATCTCTGTTATTAGTGTCGAAAACTGAGAGGGCTCATGATAAATTGCTTTCGTATTCGTTCCTCCAACTTCCCTCTATAGATTCTAAATATAAATGATCGCCGGCCTGATCAAAGAAGTGGTTAAATTGGACAAAGCATCTCATGCTTATCAGTTCGTGCGCTTTGTTCAACTTTTATTTTAGAATAATGTAGGAGGTCTTTGCAAGAAAATGTAATCAGTTTATATTCTCTTGGTTGTTATTATTCATAATTATATAAACACCAGTAGTAAAGTATTATCGTACGTAACACGATGCGGTGACTTCCATTGTGGATCGTGATGTTTTGTTTATACCCTGCTAGACATCCTTAGGCGAAGAGGTCGACTGAATACGCATCAGCATGTGAGACCTCACATATTGTGCCGTCAGCTGCGCTTAGTTGTTTTTCAACAGCTTTGACCGGCACTTTTTAAGAGATGTGTTCTAGCAAGAACAAGAAAGTCGCATTTGTGGCCGTTTAATGATGTTCTTCATATTGTGATATGATCATGCTAACAGTAAGGTTTCTCGTCATGATAAAGAAGACCAGAACAGAGTGAATCTTTGGAAAAATGCTAGCAAACCTTGTGCTTCACAAGGCTTATCATACGGACGTATCTGACAGGGTGGATCCCCCCAAAAGCGTCGAAGAAGTGTGCCAGAAGTGTGCCGAAAATTACCGTGGTATTCCAAGGGGTGGTATAGAATAAATAATCGGGTAATAACGAAGGATATACCGTCATCTTTTCTTGATGCCATCTTTTCATTTAAGAGCCAGCATTTATTTGATAACGTCATATTACAATTAGCTGAAAGGGACAAAGTTCACTAGGTATAGGCATTACAAACTGTTCCAGCTTACATAGGCTGTAATTTTGTCTAAGTTAGATCAATAGGTGGCATAGCCGTGAAAGGCATGGGTCGGATGATTTCTCTCATCACGTCTTTCATCACGTCTTTCTTCATGTCTTTCATCGCGCCTACAAAAAACCATCAACTAGGCAAAATAAACCAATCAGGGGTTTTTCGAATCGCCTGTTTGATAAATGCGGTGTGTTCTTCATTAAACTAAGACTGAAAAGCAAAAGGTTTTTTTTAAAATGCTTTTCTTCTAGATAATAAAAATTACTCCCACAGTCTCACAAAACTTTACCAAAATGTCAAACAAAATGTGACAGCGTAAAATAGAGACATCAAAAACATCAGTGATGGAAAAGTAAGAAACTCTAGGATTCAAACGATAAAAATCTACTCTTATACCTCCAACTTGATTACTTGCGGTTCACAATACTTATGTCATTCGGATGTCTTAACGCGCTTTATTGTCAGCATCATCATCACCAGCAGCATCGTTGTTGTCATTACCCCAGTTATTACTTTTATCATTATTATCAATGCATACTTTACAAAGTAAAGAGGGTAGGTTCTGTTACTTCACCATGTACATGCAATTTCTAGAAGGCCTTGAATTTATCAGATTAATTGCAGTCCATTGTTAATTTCTTTAACTTAACTCTACTTCATTTATTCTCTAATTGTCAATGAAACAGGTGAAGTTCGGAATTTAACGTTTCCGTTGAGGTTTTTCCCGTCAATTTTTGACATCACTTTCCCCTGCATTAACTCCGTCCTGAAGATTTGGTAGAGTGGGAGCCACGGTTGGCAATACTATTTTACCGGTGGAATAAATAATGGGGCCAATCCTGTTTGTAGCGACGCAATTGCATCGGAACATTGTCTTGATCTTTCGGCGGAATCTTTGGTTAACCAGGGCGTACACAAACGGGTTGACAGAGGAATTGAATAGGATCAGTATGGTAGTTATAGCAAAAACGACATCACTGTAAGGAGAGTTGATAAAATGCAAGAAATAAAAGGTCGAGTCCGTAAACCAACAGATTCCAAATATGATGCTGACAGTTATTAGCATCGCGGTGACCCGCTTCCGCAACTTGATCACAGCCTATGTGAGGAGATAGAGAACCTCAGTAAGGTACTTGCTATAAAGCGAGTAATACATGGGCGCACGTTGAAATGGAATTTCTCTTCCAGTGTTCAACTTAATATCTCACGAGTGAACGCAACGAACTGGAGAGATACCCGAGGAGAGAAATACCTTATCTTCAAGCAACCAAGTATTATTTTGTTTATTATATAAATACCATACGCTTTTACTGACAAGAACATTTGGCAAAAGACATTGGATCGAGAACTGATGAAAGCTTTACCATTTATTCATCAACCTGACAGAATGGCGCAAAATGCCAGTGATGCCTCAGTAGCTGATTGGAAAATTTTAAAGGTACGTCAGTAAAAAAGTTATCGTAATTATACACGTGTCAGTTACAGCTTTTCTTAGGGCTGGAAATCCTTGTGAAACACAGCAGTTTATATAGTAAACTGTGAGAATTTGTTTACATCACAAAGGTATCAGTGCGTTCAGTCACTAAAAGCTCTGCTGGATAATTTTTTCTCTGTGTTTGCAGATTAACAGAAATTCACTCGTTACAGGGTAACCTGGTATTATTAACTGAGTTGATAACGTAAATTGGCCACCGTAAAGAGCTCAAAAGCTGAAGTTTCGAGCGTAAGCCCGCGCTGACGAAGGACTAACGCTCAAAACGTCGGCTTTGAAACTCTTTACGTGTCATCTCAGTTTATAATACCAAATCACCCTCTTGATTCGCGTTACAGGCGTTTTTTTTTTCGACGACTGCCGGTTCGAGGTGAAGTGTTATAGAGAAACTTGAAATCATATGTAGTGTTCTCATTCCATCAAAACTTAACGATAAAACATCCAGAAGTTGTTTTAATGCTTTCAACGGTGAAAACACTTCGGGATTTGATGTACCTGGTGGTGGCTGGTGGTGGATACAAGAGCTCTGTAAAGTCTCAAATCAAAAAATCGCACCTTTTAAAGTCGGGCCAAGGACTACAAAAGTTTTGCGTTTAATTTGCAAGAACTTCTCACCTTCTGTCGATGTGAAAGTTGATCATCATCAATTTGTGTGAACCACAGTGTGCACACGATTCTGGAATAAGCCGCAGTCATCAGTGTCATGGGAAAAAAGGTCATAGTCACCAACCACATCATGCTGTTGGCTTTGCCCATCCACTCCTGTGGCCAGTCCTCCTCGCAGTCACCTAAGGTGTTTTTGAAGTTCATGGCCAAGAAAATTGGTACATTCAAGGAAAATGCAAGAATCCAACAGAAAGGAATAATTACCTAGAACAGAAAAAAATAAAGAAGAAGGTCTTTGGTCTGTTTATGACGACCAATGGTTCGAAGATAATCAATTTTCAGCTCAAGGAAACGTATATAAATTATGATACATTGTGAGCGTTTGTCGTGGGATCATAGATGTATGATGAAAACTTTCCACAAATGGTGTTCATATTTAATGCAAAGCGCACTCTAATTGAGTGATTCTCTCGGGGCTATTGTTTCCCTCATGCTGATTAGTTGCTTTTTTTTTCGAGTCAGCTTGATTTTACAGAAATTAATTAACAAGGAATTCTCCAAACAGATCTGTTACCTTAAGTTTGGTATTGGTAAGCTTTTTCTTTCCATCATATGGATATATTATGGCATAATAGCGCTCAATGGCGATAAAAACCAGAGTGAAGACGGACGAAGATGCTCCAACCCAGGCAAAGTTTCCTCCAGTCAGTAGCCTGCACAGAACTGTCCCAGTCACTCCATCAGGATGGGTAAACATCAGACTGAAGATGTACTCTGGTGCAAGAAATATTGCAATCATAATGTCCGAAACAGCCAGGTTCACAAGAAGAAAATTGATTGGAATTCTAGCGAGTGTAAATAAATAAAGGTAAACGCAAAAATCCAATTAAAAATGATAGAGGAAGAATGAACAACAAATAATGAAAACAAAACAACAACAAAATAAATAGAAATAATGATAACAATAAATGTAATAATGAAGATGATAATGATGATGATGATGATGATACTGATAAAAAGACAAAAAGAAGTGCATTGCTACATTTGTTTAAAAGCAAATGGGGCAACCGCACCAATAATGCTCTTGAACACGATAGGAACGTTTAAGATAAAGATTTAAAGCAAATTTTTTGTTTTTCCATTTCGTCTGGTGTAATTAACTCCGCATAGTACGTTCCCAGTTTTGTGACATGGTGGATTGATCTTGTGCATCAAAAAGAAACAAACGAAAATTTTAAGATCAAATTTATTTTCTCCCAAAAGATGAGCTGACACTAACTGAAACACTATAAGAAAAGTATACACCAATAGTAGTTCATCACAGTTAATTTTATCATGACTCTGAATCGAAAATGGATAGGTAATTTTTTATCTTTTAGACTGCTGTATGAATACTGTTGAACCAGAATTTAGGTGGTTAGCAACGATAAAACCCCACTAAGTTACTGTTTACGCGAGATGTCAGGGATCATGAAATATTCAGATCGATAGAATGACAGAAAAGTCACAAAAGTACTGTAGGAAAAATGTTTTACCTCATGTTGCGATATTTTAGCATGATCGTGCAAACAGTAAAGTTCCCCGTTATAACAACGATGATAAGAACGGCAAGGACTGTCGCACAAGTAATAGCTATTGTGTCAGGGACTGATCGCATGGACATGTTTTATGATGGTCCACCTAGAAAAGCGAAAAAAAAATAACACCAATGATAACAATAAAAGAAAGTGCGATGAAATATACAAATGGATTGGGCCGTTAATAACTACCTTTGGTCTGTTAGGTTTTTTTAAGCATAGGAAAAACTTAATAATGTAAGAAGTTGACAGCAAATTATTTGTTTTTTTCACATACACGTTCTAGGTCATTTCGTAATTTCGCGGTTATTTCTATGTCTACTGCAGATTAAATTTAGACAACGGTGGCAACCTTTCCCAAGGTGATAAATATGAACGTAAAAAGTTCCAGATGAAACAAAGCATTAGTTATTGAACATCAGTTTTCAATGCCTTTGACTCACCTCGTCTGTACAGACTTTCGCTCTGTTTCAACTCCAAAGCAGGAAAGATGCGCCAAGGTCATTTCAAACCATAGCGTGTGAAAACCGTGATATCGTACAAAAACTGACAGACTAAGAATTAGGGAAACTCTCCTATCTAAGTCCAACTAGAAAACATCGAGGTAAGTGTAATATTCCTTTGAATTGACGTTAAATTCAACTCGTCAGTTTGTGCTATTGTTATTAAGACAAACAAACTTATCAGCCAATAAAAATCAAGTAATTGCACCTGTTTTAAAACCCTTCTTTTAATTTGTTGTGTCAAAAAAGTTTCCACAAGCTTCTCAGTTTTAGCGGTGCTCTATAATTAGGCATAATTCTAAACTGTTAAGCGTAACTGATACTTTTTCTCTACTCAGCATTACGTCGCTGAAATGGGATTCTAGAGTAGTGAATAGGCTTTGGTTCAAATGTACGTCTGACGACAGCGAAAATTCGAATCGACAGAGGGTATGAATTAAGATAATTTATAAAACCAGATCCCGCAAGACTCATGATAAGTCATGGAGGCTTCATTTGCGAGATAATGACTTGTTGTATTTTGAGTAAAAACTTAACAGATTGAGATGTTATCTATCTTTCATCTTTCTCTGAGAAAAGGGAGTTCAGAAGGTGCACAGGCCAACAATCAAACTCCACTTTTAATAAGTTCAGTTAGTAATACAAGCTGACACCAATTATATGGTTTCCGTAAAAACTAACCGGCAACTATAGAAACATTTTATTTTTGATAATAGCTAAAACAACAAAGTTTAATCGCCTGACTTCAACAGGCCGGTATGTTGTATAGTGTGTAGTATCGCTCAGACGTTTTCGTGTGTTGTATCGCTTAGGGCGAGTCAAAATACAAACAAGGAGTCAAAATACCCAACCATACTACACACACAAGTATGAGGCGCCAAGTGGAGAAAAATGCCTTTTCGAAATGTTCCTTTTCTTTTTACATCAATAGGTCCTAAACTAGAGAGTTTTGTTGTCAATACGCGTAATAGATTTTAGCTAACAGAAGTATTTTATCCATTCGAAGTCAAAATATACATTGTAATAAAAGCTAAGTTTTTTGTTTGTCTCACGATGTAGTCACGTGTGATGTATATCGCGTCGTTTCTACTGAATACTTCTAGTCTTCTTTAGGCGATGAGGTCGTCTGGTCATTCGTGATCTTGTAAAGCATGATGTTCTGCTGTGATTAGTTGTTTCTTTCAACAGCTCTGATTGGTGCATTTCGATCCTTGCTGTTCATTCAGTGATTTGCTCCCTCGGCGGTCCGCTGTCGCACGGCTCTCCTGTTGTTGTGGTTTTTGATCGTGGGCATCCACGCTTCTGGAACTTATATTCCACTATCCCTATTGATGTTGTTAGGGTGAAGTCTTATATGAATTGCCTCTTTAACCCTGCACGTGTAGTAATAAGGGTAGCGATCAATAAATTTTACTTCGTTCCAGAGTGGCTTGTGTCCGGTGGGCATGCTCTGAAACGGCGGAGGTCTCGGTACAGGCGTGTCGAATGTCTCGATCGTGCTCCTTAATTCTGTCTTGCATAGGTCTTCCAGTCTCTCCGATGTACACCTTGCCGCATCCACAAGGAATCCTGTAAACTACGCCATCTTGTTCAGCCGGGTCGACAGCGTCTTCTGGTCGTACTGAGATCTTAGCGTAGTCTGTGACTTGAAAAAAACGCGCACGCCTTGTTGTTGTAGGCAAAGCTGTTCGGACAGACCTTTGACATAAGGTAAAACCGCAGTAGCTTTGAACTCGTTGGCGGGTTCCGCACTGTTATTTGGTTTTCCGGTCTTGGTAAGTTTCTGCAAGAAAGAAGAAAGGATAACCATTAAAAACCGGAACAGATGACAGATGTTTTTTCTCCTCGGAGATGACGGAGGGTTTTGTAACGAGACGTTTAGCGCGCTCGTAAAGGCACTTGACAATACTGCGTTTTACTGATTGAGGGTGGTGTGAATCATACGCTAAGTATTGATCGGTGTGCGTGGGCTTCCTGTGTACACTGGTGGTGAGGCGGCCGTCAGGTTCTCTTAAAACTGCGGTGTCTAGGAAGGCCAGTTTGTTGTCTTTCTCTGTCTCCATGGTGAAGCGGATGGAAGGCTGCTAGTTGTTTAGATGCTGTAAGAAGTCATCTATGTTTTCGCGATCCAGGATGGTAAATGTATCGTCCACGTGGCGTTTCCAGATCCTAGGCTCGTAGGATGATGTAGTTATCGCCTGTTCCTCGAAACTCTCCATGAAGAGGCTAGCAATTACAGCGGAAACCGGACTCATGGCGGCGCCGTCTTTTTGCTCGTAAATCGATCCGTTATACTGGAAGTATGTGGATCTCAATACGAAGGTCAAAAGGTCAGTGATCTGTGCAGGCGTTAGCTTTGTGCGGTCTGCAAGGCTTGGGTCATTCTCTAGTTTCTGCATTGCGGCTTGTACAGCGGCGTCGATAGGAACATTGGTAAACAACGATTCTACGTCGAACATCATGTTTTATAAGATCACGCATGACCAGTCGACCTCGTCGCCTGAAGAAGACTAGCAGTATGTAGTCGAAACGTCACGATCTACATCACACGTGACTACATCGTGAGACAAACGAAAAACTTAGCTTTTATTTTTATAGCAGGTAATTTAGTGTTAACAACTGGGTTGAAAACGTAAATTAGCCACCGTAAAGGGTAAAAGCTGTCGTTTCGAGCGTTAGCCCTTCGTCAGAGCGATTAGAGGAATTGTGGGTTGTGTGTGGATTTATATGTAGGAAGTAGAGCTACGCCATTGGTGGGAATGTGGTGACGAGAAAACAGGAATAAATTAGTTGAATGAAAAGCGCTCGTTGATTCCGTGGGGATTAAGGGTGCCGATTTGGAATATAAATTTTTGTTCTAGTGTTTTACGGCTTTCCGAACTGCCTAGATGTAAGGAAAGGCCGCAAACTGCCATATGCTGTTTAGAATGATAAGGAAGATTAAATTGTCTAGCGACTGGTTTGGATGCGTCCTTGTCATTTCTTTCCACATCGCGAAGGTGTTCTCGGAATCGGTCACCCAGTCGTCTCCCTGTTTCGCGGATGTATAACTTATTGCAATAAGTGCAAGTTATGCAGTAAATAACATTGGCGGAGGTACACGTAAAGTGATCAATGATCTTAATGGATCTTTTGGGTCCCGATATTTTCTCTACGTTGTGAATGAAAGGACAAGTTTTGCATCGTGAGCGAGCGCATTTAAAAGTTCCAGATTGGTCATAGGTTTGAAATGAACTCCTGACTAAAAAGTTGCCTATGTTTTTGTCGCGTTTGAATGAAATAAGTGGGGGTTGCGAAAAGATAGTGCCAGTCTCTGAATCGTTTTGGAGTAATTTAAAATTTTTAAGAATGATAGATTTAACTGCGTGGTTGTGAGGGTGAAATGTAAGAGTAAATGGAATGCGGTCAGTGTTCTCCTTCTCGGCCGTTTGTAGTGCTGCCTGTCGATCGATTAGTTGGGCACGGTGGTAGCCCGCTTGAACGACAGAAACAGGATAGCCGCGTTTATCGAAAAACTGGCACATTGCCTCTGATTTTCCGGAAAAATCAGAGTCGTCACTCGAAACATAAACGACGAAGTCTGAGAAACTGTGAAAAAGGTATGGAGTTCTTGACGTGTGATGGATGTGAGGATGAATACAACAAGTAACTATGTGAATCTGTAGGTTTGTAGTAAACACTAGTGCATAAGCCGTTGCCTTCAATAGAAATTTTGATGTCTAGAAAAGCCAAAGAAGTGTCGGAAATTTGCCAGGTATATTTAAGGGCCGGATGAAAGGAATTGACGGCGGTTATAAATTGAGTGAGCTCCTCCTTGGTAGAGGAGGTAGCGCCGATGCAATCGTCAATGTAGCGGCCGTAGAGTTGAGGTTTTGGGCCGTGGTATTGGCTAAAAATTGGTGTTCGATAAAACCTACAAAAGATTGGCGTAGCTGGGTCCCATTTTAGTACCCATGGCCACGCCATTAGTTTGTTTGTAGTAGTTACCACCGAATGAAAAACAATTGAGTGTGAGTACTAGTTCGGCCAGACGGAGCAGTGTTTCAGAGCTAGGTTCCTTAACAGCGCGTAGATCAAAAAAATGTTTGAGGGCCCGGAGACCTTCGTCATTGGGAATGACAGTGTAAAGAGATGTTATATCCATGGTGAAAATAAGTTTGTTTTGGTCGAGGAAACTAAAGTCACGAAAAATTTCAAGTGCGTGTTGGCTGTCCTTAATGTAAGACGGTAGAGTTTTGACGATAGGTGCCATAATTTTGTCTAAATAGCTGGAAATAAGTTCAGTGGGACAACTGCAGGCAGAAACGATGGGTCGACCTGGGTTGTTAGGTTTGTGGATTTTAGGTAAAAAGTAAATACATGAAGTTCTAGGAGTAGTAATGGTGAGATTTTTAGCAGTGGCCGGCAATTCTTGTTTAGCTATAAGATCGTTAATCGTATTTTTGACAATGTTTTGGTTAATTACAGTGAGGTCTTTGTCGACTTTGGCATTAAAGGAGGTGTCAGATAGAGGTCGGCCCGCCAAACAACAACTGCGCCGCCTTTGTCGGCCGCCTTTATGACAATGTCTTTGCGTTTTTTTAGACTTTTTAGTGCCGACCACTCTTCTGAAGAAAGATTGGAAAATTTGGTGTTACGATTGTTTTCCAATTTTCCAATCTTTCTTCGGAAGAGTGGCCGGCACTAAAAAGGATAGACGACGCACCAACGCAGCACCACAGTTTCTTTAGAAACTTACCCCTTTTATTTTTATAATTTATCACCAGTGACAAAAAATTTCAATTTACTGAAAGACAAACTTTTAAAGACATGGATGAACATTTAACTTTAACAAAAGTGTTTCTTCTTCCGACTCAATCACATAACGACAGTGCTTCGCAAGAATTGTAGCCGGTACTTTGGGAGCAGTGGGTTGTTAACCAAGAACAAAGGTTCAGTCCCTTTTGGTCTGTTTAATACCATCTAATTGAAAGCGCAGCTGACCTGTTTTAAAGTAAAAATAATCAACTGTTCATGTAACCGTGCAATAAAGGGGGGAAAATAAAAAGTGTACTTGATTCGCGCGTTATTTACTCTCTACTCAGTGCAGTTGGATGATATATCTTAATGTTGCGAGATAAATTAATTCATAGTTATCGGCATATATTAAAGTTCAGTTAGCTCGATATTTATTCATGGCGTTCAGTTAAGAAGTGTTCTTAAAAAGGAGATTTGCCACCCAATCGTGGGTTGAGATGTTGACTCTTTTTGTCTCTTGTTTAGTTTTTCTTTTGATAAAATAACAGAAAGGAGAAGCCATACTTCACAATAAAAAAAGGAGGAAGTCATGCAGGATTTCGTTTTAATCTGTACTTAAAAATTGACGTATGTACCTTTGTTATGTTCATCGAAGGTAAAGTTTAAAGTGTAATCCTTTGCGTTGAATCCTTTCGTCAGTTTGTCTCGCTTATTTTGCAAAAGCAGTGTGGAGTGGAGTTAAAAATAAGTTAATAACTGTAGGGCCGGAATTCTACTAGAAAGGAGAGTGAAGTTTCTGAACTTGCTTTTGAAAAGGTAGCATGTCTTCCCCCTGCGTTTGGCTATGAAGTGATTTTGACGATATTGTGCATTTGATATAGTTTATGTCGCATCGTGAACGAAGTCGACTGTTTTCTTTCTTATATAACTAAAAATTGTCGCCTTGCAAACGGCTCAAGTCTCTCAAGAAAAGGAGGAAAGAATACTTGAAGGTAGCTCATTTTCCTTTTTTTTACTTTTTTTCATCTATCTTCGCAAATATATATATTTTTTGAGCATGGCATAAATCTCACGCATCATGGACTAAAAAAACGTACCTATTAGCGGCATAATGTTAGTTAAAAGGAAAAAAAATGATGAAACAATGAAAAACTTTGTCCACGCTTAGAGTTAGCTCATCAGTATCGAATTTAGTATTCCTTAGCAGGTTATCCACTCATGGAAATATGGGTCCGTTTATAATCCGTAATTAGTAATTTTTCTTGCACTTTATTAATCAAGGCGTTTCTCATGCATCAATTTTTCTCAATATCATCATAATTATTATCGTCAGTAAAATTTCGTTTTTTTTTCAGTGTTGTTGCAGCCGATTTTAATGTAATATTTTATTTGTATTGGCATATTTCCTTGGTTATTGACGTGCGCTGTTAACTTAACGGCATCGCGTTTATCAGCGATAATAATGCCTACATTTACTTGAAGTTCAGTAGCTGGTGGTGGCAGTCAAGCTTTCATACGAAAAGCTAACATTGAAATAAATTGACTTACTTATAATTATATCTTCATGGATGTTCTAGTGATTTGCGCCTTTATTGTCGATCACCACTGACAATAATGCCAAACTGAAGGGTTCTTTTCATGATCATTGCTAAGTAATATCTGAAAGCTTCTAATCTTTTTACCCAGATACCTTTCCTAATATCTATAGTTAAATTACAGCGGCATTTACAACTGTTCTAAAGCAACAATAACTATAACATTAAGTGCAATTGGTTATGGACCACATTGGCCCAAAAATGGGTAAAATTTGTTCAAACACGATAAGCGCAGCTGACACTCAAACAGTAATATCTCAAGCAATTACATTATAACAAATTGTTAAAAAGAATAAGAAGAAAAAATTAATTTTTGCTCATTCATTTCTTTGCTTTACTGTCCTAGAAATTTCCAATGATTATAACTATAACATTAAGTGCAATTGGTTATGGACCACATTGGCCCAAAAATGGGTAAAATTTGTTCAAACACGATAAGCGCAGCTGACACTCAAACAGTAATATCTCAAGCAATTACATTATAACAAATTGTTAAAAAGAATAAGAAGAAAAAATTAATTTTTGCTCATTCATTTCTTTGCTTTACTGTCCTAGAAATTTCCAATGATTATTGCTTTCCATATATAATATAAGATCTTGGTCGTTTTGTTTGCCGAAAAAAGTTAAGCCTCTCTGATTCATTGCCACTTTGCTATTGTTGCAACGACGTTAAGAATAAAGCCCACCGGATATTGAGAATATATTTTGCTTGATTAGAAGCAAAGAAATTCACGCCTTTATAGCAAGTGAAACGAGGCAAAACTCCAACTGATTTGTTTCTAGATAATTTGAAGCTGTTTCAGAATTTTAATTTTCCCGTGACAACGCCGAATCTAATGATTTCTTTTTGACATTATGCCAATTTGTGTTTACTTTAAAAGTGCGCAGTTCTTCCACTATGCAAATCCATTTTGTTTAAGAAAAATTAACTCGGTTTGGAAGCATGGTCGCAAATCCTATAGAGAACTTAATCTCGTACAAAAATACGTAAGGTAGGTCCAGTGAATCGATACCTAATATTTGCCAGCTGAAGAGCAGAAAAAACTATGAGAGGTAATTATCATTTCATCTTACCTAGTCGTACGAGATAGAGATGCGAGTCAACTTGTAGATTGGCAGTCTGGAAAAGGTAGTTAAAATTTTTTATATTCGTGCTGTTGCGCTGTAAGTGACACTTCTTATCAAACCTTGTACAATTGTTATGAGCCAATTTAAAACATTCGGCAACGTGAAAAAATTTAAGTTGTTTAATATACAAAGCTTTCTGACTCAGGCTGGAGAAGGTATTGCCAAATTGAAAGTTCACTCTCAAATTAATCACTTTATGTCCGCTGAAAATCTAGGAAACCGTCGACTTTCTATGTAAGTCATCTAAGAGTCAGTGAAAGTAATCAGTAATTGGATTATCTATAAGGCAAGAGAGTCAAGTCTTTTCAGTTTTATTAAAAAAAAAAAAAAATCGTGCTATTTCCTTCAACATGTACTTTCTAATTTAAGTTCCATTAAAAGTAAACATGGAAAATTTACGAACTTCATTGATCTCATCGACTCACGTTTTTGAAAAATTTGGAACGATGTAGAAACAGCTAATAGACATCAACCTTAAAATACCTATCAATGTTCAACTTTTAGGCTTAGGTAGCTTTTAGTTCAAGAACCACAATGACAGATTCAGCTGGTGTTTTCACGACTGCAGTGCTCTCTATTCTGATTTTCGTGGGAATCATTGGAAATTCAATGGTCTGTATTGTCATACTGAAACATCGAGATATGAGGTAGGCATAACCCCTGAACCACAATCAATGTTTTTACTTGCTACTGAAATAAATGTTTGTTGAGAGAGTTATCTCATAATGTTCCAGCTTTTTCTAACATCGTTGGACTTATGGTCAAATATTACAGATGATAAAAGAAATAAAAGAGTCAATTGCTTATAATTCATTTCTTCACCTCCTCAGAGTTCCCATCAATTATCTTCTTGTGAACCTGGCAATGGCAGATATCATGTTTGCTACGTTTATCGCCCCGCAGTACATCTTGAGTCAGGCGTTCACCCATCCTGGCGGAGTTACTGGTAAAGTTTTATGCAAGCTGTTAACTGGTGGGAACTTCGCGTGGGTAGGAGCCGCATCTTCCGTGTTTACTTTGGTGAATATTTCGATGGAACGTTACTATGCGGTGATGTATCCTCTGAGCAATAAAGGAAATCTTTCCGAACGCAAAATCATGGTAAGTGACGCGCTGAGGAAGAAAGTCTTCACTTTTCTATTGAACCGTTTTACTATTGTTTCGGACAGTCTCCCGAGTATCACTTTGTTTCACATGATTTCAAGTATAAAGACTGAATCCTTTACATTTTCATGTTAATGCGTCCCAAGAATTAAAACGAAGTGGATGTGGGAGATGAGGATACCGTCAGTTTGTTGTTATTCAAATAATAGCATCATGGTAGTTATGCATTAATTAATTTTTTTCAGGTAATCATTTCCGGTGCTTGGATGTTTTCTGTGATTGTGAACGCTCCAGTTTTCTTGGTCGTTGAATTTATAAATGAAAGCAGTGCTTGTGAAAGAAAATGGCCTGAAAAATGGATGCCAAGGGCTTACAATGTGGCTTGGTTTGTCGTCATGGCAATTATTCCCTTGATAATGATGGCTGCATTATATTCCAGAGTGGTTTACAGGTTGTGGTTTCAACCTGCTGAGAACAGCGAGCTTACCCAACAGCAAAAGGTTTGAACTAAGAAAGCACTCGTATTTTGCTTTTTTTTTTAATTAAAAACTAAACTTCGACCCCTCTTTGAATTATGATTTGAGCAAAATGATTGATTGCAGCCATCTTTTGATCTCTAATTTGAAAGGGTGTATTGAAGCTACGTAAGCGAGTCACTTTGGCAGTCGTTGTTGTTAGTGTTATCTTCGGGATCTGCTGGATTACAGACTCCATTGTCTATATCGTGAGCCATTTCAACACCGAAAGCTTTGGTCCAGCGGTGTACTCTGTTTCCAACACGATGATCATGTTAAACTCAGCTGTAAATCCGTTTGTATATGGTCTGGTAAATCAGAGATTCAGGAAGAAGATCAAAATCATGCTTGGTTGTACATTTACTTCTCGAGTGAGAGTCCATGTCTCCAGGGAAACGCATTCCACAGAAATGTGAAACAGTACAATCAGCCGTCATCCTGAAGAGGAATATTGTGTAGACTTTAACGTGCATGCAAACAGACACAGAATCTTGGTATTTTAGTATTATCATCTGAGTTGATAACGTAAATTGGCCGCTATAAAGAGTTTAAAGGCTGACGTTTCGAGCGTTAGCCCTTCGTCACCGCGAAGGGCTGTGATGAAGGGCTAACGCTTAACATAAACATTAACATGATTATGAAAAATTCAGTTTTTCTGTTCTCTGTTTCTGATTTTCGTTAAGTTAAATCCGGTCCAACTAATCGTGTTCTTCTGGTGTGAATGAGGCCTAATATTTATGAGTGTCCTTGATCAGTGTGCTTTAAATAAACAAAAACAAACAAACAAACAAATACAGAACAGTTTTTTGAAGAATTTACAGGTTTCTGCTTTTTAGTGAACGGGAGTCTAAATATTAAAAACATATGTTTTTGTTGTTGCAAATTTGATCATTTCTTGGTAAACTTTATTGTTATTCTTAAGTTTGCAGAACATAATCTTCCATTAGTTAGTTCATCGCTGTAATAATCTGAGGGTATCGCGGGTAAACTTTTCCTGACATGTTTGCGATAAGCAGTTGTTCTATCGTTGGAAAACGATTTCCCACGGTTTAGGTCATAAGTGTCTTAAATAGTGTCGATTGGTGTATGGCGCTGAAATTAAAAAATTGATATCCAGTGCTTTTTTAAATTTTTTTGATGTCCTTGCAATTATCATTGAAAGCAAAAAGAAAAAGAAGCGTTAGACAACCCTATTTTGTTGATTCTATGCAGATGGTTTCATTTCTTCAGAAAAAATTTAAATTTTGAGCGGAAATGTGTGATCTGGTTTTGATAATTTTTTTTTTAATACAGAGTACTCTTCTAAACACAGAAATTTCAATAGCAAGGCAATTCTATTTCGTAAAAATTAAAGCAATACCTTTCTTTTGCGCTTTTTTTTTCAGTAGAAGTGAAACGGGCAATATCGCACTGTAATCCTTGTGTGCCATATATGAAGTTTGCATACCACTTTTCATGACTAGTAAGCGAATACAAAGTAAACTCTGTTGACAGCTACAGGAAAACTCTATTCCATAAGTGGAGAATAATTTCCCAAAGTTTTCCTTAATAATCTTGGTTAGTGAAGAGAATTAGAATATTGAGTATTAAGGTTAATGATTTGTTAAATTCATCTCAAAATGTTTATCATATTAGTGGTAAAAAGTTGTCAGCAATGATATCATTTGCTGGTATAAGGATATAGAGCATGGAATTCTCTTTGGCAACTAACGGTGGTTTTTTTTTTCTTTTTCTTGGCACGTCCACAGGAACCCCGTTAACTCTATGGGTTGGGATTAGCGATTCGATTTTTTTTTCTGCCACAAATGTTTATTTCTTAATGGAAGCGTGCGGGTTTACATCAAACGCAAACTTTTCGTGACATATTTACACTAAATGCTTTTCACGTGTCTACATAAAATAACACTTTGCGATTAAGTCTCAATTTCACGCGAAAATGATGATAACTTTTCTTTATTTAAATTCGGATAGAGTCAATTTCTGAAGCTCATTTGGTATGGCGACCTTTCCTTAAGCTTTAAAAAATAAGTTTAGGAGACATAAGCCTCTTTTGACAAGAAGATGGTCATCGAGTTTGAATCAACTCATGTAGTGATCACTACCGTCCTCCTTACTTCTTGTCGTTGTGGACATCGCCGGCAATACACTTGTTTGTTTGATTATAAAAAGGCATCTTCAAACGAGGTATGTGCAGAATGTAAGAATACGGAAACAAGTCCATTTACTCCTAGATTTTAGAAATGCATGTTGAGAGGTCGTCTTTCTTACAGTTCCATTCATGTACCTTTTTTTCATTAAGAATAAAAACTCTCGTATGCACAGCTTTTTGAAAACGCTTTTTTATTTCGAAGAATCACCATAAATTACCTTCTTGTGAACCTGGCTGTCTCCGATATTCTGTTCGCAACCTTTATTACACCAAAGGTTATCGTCAGCCTCAATCTAAGGCAGCCAAATGGAGTGGCAGGTTTAGTCCTTTGCAAACTGCTGACTGGAGGGAATCTGGCTTGGATTCCCGGAATTACCTCAGTTTTTACTTTGGTTGCGATCTCCTTTGAAAGATATTACACCGTGGTTTATCCGCTTGATCCAAATAGAAAACTGACCCAGCATAAACTGAAGGTAAGTTGAAGGCAAAGTGACCATTATTGGCTCAGTATGATTCAGTAAATAGTGACTTCACTTTTTTGAAGACCGGTTACGTAATAAGACCTTATAGTAGTTTCAAGCAACGAATTAGAGAGAAGGCAGCACAGAGTATGTGGACAAAGGGAAAGAATCTTTCACCCATTCCCATGAGCACGCAATCATTTATTTAAAAGGACCAAACTTGGGAAGTAAAAGATATTGACGTTTTTATTTCATTATTTTGCAGATAATTGTTCTTTGCTCGTGGGCATTTTCAGCAGTTTTTAACTTGCCCAAGTTTCTTACGCGAACTTTTGATGAACAGAAAAACCATTGTATTCAAAGCTGGCCTAAAACGTGGATGATTACAACATACTGTTTGGCATGGCTGTTGTTAGTTATTGCTTCGGCTGTTACCATGATTGCACTTTACTCCAAAGTCGTCTACACTTTGTGGTTTAAGTCTAATGACAACAATCCTTTAAACCATAAACAACAAGTAGGTTCTAATTGCAGTTTTCTGATGGTTATTTTTTTCATGCATAGAGTATACCCCTAACTTAGGCTTTTTTGCTGGCAAACCTGATCGAGGGTACTATTGTAAACTGACTGTTAAAGCCTTGGCAAGAAAATAGTTGCCCTCAGCTTTTAGTCATGTTTTACTCAAGGAAACTGTTTGCCAAATGTAGATACCTCACTTTTTTCATCTGTGGGTAGGCAAAAATATGCGAAGAAATTAAAGAGGAAGGATCATTGGTAAACGTTCAGCCTGAACGTACATATACTTAATTTTGCTTAAGACATACTTTATGAACAATTAAATGCTTGTTACGGATCAGTCAAAAGACAAGTTAAAGCTAAAAAAAAGAAAGATGAAATTCTCCTCTCTTGTCAATCTCCATCTAATTATTTCTCAACTTTGAGACAAAATTTTTCACCGAAAGTGAAACCTTGAAGGAATTATCGAGAATATTTTTGTTTTCCTTTTAAATGACGATCTTATAAAAGCCCATGTGCTGAATGGTATGTTTATTTCTTTTCTCAATTTCCAGAGTGTGCTGAGGGTTCGAAAACGCGTCACTCTGATGGTCATAACGGTCAGTTTCATCTTTGCAGTTTGTTGGGGAACCGAATCAATCGAATACGTTTTAAGATTTCTCACATCTCTCGAAATCAGCTTTGTTCAAATAACTATTGTTGATATGATGGTTTTGTTCAATTCAGCTGTAAACCCCTTTGTGTATGCCCTCCTGAATCATCAGTTCAGGCAGAAGATCAAGGGAGTGATGTGTTGCACACGCCTCGTGGCGCCCAGGCCGCGGGCTGAAACAGCTCTGGAGACTAAGCTTTAATTCAATATACAATTAACCTTGACCTATTCATGTTTTAAACGCATGTAAGATTGTTTTTTATTATTATTATTATTTCAAACATTGCGGACCTACAGGGAAAGTCTGACCGGTATATTGTGAATGAGCCCCAGAAATCTATCAACTATTGTTTTAACGGGCTTCAAAACTAAGCCAAAAGGGTTTGTATACCTATATGCATGCCCTGGATGTATATTGGTAAGCTTTTTGCACTTTAAACGAATATTTTACAGTTTATCGTTCAATACTGTTTTATGTGAAGCTTATCCTAGGTTTCACTACTTTACAGGGTTTTTCACGGATTTTAGCCCAACATCGGAAGTTGATGCCAACTACTTATTCACATTTTAGCTCTATTTGCTTAGAGTTTGAGTTGAAATTGGCATATATTTTCTAAATGTGTTAAGTGGGAAGTGACGAAAGGCATAGTATTTCTAAAGGTACAAGGAAAAGTGTATCGACACAAAATCGATCATAAGGTAGATACTGTCAATTTAAAAACATTTTACACGCATGAAGCTCTTGACTTTCTGTCTTACGCAGCAAAAAACATCTTTTGCAGTTGTTTTACTCATATGTAAGCTGCATCGTATTCTTTTAGTTCAGCTTTGCAAGCGATCATCACTCCGTAAATTGAACGGTTGAAGCCGTTTTTTTGCATCAACTCATACCAAATTCTTCCTCCTCTTGTTTGAGACAAACTGAATGGATCGATTTGGTTTTTTGACAACTGGAAATGTGCTTCTTCTTTTCCTTTATTCCTTTATCCTCTTTCGTTTACTTTTCACCTTATCTTGTGGAATGACATAATGAGTCTCCAGCACCTTAGTTATGTGCAAAAACCTGTTACATCCTTTAATTGTTAAATGTCTCATTGTCCCGATGCAGAACCTCTCTTTAAGTGTCTGAAATTTTTTAGCTTGTTTTGACTGGCAAAGGGAATTTTTATTTATATTTTGTGAAGATGAGGACTTTTTCGTGCAGTTTCCGTATGTATATTAAAGCAAAGAGGTAGGCAGTACATAGATGTGTTTTCTGTTACAGTGGCATGGTGTGGAAACTAAACATTGTAAGGGACTTTGTTTCTTCAAGGATCACAAGATCTTTTTAACGTTAATTCTAGATGGTTCGTAGCTTTGGCAACTTTCCAAAATTAATTCCTTCCGTGATGCTGTTCTATCGATATTTTTTCAAGACTTCCTTAGAGCACATTTGATGATGTCAAATTGAAAATAGAAGGTCCCAATAACTGAAAAATAAAAATAATTTCTCGAACAAAACTCATTGAGGTAGATTACGACTAGATGCTTCCAAAAATGGTTTTATCGATAGACATATTTGTGTCGATTAAGCTTACTAACTTGCAGCATTTTCTCATTAATAATTCGAAATAAAACTTACTTGAAACGCGATGCAAGTTGTTACCTAGCTCGATATTTACCGCTTGAACACAAATTTTTAAGGATACTTCCCACCTTCGCGGTGTCCTTCGGGAAAAAAATTCGTACACACGCTAGTTTCACTAAAATCTTAGCAAACTGTATATCAGAAGAAACCTTAATAACTGTAGTTTACGATAAAAATATCATTTAAGCGACTTATCTTTTAAGGAAGTGTCAGGAGCCGGTATGGCGTGAAACGACCGGTTCTCGGTTCTCCCGCAGCACGAGTAAAATGGCTGCGTAGTCTTATTCACAAGTCATCAATCAACAAAAGTGTTTCAGGCTTTTTGGATATGCTAATTGGCTGTCTAGATATCGGCGTCTAGATATCGGCATCTAAAGTTGGAGTAGCTAAAAATATGTGAGGCGTGTTACGTACATGGACGTCATTGGGAAAATATTTCAAATATCAAAATTTCCCGACACACTTTCGTTTGTCATTACTTCTGGAATATAATGTTTAGGGATAATTTGACGAGAATCGGACAAATCTGTATACCCTATAAATTCGTTCCAAGTGGTTGTATTCCGCCCAAAATCAAATGCGAGATTTTAGCTCCTAAAAAAGGTTCGCAAACAACTCGCCAAGTCAGGAGATTATCTCGCCTCCTGAAACTGCAAACCAATGGGACAACGGGACCTCCTGGCGTCAATGACGATGGATCAAGATTTCCTAGGAAAAAGAACCCATTGCAGAAACGTTTTTTTCCTTTTTTTTTTCCATCTCGATCGCTCAGTGGAGCGATGAGGAGGACAACACAATAATGACCAAAGTTGCCAAAAGCAAAGGAAAAACCCGTGGCAAAAATGGAAAAAAACTGGAAAATGTGCTGAGGAGCTAGACAGTGAATCGACAGACAGCTTTCAGAATTAAGATTCGAGGCGACTGTTAATGTTTTTGTATCAAGGCTTGCATAAAGAAAAGGAAATCTCGTTTTAACATTATGTTTGAAAGAAATAATCCGAAAGGTGAGGCATGTTCATCCACAAAACACAATGACACGCTCTTAATGCACCTTGTCAAATCTTGTCGGAAAATTACTTCGTAAGTCAGATATTCAGCTTTAATCCCGCGTTCTTTTTCATACGTTCTCAAAGATTTGCGTCTGGGTAAATTTAGTGTACACTCGCTTCGACATATTGCATAGGATAATGTATGAGACTACCACCCGCTGAATCCATTTATTTTGAAGTTTATGTCAATAATGACAAAGAACGTCTGCTTTTGAGATTAAATTACATGCTAATAGCAAACAATTAGTCTACTGAGCAAGACTTTTCGTTGTATGATTTCTAACGCTTCAGCCATATGGTGTTCGTTTCCTCAAGTTTTCTCCAGATCAGGTAAGTGCGACACCTCCTCGTTCTTGATTCGGCATGTGCAAAATTCTGCTTTCTTAACATGTCGGTAATATCTATATTTGTCTCAAGCTCTTTCTTTCACTTCCTTATTATTGTTTTGCATGAAGCATTTAAGATATTAAGGCAAAAAGTGATAGAAAACCGGTCATGAAATTACGATATGGACACCTCATTGGATTAACGATACCTACTTATGTGCGCCTTTACATATATCACCTCGTTTTGTGAACTATTGTCACTTTTCTCATCGAAATTTTACACATGTAGCCGGGAAAATTTACAAATCGCATCGGACTTTTCTGAGAAGTCGTCATCGTCGCTATCTGAACGTTCGAGTCCAGATAGCAGTTTTTTACAATAGCCCCTGTATGTGCAACATTGTAACCCACATATCAACGGCCTGGCCCGTTTTGATTGTATCATCTCTAAGCAAAGATTCTTGTCATTATACTTTCATTAATCTTATTCATGTTTTTATATTCAACGCTTCTGAGCTAGGCGTAAATTGGTATCGCATGATGTTATTCGTTTGAAAAAGTTGAAGTAATTTCCCGTTGTTTAGCCACAAGTCTTTTGTTTTAGAAGTGGAAGCCATCGTTGAATTGGCTAGATCCTTAACGGATTTCACTAGATTAATTGATTTCAAGATTACGCTATTTCGATTTTTAACAGGTGAGACGTTCCTAGTTCTATTTAATGATATGATTAAAATGTTGTGATAATCTTATGACGTTTGCATCCTAGTGAGGAGTTGAATTCGGATGGATTTGTCTCCGGTGGCCCCGAATTCAACTCCTGCACGCTTTGTAAATAGCCAACTGGTCTGCCTCCTACCAGTTGGGGTTTTTAACGAGTTTCTGTTCATTTACGATATTTTGTTTCCTTATTTACAGTGTCCCCAATTAGCACAGCAGTGCTAAAATACACTGACACTTAAATAAAGTTATTATTATTATTATTATTATTATTATTATAGTGAATAGAACCTTAGATTAGCTGTATCTGTATCTCTGTCGGACAGATAGTACAAAACCCGATAAAAGTATAGCAAATGTTGACTTCAATAAAGCATCGCGATATATGTCTCTTTATCTCGTTATTTATTTCGTTTCTTATTCTACTTCCGCTTAATTTTTGGTTGAACTTTGAAAGCTGAAAGGTTTTTAGTTCTCAGACCGTCCTCATTTATAGCGAAGTGATCGTGTCCATTCTCGAAAAGGCACCAAAAATGAAACTTAAAGAACACGATGTGGGTTGCTTGCAATATGCCAACTTAGCTTTCGTTTACTTGCGAACATGAAATAACAAAAAAAAAACCGAATGATATGGCTGCATGTGTTGATAATTTTTTTGGCAGAGAACTAACTCTTGAGTCACTATGGTCAAGTACGGGGTTTCTTCCATCGTGATTACCACTGTGCTCTTGATCCTGGTCGTTTTGGTCGTCACAGGCAATATAGTTGTTTGTTTGATTATCAAGAGAAATCGACAAATGAGGTAAGTCGCCGATAATGATAGATCAGTCCAGTTGGTGCGTTTTTATTTTTTTTGGTATAATTAGATTGAGACCGTTGCTTGTAGATTTCTTGCTTGCTTATATATTTTAAAATCTAGCATCATCATTATCATCATGTCTACCTTTTTTTGACTCCAAAGGACTCCCATAAATTATTTACTCATGAACCTGGCTGTCTCCGATATTCTGTTTGCAACGTTTATTACAACAAAACTTATTTTCGGCTTGAATTTGAGCCACCCAGAGGGAGCAGTAGGTTCCATCCTGTGCAAGTTGGTAACTGGCGGAAATTTTGCTTGGATTGCTGGAGTTTCTTCAATTGTTACTTTGGTTACGGTTGCCGTCGAAAGATATTATACTGTAGTATATCCAATGGATCCAAATAGAAAAATGACTAAGCGTAAACTGAAGGTGAGTTGTTAATAAATTGGTGGCACACTGGAGGAGGGTGGTTGCCCCTCAGCTTTACTGACTTTTGTACTATTACGACGTGGTTTTTTTTCCTATTCCTGTATACTATCGTTACGTTCTTCTCGTAAGCTTGCCAATGCCACTTGATTGCTGGAGAAATGATTGTGCGTATACAGGCTATGAAAACTGACTAGGCTCATGAAAGGAATCATCGTGGGGAAATGAAAAGGAACTCGTGTAAAAGCGAGATGAAAATTAATAAGTTTCCCAGATCAGCAGAAGTAGCGCCGGAAATTTGGCGCCAGTGAAAAATGCAATTTAGTCGTGAGAGCACTTGCGTGCAAAGAAGTGACTCATTAAACAAGAAACTTTTATATATTTTTCGTTGTTATTCATTCTCAAAAACACTCACTCGCACTTTTTGCTTTCACTTACCTTTCTAGGTGATCCTTATTTGTTCTTGGATATTCTCGGTGATTTTTAACATACCCCTCCTTCTTTCCCGTACTTATGAGAGGAAAGATGGGACAAATCATTGTGTGCTAAGCTGGCCTGAAAAATGGATGTCCACAGCTAGTTGTTTATCATGGGTTTTCTTGATTGTGACAGCTATTGGTTTGATGATTACTCTTTACTCTCAAGTCGTGTGCTCTTTATGGTTGAAACCAAAGAGTTGCTCTCCTTTAAGCTTTGAACAACAAGTAAGGGCTTAAGTCAAAACTTAATTTTACTAATTATACATGAACCTTTTTATACAGAACCTTTAAGTTCTCATCTTTAACATATTTCGTGACATTTCCCCTTCACTAATAGTGCAAGGTATTTTTCTTCGGTTTTGTTCCAATGATACTCAGACGGAACGGACTAAATTTTGGCGGTGCGTGTACGCTATTTGCAATTCGCACTCGTGTAACAACTTTGCATTCGTGTTACATGAAAAATGCAATCGTTTTCAGCCAATCAGACGCGGGTATTTTTTTTACGTATATTACTATTCGTTATAACTAACCTCGGGAACTAAAACGTTTTACTCCTCATTTTGATCAGATGATCCACATCTCGGTGACCTTTTTTGAGCATTTCTTGATAATCGATAGCCCAATTGTAGACTTTCTTCTATGCCATCACCTTCAATAAAAATATGTGAGATACTATTTGGAACGAAACCTAGATTAAATGAAAACTTCAGGCGTCCAAGACAGGACTAGTAAAAGAAGGAAATCTCTCATAGATCACACGTTCACTTGCTTTGATTTTTGCCGAAAAGAAGTCTTGACGAGAAATGAAGAAATCGATTGTCAAAATTTTTTTAGAATGACTATGTTTGTCTTCTTTATTTACAGGGTGTGATCAGGGTGCGAAAACGTATCACTTTCATGGTTATAACAGTCAGTGTCATTTTCGCAGTTTGTTGGGGACCAGAGTCGGTTGAATACGTGTTAAGGACTTCTACCACCCTTCAAGTGACGTTCGTACACATTGCCATTGTCGACATATTGGTGTTGTTCAATTCAGCTGTCAACCCTTTCCTGTATGCCCTCCTGAACCATCAGTTCAGACAAGAGATCAGGAGAGTGATTTTCGGCACACGCATAGCAGCACCTAGGCCAAGAGCTAAAACCAACGAGAAAAGTACTACCGTGGAGACTAAATTTTAGTTGGTTGCGTAGTTGACTTAATCGATTTAAAAATAGACATTTGTCACAAGGAGGAGTGTCTTAGAGCTAGAGATTACTTGTAAATTAAACAAATGGAGAGTAATTATGGTAGTGTTTGTATCCTTAGGATACCTCGCAATCGCTAAATGGTATGTGAAATGCACACATCAGCTTAGAGGTCATCTTGAAAATTAAGAGCTTGATCAAGCACTTTTAAATATTTACCTGAGTATGATTTTTCTGTCGTTTCTCTTCTTTTAAGACGAACAATAGTAACGCAGAAATATTACCAGGAATTATTAAATGCATGTGTACGTGCACATTCTGTGACGGATACATGTTTGATATTCAATTAAAGTAACACATTTCCAATCGAAAAAGTTTTAAAATTTAGCAGCAAAGACTTTCGAAGTTTCCAATCAGAAGTACTACTAGTTGAAATTGTGACAGAATTCGCTGGTAAGCTACGCACACACATGAACCACGACCATGGTTAGATTTTGTTTAAAAACTAGTCACGGAATATTTATCCATATCGATTCGAGACCTGTAAGAAAGGTTTCGTAATCTGGGACATTGACTGTGAATACATGTGAACTATATATGTGAACTTCGGTTTGAGAAATTAACAAGAAAGCGATCTTCGCAGTAATAAACACTACTTAAGCAGTAATGAAAGTAAGGCATGAAAAAATTCAGTGTACGGGATTTGAACATGTTACCTCTGCAGTACCAGTGCAGTACTCAACCACGTGTCGTCCATTGTCACTATGATTGTGTTATACTCTCAGGTCATTTCATCTCGTGGTGTGATCCTAATGTCGGTAATTTATTAAACTATAAACAACAAGTGAGTTTTTTGATCATCATTATTTTTTCAAAAACGAAATGGCATCATAAACCCATTCTGACCTAGCCTTTGAGCTTAGACACTTTTCAGAAACCTCTGAGTGTAGATATGGAAAATTGAAAGACAGTTTCACATTTCAGGATTAGATTTACAAACCAGAGTTGTCAAATGAATCCTTCAATAGGGATGCCTTCGATCTCAAACTGTAATGAAATGTCTTACAGAAATGTCTCACCGCCGAATCCCCCCCTCCCTCCTTAAACAATTTTTTTTTTATCATAAGGCCTGAAAGAAGTCACGATTTGCGAGGGTGTGTTGAGGCTGCGTTTGGCTGATCAAGATATCCCTCGGAGGCTCTTAGTTTGCCAATCTAACTTTAGAGAAATCTCAACAAAGAGAACCTTAGTGGACGCCTTTTGTTGCTAGGACCTAAAATATCTGCTGTAAAAAGGAACCTGTGTTAACGGATAACCTTACTATTTGGTCGCGGAAGTCAGATTAGAGCCCTTCTGTTATTCGAAAAGTTAACATAACGGACACCTCAAGAGTTTTTGCTGTTGATTTAATATCTGATATTTCAAGAAAACTGCACCGTTTCAAAACCGTTACGAGTTAGCTTGTTAATCAATATTAGGGACTTTAAGATTGCCGACTACGTTTGGCTACGACGGTTAGATGTGTCCTCGGTAGACTGGGTCGAGTACCGTTAAAGGGCGCGAAAGTTTAACGCTTGTTGTCCTTTAAGATTTTGCCGACAGACAGAAGACGGTGGTTAACTTGTCAATCAATTCCCCATTCGCTCTCAACGTCCAGCAGCCGAGCAGGGTTTTTAAACGCTCCGTGTCTGGCAATAAAATTTTTTACAAACTCTTCTTGGAAAGAGCTTTCAAAATTCTTAGAGTATCAGATGTTTCTATAGAAATGTCAAGCGATTTCAAAAATTATTTTGGTTTTTAGTTGACCAATTTTCTGAGCTTGTGATTACACATACGATTCCATGATATACACAAGCTCGGGAAAATTTGTCCTCTTAAAGGGCATCGTAAATTTTGGAATCGCTTGGCATTTCTAAAAAAAATCATCGAGCACTTGCATTGGGTTTGCATGGGGTATTCTCTGAGAATTTGGAGAATATTTTTGACTACCGGCACGCTCTCGATAGACTAGGTCAGAAATGTTTTGTAAGTGTCGAAAAACTTGCCATTTTACATTGTGCTCAAGCTTAGAAAATTCCTCCGCATAAAACCGAAATTAAGTTTTAAAATCGCTTGACATTTAAAATAAAACATCTAATACTCTTACGATATTTGAAAGAACATTTCAGGAGGCGAACCAAAAGCTTGTGACACGCAGACAAAGAGAAGCAGTTGATGTTCTACCCTATTAAAAACCGATTACTGAAAACAGAAAACACAAACAGGAACTATGTTGCTAGTCCAAACCAAGGCCAGGAGAGAAACCCAAACAAGAACACCACTAGTAAAACCCAAACAGAAACTATGTTGTTCCTAATGAATATAGAATCGATCTTCGCAGTTATAAACACTACTGATCTAGTAGTTCAAATCCCGTACAGAACTAATTTTTTTCAGCCTTATTTCAACTACTAGTTCAGTTCAAATAAGGCCTAACAAAAAAATTACAACTACCGTACATGAAGCTTCTACCTAAAGTACACAAACTGGACAAACCCGCTTCACCAGACAACAACTCGAAACTTTGAGGATCGATTCTATATTCGTTCTCGTATTCAACGTGTCTGAGCAAAATGTAAATTGGTAATGCACAATATTGTTTGTTTTAAAGGTTTAGAGTAATTTCCTGCTATTTGGCCTCAGATTTACTGCGAAGTGGAAGCTTTGAATCGATTGGAACTTATCCAGATTTGTCTGAGTTAATTAGTTTTAACACCACTCCGTTTTAACATAAACAGGTGAGCCATTCTAAGTTATCTTATTTCAACTACTAGTTCAGTTGAAATAAGGCGTGAAAAAAAAAAATTACAACTACTGTACATGAAGTTGCTAACTAAAGTACACAATCTGGTCAAACCCGCTTCACCAGAAATCTCTAAACTGCGAGGATCGATTCTATATTCGTTCTCGTATTCAATGTGTCTGAGCAAAATGTAAATTGGTAATGCACAATTTTGTTTGTTTCTAAGGTTAAAATTAATTTCCCGCTATTTGGCCTCAGGTTAAATGGAACTTATCCAGATTTGTCTGAGTAAATTAGTTTTAACACTGCTCCGTCTAAACTTAAACGGGTGAGCCATTCTAAATTATCTTTTTAAGATATTGCTAAAAAATGGTGCGGTAATCTGGTAATGTTTATATTCTAGGAATGGTCATCAGTCGGTTGTTACCGAGTGCATAGAATATAGTTCAGGCCCCGGTTGTTCGAAGGTTGGATCAGAGCGCTATCCACTGGATAAAACTCTATCTGGTGCATAACGCTATACTGGATAGCTATACTGGATCGCTGGATAGCGATTTATACGTTGGATAGCATTTATTTAACGCCCTTTATACATCTAAACCCAGCTGTATTTGCCAGCAGCGAAGTAGACAGATTTTGTAAAACGTAATGAACACAGACCTCATGTCGAATTCGATGAAACGTTTCGATATGAACCTTTCTTTTGGAAACAGACAATTTAATTGGCTTCGAAAGTTTAAACGTTTTCATATCTTGGACCGTCTCCTTTTGTAATTGAAGTGGTCTTGTATTCCTATACTTGGTACTGAAATTGAGACCTGTCGTGATGCAGCTTGCTTAAGACGCGCTTAATGAGCGTTCGTTTCCTTTGTGAACATGACACGATAATAAAGATTGGTATAGCTGCATGCTGTTGATGATATTCAGGCTGAGAACCAACTCTTGAGTCACAATGGTGGACTGCGAGGTTTCTTCTGTTGTGATTACCACTGTGCTCTTAATCCTAGTCATTATGGACATCACAGGTAATACGCTTGTTTGTTTGATTATCAAGGGAAATCGTCAAATGAGGTATGGCTCAGGGATTGATAGAGTAATAACCTAGATACATTTTCATTATACTGGTGAAGTTCGATCTTGACAGAGTTGTTTGTAGATTCCTTTCATTGCGATCAGACTTCTTTCACATTGATTCATCGTTGTTATTATTTTGTTTCCCTCAACTCTAAAGGACTCCTATAAATTATCTGCTTATGAACCTGGCTATCTCCGATGTTCTCTTCACGATTTTTATCGCACTAAAGCTTATCATCAGCTTAAGTTTAAGTCACCCAGATGGAGTAACGGGTTCTGTCCTCTGCAAGCTCGCGACTGGTGGAAATCTGACATGGATTTTTGGAGTTTCTTCAGCCGTTATTTTGGTTGTGATTGCTGTCGAAAGATATTATTCTGTGGTGTATCCACAGGTTCCAAATAGAAAACTTACTATGCGTAAAGTAAAGGTGAGTTATGGCATAAATTGGTCGGGGGAAGGTGATAGCTCCACAGCCTTACTGACCATTCCCAGTAGGTAATTTAGTGTTAACAACTGGTTGAAAACGTAAATTAGCCACCGTCAGAGCGATAGGGCTAACGCTCGAAACGTCAGCTTTTTTACCCTTTACGGTGGCTAATTTAACAACTGGGTTGAAAACGTAAATTAGCCATCGTCAGAGCGATAGGGCTAACGCTCGAAACGTCAGCTTTTTTACCCTTTACGGTGGCTAATTTACGTTTTCAACCCAGTTGTTAACACTAAATTACCTGCTATACTCTCCCACCGACGCAGCACCACAGTTTCTTTAGAAACTTACCCCTTTATTCATTCCCAGTAGGGTTTATTAGAACATATTTGTTCTCATGCTTTTCATTGTTATACTATCGTTCCACGTTCCTTGAAAGCTTTGTAACGCCACTCGATAACAAAAGAAACGACTGTGCTTTCACAGGCTTTGAAAGCTGATCACGTTTATTTAAGGAATGGTCTTGAGGAGATAAATTAGAATACGTCTAAAATCGTGATAAAAAGTATTATTTTTGCATTTTGGCGTCGATAGGGCATAGTGACAGAAAGATAGAATTTGGCTACGAGATTGCCTGCAGAGAAAGTGACGCATTCAACGAGAAACGACGAAATTTTTTTACCTCCCCTCGCTTTACATCTCACCAGTTTCTAAACACATTGACTCACACATCTTCCTGTTATTTGATATATTTCAGATTACCGTTCTTGGTTCTTGGATTTTCTCGGTGATTTTTAACTTACCTCTCCTTCTTGTCGGTACCTATGAGAAGTAACATACCAAAACCACAAACACCACTGTGTATAAAGCTGGCCCCATAAGTGGATGTCCTCAACATATGGTTTTGCATGGTTGTTGCTGTCCGTTGCGGCTGTTGGTTTGATGATTTCTCTTTACACTCAAGTCGTGTTCCACATGTGGTTCAAACAAAGTGATGGCTTTCCTTTAAGCTGTAAACAACAAGAGCGTGCTTAAGTCAACACTTCTCTCACTTAATTATCCATGGCATGAAACAGTTCTTTGTCGAGTGCCGAAAGTAGTGCAGGATCAAAGCTACTTCAGAATAATATTTGTAGGTTTCTTCTCATTTAATATCAAGAATTCATCACCCAAGTTCCTCTCAGAGTATACTAGTATGAATAACTTTTCGAATCGAGGTTCTTAAAAATCAATTGCCCATTAGTTATTGCCCTGGCCTAGACAAGAGTTCAGAACTGTTTTCCTTCCTCTATGCCATTACCTTTCATGGAATTGAAGATTATAAAATTTGTTTTAGCATGACAAGGAGGGATTTCGCGTCATAAAGTCATGTAAATTTAGGGGATTACGGCAGTTGATGATTACGTCCAATCTGCAGACTAAAGGAACCTAAATGGAAATCGTCGGGCAAAAGCGGAGTTTATTTAGATTAGGAACACTCCCATCGATCACATGTTCATTTGCTTTGACTTTTACTGAGAAAGAAGCCTTGGTGAGAAATCAAGGACTTGATTCTGCATTTACCAGAATTTCCTTTTTTTTTTCATTAATTACAGGGTGTGTTGAGGGTTCGGAAACGGGTCACCTTGATGGTAATAACAGTCTGTCATTTTTTGCAACTTGCTGGGGAGCAGAGTCAATTGAATACATCCCAAGGAATATGACCTCCCTCAACATCTGCTTTGTGCACATTGCCATTGTTGACATGATGGTGTTGTTCAATGCAGCCGTCAACCCTTTCGTTTACACCCTAATGAGCCATCAGTTCAGACAAAAAATCAGGGGAGTGATCTGCTGCCAAAGTGCTTCTGTAGCACCTAAGCCAAAGCTGCTAAGGAAAATAAGGGTATAGAGACCAGGTTATAGTCGTTAACATACCTGATTTCATCTGTTATCAAAATAGAGCATAATTTCACTTTCTATTTAGGAATAGAGAGGTTATGTGGCTAAATGCCCGGCAGCCACGCACGGTTTTAAATAAACTGTAGTTCCTTCATACTTGTAAATAATATTAGACGTTAGCTTTAGAAATGTCAAGCGATTCCAAAAACTAATTTTTCTTTGAGTGGACAAATTCTCCGAGCTTGTGCATCCTATAATATCGCTCGGTTGTCGCCACTTAGAAATTCCTAGCATGTGGTTACACTGCCGGTTACGGTCTTAATGGACTATATGACCAGCAGTAAGAAATTTTTCCAAAACGCCACCGAAAACTCCATACAAATGAAACTTATTGAGTATATTCGATGTTTGTTTAGAAATGCCAAGTGATTAATTCCAAGAATTGTGTCGGTTTTTCCAGCGGTCAGCGTACCATACTAAAACACATATGCCATAAATTCTGGGAGTTCACTTTGGTTGCGTATAGAATGTTGCCTTTGACTTCTTTCTTGAGTGATATAAAGGGCTACCTACGTCAGAACAGCTTCAAGTTCGGTAAATATGGAGAGAAGACAATGCAGAAAACCTAAATAAACCTGTTAAGAAAATTCGGTGTTTGTTTAGATATCCCAAGTGATTCTAAATACTTCTTTGTTCTTTGGTGGTCAAATTTTCCCTTCCAAGCCTATAAAACCGAAAAATCGCTTGTTTGTCGACACTTGAACAGACTACCGAGCACGGTGTGTCATATTCGAAGTAAAACGCTTCGAAACCCTTCAATGAAATTTTGAGAAATATCAATTTCTAACTGTCGGGCATTCAGTCTATTTAAGACCTTACTCGATTGCCGGGCATTTAGCTTCAGTGATATCATTTTGTAAAATGAACGAACGGAGACTTACATTTGGTGGTGTTCATTTATTCAGGAATACTCTTAATGCCTAGATGACTCGTGAAATGTACGTCTATCTAGATGTCAGCTTGAACTAATTAGGTGGATTCGATCGATAAGTTTGACTCATTTGCCCTAATATTGTACTTTTTAAAATGGGTCAGCGACAGTGGCATTGCAAAAATATTACCCCAAAACTGCTTCATCTGCACGAGCACATTCTTTCCAGCACGAACGACACTAAGACGTAATCAAAACAATAAAATGGCGAAAACAAACATTTTCAAATTGTGTAATTTTACGAAACTAGATTAAGGAGGGTTCAAATTATACATTTATCTTAGATATAACTACAATTTACTCAATTTTATTTAAATTGTACACATATTTCATTCTTATTTATTTGCTTTACTTTTAGTGTTGTCCTTATATACGCTTTACTCATTATCATATCTAAATAAAGGTTTTTAGTTACCTAATAATTGACTGTGATGCGATAATTGGGATTTGGAAATTTCAATTGGAAAAAATCTATCACCCAGCAGCACAGACGTTCCAAGTTTATACTCAGTTTGACGCTCTAGCAGTTGCAATAACGCCACATACACGAACCACGACCATGATGGAATTTTTGTTTAAAATCCGTTACAAAATATCTGTCCATTTGGAATTGAGACCTAATTATGAAAGGAAGTTTCGAAATCCCCATTTGGAAATCAATTTCTATGATATAAACTTCTTCCCCAAAGGTTTCTTTCCACTAAACTTAAAATGCGATAAGGTATAGTGCAAGGAAGCATCGGCGATGCAGATAATGACCTGAAAAGCAATTCTTTGGAGAAGCTGTTCCCGGTTTCGTATTCATTAGTTTTATCCTGAGTTACAAAAAATAAGGTGACATTCTTTTTGTAATTATTCGGTTGTAGTCAGGGCCAGAACAGTGCCATTCTATAATAATATATCCAATTTTTCGCCAAGGCACACAATTAAGTTCTTTAATCATTCCCTTGCCGTGACGACAAAACAATGTTGAAAGTAATCAGCCCTCCAGAATCCAAAAAGTCAAAACTCTTTCCCTCGGTGGTGACTATTTGATAGGAGATATTCCTCCGACAGGAGACCTAAGAAAACTTAAGAACGAAACACTCTGGTATATAACATGATTTAGAACATGATATTCACAGTCTTCTTTACTCAATTACATCTACAGTACATTTCCTTGTGTTTCTTGGAAATCAAACTAGGAGTTCGAGGGAACATGAGGGAAACTAGCCAACCGGAATCAAGCACTGCTAGCGTTTTAGCCTAGAATGCTCTCTTTAAGATAGGACAGCAGAGCTCTGAGTGTTTTACCTTTAAGCATAACGTCTTTTTCCTTCAAGGAAAATTTGAATGCGATAAATACTGGGTGGCGATGTTGTTGGTTGGTTGTTTGTTAAGTTGACTCATTTTGAGGTTTTCAGCGGCATGAATTCGTGCCATTGTGGGATTGTCACAGATGAACATCCGTTTTATCTTCTCCTTGAACTGATGATTCATGAGAGCGAATATAAACGGGTTAAGTGCCGAATTAAACACAACCATTGTGTCAGCTATAGCCACGTGAAGAGAACTGATGTCAAGAGATGTATATGCTCTCAAGAAAAATTCTACTGATTCTGTTCCCCAGCAAATTCCAAAGAGAAAACTAACCGTAAGTACCATAAAGGTAGCACGTTTGCGGCTCTTCATGACGCCCTGCGTTAAAAAAAAGTGAATAATGGAATCAAATAAGGGCCGATGCAATATTTGTGGCGACACATTCGTAGCAGGAGGAGATCTAACCATAGGACCTCGGACTATCACATAGCCGCTATGCGGGAATATGAGTCCGCGCTGCTCCCCCTGCCCCCCGGCGCTTACTAGGAGAAATCGTTCGGCGGCTAAGTGCTTTGGTTGGGGATCATTGTAAGGAGAACTTTGAATTAAGTGGCTCATAAGAAGTAACAAGCCGGGTGATACTCAGGGGCAGGAAACGTTAAGATTCTCGCCATGGGGAGGCTTTGGGCTTTGGGCTTTGGGCTTTGGGCTTTGGGCTTTGGGCTTTGGGCTTTGGGCTTTGGACCCAAAGAAACACGCATATACAAAATTATTTCTTTTAGTGAGCGCTTACCTTCTGTATGTTGGTTGGTGAATTGTCCTGTTTGCGCCATAAAGCGTTCACAACTCTGGTGTATAAGGCAACCATTAACGCCAAAGTAATTATTACTAAGACTAACCAAACCGAACTATAAGCCTTAGCCATCCAATCCTCAGGCCACAGTTGTTCACAAGAATTGCCCTTCCTATTTCTTACCAGAAATAAAGGGGTGGTAAGAATTAAAGAGAATGTCCAAGAACACGGGATAATTAGCTGTGTAAAAAGTAAGATATTGAAGTCAGCATATCACAAAGCTACATTAGCTATCGTTGAAGATATTGGTTCAGTCCAATTGAGATGTTTAGAAACTATCTTCTTAAAAGCATATCAGAAATCCCCCTGCACTTACATGTGATTAAATCGAAAGATTATTATCGTTGATCTGTTATCTGTCCTTACAGACTCACCTTCAGTCTACGCTTGGTAAGTTTTCTTTGACTTTCAAAGGGATGTACGACTGCGTAATAACGTTCTATGGCGATTATGACGAGGGTGACAATAGATGACGCACCTCCTATCCATGCCACATTTCCACCAGTCACTAATTTGCATAACACGGAACCAGTAGTGCCATCTGGATGATCTAAAGCGAGGCTGAATATTACTGTTGGCGCCAGAAAAGTCGCAAACATGATATCTGCCACAGCCAGATTCACAAGCAGGTAATTTATGGGAGTCCTTCAGAATCAACAAAACATTGAATAAGTACTTTATAACTTATTGCTGACATCTGCTCAGGTCTTAAAAAATAATAAAGGGTATTAATTATGTCGTTTTATGCATAGTCGAGCACGTATGCAAAAACTCAAAGATTTCCCAGCGGAAGTTGAGTTCTCTTCGCCCGTCTTAAATCCCGGCCTTCTAAATAATCTTGGACTCTAAAACTACCAACGGCGATTAATTGCAATGAATTATCTTCCATTTGTAGAACGAAAAAGATCTTCATACGTAACAACTTATCTTAAAACTGAAAATGCGGTTTCTACTAGTGTTGGTACCTCATATCTCTGTGCTTTTTCACAATAAAACAGACAAGTGAATTCCCCACAATGTCGGCAGTGACGAGTATGACGATTATAATTGTCAGGGCAATTGATTCAGGCATTTTCTCGTGATGAGCTGTGAGACAATTCAACCTGGTGGGAAAAAGCCATAGAAACACTTTTGATCTACAAGTGAATATATCTTCAGGGTATAGAAGGTCAGCACATTGGGATAAGCGTACCGCGATTCTGATACGTAGTTTCAAAAAACATAGATTAGAAGTGATTTATAGATTGCCAATGTATAAATCATTCTTTATTCATGCTCTTCTGACTTGATAATTTCTCAGAAAATTATCATTAATTAGATTAATCATGATTTTCTGAAGAATTATCAAATCAGTTTCCAGATGAAAATCAAATCCCTTGAAAATTCGTATCCAAAGACATGAATACCAAAATGTTTAGCGTGATTCTATAATAATGGCTTAACTAAGAGTCTCTCGATGTCACTTTACTGCAAAAAGTAATCTCCACCTTGTTTAAATGGCATGTTTTAAAGGGGGCATTGGTTCCACAAGAAACCACAAAACCGCACAAAAAAACAGCCAAAACCGGAAAACCCGCAGCAGATCAAAACCTGAAACCGCATACAAAACCGCCATTTTCTCAAGAGGTTTGAATTAGGAAAACTTGCACAGATTTTTTAGAAAGCTCCCCTTTAACTCTGAAAATTTCCATCGAGAAACCAGATAGATAGATAGATAGATAGGTAGATAGATAGTTTTATTAAAATTACCCTTGCAGCTCGAGGGCTGAATTACGACAATTTTTACAAATGTAATCATGACTTAACATTTATTGATTTATTGAGATTTCATCGGAAGATTTGACTGTAAAATGTCTACCGTCCTAACATGCAAAGGCAACGATGAAACTAAACGGCGGAGTTTACAATATTAAAACAAAGTACAATCAAGATGGGCTCTGGTACAATCAATTAAAAACCCATGCAGAAAATGAACATTCACGATTGGGAAATGGGAAAACCACAAACTAAATAGGACATCACACCTGAAAAACCGCTAGTATCTCTTCCGAAAACTGGAAACCTAATGCCCCACAAAGGAAAAACCGATAGAGACACCAAAACCAAAAAACCTAATTTTTTCAGCACAAAAACAAAAAATTCGATAAAAGAAATAGCCAAAATCACAAAACCGAAAATCCCAAAGTCACCCTCTTTAAATGGTATTGATTCATGACCCTTGAACTCTGACGTTGGAGCCATATGGAAACAGCTTAAGTTTAATGAGGCCATTAATTAAAGAGAGCATCACTTGAATTTTCAAAAAGACGCGCACTGGATTTGAGTTAAGATAGCAACCAGCCGGATTCTCTGTGACCTTTGTGTTCAGACAGATACAAGACAGAGAAAGGGAGAGAAAAAAATAACAACAACAACTATAAGAGCTGAAACATTGGTGTTTATCGGAAGATGAAAAATTTGAAAAGTGAAATTTTCAAGAAAGTGCACTTTGACAAGTTCCGTGTTATATTTAAATTTATTAGTCTGGCGTGAGGAAATCCATTAACACTTAAGAACGCTTTCATTTCCCCTGGGTCATGATCAGTACCCTCTAAATATTCAAGACATATAAACTCGTGATTAAAATAGTAAATAGCCTAACCTCAGCTTAATGAAGTGGATGAATGCTCTTTTACTGCATCATAAGAAACTGTCCACTTGAGTCTATAAATGTACTCTATAGCCCTTAAATGTCGCTCTTAATAAGCTCCTGTTAAAATACCCGCATACCACATAGATTCTCTATGTCACATTCAGAAAGGTAAATCCAACAGATCGGTGGTAGTAAGGTCCTAAATTCGATAGGAGGCAAACTTTGTTAAACTTGAATAAAGGGGCTAAGTTTCTAAAGAAACTGTGGTGCTGCATCGGTGGAAGAGTATAGCAGGTAATTTAGTGTTAACATCTGAGTTGAAAACGTAAATTGGACACCGTAAAGAGTAAAAAAAAAAAAAAAGAAGTTTCGAACGTTAGCCCTTCGTCTATCGCTCTGACGAAGGGCTAACGCTCGAAACGTCAGCTTTTTGTTGAACTTACATGTATTGTAAGAGTGCTTGGCATGCACGCATTTATCCCTCAGTATGAAAGAGTAATTACGACACAGAATTTGGCCTAAATAGTGGGATGAAAGCGCTCTTAACCCCAAAATATGGATGTAAACCACAGTCAAGTAATGGGGAATTCGTCGTGTTATCGTTCGTCATGCTGTACGTGTAAACCCACCTTAGAAAACCATTGTCCAAGTAATCATTTTTTGCCCGAGGACAAGACTTTCAGCCGTCGTTGATGCTAAGATTCTGACTTAGATGGGCTGCCCAGTCATGCTATGACTCAGAACATGTTCACGAACTTCGAGAAACTACCAGTTTGTGGGAGTTATTGTAAAAAAGATTCTGACTTAGATGGGCTGCCCAGTCATGCTATGACTCAGAACATGTTCACGAACTTCGAGAAACTACCAGTTTGTGGGAGTTATTGTAAAAAAGATTCTGACTTAGATGGGCTGCCCAGTCATGCTGTGACTCAGAACATGTTCACGAACTTCGAGAAACTACCAGTTTGTGGGAGTTATTGTAAAAGTCACGTTTTCTACATCAGATATCGGGTGTTTGGCAGTAGACCTCAAATAAATAAAGGTTTATTCAGATGTTAACATCAAGATAACTGTCAAGGTAATGTTTCACTATGTCAATATTTCGAAATATTACGGAAATGCGATGACCTTGGGGTGTTGGTAAGTGATCAAGACAATTTTGGCATCGGTAACTCATCCTTTATTCCTCTATATGACAAGTAACCATTCTTTACCTTTTTAAGTGAATGCACAGTTCAAAATTAATTTCAACTTTGGTAAGCCGATTAGACGAAGCACTTCAAATGTTCTCGTTCAAATAGTATTCTTATTAGTGCTTTGGTGAAGAAGGTTTCAAAATTTGATGCAAGCTACATTCATGTCGTTGAAGTGGCTCGGTTGCAACCACAGGCTTGGTTGCATTTTCTGATAATATAAGGGCTATTAATGTTTTTCCCATTCGTTTCAGTGGTGCTGTAGCAGTACTTGCGCAGCAAATCACTCCCCTAATCTTTTCTCTGAATTGATGGTCCAGTAAGGTATACACTGACTTTTTTACACTGTACTTTTTTGAAGCACTTTAACTTACCAGATCACATTACGCTCGCTGACGTTTAGCCCACGGGCGTGCTATTATTAGCAGTGCGGCACGAGCGGCGAGGCTCACGAGATTCGAGCGTGCGAGAGGTGTTGTTGAGGTTTAGAACATGAAAGAGAGCATGCATGCGAGGATGCCATTATTTTCCGAAAACAGTGCATAAAAGCATTATTCTACCAATAATTAGCATAAATAAGGACCTAAATTTTAACTACATCATTGTGGTAGTGATGGGAAAAGTCTCGTTCTTTACGTAGAAGAAGTCAAATGATTGATGAAGTTCTTAAATTAAGATAATTGTTAAAGATGCGTCAGGATTTAAATTGCATGAAATAACAGATATACGATCGCTAGTGGTCCAGTTTCTTTCCTCATGCTGTTATTAGATGTTCAAATCAAGTTTGACGTCGTCCACTCGTGCTTTTTTTTATCTTTATTCGTCAATGTAAAAGTTATTTATTCTATCAAGTGTTTCAACGAGTCTTTTATTTTCAAATATTTAATGGTTATCCGGTCATAGCCACCCATTGTTTGTATATTGTATGCAAACAATGATATGAATGAGCTGCTATGAAAAGATATCTATATAATGTATATCTCTCATTCAATAGAGTGGACTCGTTATATGCCTATGAGTTTATCAATAAATGATAAAGAAGAGGACAATTAGGAACAGTGGAGAACGCTTGGCTTTTGCCTGGTGCTCAACCATTGGTATGAAAATGTGTTTAATTTGCTTGTGAATGGAAACTTAAAATCATATGAAAGGATAAGCATCAGGGCTCGCTTTGAAAATGAAACTAACGGTAATTTGGAAATGGCTTATTGTTCTTCTCAGTGAAAATCATTAGCATAAAATAAACGGGTTCTACGAATTCACTCTATTAGAAAGGAATAATGTGCTCGATTAAAATGTTTAGCTATGGCAGCTATTAAATCTCTAGAGAGAATTAGAAGGATCGATTAGAACTAAGATTTTGGGATGAAAGTAAGGAACTCCTCAAAGTTCCCTGTCTTCCATTCCTTTCTCCGTTTTTCTCTTTTTCTTTTTTTTCTTTTTTTTTCTCTCTTTTTTTCCTGCGTTTTGTTTTTTAGACTTGTTTTCATCTGCCTTTTTGGGAATTTTTTTTTTAATTATAAAACGATATTTGTACTAAGCTCAACTTACAGTAAATATGACTGTTAACAACTTACCTTATTTCACATTGTTGACAAACTTCAGCTTATACTTGTTAAAATATTTTGGCTAAACAACATTAACATTGACCATTCGCATGAAAAAAATTCAGCTTGATGTAAGGCCTGCGAATGCGATGATTATGCTATTTCAAAAGCTGCTGCAAGCCGGAATTACGTCCGTTACCGCGAATAATGAATTCTGAATAGAAGAATAGCATACTATTAGCTTATATCTATCTTCACTCGAGCGTATTTTCGGCTATTGATCTTTTCTTCGGGTGATATGTATATTTTTTCTAGCCTGACATTTTGATTTATCTTATAATCGATAGTGGAATTGCTGTACCACAGTATGTAAAGGTAAAAATGTACTTTACTGGTAATATTGAAGCTCTAACACTACTCAAGTTTTGTTCAAGTTTTGTTCAGTTTTGTTCAGCTTTCTTTCTGGAAAAAGATAGCAGGTTGGGCACACATGATTTTTAATTTGACTCCTTCGCATTCAATGATCCATACCGGCCGTAAACAAAGATTCCGCGCTCAAATATAGCTTTGGCTCAGTTTTCTAGTGCATGTAGTCTTCTTCCTCTAAAGAGAATGATTGACCAACTTAAAAACAAGGGAGAACTAAATTACTTTAATAGCTTCTGAGCCATGTGTCATCAGCTGCTTAAGAAACTAAAGCCTAGTTTCATCAGCAACACTTTCCTCCGTACCGGTTTCCGCTCGAGGCCTGGGTGCTATCACAGAACTTTTGCAGCACAGCACTCCGCTGATCTTCTGTCTGAATTGATGGTTCAGGAGGGCATATACAAATGGATTAACAGCTGAATTAAACAACACCAACATGTCAACGATAGTAATATGGACGAACGTAATGTTCAGAGTCGTGAGAAATCTTAGGACGTATTCAATTGACTCTGCTCCCCAACAAATCGCAAATATGACACTGACAGTTAGGACCATCAAAGTGACGCGTTTCCGTACCTTAAGCACACTCTGTGAATCAAATATAAAGAAAGAGAAAATATTGTTAGCTCAGATGCTATGACCAATAATTTTCTGATCGATATCAAGGCTTACAATTATTTTATTTTTCTGTTCACTACAAGGGAATGAGTGCTTAGTAAAGTTGACAACATGATTCTTCGAGACTTCGAGGCCAAGAATTAAATGAAAACTCTGTAGCATATTTTTGCGACCCAGCTGCAGACCTTGCGGTAAACACTCGTCATGCGCATGCTTGTACAAATTAAAAGTAATCACAGCATGAAATTATAAATTTATGAATCCGTTATTAATAAAGATGCCGTAAAGTAAGCGTTAAGATCCTCTTTACGCGTCTTTACGAACTTCTTTTCACCCTCGTAAAGAATATCTTTACGCATTGAAAACGATAGTACGTAAAGATCACGGAGAGAGACTAAAAACGTTATCTTAACGTGCCTTGTAAAAAGTCGTATAGAGAATATTTACGATATTTTACGGCAACTGTAAAGCGATCAGAAAGGCGATCTTTACGCGTTATTAAACTATCGTAAATGGGAAATATTTACATGCCCATTTGTCATTTTGCAGTTGTCTGAATTTTTGGGCAACATTCCCTTTTGCCAATCAAGCCATAACAAATGTGAGCTCGTGACAACATCAACTTAATGTGCTATCTTAGCGCGTATTGCCAAAAGTCGTATCGAGAACGTTTGCGATATTTTACGCTTCTGTAAAACGATGCCGTACATGCCTTTCAAGGACTGACCCATATATAACAACACGTGTTTTATACATTGAAATTTATTTTATTGTCATAACTCTTTAACTTTATTTTGTAATTTTCACAGTAACGTAGCCAGAGCTTTATATACACGGGAAAGAACTGAAAAATACAAATATCATAAATATAAATATTTTTACATAAGTATACAAAATGTCTCATTGGTTTCGCACAGCTTGTAGGCACACTTGTCCTTTGAGTTACCTTTCTTTGATTTCGTTTCCTTGCTGCCCGAGTTGTTCTCGGCGACAAGTTTACACGAAGAGTCCGCTTTGTTTGAAAGCTCTTCGCACTTTAAGGCATTTTCTTCATCGCGCTGCCTCAATTGCTCTCTTAATGATTGATTTTCTTTTAAAGAATCGTCCAGTAACACAGTAAAACTGTCGCTCACGCTGATGTGGTCGGAAATTCTTGACATTTCGAAAGAAAAAGAGTCCACTGATCACTTCACTCGCCTAAAGTAAAGCCAGGAGTAATCGCAAACGACGCCAAAAGTAAAGCCAGGAGTAATCGCAAACGACGCCAAAAGGACGCTAATATTCGCGCCATGAATACAAATATATGATGTCTCACCTTCTGATAGGCTCATTGCAGTCTCGTGAACACGACCCTTTATCAAACAGTACCGAGCTTGTCGAAAGAATCATCGGAATTAAAGGCGTAATTTAGTGTCAACAGCTGAGTTGAAAACGTAAATTAGCCACCGTAAAGAGTTAAAAGGCTGACGTTTCGAGTGTAAGAGCTTCACCAGAGCGATTGACGAAGGCCTAACGCTCGAAACGTCAGCCTTTTAACTCTTAACGGTGGCTAATTTACGTTTTAAACTCAGTTGTTAACACTAAGTACCTGTTATACTCTCCCGCCGATCTGCGGCAGCCTCGTTTGTATGTATTTTCGTCCCCAGGGACTCTTCATCAAACGTCCCGAGGACTAAAACAATGCTAGAACCATTGACAGCCGGATCTTGAAGTTCGACAAGCTTATTATTACAAACATTAGAGCATCACGCTTCTACACGTCATTGCAAGGTCCATTTTATGGGAAAAAAACATGATTGTCTCATCACGACAACTCCCTGATCATGAGTTTCAAGGCGCGTTAAAAAAAAGGTAGTTTAAACATATTCATGCGAACAGAAAGTTTAGAACCGGTGTAAAAGACAGAATACAGATGCAGGAAGAGAATTAAAGACTGGTTGTGCAAAGGAAAAGTTAAGGGTCATTGAGGAACACTAAAGATTCGTAAAGAGAACTAACGGCGCGTAAAGATTGATTTTGCGTAAAGAATGTTAAAGAATGTTAAAGGTTCGTAAAGGACAGCGAGTAAAGATGCGTAAAGAATATTAAAGACGCGTTAAGTGTTAAAAGCGAAACTGATCAAAATACTTCGGTATGGATGAGCCATGATTATTTCACTTCTTTGAGTATTTCTCCAAATAGAAAGTGGTTAATTATATCCATCTTGATCATTATCCTTTACGAACATTTAATATTCTCTTCGCAGTCTTTACGCTTTCTCTGCAATTACGCATCTTTACGGAACGCGGAACTTGTCCGTAAAGAAGAGGCTTTATATTTACGTTTCTTTACGCAAGAGTTAAAGATGCGTAAATTTGCGATTTCATGCCGTGAATCTCACTGGAGTTCTAACAAATGACCACAAAGAGGATTATTTTTAACTTAACTCTACTTTAGCCTTACAAGCAAAACTGGCTCTGTATAAGCTGAATTTGTTTAGCCATTCCAGACATAATTTGAAATTATTAACTCACCTGTTGTTGATAGTTTAGTGGGTTGCCATCATTGGGTTTGCACCATAACGTGTATACCACTTTAGAGTATAACACAATCATTATGCCAACGGAAACTACAACCAGAAACAACCACGCCAAGCTGTAAGCTTTAATCATCCACTTTTTGGGCCAGGTTTGCACACAATGATTTTTCTGGTTATCAAATGTCCTGACGAGAAATTTTGGTATGTTGAAAATTATTGAGAACAGCCAAGAAGTAATGACGATCACCTGAAAAGTTAATTCATGGAACAGTTTCATTTTCTTCCAAAAAATTTTAATCCGAGGTGTAATTTTTTTGGGGTTATCCCGAGTGAGCATGCACACCCTTAGAATTAAAAAAAATTCGAATTCTAATACGCTTAGAATCATTTATTGTTTCTTATTAGAGTATATTTTTCAAGTTAAGGAATAACATATGTCCTTAAGAATATCAAAAACGTTTAATTCAGTTAAATGTACTGACGGCATAAGGAATACTGACCATGCGTATTGCATGAGGAGTGACAATCAGTCTTGCTTTACCATGTAAATGAAATTGACGATGATTATGCTAGCTCTGCTATCAATGTTTTAAACGAATATTTTCTTTCTCAATCCTACTAAGTCCAAAAGAATTTCACGTTTGAGTCTGTGCGTAGATGAATTTATTTTCAAATATTACCCATTCCAAGTTAACTTTCCCTGATATTTCTTGAGGGACTTAGAAGTGATTGGTAGTTTAAAGTTCTGATATCGGATTACTCTCCCAGTGTGTTTTTAAACAGCCAGAGATCTATTATCATGAAAATTAATCTTCGACGCGAACAGAAAATGCTGATACATTATTTCTTTTCAATAATAGCTTGTCAGAGACCTTAGAAAGTACTTTCACCTGGTTTGTCAACGGGAATGTTTTTTAACTCACCTTAAGCTTACGGTGGGTCAGCTTTCTATCTGGATCCAGTGGATAAAGCACAGTATAATATCGTTCAACAGCAATAGCTACCAAAGTAACAACTGAGGTAATTCCAGGAAGCCAGGCCAGATTTCCACCTGTCACCAACTTACACAGGACTGAGCCTGCAGTTCCATCCGGGTGTACTATATTGAAGCTTACAACAATCTTGGGTGTGATAAATGTTGCATACAGGATATCGGAAATAGCCAGGTTCACGAGTAGATAATTTATGGGAATCCTTTGGAGTGAAAGAGCGAACTCAGAAAGGTCAATAAGGAACATAATAATCGAGTTTTCTTTTATTCGTAAAGTAAAATACCGTTACCGAAATTCCAAAGGCATTAAAGCATTGACTTGTAATCAAACGAGTTTCACTCGCTGCAGAAATTTCTAAGAATCAACATTTTCTAAAACATCAGAAACACTTATTCTAGATTTAAGATAACGGACGTTAAAAGAATTTCTACCAGATATCAGTCAAGTAAAAGACACAAGAGACAACCCGTAAATGTATTATGCGGTAAATCTTAAAAACTTTCCTTGATCATCATGATTATGCCGAAAATTGTATCTATTATGAAATACAGAGAAGTAGAAGGAAGGAACATACGAAGAGTGGAGTGTAACTGGTGATTACCTCATCTGAAGGTGTCGTTTTATAATCAAACAAAGCAATGTATTTCCTGCAATGTCCACAGCGACAAGCGTTAACAGTATGGCGGTAATCACGTAATTAGCTGTATCAGACACGACCATCGTGCAGAGGATCAATGCTGGTTATGCATCACCTGAACAGAGACAAACCTAAATCTGTTAATTTTTAAACGAGTTTTCTTGTATACCTTTAAGTTAATTTCAATCTTGTTGGGATCAACATTTGACATTTTAATTTGCTATTTCTGTCACACTTTGTAAGTTAAACAAATCGATCAAAGTTTCCCGTGGTCTGTAACCTTATTGATTATAGAAAAAATGTTCGAACTTAAGTGAGACTCACGAGGTTTCAGTTTTATATTGCCTTCAAGTTCGAACCACAATTACCCAAACACAATTCCCCAACCACAGCCCTTATTTGCGTAGTAAACCTTGAAATGGATAACTCGCTAAAATGGGTTCAGTTCTTTTCAACACAGTAAGCGGTCAGATGACAAGCGATGCACTGTGGAAGTAAGGTGAGGTATTTTTATTGAGAATTTGATTGTATTTTTTTATTCCTAGGAGCGGTCGTAAATATTCCCATACAAACTCTTATAATTTCGCCATGACTCTTAATTCGCAAGATGATCATCCCACAGCTGGATCTTGGGCCACCTGTGATCTGCTTACTCACAATTGCAAGATTGCAATCGATCAAAAACAACCGTTAATTTTATGGAAGATTGCTGCTGCCTTCCACCAACTCCTATAGCGCAGGCCCAGGTTGTTCGAAGGTCAGATAACTCTATTCACTGGATAACTCTCTATCCGGTAGATAACGCTATACGTTTTGCCATCACTTATCGGCTGGATAGCGATTTCTCCGTTGGATAGCGTTATCCGCCCTTTGTACAACTGGGCCTAATGTTTATCGGTAAGGAATACTTTTTTGTGTTTGATGGCATGCTCCGATCATGAATAACGCCTGTGACTAATCTGTGACTAAGGAGGCCACAAAACTCTTCTATTCAGTATATCTGGTAGGTCTGTGGCTTGTTTTCACCACCAATTTCAAATTGCCTCGACACGATGCCATAAAAACATCACCAACGCTATAAGGCAAAGAAGTCGTTTGCCTGATGAGACCTATCAGACTAAGGGCTTTATTCAGGTAATCTAATTCTAATCACACCAATATGCAACAAAAGAAAACTACGGCTATGTGTTACAAGTTAGAGGCAGTGGATTAAAACTGAAAACACCGTGAAATTTTACAGTAATCAATGCCCACGATTTCCTTATACGGGCTGCAACAATTGTATTTTTATTAATGTTAGTGCATTTGCGTCTATCTGATGATAAAGCCTCTAATTCCTCCCGTCTGAGATGTCAAATATTTATGAAGATTTTTACGGCCTTGAATGCTCAATGAGCAACCAAAATTTGCGGTGAGCTGTTAAAAGTAAACCACAAGCCACCTCGCTTGAAAATTTAATTTGCACAATTTTGTCAATTAAAGATATAGTCATACCAAAACTGATGTTAATTAAAGTAACCATTGGTCGTTGGACTCGGGAAGAGAATTGCAAATACGGAAACAAAAACAGTCTCGAGAGGTTGTAGAATAGGTTTTTAAAGTGCCTTTTTTTCAGCATTGCTCCCTAAAATGTCTGATCATTTTGTATCATAGGAAGGGGGCCATCAAAGCTTGGCAAAAAAAAATCGATCAGGCAGCTATCCATAGGAGGCTTCTTTGTTTGTCCTCTGAATATTTTATGACGCATAATGATCAGGGAAAGAACAGACAATAAAAAATTGTGGTTGATTTGTTAAATAGATTCACACGGGAAGTATTACGGACAAGAAGTAACCTGCCAAAGAGTTCTCGAAGTGAAGCATGTTGTGTACATAAATATCCTAAACACTGTACAGACAATCATACAATGCTTCAATTCTCTTACGACACAGCAACCGCCACTTGAAATGCAGCGTTTCATGCCCTCCATATTTATCAAAAATTACCCAATTTCCTCAACGCCTTGGGTAAAGACATGCATTTTCCGTGCTATAAAGACAACACCACATTATTTTTTTCTTCTATCCAAATTTTAGCGACGGTTCAAAAAATGCAAATAATGAATCGATTTCATATTCAAGTAAAGAGCTGTTTGAATAAGACTGCATAGTTCATAAGGCGCTGTTTCATCAAAATACAACAACTGCTATATATTCTTTTTTTTTAATTTTTTTTATCAATTTTGTTTTTATGGACATGCTTCTCTCATAACACAGCATTACCTACAAAATTTGAAGTAGCAGTAGTAGTTCATTATGCCGGTGTTGATCTGAATTCCATCTTTACGAAAGCTTTTTCGCAAATCCTTTATGATTTAAACTCATGAAAAATTGGAAAAATATGGAAGCCCTCACCTCCAGCAGGCTGAGAAGAAAGAGCTTTCTACGGTATCATTTTACCAACCAAAATCACCTAAATTCCCCGACATAATTTCTTGAAGCGGCTTGTTTTGAATTCTTGCCAAAATGTTCAACTTGTCTGAGACAGAACATGAGGATCAATTGAACCACGCAGATGTTTTCATAGATCATATGTACATCTTTTCGCACCGTGGATTTTAATATATGCAGCAGACCATCCTTATTAAGGTTTGGGACTTTTTAGTTACCTATTACGTTACTTTTCTTGTCTGTTCAGCGGTCTGTGAAGTTAACCGAAAGCTGGGTGCTGTTGGTCTCGCTATTATTGAGTTTTCTTCTGCTTATTACATTCTTATTACCCTCTTAATAGAAAAGAAGTTTAACGCGTTCGTATATTAAGCATTTAGTCGTAGAAAGTTGGTTTAAATTACATTCCTCTCCATTGTTGGCAATCAAATACCTTGGAACAATTCAATTCATTAGAGCGCATCCAGACTCACGTTTTTGAATTCGAAAAAGATGAATCAAATAAAAGAGGAAAGTGATTGGGGAAATGAATAAATCCATGATAACATAATAATTAATAAAAGCCATAATTTGGATTTCTCGTCTTTTAAAGTGCTGAAGAATTCGATTGATTTGAGTATTCAAGAAAGTTTCATGATTTTCCCAGACGCAAAAAATTTTTTCAATCTCAGTTCACTTCTTGCTTGCCTTAAATTAAACAGAGCACCGCTGGAGCTTTTTCATAAGTCGAACGAATGTCAAGTTCAAGCACATTACTTCCTGATAATTTCTGTGAAATTTTATAGTCGCCTCTCAACCTTTCTTTGGAGCCACAGCAATTCAACATCGGGAGTAAACCGGTATTGTTGCTTTGTAACGCCGTAAGATTGGTCTCGCGAACTCGCGTCCACCATTTCAACTGATCAGATGCAAAGGTAAAGCCAATCGCGACTTGAACAGTCGCGTTTTCCAGCCGTTCAAATTGAATTCTTATTGGTCTCCTGTGAATTTACCTTACTTCAAATTGGTTACTGTGATTACATTCGTTCTTCGTCTGCGATCTAAGAATGTCAAATATAAATGAAATTACTTCGGTACAAAAATTATGATATTGATTTTTGAGAAGGCTCTTGAAAGGTAAACATGATGTAGTTAATGTAAATGTCACATTTGAAAATAAGTAATTATCTCTCATTTGTTGCATGAAAGCTTTCAATAGTGCTGAAAGTCAAATATATGTAAATAAGTAAAATATAAACACGAGCTAAAAAAAAAGGAGCAAAGACGTTGTATCACTATAATGTAAAACTACCTTGATATTCCGGATATAATTCCATAATTCCTTTTTTTCGTTCATTTGTTTCTGATTTCAATTTCACTTTTCATCAAACAATTAGCCCCGCTTTATAATCTCAACTGAAACAGGACCGTCACTAATATAATTCGATGCCCATCTGTTGTAAAATCGGACTCCAAAACCAAATCTAATTACATTGGGTACTAGGACCGAACCGGCAAATTAAATGTAGAATTGAGAAATTCTCCCGGTTTTCCTTCCGTATCCTCTCTTCAAGTCTTTTGAATAACACATGCGGGTACTTTTCTTCTGATCTTCACTGCGATTTACCTCAGGCTTGACTTGTTTAACTCTCCTTTCTATTCAAAATTAAGCTTTCGTGACAGATGCCAAACAATTATTTCATTTGGTCATTGTACCGCCGTATGTGGTCAGGTTTGCTTATGTCGACCGGTTGTTTATATGCCAGCCATGGCATTTCTTCAAAACCAAGAATATCTTTGTAACCCAGTAATCATTTGTGACAGTGTTTATATGGTGTCCGAGACATAGGATGCATAAAGAGATCAAACTATGAAAAAGAACGAGGAAGTTGGGTGCCGTGGATAAGCGGCTGAAATGAAAACATTAAAGCTTTCGCCTGCATGCTAACATAACATCCGGGACTAGCTTTCATGATGCGTAAAAAAATCACAATGTGCAACTTGGTAAAACATGCCTTCCTATTAGCTGAATAAAAACACGCCACACTTCTCACGGGGTCACAGAGCAGCATTTGAAGAAATCCATCCTCAGTTGACAACTAAATTCGCTACTCTAAAGTCTCTTCCAATTCTCGACGATTTAATTTGGCGAATGTCACACATAAAAATTTAAAATCGGCGGGTAACACTATTTGGGGTTACTTTGCATCAGCCTTCAATACGCTCTCGAGAATTAAACTGGGAAAATTCCTGTCGTTTTCTCTTTTCTTCTCTTTTCTTTCCTTTTATCTTTTATCAATGTTTATTTATTTTCTAGTTATTTATGGTGAGAGATCTCTAAAGAGAAGTGCGATAGCTACCGCTCACAGAGATTTCAGAGGTTTGTTGATGCATGCATTTGTTAATAATACGCCCGGAAATTCAATCTCCGTCTTGAATTCAGTTCGATTCAATTCTTCGCCAGTAACTCTGAAATAATTTGTTTTAGTAGAAGTTGAATAAATTAATGAATCAAAAAAAGATGATTACCCTTGAATGTTTTCACTGATCTATCTTTGGCACTGATATCTATTGATATTTGCTGAATGTTTTTCGCCAAAATTAATGGCCGGCAAAAACACGCCGGTTGTGCTTTAATTTCGCTACTTTCTTTAAAAGTATGGAAACGCAATTAAGCTTATTTCCAAGGATTAACAGCTTTTTTTCTCATCATACCCCAAAAAACCCTAAGAACTGACGAATCTTGAGGAAGCAACAATATTTTTATACACAACGATTGCAGAAATTTGCACATGTCATCTTAAGCAAGTATGACCGAGTGCCGTGAGTAAGCGCTATTTAAATGTATGAAATGTAGTGTCTTTGCTGACTACGGTATCTACAAACATGTTCCCTCCAGACGACAGCAGTGTATACTAAACCGGGATGTAATCAATAAAAATTTGACTGACCTTAACTAATCTTTGGAGAATTTTTGCCTCACAAAGCAAGATCTCTTTCACTTTCCCAAACAAATTTATGACAGTTTTAGATGGATATGCGAACAAAACATAATCGCCACTCACGATATAATCGAAGGTCGATTCGACGTCGTCATGGCACTATTATCAAAGTGCTTGTGAATAAACCTTTGATTGAAAAATGTCAAAAACGATTATGGAGTAAATTAGCATAACAACTTAGCATCAATACATACGATTGGGCATTCAGCGGTGGCGTTACTTCTTAATGTCAAGGATTTCAAGCCAAATACAATGGAATTTGTTTTCTTACTTCTTGAGAACAAAAACTCGGCATGCCGCTCTTCTATGTTTTCCTCTTTACTCCCATAATTGAAGCTTACAGCAGGTGTGTTTAGCGTAATTAACATAGGTTTGATACATGTAATATGACTCTGTAAATGTCTATGGTGAATCCAAAAAGAACTAGTGAATCGAAAAGCTTTAACTTTATCTTTAATATTGCGCCACTTGAAAGAAATTTCACGATTCAAGGGGCTGACTATGCGAAGGAGAGAAAACGAAGATTTCGAAACTATAATGGTTTCCTTGTGGTCCAACGGATGTAAAATGTGAGAATATCTCTCTGACTTGCCCTGTCTCTTTGAAAGACCCCTATAAGTCGAGCTAATATTATAACATAGCTTTAACATTTTATTGCCTGCAGATTTAGATCAGTCCCAAAGGAAAGGTGCCTAAATTTTGATTTGTGAAGTACCCACATTTGTCAACGCATGGTGAGTGTTATTTAAACTGTCAGGATGGTGTTTGATAGCAGATGCTTCGTGGTTATTGCTTTACCCATAGGAGAAAAAAATATATGATTCTTTTTCTCAAACTACTCGATAATAGTGGATTTACTTTTCCAGTGTCATAAAAGAAAATATGTCACGTAAAGTTTTCATGATCGCTGTTAAGTTCAAACAACGAGAATCAAGAAAACCATAATTGCCATTAACCGACCGTTCGGTCTCCCACTGTTAACTGATATACAGTTGTTTTTGGCACACCTAATGCAGTACAAGATATAGGAGGGTGTGGTCTGAATGCAATTTGATGTAGACCTTCTCTTGAATGGGCGTCAATAAAACTGCTCGAGAAAATATTGAGAAGACATATCCTCCCTGCTCGAGAAGCAGAGGGAAAAAAGACAAACGAAGTACGTTTTTTTAAAGGATGAACAAATACTGAGCAGCTTTAGTCGAGCGCAGCAAAAAGAAGAATTAGTGGCGATACTGTTTCACGGTGAGGAACACTTCTCTTCGAATTTGAAAAAAGTAGCAAGCAGAACTGGTCTGACTTTGATTTTTTTACCAAACTTCAACTTTTTGTAGTTTCGTAATATTTGTTTACACAGATTGGTGTCACTACAGAAAGAAGCATAAACACCGCTGTTCAAATGAATACAACAGTCTTAGACCAAAACCTTGCAAAGTTTATTGTCGCACCAAAAACACAATAGCTGAAGAATAGAGTGGCTTAACTCTTTTAGTTCTTTGCAATTTAAGAGAGATGCCCAGAGGAAAACCACTGTACACTTATATCAATTAGTTTAGTGTTACAAAACGACAACAAAGTTATCGACGTTGCACTAAAATTTATTCGCGTTACTGGCAATGACAATATTTAGAATAAAATTTTGCAAAATATTTAGCAAGCCCGACTTAGAGAGAACTCAGTTTAGTTTAACATCGAAGCAGTAGCAAAAAAAATGAAGAGAGCGGCATTCAACCCCTAATGGTTTTTGCAATCGATAAAAGTTGATAACACAAAAACGATGAAAGATATCGAAGAGGTAAATGTTTCAAAGCAGTTCCGAAAATAAATTCAGAATCTTCTGCCGAGCTAGCAAAATAAACCAGTAATTGTATCTTTGAACCTTGTAAAATTTGAGCCAGCACAAGCTGCATGCACATCAACATTTATCCAAGTTCATGAGACGAAGCAACAAAAAAGCTCAAAATTGCACAGCTGAGATCTAGCTTTGCTTGGTTTCCGCAATTCATTACAAATAGCCAAAATGAATGTACTCCTGGATATCAAAGAGTTCAGAATTACAAAACAATGAGCATTGTAACAAAACTCCCGAAGCTCAGAATCAACCTTTCAGCTGACAAAGAGAATTTCAAACATATATGGCATATTCTGACCTGGCAGAAATTTGAGTAAGCCTGTTCCTCGGCATAAAAAGTCCAGCTAGACTGCTGAGAAGATTGAGGTTCTGCCTTACTAACTTCTTTAACAGAGGGCCAAGGCAATTTTTCCTCGCGGCAATTTGAGCGGCAGGACTCATGGCCCTCGAAGTAGAGGCAAGATGAGAGCAACAAGCTCTGGGCTGAAACGAAACGAGTCCTCTTTGATTACTGGAGAATATAATGATTTATGTGAAAGCTATATCGTTCGTGCAAAGCGTTCTTTAAACATTCATAACCAAAAGTTGCACTGTTAGGTGAATAACAGTTAATATTAACCAATTGTACAGATGTACAACGAGGAGGGTCGATTGCTTCACGAGAGTGCTACGACAAGATCCGATCGATGAAATGTTCACACGGAATATCGTTCGATGTAATTTCGCTTAAGAATTACTGTTCGTAATGTTTACCTGTTAGATAAAATTGGTGTTTGATGATTTCTCTACCGATAAGGCGGAGTACCGCAGGCGTTTGATGACTGACTCATCTTTCCAAATGTAACTAAGCATATACTACCGAATACAAACTAAATTTGAAAGCGGATCTCTTTAAATTTGAGGCGAAATTTAAGTTCTCGAAAATCACAACGGTGAACAAGGTAAACCAACTACCTCTACTAACAAAACTGTTCCAGGGCATCAGATTATGTGCTTCAAAGGAAGCAGCAGAACAAACCATACTGCGTACACTATAGTGCAGCTCACGACCGTCGTTTCACAAGCTGGAAAATGTCCCTGATGCAGTTTGAAGTAACCAAGCACATATCTTTTCAGCTTCATTGACGCTCCACACAAAATTCGCGTGGCCTCAATCGTGTCAAAGTCGTTTGCAACTGCAAATTTTCCGAGCTACTTTTTAATTCCTGCAATAGTGAAGGCTGATGTCCAAGTATTTTTCGGTTCAGAGATGCTGTGATGTAAATGAACTGACTTTAAATTTACAGACGTTTGTACCATAGTTGTATATTTTGGAGGTCTGTGATACTTTCGTCGTAATACTCTCTTCTGCCAAGATCGAAGTTCGATTCAAGTCAGAGAGTGGCGTGATTTATCTGAGCCAATGACAATTCATTTCTAAGAATAGCGACAATGAGTCCTACTAAGACAATAGATTACGTCAAATCAAATTTCCGTGTTGTGAAGAGAGAAAAGAACCCGCTCTTGAACTATTTTGAAGTATATAAGCTTTCAATACTTATAAACTTTGTTGGCTTACAAAATGAAAAATCAGACATTCCAGCAGAAACAAACTCGGCTGCAACACGTGAGCCACGTTTTGTTTTGGTCACACAGTTTCACTACTGCTGCGATCTTTCATTACACTTGCATACGTGCTCTCGCTGGGATGAGATTACGATAAGTAATAACTGATCCAACCATGCATGTACATCCAATTGACAATGTGTACCCTCTCTTTCCACCTTTCTTCTTCTCTAATATTTAAGCGGCGATCTCTGTAGGTGCAGTCCAAGGCGTTTCGCATCGGAAAACGTTTTGCCTCAAACTTTGCTCATTAAACTACTTTTGGTAGTAAATAAATAAAATCACAAAGGGTTCTGGAAATACGTTGAAAAAAATTTTTGACAGCTCTCAACAATCAAAGCTGCAAAAGGCCCTTTTTTGTCCTCTTGAGACATCGACAATTTCAAAAGTTGACAAGCTCACACACTACATGCAGCAAGAAATCGTTTGCATTCCTAAATTGTGTGATATGTAAGGGATTTGGATAGCGTTTCAATTTTGACATGTGTTTATTCAGAGGTTCAGCATAATTTTATTTAAAAACACCCTTTAGACGGCTTTCTGAAATTGGTCATAAGTACTCGTTCTTTCTTAGGGTGATATTTCTCAAGTCCAGAGCAGACCATTGAAAAATTCCGCTTGGTTTCTTCTGATAAGAGGTTTGAAAGCATAGAAATGTAAAAACATGCACTTATTAGTTTTCTTCTCCTTAGTGACTTCAAACTTTAGGTGATTTTGCTAGTGTGACAGCAGAATTATGCAAATTATCTGTTGAGAAGACTCCGACCGTTTGGTAGCCTTATAAATCTTAGATTTTAACGGTTTTAAAAAGAAGGGCTGAACTTTTAGAATGATAAAATTAGAGAGCTAAATTCTGGCAAATGATTCTGTCTCGTGCCAAAAAGGTGAACAAAACGTATCGAATATCATTTTGATCAGCGTTCGGTCAACGTGTTGATGAGAAACTTTTTCAAAAAATTGGTTTGTGTTCTTTTTATATTTGAATTTAAGCAGCTTAAGCTATTTAAACCTGTATGAACATTTCAGAACCAAACTACAGGATTTAATTAAGTTTAACCAGCGATAACAGCATTACCACTACGAACAGTATCTTCTTTAGTGCCTTACTCCAAGAGCTTCCGGCGGTCCACCAACATCTATTTTTCTTTTTTCAGCTCTGATCTTTTTTTTACTCGCACGAAGGACTTAGCCCAAAAGGAGGGACTGCACGTAATCTATAACAGTACATACAGAAATTCACCGTGACCAGAGACTTAGTCACATAACTCAATTATGTACTTTCCCATTTCAAGAAGGCAGCGATAACGTGATTTTTTGCTAGGAATTTTAGCCTAGTCACGCCTTGAGAGCAAAGTTGGAACCATGGAAACTTTTTCTGTCGCTTTTTTGTTGCTCTAATGACTTTGTTCAGTGCGTCATCTGGTGAGTTTATCCTCCTGAACTTTGTGTTTTCTTAAGAATTTTCCATTGACATCTTTTGGCTCCTTATATCCGACTCTAAAGCATAAATGTATATATGCATGTCAGGAGCTCATTAAGTAATGGGCTTCTGTGCATGTTGAGTCACTGCGGAACTACAAACGCTCTGCTCCTATGCGTTCTAGTTCGTCTATAGTTCGGAAAAAAAATCTCTAAAGCCATCCGCACCCTCACTATTTTTTAGACTCCACAATGATTTCCTCTGTGTGGCATCTTGAGCTTCTAGTACTCTCCACATGGTGGATTTACTTATCGGTTGAAATTCAGTTTCTTTGCAATTGGCCATGTATAAACGTGGCTACTGTGCGCACCACGTTAGACAAGACAAACCTCTCACCGCCTTTAAGTTTGATGGTGCAAGTGCCTTACGCTACGTCTTGATAGTAATATGGCCTCTTTGTGAACTCTAAGAAGTGGTTCAGCTGACGCTGTTCCACACGGATTGTGTGCCGTGGGATTTTTTCCGAGCCTCTCACTCTTTGCTTGTGTTCAGTGCCTTCTTTATTTGTCTATCAAAGAGGTTGTATGTGTTTAAGCGCGTTGGCTAAGAATCAGTATTACCATAAAGGCCAACATAGAAAGCTATCTTACACTTCCGCTCATTATCTACGACCGCTTGGAAGAACGCTTTACCATCTCTTAGCGCCGTGACATCGCACACCAGCTGGCAAGCTTCTCCAGCTTTTTGAACAAACTCAGAAAGGGGCATTCTTCCCATCAATATCCTTGGGATCCTGGGCTTTTGTACAGCGTCGGCGATGCCATCATTGCACGCCTTGAAACCTTGCACTGGATCTTGGACATTTCTTCTGGCTGATCTGAAGTCTTGTTTTTCTCTGCTTCCTTCAAGCGCAAACACAGCTGATAGCCTGAAGGAACAAGGCTAGAATTCGAGCAAAAAATCACGTTATCGCTCCCTTCTCTAAATGGGAAAGTACACAAGTTAATTACGTGACTGAGTCTCTGGTCACGGTGAATTTCAGTATGTACTGTTATAGATTACGTGCACTCCCTTCTTTTGGAGTCCGTCGCGCCAGTAAAAAAAAAAGCAGAGCTAAAAAGCGCGCGCCGCCGAAAGGTCTTGGAGCTTCACTGATTGTTTTCGACCTGCGCCACGGACTTCGCCGAAAAGTAGGAACTGCTCGTCGTGATAATGTTGTTATTGAAGGTTACACTTAATGAAATCCTGTAGTTCGTTTCTGAAATGTTCATACAGGTTGAATAGCTCAAGCTCTCTAAACTCAAATATAAAAGAACAGAAACCAATTTTTTCTTTAGTTTCTCATTAACACATTGACCCGAAGCTGATCAATATGATATTCGATACGTTTTGTTCACCTTTTTTGTCACGAGACAGAATCATTTGCCAGAATTTAGCTCTCTAAAATGTCCGTAAAGTCAATCAGTGTATTCTAAAAGCTCTGCCCTACTACCTTGTTTTTTAAAGTGGTTAAAATCTAAGATTTATGAGGCTACCAATATAAATAGTCGGAGTTTGCTCAACAGACTAATTTGCATAATTCTGCTGTCACGCTAGCAAAATCATCAAAAGTTTGAAGTCACTGAGGCGAAGAAAACTAATAAGTGCAAGATGTTTTTATATTTCTATGCTTTCGAACATCTTATTAGAAGAAATCAAGCGGAGTTTTCAATGGTCTGGTCTGGACTTGAGAAATATCACCCCAAGAAAGAAATAGGAGTACTTTTGACCAGTTTCAGAAAGCTGTCTAAAGTGTTAAATACATTACGGCGAACCTCCGGATAAACACGTATCAAATTAAAATTGAAACGCTTTCCAAATCCCTTATATATCACACAATTTAGGAATGCAAACGATTTCTTGCTGCATGAAGTGTGTTACGGAGGAGCGAACTTGTCAACTTTTAAAATTGTCGATGTCTCAAGAGGTCAAAAAAAGGCCTTTTGCAGCTTTGATTGTTGAGAGCTCTCAAAATTTTTTTCTCTACGTAATTCCAGAAACCATTGTGGTTTTATTTACTTACTACCAAAAATAGTTAAATGGAAAAAGTTTGAGGCAAAACATTTTTCCGATGCAAAACGACTTGGACCGCTCTTACAGAGATCGCCACTTAAGTTCTTATATCAAATGAGTTTATTTTTTTTTTGAAAACCTGTCCCATACGGATAGTGAGGTTCATCTGCTATTTAATAAGTAATGTTTTGAAACTCATAAGGATATTCCGCAAGATGTTTTCGCATTCATTTAATAGAGATGGTAACTAGTTATGGCCAAGTGACGAGAGCGCAGACTTTTTGAAGTCATCGTTGAAACTATTCATATCAATACTTAACCATCTTCAAACAAGCGGACTCCTTGAGTTAATTGCTTGCTCTATCTACTGCTACAAACGAAACAAAACTATTTCTGAAATTGACACGAGCTGTATACGGATTAATGAGAGCCATCTTAGAGGATTTTAATTCTAACCTAGTTTTGCATGAACTCGCGGTCGATTTCTTTCTCGACAAAGAAACAGAAAATTTTGTGCGGAGTAAGAAAGATTTTAAGGGTGTTTCAGTTAAAAGCGTTTCTGTCCACTGTCTTCTCAGCCTGAATATAAAGAACATGATTTCATACACAGTGTGTACTGGCCACGGATGGGCCCGGGTGCTTTAATTCCAATAGTATCTTCGGGAGACTGACTGAGCTCGAAAGACGACCTAAATCTTACGTTACAATTTTACCTTTTCTGCGGCTTTGGTTTATATGAGAGATTGTCTCCGGTACGGCGTGAAAGTTCTATGAATCCTTGGGCTTTGGATTGGTTATTAATAGAAATAGAATTTAACGATATAACGTGCCTATGCAAGTCACTCAAAGGGAATGTAGTCACGGAATATCAGAAGGATGCAGTTGTTTTCTGTTTCAGCATACATAAACTTTTCAACTAAAGGGAAGTGCTTCCTCTCACAGGATAAAAGGTGAAGCGGAGGTTTGTTAACAGTTTAAGCTTAAAATAGAACTTACACAGACACTTACTTCGTGACCTCGAAAACGTGTTCACAGTTATTGGATTTTTGCAATTTAACACCGGTATAAGAGCTTACTGCATGCAATAAACAATTGTATTAATGCTTCTCAAAGGGAAAACAAATGAATAAATTCTCCACGTTGATTCCCAACCGGGACTGGTTAGTATTAAGATATTTATAAATGTACCACTTACCGAAACTTGCGTTCTGCGCCACTGACTAACCTGTACAGCAATCGCGTTTACTCCTCCGGTAGGGCTTCAGCAGGTCTGTGCAATATGAAGCCGGAAACTGAAGTATCTAGACAACATGATGACAATCTCAATATTACGCCTTTCCCTTTTCCAGGGAATTACTAATTGACTTAACGAAATGATCGAAGTGACACTGCTATAGTTTTCGATGTCAAAGTAAATTAGAGAAAACTGAACACAATCAAAGAAAATGCTGAAACTAATTAGCTGTTGCGATATATTATTTTAAAGGATTATCATAACAAAATGGTCAAACCATTCCAAGAACGGAACTTCAAAGATTTATTTTCCCTATGTAGATGACATACAAAGATGTCTAGCCGGAGGGAGTTGTTTGGTAACAGTTATATTATGAAAATTATTCAATCTAGCTGTGCTGATCTGAATTCTCATTATTGTTGTTGCTTTTTTCCCAGCTCCTAATACGGATTTTCGACTTTGTCAGTCTTGTTGTTTGAACAGAGTCGGCGATGTTTGATTCTGAGTTACACCGTGAACACGGTTTCATTCTCATAGCTCATGTATGTACATTAACTGCATAGACCCATTTTTAAGCTCTTCGAGTTGAGTGGACAGTAGTTCACAATTTCGTTTCTTGTTTCGCATTTTCTTTATTTGAGTAAATTTCCGTTTTGAAGTAATTATAGGGTTTGTTATTTTTTGCCTTCAAATAACAATTAATGTCACCATTATGCTACTGAAGTAATTTCTATGGTCTCCTCGACCTTGTTTCCTGAGCAGTCGGAGAAGCACATCATTTCTTTAGTCTTCTCTCTGAACTGTCTGTTTAACAATGCATACACAAACGGATTGACGGCAGAGTTGAACAACACCTTTATGAAAGAAACGGAGACTGAGACAGGGCCACTGTTGTAGGATGTAAATTTCCTTAAAACATAAATAACTGACATGAGTCCATAGCAGATCCCAAAAATGACAGGGAAAATCATAACCATTTAAGTTACTCGTTTCCGCATTCTGTTTACCCCTGAATCCAAAAGTGAGTCTATTCCGTTAACTACTTGTCCGTACTAAGAGTAATTGTCATCCCTATTAATGATATGAATATTTCAGGTAATATATGCAGAAGTCCTTCGATTGAACACACCAAAGAACAAACACATTTAAACAATGCAAATTATCACAAAGTATACTTGCTTTTAATCCAGTGTAATAAGGAGTGTCTTTGGGCTAAAATGATTGATTTCATTCACTCAACAAAACTCGCCGATTCCGCCGTTGACGACAAAGTTTGTATCGAGCAGATATAGCCAACGCGTAGGCCGTACCCTCCCCTTCCCCCCCAGTAAAACAAGGGAACGTCGACGCAAACCTGACACTAATCGTGTTCCGTGAAGTTACTTTAATTTATGCAAAATAATATCACTTGATAATAGCGGAGCTCGCAGCACGCGCAGCGTAGCCCCATAAATATACAGAATAGTAGTAACCCATCAAGCCGAAAGGATTTGGAGTTATGACCGTACGACCGACCGTACAATGTGTTACTTATACCATGCGCGGCCAAGTGCATTGCAGGCACGTTTTTATCCATTACGTAATGGAAGGGCAATGGAGAAGGTAATGCGTAAGCGCGATTGCGCGCGTAACCAGGATATCCTTGGATACCCCATTAGTGATCTGCCAAGAAGACACTGGCAGATCACGATGAGGTGTGCATACTCATACATACATACATACATACATACATTCTTTATTTGATAAGTAGGTTGTGTGAAAGGCAGCCAAAGGGCTGATGTGGACCTACTATACTAAATATTAGGAATTACATATATATAAAAATTGCAATAATAACTTAGAACTACTATATACTAATAAAATGGTGTTCACTAAGACTAACATATAAATCTAAAAGTAAATGAAATGGTCCTTTCTGTTGGCAACTACTGTTGCCTCTTTCTCAAATGAAAAATTGTCAATAGTCTTAACATGTTTACGTAAGATTTGTTTAAAAGAATAAAAACTTTCAGGTACTTTAACTAATCTATTTACAAAATTCCAAATAACAGGACCTCTGTATCGTAGGGAGTTCCTGCCGGTCTCTGATCTAAATCTAATGACATTAAATTGGTTAGGAACACGAGAAGATCTAGAAGAAACTCTTTTAGAAAACAGTTCACATATCGACTGGGTCGTTGTTCCAAAATATACTTTGTGCAAGAGGAACAGTACAGATTTTTATAGAAGTAAGAGATGGGCAGCCAGTCGGATTTCATGAGACATGTGTCATCTGCCATCGTTGAGTCGAGGTTATTCACAATACGAGCTGCTCTTGCATGAATATGGTTTAGAGAGTTCAGTGCGGAAGGAGAACAATTTCCCCATACCGAAATTCCATACGTTACACTGGGGATAATTGTTTTAAAGTATATTTCCTCGAGAACCTTCTTCGGAAGGATTCTCATTCTCTTCAACGCTCCAACCTTCTGCGTAAAAGATTTCTTCACTGAGTCAATGTGCACAGACCATGTCAGCTTATTGTCAATTTTAACTCCAAGACAAGTGGTGTAATTAACCAGGTCGATATGGCCAGTGTTAAAGTGGAGGGAGGTATAGGCCCAACAAAAAAGAGGTTTTACTTAGTATCATTGCTTCAGTTTTAATTGGGTGGATGGTTAGCTGATTCTTAATGCTCCACAGGAGAACTTGCTCCAATGATTTATTTAGTGACAACATAACCTGGTCAACATTTGGTCCAATACAGTAAACTGTAGTGTCATCTGCATACATGTATAGATCTCCCGAGTCGATGTGGTCAGGGAGATCATTAACATATATGGTGTAGAGCCGGGGCCAAGAAGCGAGCCTTGAGGGACTCCATATCGCACATAGTCAGTGACCGACCTGCAATTATTAACTTCAGCAAATTGACATCTATCAGTAAGATAGCTCATTAGCCATTCATGAAGAGATCCTGATATTCCAATGGCGTGTAGTTTATGCGATAAAATATAATGGGGACAGTGTCAAAAGCTTTCTGGAAGTCAATAAAGACTGCTCCAACTGTCAGACCATTGTCAATTGCTGTCTTCCATCCTTCAGTCATAGAGGTAAGCATTCCTTCAGTCGATAGTCCTTGCTAAACCCCCACTGTTTACAGCTTTTTATGCCACAGCTGTTCAGATGGGTATCAATTATGTTGCAGATCTGGCTTTCGAGCAGCTTGCTGGGGATATTTAAAAGTGATATTGGCCTATAATTTGAAACATCTGCTGGGTTTCCTTTTTTAAAGATTGCATTAACTTTTGCAATCTTCCATGTGTTAGGGAAGCTGGACTGAGCCATGCTGCTCTTGAAAACAGTTACAATGCCCTCTAGGGCGGATGTTCCTGCAATAGCTAAGCTACGAGAAGAGATGCCATCAGGACCAGATGCTTTGTTAATTTTAATTGTCTTGATATCAGTTTTGAGTTTGTTGATGTTGACCTCCAAGACCTGCACAGTGGGGTAACTCTGTACATGAATTGATGGGGATCATCAACTTCGGGGAATTTTTCAGCTAGTTCCTTGCCAATATTTATGAAGTAAGAGTTAATCAGTTCAGCTTTCTCGTAGTCATTTGTGATTTCCTTATTTTCAGCATCTCTGAGGGGGCCAATATGTTTATTCTTAGGTTTTCCAGTGGCCTCGTTCACAGTTTTCCAGAAAGATTTTGAGTCCTTGGTCTCTGTAAATTTCTTTTTCCAATATTGAGCTTCAGCACGTCGTAGCATCTTAGATACTTTGTTCCTAGAGGATTTGTAATCAACCCAGAGTTTTTATTAGCGGGTGTGCCATCACAGGCTTTCAGAAGTTTATATCTCTTATTCATCTCTTTCCGGATCTCACTGTTCATCCAAGGTAGTGAATTTTTTCTAACCTTGGCTTTACGTAAGGGAATGTGACTGCTTGCAATAATATTATACATGCAATTCCAAGCCCAAGTGATGTCATCCAAGTCCTCAAAGGTGGAACAGACCCACCAGGGAGCACTTTCCAGGTCATGTTTGAAGTCTTTCGGGTTTTCCAACACGTTCTTGAAGTTGTGGACATATTTAATAAAAGGCTTTGGATTCCTGATCTTCAGCTTGTAGATAACGTAGATGAATTTGTGATCAGCTATGCAATACTCAATCACATCAGACTTTGAGACCTTTGAGGTATTGATAGTCAAAATCAGATCGATCAAAGTGTTAGAATGTGCTGAGGTTCTTGTGGGTGCTTTTATGATGTTACAAAAGTTATAAGATTGTAAGATGCGTTTGAATTTCGCACCATTTCCATTAGTAGCAAGCTGATCTGAATTGAAGTCACCAGCGATCACAACATTCCTGCGAGACATCCAAATTGTACTCAATACTTGGTTGAATTCATCAAAGAAAGATGTAACGTCAGGAGGTCTATATACACAACCCACAAGTAATCTTTGCGAGTGAGCTTTCAATTCAATCCAGAGAGCTTCAATGCCGTCGTTGTCATATTTGGATATACGTACACAATCTAGGCTAATGTTAAAGTAAATAGCGACTCCGCCTCCTACTTTGTGTGACCTATCTCTTCTCAGAATTCGGTATCCATCGATGTTTACTTCGTTATCGCTTATATCTTGTGTCAGATGCGTTTCAGAAATGGTTAGGATATCCAGGTTGGTATGCTGTAAAAGTATTTTCACTTCGGGGAGGTTCTTACGGAGGCCTCGCACGTTCGAGTGACCGATGGATACTCCTTGCTTTCCATTGTCTCTCACCACGTGAAGTGCATCAAACAGAGGGGAAGCAGGCCCCGGGTTAGGACATATGTCGCCACATAGTTGTAAATATTCAAAGTTGAAGCTTGCATCGGAGTTGCTGTAGTAGTTGACTCTCGAATTCCTGAATCTGACTCGAGCTTTCCACACGAATCCAATATGGCGGATATTGAGTCGAAACAAAATGGAAGATATCGGTTTCAAAAACCAATGATTATCCCAGCTTTGCTTGTTTACTTTGACGAGGCGCATATCTAGTCCGATGTGTGCATCTTTGCCACTTAAACATGCCAATATGTACAGAGAAAAGCCAAAAAGAAACCAAAGTATAGGCGAACTAAAAATTTTGCTTCTTCCCGCCATGATGATTCATATACAATCTAGCCCTAATACTCGAGAGCTGAGCTTAAGTACAGCGTATCGCGGGCACACGGCTAGGCATTACACAAGGGCTTCACGTGAACTAGTAGATGTGAATAAAGGGGGTAAGTTTCTAAAGAAACTGTGGCGCTGCGTCGGTGGGAGAGTATAGCGGGTAATTTAGTGTTAACAACTGAGTTGAAAACGTAAATTGGCTACCGTAAAGGGTAGCTGACGTTTCGAGCGTTAGCCCCTCGTCATCGCTCTGACGAAGGGCTAACGCTCTAATAGATGTGAAGCCACGTAAGCAAATAATTTGCAACACGCGTTTTGAGCGGGAGATCAAACTGGTGGGGTTGTGGTTGAACAGTGATATTCAGTATTTTGCAATTTTTAATCAACTCGCAGAGCAACAATACCGGCAGAGCTAAAGCCTTGTCAACCAGAAGAAATTGTTATAATACAAGTTTGTGGAGAGAGGGTTTTGAGTGAAAATAGGCCGGAAAGATAGAGACAGAGCGACCAAAGAAAGAAAGAGGTAAAAGGCGTAGAGCGAGTCGAGAAAAACGTGTAAGGAAGTTAGAAGGGACGCTAAAATAGGCAGAATATGGCGAGAGGAACGCGAAAGAGAACAAAAAAAGGCATAAGTAAAAAAGGCGAATATCTAGCGAAGAGCAACGTGAGCAGGAAATACAAAGAGCTCCAAAATACAGGCTGAAAATGGGTCATCAACAAAGAGAAGGGAACCACAAAGGATCCGAGAAAGAAGAGGAGGTAAGTCGTGTCTTATCTGGGTTTTCTCTTACGCTAAGGCCTAGAAAAATTTAAACCTTTTTCTCCCAATCTTCGTTTGATACTAGCTTTAGTTTATAATTCAAATCACGTTTCGCTAAAACAATGACTTTTGCATTCAATTTGCGTTCACCGCTCTAAGACCCTCGCGCCCTTTCATCGCTTGAATAAAATTTCAAAGTGTTCGTATTCTTCAAATTTTTTCTTGTCCCACCTTTTAGAATGTTTTATACAGTCGTGGTGTTTAGGGATAAGAAGTTATCTTACGGATTATGTTTTGCCTAGAAAGTTTTAAAATGATAGCGAACGGCGTGAGCAGTTTTTTATCATTCTCTCTTCAGTTGGCTATCACAAGGTTTACATTATTAATTTTAAAAAAAATCGCGCTTTGTCGAAGGTTTGTTGTTTTGTGCTAGGACAACGTTAAATTTTTTTCACTTTCTAGAAGCGCTTGAGGATTCTAAATGAAGATAAAATATTTCCACTAGAAAATGGTATTTTTCAAAGAGAAATATGGAAAAATATCAGACTGCTGGACACCTAGTTATTCGAAGACCGTGTCCGGTGAAAATTTTCTTAGTGTCACGGTTGGATCTCTTCGCACTCTGTGTACATGGCCAGCGAAACGGACAACGTTAGAATTTTTATTCTTATATGCTGCTTTGCATGGACAACAACCTCGACCACTCTTTCGAGCGCAAGCTCCTCTCCACGGGCAGGAAATTTCAACTGACCCTTGGTCCTATTTAACAAGGATGGCAAACTTCAATTAAAAAAATTGATGAATGGATGAAAACGTGGTGGATCAACATTTTCACCTTCTTCGAAATACTCGCAAGGATTTTCGTGTTCCTCTTTAGCAACAACCGATCCATAAGCGTTTACTGCCTGGGAATCTACAAAATCAATGGATTCATCTGATTCCATTTTGACAAGCTCTTCAAATTCATCGGGGAAAACGCAGAAGATATTTTGAGACAACGTGACACGGTAAAAATAACTGACCAATCAGAGGCGCTATTTAAACAAAAGCGGTGGTTCAAAACAAAACAAACGACCACGTTGCATCATGGTTGAAAATGGGCCTCTAAATTACCGAGCGCAAATGTGAGGAGTAAACAAACTCACGGGTAAAATGGTGTTAATTCAGCAGAGGGAGGAGTGAATTTCATTGTTTGGTCATGGTGTTTTTCAGCGCTATGTCTTCATGCTTTCTACTCGTCTACTCGATTCGTTCGAACTTGAAGAAATGGTTTATCTCACAAAACATGGAGCCACTTCTCTTCGCTCAACATCTCGAGGCGTACCTAATGCTCGGGTTATGATGAACATGCCTGCGATACGATAATTTTTTCCTTATGCCGGAAACTGAAGAATCAATCTCTAAAATTGATAGTCATCACATTTTGCAAGAAGCTTCCGACCTGTGATCATGGGCTAGCAATTTGAGCTCACTAGCAAGCTGGTAAGCACGTGGTTAGCGTAAATAGTTGTTTACAGTTTTCGAATTCGAGAGCAGTTTTTGAGAGTTCGTATCTGTAACCTTCTCGGATATTTTCTGCTGAATTCATTAAGGTACAGTCTAGGAATTTCATAAGTGATTATGAACGAAAAATTGGTATCGGCACCATAATTTTGGGGAGTTTTGTTAAAACATTATTTGTTTACAATTCGTGAACCATTTCTGAAACCTGCTTGGATATTTTCTTGTGAATTAATTGAGTCACACTCTCGAAATTTCATCAGGAATTAAGAACGATAAATCCTTATATGTAGTACAAGTGAAGCACAATTTAAACTTTCCATACCATTTTAGGAAACTATACTTGATTGACTCTTGATAAATTGGCCTGGCATAACTCGTTGATTATCTTATTATTTTGTAGCCCCAAAAGACCGGCTTAGGACTCTGGAGGTACTGAACTTGATATATTTGATACATAGGGTACTCTTCAAGGAGGAAGGTTCGAATAAAATTGCTTTTACGACCGTCTATTGCACCCGGTTTACATATGTAGATAACTGCTTAAATTTACCTATTGTAACTGTATTCAGGAGCAATTAGACATTTAGGTAATATGCTTCTGCTTTATTTATTACAAACAAAACAAAACAAATAAAAACTTTATTTGTTCGCCAACAAACAAATAAATTTTATGTTTGATTCAAGTGTGAGAAGATAAAACAGACATGTTGCAGAGTTCTCTTTTTTTTAGGTTGAATTCAGGTGAGAACATTAGTATTTTCATATGCTTCTTCTGAATCTTAAATTTTATTGCCCTGGTTTTTTTTACAAAGCCTCTTTTTATCTCTGTTTGCCAGCCAATGATTAAAATCTTAGTAAATAGAATATTAATAGTTTTTTTTTAATTCCATCTTTAAGTTTTTGGCATTTATTGTTTAAAAATTCACAAATAGCATTCCCTTTCCAACCTTGTAAAGAGATATTACACATTTCTTTAACTGAAATCTGAATCATGAAGTCAACTTAATTTCAATGAGTTTGAAACTTCATTCTACTTAAGAACACTTCACCCTTTAACTCCCAAGATCTCAGTAGTAATTCTCCTTACTATCTCCCATACAGTTCTTTGGATGTTAATTTGAAGGATTTGGTATTGGATTATCTTATAATCCCCTAACTGATATTTTTCTTTATTTTCATGACTTGTCTGCTTGATATTGTATTGATATTGTAAGGATAAATTCTGTCTTGGTCACTCATGGGAGTTAAAGTGTTAATTGGAGTATGATGTTACATTTATTCACTGTCTTTCTGATTACCACATGTGTCTTAACCCTTTAACTCCCAAGATTTCATTAGTAATTCTCCTTATTGTCTGCCATGCAATTTATATGATGTTAGTTAGGAGAATTTTGAAATTGGATCAACCAATACTACCCTAATTGATATTTTTCTTTATTCTCATTAGTTGTCTGCTTGATATCATTGAAAGTGTGAGGAGAAATTCTGTCTAGGTCTCTAGTAGGACTTTTTGGGATTAAAATTGGGGACTTCATTATATTGCAATGATTAAAATATTCTTATGCTTTCAAATGTAACAAAAAAAGTGATGAGAATGTGATGTTATGAAACACTTACAATGGGAAAACCTGTTGCTGGTAGCTTATGTCTTCAATGTTTCAATTTTCATGGGAAATGCTTTTCTTTGAAAGTGGGGATACCAGAGTTTTCAAAGATGATAGAAATAAGCTGTTTGCAAGTAATGAAAAGCAAATTGACAACCATACTTAATGCTTGACATACTCTACAAATACATGTCAGTTGTGTGTACCTGCTATTGTAGCGGTGTATCTAAAAAGACTTTTTGGTGCAGCTATTGTTCTTTGTGGATCTTTGTAGCTAAAAAAGCTACTAAAGGCACTGAACTCCAATTTTTATCAAGGCACCCTCCAAGGTGGAAGAGTAGAAGTCACTATAGAATGATGTTTACTAGGCACTTGCACTTACAGCAATCACATATTCAGGCAAAACTCTACATATATAAAACTGATTACATGATGTCCCTTTACACCCCAACATCAGTATGCATATTTTCCATACTGTTCTCTATACAATTCCTAATTTGCTGGCAGGGATAATTTGTCCAACAATCAAAAGGTTCTTCACTTGTTTATCATTTCCTTTATTCTCATAACTTAATGTTTGATTCAGGTTGATATTGAAAGGAGAAATTAGATGTTAGTCACTCTCAGGGATTAAAGGGTTAAAAACTGCGCACATTTTACATGCTGTTCCTTGCATTTGTTAGCAGCAATACAGTGTAGTTGAGATTGTTAGGAAAGCAAACAAACAAATGAACAGAAGA